ACATATTGTACACACTATATACTGTCTATGCTATACATACTATATATATGCTATACGCTGCACGTTATATACACATATATACACATATATATACTATATATACTATATATGCTATATATGCTATATGTTATGTATGCAGTATGCTTTGTGTATGCGTATTTGCAATATATACAGTGTATCAGCGATGTTGCAGCGTATACGTTGTAATATGTGTCTATAGTGCACGCACTGCTATACACTATATGGTGTATGCGCTGTAGAGGAGTATACATGTATTGTATGCGTGTGCATACGCTGCATCCCGGTGAGCATTTGTGCGTGTTTTTGCGTGTATATATGTATGTATGCGTGTATATATGTATGTATGCGTGTATGTATGCGTGTGTCAGTGTATATATGAGTATATGTATATGCACAGTGTATATGCTAGTGCATACGGTGTGCGCTAATGCATACAGTGGACCGCTTGCTAGGCAGTGCATTGTATGTGGTGTGTATGCGCTGTGGATGCACTATATATGTATAGTATGCGCTGTATATACGTTATATGCACTGTATACACTGTGTGCAGACACCCACGCTGCTTTGCCTGTGCAGCGTACACGCGCACACTCATAGTATATACACATATATAGACATATACATAGATATATAGATATACACTCATATATATAGATATACACTCATATATATGCATATATACACAGGCATACACAGACTACGCGCATACACATGCAAAGACACGCACAAACGCCCACTGGTATGCACACGCGTATAATGCATGTATGCTCCGCGGCGCGTGCACTATGACAGTGTGTGCACTATAGACGCATATATACAGTGTATATGCTGCGAATACACATGTGCAGATATACACTGTGTATACGCTCTACATACACAAAGCATACAGAGTATACTGCCTGCATACATAGCATACATAGCATGTGCTACATATATTGTGTATATAAGTGTATATAGTATGTACAGTATATATACTGTGCAGTGTACACATACGCAGCACACTGCGTTAGCATGCAAGTATATGTATTGCAGTGTGTGCAGTGTATGGTGTGTATAGTGCATAGTGTAGTGTGTGTATAGTGGTATACAGTGTATATGGTATGGTATATATAGTTATGGAGTATAGAATGTATATATGTATTGTGTATATTGTGTGTATAGTATATATAGTGTATGATATATACTGTATATACTGTATATATGTATAGTATATACAGTGTATATATATAGTATATATAGTATAGTGTATACAGTGGAGTGTATACAGTAGAGTACAGCGTGCATAGGGTGTGGGATACATGTTTATATAGTGTTCATGTAATGTCCATGTAATGTTTACGCAGAGAGAAAGGCATGGTTTTTGCACCAAAGCTTTACAATAAGAAAAGCCATTTCCAGGCTTTGGCTGTAATTTAACCTGTAAACAGTGAGACAGAGGGGGGGAATGGTCAGTAGTTGCCTTGGATCGCAGAGGGTTTTGTAGGCCCTGGAAAGGTCCTTGTCCTGGAGCTGCATGCTACCTCCAAGGCACTCTGTAACGTCTTCGCCAGTCATCTCGAAGTGTACGCCGTCGAGATGGGAGCCAGAGGCCTTGCAGATGTCGAAACAGAGCTTAAGCTCAAGCAAAATATGTGAAAAATCTCTGGTTTTTAAATGTGGGTATTCAGTGGAAAACAGGGTATTCCCTAAGTGAAGTTGAGCATTGCAGCAAAACAAAGAAGAAATACCATGCATTGGGTCGCTTATAAATATAGTTTTGTGGTTTGATGATTGAACGGCTTTAATGTGCTGTGGAAGATATTTTTTAATCTAAAATGTTATTTAAGACAAATACAGTTCCTAGAAACCTTGTCATAGCCATATCTAAATATTAAAGTGACCTTTCCGGTCTCTCTTTTTGGATCTAGGATGTCCAGAAGCTTAACCAGTTCATCAGGCTTCATTGTAGGGCCTATTTTAACGCCTAAATAGTGGTTAATTTGCTTTACGTTATTTTTGAAACAACCTATTGGATTTTCGATCCCTCTAAAATACTCTACATGAGCGCCATCAATACTTCTGGTCCTGTCACCTATCCACAAAAAATGTGCGCCTAAATTCCACCATTTTGTTTCATTTGTTTCAGAATCCTTTATTTTCCGAGTCATAGATTCTTCGTAATCCAATAAAAGACCCTAGTTTTGGTGTTAATCACTATCCCTCCAAAGGGATGGTATAGGATACTTCGTGGCTTGTAAATATATATGGTTTTTGTAATAAAAGATTATTATCCATTCCATTTGTTTTTTTGAAATTTAATGAATTAAGAAACTGAGTGTTTTGAGTATTTGTGGAAGAGCCGCTTTCAATATTATTATTTTCTAAGGAGACATTCGAATCTATCAATGTATATAAACCAGAAGCATTAGATGACAATAGTCTGATATAATTAAGAGTGGTCGAAGAATGAAAATACGCTGTTAACAATCTTTCTGGATTAGGCTGCCGCTCATGGATAGAACAACCATTAACTGATTCCCCTCTAAAAGATAATACTTCTTTTTTATCTACCATTTCTGTCAATTTTGATCTTGGTCTTGTAGATTATAAGATTTTATGGTATAAAAATAAATTAAATACTTTGCATATTGACCCGCCATTCGAGCTATTGTAACTACGGGAATATTGATGCCTCCACAAGTCAAGAAATACCCTTTTATACTAATGAATTACCCAAAATCAAAATAATGCTCATTTGAAGAATAACTTTAAGCTTTGAGTTGATTAAATCCTTAAAAACGTTATAAAAAGACAATAAAGATTTTTCCATACCGGTGTACAAGCGCTAAAAGACTCTGCACAGTCTCCTCCTTGAAGTAAGAAAGATTTATGAAGAGCAACATCTTTAAGTCTTTTTTTCAATAATAAAATCTAAAAATAAATAACAAAATAAAAGTATTTATACAAATACTTCTTCAAAATGAACTAAAGGGGGTAAAGATCGCAGTTTATTTAAAGACTTCAATCAGTTTTAAGTTTTCATAAGTTGATTGCTCTTACTGTCTCAAGTGCTTCTTGATTTTCGTAAATTACTCTTTGCTGGATAGGTTTTGACTTCCATGATGATGGTTCCCAATAATTTTCAGTGTTTTCTAGTATTTTCTGCATTTAATATAGTCAAATCAATTAATATTTTACATCTAAGCATCCGATAAAAATATATATACATTTTAACAATATACGAATATTTACGAAATTACATTAGACAGAGCATTAATATACCAAGAAACAAAATGTTCTTAAATGATGATCAATATTTTAAGATGTATTTATTATGCAAGTAGAAAGTATACAAATGCTTAAATTAATAGAAAAGATCCGTCTTAATAAAAACAAATCAAATCTCTTTTTAAAAAGTTAAAAGAAGGTATAAAAACCCTATACAAATGTCCCTTGAAGTTGTTAAAATTGATCTTAAATTTTTAATTATCAGAAGAATAGTAAAGCATGAACCGTAAAAAATAATATATTGCATAATGAAAGGATACGTGACTTAAAATGACTGAGGGTATTGATGTGCAGGAGGAGATAAATGAATATGAGCACTACATGTTATCAATAAAGCAATTTGAATCCAACAAAATCATAATACCCATTCCTACGACTTCTTTTCATCTTTTGTTTTAATTGTTGAGAATCTAAAGGCTTTAGTAACTCAAATGAGCATAAAAGTTCTTCCGAAACAGACATAACAGCACCAAAATTGTCCTATAAAGCAATATAAATGACAGTCATAAAAATAAACTTAAACATACAAACTCTCCACAGTAATTTGGAGCAGAAAATATAGTGACTAATGTACGTTCATTAAAAAATTCATATCCATCTTCTACAACCATATGTGCCCGACATATTAAATCGAAATCGTGTCTTTGAAGAAATTGCTGAATAACGTTTTTCCCAAAACAATAACTTACACCGCGTTCATTATCTTCCCAACCATTCGTCGTTTCTGTAGGATCAGACCATAGAAGATCATTAAGCAAACCATAATCAGGAACATCAGTAGGACGTTCAAGTTGTCGAATTTCATCCATATATGAAAGTGAAGGAGACAATCCCCCATGCACACAAAATATTTTCGAAGCAACAATAGATGCAATCGGTAACGTATTAAACACATCAACAAATGTCTTCCAAATTTTAATATTACATCTTCGCTTGCATTCATCATAAAAACCATAAACTAGATATAATCAATACGATCAAATATAAAGAAAATTATCCAATACCTCTCGTAACATTAGCACATTCATGATTTCCTCTCAAAAGGAAAAAATTGTCCGGATACTTAATTTTATAACATAATAATAATAAAATTGTTTCAAGACTTTGCTTTCCTCGATCTACATAATCTCCAAGGAATAAATAATTTGCAGATGGGGGAAACCCACACATTTCAAATAGACGGATTAAATCAGCATACTGTCCATGAACATCTCCAACAATTTTAACAGGTGGTGTAAGTTCTAACAAAGAAGGTTGAGATAAAAATACTTCACGTGCAGCCCGGCATATAGCAAAAACTTCCGCATTCTTAAGACATATTGCTTTTGTGACTTTTCCAGAATATCCTGCATCCAACAATCTTTGAATCATATCGTCCACATCCAAATTTTTAAGAGCAAGATACGAGGGAAAAAACATAAAATTAGAAGGCTCTCCGTTAGCATTTAAGGAACTAAATGATGCAGCTGTATCAGAAATAGTGTCTACTTCACGTTTTGTGTGAATCGTATCTTTAGGTTGAAGAATAGATAAAGATGACTGTGTAATAGAAGCATTGGACGGATATCTGCCACTATCTATCTCACTTTCTTTACTCTGGATAGCCCCTTTTCTTTGCTGAGAGTCTTCAAGAGAAGAAAAGGATGGTATAGTGCCCCGGTTATAACCAAAGTTTTTAAATGAAAAAACATCAGCTGCTGATGCCCCAATAGTCGCTGCTCGTTCTGATAGTTCCAGTTCTGACATTTTATCTGAAACCCTGTCAGTCATAGATGCTCTCTCCAGTGCTAAACCCTCTACAGTCCTTCCTGGAACTTCTTTGCACATCCCTTCTAATCCTTTTAAACGTTCTTTTTTTTCCTTATCATATCCACGGAAAGATGCATTTTTTTGAGATCGGTAACTCCCTAAAGATCCTTTAAACAACCCAGAAGAACCCTGTACATCGTATCTGTCAAAAAACGCAAATGCATCTGCCTTTTCATCGTCTTTTCGGCTTTGTATTTGTCCCATTATTTTTTACCCAATTTTTTAAATTTCTTCGCCTAAAAAACTATCACTAAATACTACACTATTTTTCCTTGTATCTGACGTGTTTAAAACGCACTTTTCCGCCACTCTTGAGCCAATGCATAGACGCTTATTCCTTTTTGCAATCCTATATATTTAGGTCATTTTTCATCCAAAAAAATCCAGAAAAAAAAACACCAACATACCCACACCTCTTTTGCACTAAACTTTTGTATTTCTCCCTTTATTTATCCTCTTTTCTTCCTCTTTTCTACCCTTTTATCTCTTGTTGCTCTATGATCACAATCTGTGTGCTCGTTTTCGATGTGCTCGTGACCTTAGTATATATATCTCATCGATGTGGTAAATTCGAAATAATTTTTTCTAACGCTTTTATATCCATGAAATTGTTAAGATCCCTTCTTTTTTTAATGTATTTGCTTCAAAACACTTACTAACTTTATTTAGTGTTTTATCTTTTATAAATCTAGGCGTTCAAAGAAAGTAAATTGGTTTTTGTAATAAAAAGGAGTTTAAAGCCGTTTTTTTTAAAATTTTTATAAAAAAATATATTAGCGCTTATATAAGTTAACAATAAAAATAAAGCATACAAATAATGCTTTTAATACGTTTTTTCCGTATAATTTTGCCACTGCTGGCATCTTTGGCTGGTCTTGTCTATATTAGTTTGACGATGGCGGGTGGATTTAGAAGACATCCCTTTCTTGATAAAGTTTATCTCTTCAAGGTGTGCTATATTTTTTATAGGATTCTTTGATTAATCGGCGTTTTTTTTTTTACTTAGATTGATACAACTAATATTCAAGCTTATAAATTTCCATCAGAACGTCCGCCCAATGTAACACCTGCAGAACATATTGGGTATGTTTTTGTGCATTAAAGCACCAATTATATGCGTCAGAAATATGGATTATATGTGTTCTATTTCTTGATATATGCATTCTATTTTTTAATATATGCGTTTAAAAACTAAAATATATCTATTTTAGTGTGACTATACCTTCAAAATGCTATTTATGGGCCTATATGAGTTAATCTGTGCATATAATCCATTTATTTGATGCTTTTAGTGTATATTTCTAAGTTGCTGATTGTTTTAGTTTGAATAATCATTATTACTTTTATATGTGGGGACATTGTGATGCACGCCGACATATGTATCTTAAGCGTTGTACGAAACCTAAAATTGGATATCACTTTAATCCTCTCTCTATTTTAAGAGAAAAACTCCTTAAAGGATCAGTGGTTAAAGTTCCATCTAAGACGGGATCATTTACTGACAAAGTTAAAATTGGTAGTATAGTGTAAGTATTCTTTTTTGGAGTGCTGCAGAGTTTTTTGTGTATTTTTTGCTAATAAAGGTAGTATGACAGGATTATACGCAGCAGGATTGGTTTTTTCAGCTTTATTATTCCTTTCTAAATTAATATTTGCTATTTTTGATCTTGATGACAAAGCTCCTAGGGTTATTGCAGGTCTTGCAATGATTTTTAATTTGCTTGCCGCGACTTCATCAACAGCATTAATTATTATAATAAAAAGAACGATCAAGACTGATGCGGGTTATTTGAACCTTAAAGTCCATTATGGGAAATCATCTTTAATTTACTCATGGGTTGCAGCTTATACTGTTCTTATTGCTTATATTAGTTTATTAATAGCGAACCGACAGCTTCAAAAGAGAAGGCAAGCAACAGAAAAGCTCTACTAATCTAAGATATCTCTCTTCTATTAAGATGTGATAGAAGTTTTACTATTTTTATTAGATATTTCTATTTTTAGTTAGTTATTTTTATATGTTTTATCTATTAACATTTTGATTTTTGTATTTAAAATTAGAAAAAAGAAAAAAAAATGTATTTTTTCTGTTGAAATCCTTTCTATTTCTATAAATATAACGGTTTTTGATAAGTTATTAAATCCTTTTTTCAAGTAAATTTTAAAATTTTAAAATAAAAATATTTTTAACATTATGAAATTAAAAATTTAAACATTTAGTGAAATTCAATTTGAGGCTTTTAAAATATACGATATTTTATATTTCTGTACATTGAAAACGCTATTAAATTTACATTGTTCAATCTTTATAAAATTCTAGAACATAATAGTTTGTTTTTATATTGTTCGTAAAACTTTATCTAGTAAATGTCTAATTAATACAAAATTAAATACTAAAAATAGTTTAACAATAACCTTATAAAACGGTTGTTTAAAATGAATATTAAATTAAAATTGGCGAAGAATTTATAATAAATTCAAGGTATAAAAGTTTATAATATTTAAAATTATTACCTAAATATCAAAAAATATAATAGTATTTTTTAATAATGGAATTGAAAATATCTTTATATTTTCTACAACTTTAGTTTTCTATTTATTTATTAACATAATTCTAAATATATATTTTTAGAAATATTAGATTTTTTTAAATCAGTAACTATTAATTAATCATGTATTTCAGAAACAGCTTCTAGTTGATTCTTTTTTTCATGATTTTCATCAGACAAAGACTCTTGAAAATTATGACATTTAAGACATACCTTATTATATTTTTCTCAATACCAAAAAATCCAATTATAAGTAATCATATATTTTATTTTAGAAATAGTAATATCTATTTAAATACCTTATTTAAATACCTAGTTAAATAATCATTATTTAGTATTATATTTTTAATATTTAATTTTTCTTCAAAAAAGTCAAAATTACTTTAAAAATATGATTATGATTGTTTTGAATTGATTATTAAAATTGACAACTTTATCAATAGCTCTATTTGTGTAATATCGAGAATATCTAAATATAATGCATATTTTAAATTATATCAAAAGATTATCAAAATATAAAATCAGTATACGTTCTTAGTTTCCAAAAATTTAATCCATGTAAGTAAATGTGTATATAAATAAAAGAAATTATGGTCTAAAAATTGTTTTAAGATTTAGGTCTATCAAGAACGGTTAGAAAGCCTCCAATTAAATGTAAACTCCCAGTTATAAATACATCAATATCAAATAAAGTAGCCTGAGAACGAACTAAATTTACAGTATCCTCTATATTGTCTATAACGTTAATTAATGCATTATTACCATTCAATTTGATCCAATAATCTCTTAAATTATATTGTATTTTAAGACTTTTAATTTGTTTAATATCAGAATTAATATTTACAAGATCTAAATGTTTAAGATCATAAGTATAAATGTAAACTGAAAATCACCTTCATCATATGTGCCATCTTTCCATGTAACATTTGTTGGGAATATAACCATATAAAACGGATTCTCACCTATTTTTTCAATTATAGAATTGTATAAAGATTCCAATAATACTGCAGCATCTCGAGTTTGTTGATTGAATATTAATATAAATTTCCTAGGTGAATTGTTTGACAAGAAAATAGAATTTGTATACCAAATAACAGCTTCTTTTATACTTTCAGTCGTATGAGCACCATCCATATACCAAGAAATATTATCTTCTTTGCGCAATTGACATCTTCCAGGCCACGATGCATTTTCAAGGCCTGTCTTTATAGTATCAAACACAGTATATAAAGAATTTAAAGAAGGAATATTTAGATAAGGTAAATGATAAGATACAAGTGCAAAAGCAAGTGATGCATTAATATATTGAAAATCACCAGATAAACCAAGTTTAATTTTCTTTAAATCTGGGTTAATAGTGATAACAGAAAAAAGAGCCTTGATTTAAGTATATTTCTAAAAATTCAATAAAGGTTACCTTGCGTTCAGATGCCCTTTTTTTTAGTACATTTAAAGCCGGTATTGATTGTTCAACAGTTAATGCTGGAACATTTTTTTTAAATATTCCTCCTTTATGCCATGAAATTTTTTCAATAGTATTACCTAATATTGGAACATGATCTATTCCTAAGCTAGTAATACCTGTTACAGTAGGATGCTGGATAATATTTGTTGAATCATATTCTCCTCCAATTCCTGTCTCCATAATTAAGGTATCTACTTTTTCTGAAATAAATACGTGCCATGACATAAGCGTTAAATAGCGAAAGTAAGATGGTTTAATTGTAGGATCTAGTTTCCTTTCAATAGCAGTTTTTTCTAAACAATCCCAAACTTCAAAAAAATATTTTGCAAATAACGTCTCAGAGATAGGAATCCCATTAATTCTAATCCTTTCTCGCACAGCTACTAAGTGAGGAGATGTATACATTCCAAATCGTATAGACTTTTTATATTGATTTCTCAATTGCTCTAAAATAGACGATATAAACGCACATGTAGAGCCCTTTCCCTTTGTTCCTGCAATGTGAATAACATTTAGCTTGTTGACATCATCAATCTAAATTATATTTTGAATACTTTTCTTATATCATATGATTATTTTTACCTTGTATCCTATTCTATGTAACCATTCTACCATTTGTGATAATGATTGTTTATTTAAATCCTCTTTTGAATTTGAGATAGTTCTTAATACTTGAGAATTGGTTTGTAATGTGTTTAAGGCACTTATAGCATCCTTTATTCATTAGATCATATTAAATATCAAAAAATTTTTAACTTTATATGATCGAGATATCATATATTAATTTTGGAAAAAAACAATAGCACTTAAGGCTCCTTCCAAATCATTTTAAAACATGGAAAAACTTGTTATAACTGTGCATCAAATTAAATAAAATAAAAAATATTTTTTTATTAAAAATAAATTAATATCGAAATTTAAAGTTTTAAGTATTTTGACTGTAAAAATTTATATTTTTAAAAAATTATATACTTTTCATCAAATAAAAGCTAGGAATATTTAGAAAGATAAATTATTTTAGAAAAATTAAATTTGTACCTAATTATAAACACTAAAAAAATAGATAAAATTTCAATGTAGATCATTAAGAATAAACAAAAAATAAATCCATTTGTTTTTTTAGATAAGTATTTCAAGTTTTTTAAAGAAACAATTTAAATTTTAAAAATTTTGTAAAGAATATTAAGAAAAATATATTATATGTTCCTATACAAACATATATTTTAATAAAAGAAATATAAAAAAAGAATTAAATTAACTCATGAATAATAGTTTAAATATGCAGAAAATTTTTATCACTAATTAAAGACTATACTTTAATAGTTCTTTATATCAATAAATTAAAATAAATTTTCGATAAGTTTTAATCATTTTAAAAAATAAAATATCTAACTATTAATTTTACAAATCATAAAATATAAATATTAAAAATAAATATAATTATTTAGTAAATTTAAAAAACCCAAAATTAAAAAAAATATACTGAAAGAAATGTAATCTAAGTATTTTTAATTTTTCTTAATAAAATAAAGAATTATTTATAAAAGTAATAATAGCTATTATTTTTATAATCTTAAAACTACCTAATTTTTAATCTCATATGTATTTTCAAATTTTATAAATTCAATTTTTTCAAAAAACACTAATATTTTAACTGATTTAAATAAAAGCAAAAATATTCCAGAATATATATGATTCAATTATATATCAAAAAGTTCTTATAATTTTAGTACACTTTAAAATAAATTAAATTTTTAAAATCTTCATTTTTTTCAAGATACATTAAAAATTAATAAAATTCATAAAACAATAATTTTTACAAAGCCTCCAAAATTATTTAGAATACCTAATAATACAGAAATACCATTAAAAACGTACAACACATCCCTGTTTCATGCATATATCTACCAACCCATGCAGAATAAAAAAACTATCACATCGACTACTAAAACATTAAAGAATCAATCTTTAAAAGCATAATAAATTTAAATTTTTTCAATGCTTTTAACACAACTTTTAATCCAAAACCAAATAATGTCACAAACATAAATTCAACATAGTATAAAAGCATACAAATTTCAAGACAAAAAAAGGATCAAATTCCAGTGATTCCAGGGAGCTATTCAGAATTAGAGTAAAAAAAAACGTATTGATGAACATGCCTCAGTATGTGAACGATATCTCCGGCAAGCAAAAGGCGATTTATCAGAAAGTTGTCTAAGCCAACAAAAAATACTCCGGGATTTTACTAATAAATGTTAAAACAACAAAAAAAGGAAAAAATACATTTTTGGAGCCTTAAATCTGATAATTCTGCCTTCCATGTTTCTATTTGACCCTGATACCAATTGATCTCTTGACATATCTGTTCTATACAAATCATAAACAAAAAATTAAGAAAAAAAAAACAATAAAAAACCATTTTTTTGGCGCAGCTTCATCAATTTTACCAGAGAAAGCTGCCATTCAGACTGTGTTAGGTCTTCACACCGACTATTTGACAAGTATTGCTGAAGTTCCTATAACACGTTAAAATCCAACCCTTCCTCTTCAAACTGCCTCACAAGCTCCCTCTTCCGATAAAGTTTGGCCTCTGTCTTCTTTACTTTAACTTTTAGAGTTAAGCTATGCAACATTTCAGTCATATATAGCTCTTTCTCCTCCCATGAATCCAACTCCTGTTCATTTTGTATAGATACGTCCAGATTCTCCATTTTTTGCAGAAAAAAAAACACAAGCAAATCTAAACGTTCAAAAGATATATTCAAAAATTATATTGCATTCAGTGACAAAGTTCTTCTGCTAAAAAGACATTTTTCTCTTATCTTAACGATCATCGCATGAAGAATATAGGCATTTTTCTCCGATATAAGACCCAAAGAAAATCATAACGAAGAGCTAAAAAAGATTAATATAAATAAAAAAGCATTGAAGCATTTGTAGATTGCATTTTTTATATCAAATAATATATCAGGACATTTTTTGGCAAAAAAACATATTTTTTCTAAAAATATAGATTACAAAATTTTAACAAATACAAATTTAAGCAAATACTTTAAAAATATATAAAACAAAAAGATTATTATCTTTGTAAGTCGGTTTTTTATAGCATTAAAATATTTTTTAACATTTATAAGTCTTTTAAAATAACTTTTTTAAGCATCAATTAACTAAAACAGAGAAAAAAACAAAATGGACTCAATCAATGACACGTTTTATCATAAAGATCAACGACTTTTGCAAAAGCAGAGAGTGAAGCATATGGGAGTTGGTATAAAAAAATTAATTGCTTTTAGAAATGCAAAAGTTTTCAGCGTTCATGGAATACAGAAGTGATTTGCCTTAATACATCTAATGAATTGGATTTAACAAGAAATTTGGAAAAAAAGAATGAAAATTATTGTGTAAATACAGAAAAACTTCCGGTTGTTGAAAAAACAATGAAAGAAAATGAGATTCATGAGTTATTGAATGAGCTTTCGTTAAAACCAGCAAGAAAAAAGATGAGCGATTATAAATTTTGGAATACTCAGCCAGTATGCTCATTTGGTAATTTTAGGAAGTTTGCATGCTGTAAAAATGTTAACAGTAACTAGATGAAGAAATCAGTGAAGAAGGACCAATAGATGATAGCAAGGATCTTGAAAAAGTTAGAAAAGAGCCATATCCACTCTTAAAAGAATTTGAGTGGGTTACTTTAGATGTAGATGATGAAGAAGACGTATGTATATCTATATAAAAGTTATTTATCTTATGAATTATTTAGTTAAAAAATCTATATCAACTTCTTGCAAAAAACTACGTTGAAGATGATGATTCGATGTTTAGATTCGATTATTCAGAGTTGTTTTTAAAATGGTTTTTCTAAATCATTTAATCTTTATTGCTAATAATTTAGGGCTATAAAACCTCCTGGATTTCATAAAAACTGGCATATTGGAGTACGTGTGGCTGCATCAAAAAAATTAGTTGCTTTTGTTTCAGGAATACCTATTTCCTTACGTGTCAAAGATCGTGTTATTAAATGTAGTGAGATAAACTTTTTATGTATACATAAAAAACTTAGATCAAAACGGTTAACACCTATTTTGATAAAGGAAATAACTAGACGATGTAATCTTTCAGGAACTTGGCAAGCTATTTACACTGCAGGAGTTATACTTCCTAGCCCTATATCATCATGTCAATATTATCATCGTAGTCTCAATTGGCAAAAGTTATATACAGTAGGGTTTTCTCCTTTACCTAAAAACTCTACAATAGCTCGACAAATTCAAAAGTTTAAGTTGCCAAATGAGACATCAACCCCTGGTTTGAGGCCTATAACAGTTCATGATCTTGAACAGGTTTCAGAATTATTGAGATCTTTTCTAAAAAAATTTGAACTTTCTCAAATATTTTCGAACGATGAAGTAAAGCATTGGTTAATTCCAAGAGAAAACCAAAATGATGAGGAAGCTACAATATTTTCATATGTTATTGAAGTAAGATCATTCGGTAATATCTTAATATGAACTAATACATAACCAGAACCCATCAACAGGAAAAATAACAGACTTTTTTTCCTTTTATTCCCTCCCTTCTAACATTATTACAGACACGAAATATAAAACTCTTAATGCAGCATATCTTTTTTATTATGCACTAGAATCCGGTATTAAGAAAGATATGAACCAAACTGAACATAAAATATATATTGATAGATTAAATCTTATAATGAAAGATTGTTTAATTATTGCAAAAAACGTTAGTTATTTTCCCATTAATACTATTTTAATATTTTTATAGAAAAAATTCGATGTTTTTAATGCATTAACACTAATGGATAATCCATTTTTCCTTGAAAATCAAAAATTTGGTCCAGGAGATGGAAAATTGAATTATTATCTATTTAATTACCGCTCAAAATACATAAATCCAGGAATAACTAGAACAGGAAAACTAGATGTCGAAAATGGATCATCAATAGCTGTTGTTATGTTGTAATAAAATATAATACTAATTATATTTTACTATTTTGTAACATTTTATAATTTAGAGAATAAGAAATATTGTTTTCGTAATCAAAAGCATTGTACTAAAAAACATTTCTAAAATAGTTCTATTATCCTTTTTATTTTTGTATAGCATTTTATACTAAATTACATTAAGAAATTTAATATAAGAACAAATAGTCAAAATAAGATTAATTTTCAATATCTGATTTATCTGTATCATCTATATTATTAATATTCATAAGTTCATCTGGTCCTAATTTGCCTCCATCAACAGTCCCTAGAAGAGCATCAAAAATTTCAGAGTGCACAGGATAGGTATTCTTCAAATAAAGAAGTTTTTCTTTTTTATTTTGTAAAAACTGAATACTATAACTTGGAGGTAATCCAGTAGGAATTTCTTGGAAACACTTATTCACTGCATCATCTAATTCCTCAATAGTAGAAATAAATTTTTCTGAATAAGAATATAAAGTAAGAAAATGATACAATCTGTCTTCATATTTTTTCTTTTTTGTCATTTCAAAGTTATATGATTTACGGGCTATTCTATCTAATTTATTTGAATCTTCAAGTGGATAATCATTGTCGAATAAAGATTGAATAGTAGGTGTAAAATATTTGTAATCCTTATCAGCAAAAAGAGACGATTTTTCAGTTTTAGACACCTTTTTTTTCGTTATTTTCTTTGAATCATTAATTTTTTTATGTTCCATAACATATTCGGTTAAATATTGACGTCTTATTTTCGCCATAGTAGATTTCCAACTATTTGTTTCATTTTTTAAATTTTCTGGCTTTGGTTCAGCAACAGTTTTATGTAAATTTAAATATTTTATTTTTTTTTCAGGTTTTAAACTAATTTTTCTGAAAAAATAAGCATAAAAAACATGTTCTTTTCTTCCAGGAATATAAATAAAAGAATTAAAAATTGCGTTTTGAGCTTTTCTATGATATTTTGACAATATAACTTCAGTAGAATAACGAAAAAACATTTTTTTAAAGGAAAACCAATAAAAAATTTTACGAAAAAAAACAAAAAAGATCCTTTGCAATGCTCATACCTATATATTTAAGTTTTATTATAAAATTCAATTATATTTTTACCATAAATTTCTCCTAAAATCTTGACTTTTTAATCGACGATAAATCAAGCTTTTAAAAGATAATCTTAAATAAATATTTAAAACATAATATAAAAACTTTAACAACTTCTGCTAAAAATTATACTTCTAAATAAAAAAGATATATTATAAATCAAATAAATGTATTTATATTAATTTTACTGTTAAAAAACGTATATATTAATATTCTAAAATATATCTTCATATCTAAAAAACTGTACATTCTTATATAAAAAAATAAATAGTATAAAAATGAAGATAATTCAAGAATATTTTATTTATAAATTTTGTTAAATAAAAATATTTTAAATATATTCATATTTTTAAGTTAATATCATTTGACTCTTCTAACAACCTAGAAATGACTCCATCGTGTAAAACAATTTGATTATGATCTTTAAAAATTAAAAATATTTTTTTCTTATATTTAAAAACTTACCACCCCATAGAACTTGTAGGTACATAATTCTTTGACGACCATTATTAGATGTAATGAAGACTTCGCCTTTTCTTTCTGTCAAGGTCACCAAATCTCTCCATGTTTCATTTTGCTGAGTAATTGTTGCATTAACAGCAGCAACAAAAAGTTCGAAAGAATGGTGAAAACCGATATGCGTATCATCTTTTGAATGAATAAATGTTATACGTGTCCCAACTTTTTCAGAATTTTTAGAAAAAGTTACTATTCTATGTAATGAATCCCAAGGATGATATAAAAATTTAAGAACAAGTTTTCGTATACCAGGATACATTTTCAAAGGAGATAAAAAGGGGAAATAGCCTCCTAATTTATATGAAGTCAATAAAGATCGGACAGAAGAAAACCCAGCAATTAAAATCAAATGGCCTACATGTATCGGATTTTTCAACGTTAATAATTTTTCTGCCACTCCAATAACAACAGCAGTTCCAAGACTTTGCCCAACAAGAAATATAGAAGAAGGATTTATATTAGCTACTTCTACAGCCCATCTTACAGCAGAAACACCGTCTTCAATTAACCCATTTTCACTTGGTTGACCCGAAGATTTCCCAAATCCTCTATAATCCAAAGCAAGAACATGAACATGATCAAAGGATGTTAAGAGCCGATACATGCTTAACCGATGCCTTGCAGCAATATTACATGCAGTTCCATGAACTAAAATATATTGGAACAATCACTCATCGTATCATTTACTTACAATAAATAATAAGTTTTGATTTAGGATTTTTTGAAATTAAAGAAGTCGAAAATTCATGCAATTCATCTCCTTCTTCCAATTCTGAAAGCTTTGAAAGATGTTTATAATAAACATTATGAGGTAAAACGTGCCAAACAAAAATATCCTCATTATCAGATGTCTTCAAAAAAAAAGGATTAACTCTTCGAACTTGCATTCCATTAGTATTTCCATGATTTAGACCTTGTTTTCGATAATATACATGAAAATCCAAGCGATTCTGGGTATAATACGTCACCTTTTGTACACTTTTTTAATTTATGTAAGTAAAAAACACTAAAATATAAATTTTTTCAAGAAATTTTAAGCAAAACTTTACTTTCTTTGGATAGAAGGCACTGTAAGTGCAAAAAGAAAAAAAACATATGAAACAATAATGCCTATAAGAAAATAATATCCTTTATTTAAGATACCCATTTTTCGTATATTAATTAAAAATTACGTGAAATCAGAAACACATCACGTGATTTACAAGACCACCAAAAAATGAATATAAAAAAAAGGTTTTTTTTTTTTTTTTAAAAATAAGAGATAATAAACAGGAATTTATAAAATGAACAAGAATACAAAAGAATCTGGAAAAAATATCTTTTCTCCGAAAAAAAAAGAGCATTTAGAATCGAAAATATTGATTGCATTTGGTTTACCTGTAATTGATAAACCTCAGATAGTTTTAAAAGAAGAAAAACATAAATACAAGACAATTGAGGAAAGGTTTTGATATTCTTCAGTTAGTGAATAGTCTAAAGGGAATTTTAGTGGTGTTCTTTCGTCCTGTATCTTTCAATCACGACAGGCGCTGCTTCAAGGATTTATCTTTAAAAAATTTTTAGACCATTCATTGCCAAAAAAGCAGAAGAATGAGAAAGAATTAGTAAAAAGAAAACACAAAATTTCAAAAATAGGAGAATTTACATTATGTATTGAACTTTTTTCATTTCCAGAAACTATATTTTATTTAGTAAAATATATTACAGAAACAAACGATCATTTATTACTTTCAAAAGATTCAAAATGCCATGAAGATTCAGATATGTTATTTTCTGAAAAAGATATTACAAACACATTTACTAGTACTATCAATAATAACTTTGATTTTATGAAATTTGAAAAAGAATTATTTGTTCCTCCATTGAACTCAAATAATGATATAAAAAATGAAACACATAAACATTCTTTGTTATTCTCAAAGGTAAATTATATAGAGTTTTTTGAAAACTACTTTTTAAAAATGCTTGAAGACGATCCTCTTAAGGTAGAAAAAACTAATAAAGCCATAGAACGACTAAAAATAATTTCATTGAACCCAGAGTTCAGGGAAATATTAAACTTAATTATATCTGAACAAGCAACATCAGAACAAAAAACTATATTTAATTTATATATAATGTCTTCAGAATCATCTAAAATATCATTTAACTATAATGAAAAAAAAGAAAAAACATTACATTCATTTTTTTTTCAAAATAATAAAAACTTAAAAAGTGAAAAATGTGATGAAGGAGCAACAAAAATTAAACAAAAAAGAAAATACCAAGAATGTATAGATACTGAAATCGTTTTTGAATTTAAAGAGAACCCAGGAGAAAAGTGGATACTACCTAAGAATATTATAGTAGAAAAACTAGGGACAGATGAACCATTTGAGGTAACTATTAATTCTTCCTTATAATATTATATTTTTTGTAATCTAGATCCTTGCATCATTTATACATATTCAAGACTCTTTATCCCAGTATTTCCAGCCTATTACTTTAAAAATTTCATCCTGTACTTATAAATTGTGGGATTTTATACTGAAATATTCAAATAAAAGAGAAAAAGTATTTGAAACTATGTCAAAAATTCTATTAGGAAAACGCTCAGAAAAATTATATTTTCAACATCAGATTTTAATTACAGATACAAAAACATTCAAAAATGAACAGGAAGGAAAAATAAATATAATTTCTCCACAAAGTAAAAAATCAATACTCTCTCAAAAAAAAAAAATAGTAAATATCATTATTTTATCTTAAATAACTCACCAACTTTAACATAGATAAATAAAAATAGTGCTATCTTGCCCTCTAGCACTGACAATAAATTAATTTCACAATCAACTCCAAAAAAAATTAAGACTAAAAAATATTTAACTTTACCTAAAGATTGGCATTGTAATATATGTAATGTTACTGAAACTCCTTTAAAACGTCGAGGTCCAGATGGCCCTGGAACATGTAAGTTTATATTTAGTATTGTTTATCTTTTTAATTTATAATTTAGTATGTAATGCATGTGGTGTAAGAATATTATATATTTTATAATATAATAACAATGTAATAGGTAAAATGGAAAGGAGGAAAAGGTACATTAGTTCCTAAAGACCGCAGAAAGATTACTGAAACTGATTTAAGTGATAAAAATTAAAATTAAATAATAATTTTTTCTTTAAAAAATAAAATCAATAAGATTTTCAAAAAATAAATAACAAACCTTTTATCCTTTATAAAAAATCTAAATTCATTCAAACATAGTACTTTATATTAATCAGAATAGTATACAGAATATAATTCTCTTGATAATTTTACAACTAGTTTTTAAAAAAATCAAAATTTTAGAAATAATTTAAACATGCTGTTTTTATATACAATTTTATTAGATAAAACCTCTAAATTTAAAACCTTAGTAGTAAAATATTCAAAAAACAGTGTATGATTAAACTTTTTTAAACCAAAAATAGAAACTCTTTGTACTATGTTATCCGGGATTCTTTAGCTTTTAAATCGGAGTAAATGAATATTTACTATAATCTAATGTTAGGGAATTAAAAAAAGCCTAATATAACAACCTTATTCCAAAATTTCCTTGTCCATCTCTAATAACCATACCCTTAATAACGCCTAATACATGATGAGGTTCTGGCATTTCGATTCTTGCACCTTCCATTGGTCCAAGCATAAAATCTGAAGGAAGAGGCAAATGTTGATGTCTTCCTTGTTGTTCTGAAGTAAACAAAACATTTTCTTGAGAATTTTGAAATTGGTGAGTAGTAGAATGCTCTGTTTCTGAATAATTATGAAGTTTTTGATATTGATTATTTATTAATGGTGCCCCATATTGAAGATTTTGAGGAGGCAAATATGTATAGTATGCATTATTATATTGCATTGGATAAGATGGCGTATTATGAGATTGTTGAACATGACTATAATCTGTACAGATATTAAAAAGTACTTTTATAATTACTATTTCTAACCTGTGTAATTCTGTGGCATATAATTATTATATGGAAGTGCAGAGTGTTGAAAATTATGGTGAGCATATCCGGGTAAAAAATTAGAAACATTATTATAAGAATTCTCAGCTGACTTATCAACAGCTAAACCTCCTTTGTTGCGATAGTTATGTTCCATTGACATATTGCGAAACTTTTTTCGTGCTTCTTGTCGTCCTCGTCCTCGTCGAGAATCCCCATAATGATTTAACAGAGAATTATCTGTATATTGCAAATGCTTTTTATCTCTATGACGGGAACGCTGATTACGAGACATATTACGTTTTTGTTCCATATTTTTAGGTTCTCGAGGTGGATTCTTTAGAAGACGCTTTACTTCATTTTTTGGACGATTTGGTGTTGTAAGCTCATACCAAATTTTCAGAGATTTATTTATACCTAAATTCTTGCTCAGAAAAAAAAACAAATAAAAAGCATATTACTATCTTGATTCAATTCATCAGTAATATCTTTAGATTTTTTACTATTCTCATAATATAATTCATCAATAGCATCAGAAAAAGATTTTATAACAGCATCACCCTCATCAAAACGAAGACTTATTATCTTCCAATAGTTAGAAAATCAATTAATATTTGTATTTTTAACCTCAGAGTCCAAATTAATATCTTCAAATGTAGAAGTTTTATCCTGAAATAAAATATAAAAATAAAAAAACAAAAATAAAAGCAATTACCTGAGAAAATATTGCAGCTTTTGCATTTTCAAGAACATCATAACTACAAAATAATTTTAAATCATCTTTAAGATTATTTAAATCAGAAATAAGTTGTCTCTGACATGATTCAGATTTCTTTGAAAAACAAGAAGTAATATACTAATTCAAATAATAAGTACAAAATATTCTTATAACATAAAATATACCTGTCGAGAACATTCTTGAATCAAAATATGAAGAGGATTATTCAGCCTGCGTGGTTTTTTTGGAAGAGAAGATGAATCTGCTTCTTCTTGATTAACTTCTCCAAAAGATGGAGCTTTATCGGCCCATTTAAATATTTTCTGTTCTTCGTCTTGAGAAATAATAGTAGTATCACTTGGAGCCAAATAATCAGTGTTTACGTGAAAATTAGAACTTTGTTTTTCAATATTACTCATTATTATTTTTTTTAACTATTCTTTAAAGAAAATCATAAGAATTTGAATAAAGCTTAGAAGTTTTTTCTTAAAATACTTAGATTTTTTGACATCGTAGTCTGATAACGGCAATTTCTCTGAAGATAATATAAAAATAAAAAAAGACAATGACATCAAAGATTGACGCAAGTCAAATAGAAAATTTTGATGATGTAATATAAATTGATACAATTCTCTTTTTTTTTGCAATTCTAACATTTTTTATAGATAGAAAAACAGGTTTAAAATAACATTTCTTAAATCTTATAAAATACTTAAAATATATATCTAGTTTGCTGTTAAAGCAGTACAGCATGCACGTAAAATACGTGTGTCTTTATTTTTCTTTTTAAAATGTTTTAGAAGTCTATTGGAATTTACTAACACAGACAAAAGGCAGTACTTTGCGTCTTACTAAGTTTTTTACTTATAATATATATATAATACTAACAAGTAAAGGATTGATGATGAAATATATAACCATTTCGTTAGCACTTTTCCAGAATACTCTTCTTCTGAATCAGTTTCTTTGATTGATGAAGATAAAATGAAATCTCCTGAGGGTAAAACAAAATGGCGTGAATTCATGATGGCCTATGAAAATAAGGTTGAAATGTATACTATTTTATTTAGAAAAAAACCAATAATGTAATTTAGATTGATAATTTTAACTTTGGAACATTATTAAGAACAGATTCTCATAAAGAATACGAAGAAAAAACTACTATTTTTGGTAATAATATATACTATTGTTTTTTGAAACTAATCAAGATTTTCTAGTCCCTAGGATACAGGTAATTATATTTTTCTAAATTTCTGGATTTTAAAATTTAAAGTTTTATACAATCGAAATTGCACGTAATCGACACGGACTTAATGATTGGATTTATGAAATACATAAATCTGGCTAAAACAAATATAAACTGGTATTTTTATGTATTTTTAGTAATTTTTTAAATGACAATTATCTTTAAATTTTCTTATATATCTCTCGAGTAGAGACTATACTCGATCAAGTTTAGAGAAGCCACAGATAACAATCTAACATTTAAAATAAATAAAAACATAGTTATGATTTAAAATATTAAATATTTTCTTCAAAAAAACATTATAATATATTTTTATGGAAAAAGTTGAAATATCATTTGATTTGAAGGAATCTAACTTAAAGAAATCTACAGAGATAGTTAATAAAAAAAAAATAAAAAATGGAGTATCTTTTTTAAATCTTTTTGATTTTACAAAAAAAAGAGATACATTTTTACTTTTTTTCGCATGTATTATATCATTTATCAATGGACTATTTGCTCCGTGTATGACATTTCTTTTAGGAAGACTTTTTCATGTTTTTTCTTTAATATCATTAAAAGAAATTACAGAAAAAGAATTCAGAAATCAAGTAAACCATTATATACTTTTATTTGCAATTCTGGCAGTTGTTTCTTTTATTGGTGGGTGGTTGTTTCAAACATTATGGTACATTTTCGCTGAAATTCAGATCATACGCGTTAATAAACAACTATTCCATAACTTTGCATCTAAAGAAATTAAATGGTATGATCTTCGTTATGGGGGAATTGCAGGTATTATTAACCGTTGTGAGAGGTTTATAATACTTTTTAAATAATATCTCTTGTTAATTTTTTTAGGAATATTGGAAATTTTCATTATACACTTTCAAATACACTAGGAAAAATTTTGTCGTCTATTATTACATTCTCTGTTTCATTATTTCTTGCTTTTTGGTATTCTTGGAAATTAACATTTGTAATTTTAGTTTCTCTTCCTATTATTATTTTAATTGCAGGTATTACATCTTATTTCATTCAGCCATATATCTCTCGTGAAAAAGAAACTATATCTCAAGCAGCAGCGCTTGTTGATCAAGCAGTTGTAAATATACCTATCGTTAAAATATTTAATGGTCAATATTATGAATCTCAGAAATTCAACAAATGTATATTAAAATCAAGTCATATTGTATATTGCTGGAAAAGAATCTATGCTTTACAACAAAGTCTTGTTAGGTTTTTTATTTTAGCTATGTTTGTACAAGGGTTTTGGTATGGTTCGTATTTAATTATTAAAAAAGAAATATCTACTGGAAATGTATTGACCGTTTTTTGGGCATGTCTTATGGTATCTTTTTCAATACAGACGATTGTTCAACATTTAGTTTTTATTGATCAAGGAAAAATTTCAAGTGCTGATTTACAAAACTTGTTTAAAGATGAAAAAACACAAAAAAAAGACAACAAGCTATCTAGTCATTTTTCCCCAGAAAAATGCGATGGAAACATAACATATGATTCAGTAAGCATATATATATATATTTTTAAAAATTCTAAAAAAATTAGGTTTCATTTGCTTATCCATCAAGACCTGAAAAAATAATATTAAAAAATGTTTCTTTGTTTTTTCCTGCTGGGAAAACTACGTTTGTTGTTGGCGCTAGCGGATCAGGAAAAAGCACTCTTGCAGCTTTACTAATTAGAATATATGAAATAAATAACGGCTCTATTTATATAGACAACAAAAATATTGAATTATTAGATATAAATTGGATACGAAATAATGTAACTTTAGTACAACAACCAGTAATTTTTAATGAGAGTTTGAAATTAAATATAACCATTGGCAAATCTTCTCCTACTTCAGTAGATATTTCTGAAATTAAAAATGCTTCTAGAATGGCTATGTTAGAAGAGATAATCTTTGAACTTTCTGATGGATATGACACTAAACTTGGAACAAATGGTTTATCATTAAGTAGTGGACAAATGCAGCGTGTAGCAATGGCTCGCGCAAGATTAAGAGATACTTCTATTTTGATTCTTGGTAGGATATCATTTTATTTTTATTGTTACTTATATGATAAGATGAGTCAACTAGTTCTCTTGATTATATTAATCGTTCTCTAATCTATGATGCTGTAAAATTTTGGCGCAAGAACAAAACAACTATTATTATTACTCATGATATAAGTCAAATAGAAGATTCAGATTACGTATATGTTATAGATGATGGATCTTTAGTCCAAAAGGGACTTAAAAAGACTCTTTTAGAAGACAAGAATGGATTATTTTTTAATATTCATCTAGAAAATGAAAAAACTAAAAATTCGCTTTCTTCTCAAAAAAAAGAAGATATTTCTTCTAAAAACGAATCAAATAATTCTTTAGTTGAGTCTTCTTTTAACAATAAACCACATATAAAATCAGCTGCTTTTAATTTTTTAAAAACAAATCTAAGTATCGAAACACTTTTATTAAATTCTGCAAATGTTATAGTCGAAAATCGTAAAAACACTACTAATATTCGAACTTTACTTTCTTCAAATATGAACCATTCAAAAATTTCAAAAAAATTTAATTTTCGAAAAAAATATTTCCTGTTAAATATATCATTATGGAATTTATTAAGAAACAATTGGAAATATGTTAATAAAAAGATCTTTCTTGTCCTAGGATTATTTTTTTGTTTGGGAAATGGTATAGCTACTCCTCTTTTTTCATATGCATTATCTAAACTCCTTGCATTATTTTTTTCTCCAAAAAATGCATCTGAAATTACAAAAAAATCATTAAAATCATCATTATTTGTTCTAGGTGTTTCATTTCTTGATTCATTAACACTCTATTTAAAAATATTTTTTTTTCAACTTTCTTCTGATTATATGGTAACTAATATTCGCTCAAAATTATATAAAAATGTCTTGTTCCAAGATATGTTTTACTTTTCTGAAAAAGAATGCTCTAGTAAAAACATTACAAGAATCATAATTAATGAAACTGAATTAATAAGATCCATTTTTGAAGGAATAGCAGGAAACATCTTAATTGCTATTGTTATGGCATCTTTAGGAATTATATGGTCATTTTTTATTGCATGGAAGTTAACTATTATAACAGTTGGTATGTTACCATTCTTGTATATTTCAATTCAATATTATTCTTATATAAATAATATATGGGAACAAAAATATAAAGAAGAAAATATTAATGCTTCATCTATATTATATGAGGTACTTTCTTATGCTAATTCTTAATTTATTTACATAATTGTAGTTTACAGAGAATACATTTACGATTAAAGCTTTATTACTTAATGATTTTTTTGAACAGAAATACATGTTATCAATAAAAAAAGTTTTTATGAAAGGAATTAGAAGAGCTATTTATATTGGGTTTGGTTATGGATTCATGGAGTGTAGTATATTTTCTTTTAAAAGTTCAAACATTACTTTTCATAATTTAATATCTAACATTACTAGCATTATTATTTTTCTATGGTTCAAAATTTATTTTGAAAAAAATATATACACCGATTGACATTTTAACAGTATTTTCTTTAATCATATTTTCAATTATTACTGCATCTCAATTTTTGTCAATGAGTAAGTCATAAAATTCTAATTTTAGTTTATATTAATTATTAAAGTTCCTCATTATAATAAAATTAAACAAGCCTCTGACGATATTAATTCTTTATTTAATGTATCAGGAAAAACTACTGAAAATGAGGGATCATTAACTGTTCCTTTAAATGGAGAGATTATTTTCAAAAACGTAACATTTTCTTATCCTGGACATTGTAATGAAGTATTACAAAATATAGATTTGAAAATAGAAAATTACGAAAAAATCGTATTAACAGGGTAAATATTTCATATAGATAATATAAACTTTTTAAATGAAACCAGTTTATCTGGATCTGGAAAGTCTACAATGATTTCATTAATTCAAAAATTATATCAAGTCCAAAAAGGTATTATCACGATAAATGGATACAATATATCGTCTATTGAGACTAAATGGCTAAGAAATCATATTGCAGTCGTAAGGCAAACTCCAATGTTATTTAATATGACTATTGAGCAAAATATTGCATATGGTTTAGGTAATAATTAAAATATTTTAGTTTATATAAATAACAAAAATAGATTCATTTAATAGATCACATGTTCAAAAAGCAGCTCAGAAAGCAAATATACATGATTTTATCATGAAATTAACTGATGGATATGATACAATGTTAGGTGATTATGGAAAAGGGTTATCTACTGGACAAGCTCAACGGATTTCTCTTGCCAGAGCATTTATTAGAAATCCAAAAATTCTCATTTTAGATGAATGTACAAGTGCTTTAGATCCACTTTGTGCTTTGTCTATTCAAGAAATTATAAAAAATATTACTAATATTACTGTTATTATTATAACACATTCTAAAGAGATGATGAAACTAGCAGATAGAATTATATTATTAAAAAATGGGCAAATTATTGAAACTGGTACTTATGATGAGCTAATAGATTTAAAAAAAAATTTCTGGACATTAATACAAAAAGGAGAATGGACATAATTATTATGTATATTCATGTAAATTTAATTCAAAATTCTATATAATTTACTAAAATAAATTATTCATGTATATAGGGTATTTCTTATTATTAATATTTTCTATATACACTTAATTCATGAACAAGCTTCTTGTTTTCCTTTTTCAAATTTTCAATTTCTTTATTCTTAAACCTTAATATCTTTTTAAATTCTTGTTTTTGCAGCATAAACTGCTTTATTAATTCAACATGCAGACATTGAATATCTTGCCGTATTCCTTTTTGTGCCTCATAAAGCATATCTTTAAATGTTAACATATCAGTAGAAAAGTCTTTTTTCAAATCGAATTCTAATAATTCTTTATTTGTTGAAAATGAATTAGAATTCTGAAATTTAGAATTTTCAGATATACTAAGAGTATTTTTTGATGAATCTTTTGTTTCATGAGTTCGAATATCTTCTTTTAATGGAGAACAATTTACAAGTGAACTTTCAATATCAATAATTTGATCGACTCCAAGTTCACACCATATATCAGGAGTATCAGATGTTTTAAATTTCATCAAATATTTTTCAGGAGACTTTTCTGAAATTAATTGATTTTTCTGAAAACTACAAGTATTATTAGGAAGTTTAGGAAAATTAATCTTTTTTTTTGACGTCTTTGGAGTTTCAAATTTAAATGTTGATTGAGCTTCATACGTTTTGTTAGGTGAGAATGTATCATTTTTATTAATATAAGAGGACATGGATAAATCTTTTGTAGGTGTATTTGCTATAAAATTATTTCTAGAAGGATCTTCAAAAGGTATATTTTCTTCAAAAGTTAGGAAAAATAACCAATATATATGTATACCTTTTCCAATAGAAACAGCAGATGAATTATTTTTATCAACATATAATCCTATATAAAAACTTAATACAAAATATACTATCTCAAACAAAATGATTACTTTTTCCAAAATCAGATTGAATTTTATCAATTTTAGTCTTCAAAGGGCTATTTGTGGATAAAAGCAAACCCGAAAATTTATCATCAGTTAAAGATTGTATTTTTTTATCAGAAAAACAACCATGTAAATCTTTAGAAATTAAAAATTTAGAGATATTAGAGTTTGAATTTTCAATAACAATGTCCAAAAAGCTTTCATTAATGGGTATATCACTGACTAACTAAAATTCAAATCAATAAATACAAATAATAAAAAAAATCAACATACTGTTGAAATTTGAAAAACTTTTTCTGAATTAATAGAATATTCAGAAAGTTTTACACCTTCTTGGTTAAAATAGAAACATTTTTCATGCGATGATAAAACAAAAATATTCCACTCATTACAACCCAATTCTTTAATAGATAAAGAATCAACAGAGGTGTTTATAGACCATTTGATTTGAATTTCTTTTTTTTCAAAATCAATGATAGAAAATTGTCCATTTAAATCAACAGCAAGAGCAGATGATTCTTCATTTGGCAAAAATAGCGCACACATAATAGATATGTCTTTTATTCTAAATATAGGATGAATTGGTTTTTTCGTATTATAAAAACCAAGAATTCCATTAGTAAAACAAAGAAGAAAAAAATTTGATTTTTTTGGATGAAAAACAGCATTTTTAACATTTCCAAACGACGTTCCAGGAATTATTTTATCCGTCAAATGAGTAATACAGTCCTGAAGAAAAATAATAGACGGATTTTCAGAGACAGTCAAAATAAACCTAGAATCTTTCGATATCGCCATATATGTTATTGGAGAAGGATGTCTCTAAACAATATCAATTTTCTCTAAAAATATGTATCACATACTTTCTGAGTCGACAAAGTAATAATCTTTTCACTTATAATATGATAACTCATAATTGCAGAAAGTTTTTCCTTGATAAAAAAGATTTCATCTGAATTGCCTCCAAAAACAAGATGTTTAACATCCTCAAAAAATTAATTTGTTTATACATAAAAATATTTATACTTTTGTTCCTGGAATATGTAGCAGTTTTCCTGGATTTTTTAAATCATACAAGTAAATAAAACCCGCTGCAATTGCAATAAATCTTCCTTTTTTAAAGTAAATTTTATACTGAATATCAAATATAAAGGAACAAAACCATCTAAAGAATGTGATACTGCTGAAACACAAGGAACTGTAATTTTAAGACGTATTTCTGGATTAAAAAAATGATTTAATAATGCATCTTTAGAACGAGAAAACTCCAAAATTTCTACATGAGATTCTGAAAATAAAAGAATCCTATGTTTCATGCTTAATTAATGTGCAAAATTTACACAATTTACACAAAATTTTTTAATAAATAGTTAGTTCTTTCTATATTTTATTCGATTTAATAAAATGATCAAAACATTGATATCAAAAATCTCGATATTAACGTAAAAAATGGGGAAAGAAAAAAACAAGAAATCAGAGAAAAAAAAAGATAAAACAGACTCATCAGGATCAGTCCATATAAAAGGAGTAAATTTCTATCAGTAATTTTTTTGAATGGTCTTTTTTTGATAAAATTTGACAGAGTTTTAGTGATGCACAGAAAGTTAAACGTATCAAGCTTTTGAAAAGTGGAAAACCAGTGCGAAACAGGACAGGAAAGATCATTAAACACGCAGATTTTCAGTCTAAAGATGTACCTAATGCACGAGTTCAGCCGGATAGGCGCTGGTTTAATAGTACTCGTGTAATCTCTCAAAATGCGTTGGATTTATTTCGTCAATCTTTTTCACAAAAATTGAATGATCCTTACCAAGTTTTACTTAAGCAAAAGAAGCTGCCTGTATCCCTTCTTTCTGAACCTGCAAAGGTTTTGTTTTGCAAAAACTCTGTTTGATATTGATCGGATTAGACATCTAAAACTCATATTATTGATATGGAGCCATTTGATGATACTTTTGGTCCAAAAGCAAAAAGAAAACGTTCAAAGCTTTCAGTTTTTTCTATAGAAAATCTTGCGGAATCAGCTTCTCAATCTTATGAAGATTTTATTAAAAAAGAATCATCTGAGCCCAAAATCTTTGATAATTATATGCAAGAACCACATGATGCTGTTTTTTCAAAAGGAAAATCTAAAAGAATATGGAACGAACTTTATAAAGTACTACAGAAAACTATTTATTGTTATAATAATCGTTACAGGTAATCGACTCATCTGATGTAGTAGTACAATTATTAGATGCCCGTAATCCATTAGGTACTAGATGTAAGCATGTTGAGCAATATCTTCGAAAAGAAAAACCTCATAAGCATATGATTTTCCTTCTAAACAAATGTGATTTAATTCCAACTTGGTGTACGGTAAGTAAACCATGTTCTTTACTTATAATTATCTACCCACTGTTAAGTCAAGAAGTTTTTAAGAAATATGTTATATATTTCTATTGATTGACTTCTGTTACAACTTTGGGAAAAAAATATTGATTTATTTTAGTATTTTTTGAAATAAAAAAATTCTAATGTAAATCGATTGTGTTTTTTTGAGTTGAGAGCTGAATTAGTTTTTGAACAAACATTTCTTCTCTCTTAGTTAGAAAACATATATGATTTATATATACTACATGCGAGTATTTGCTAATAACATAATTAGAGGCAATGGATTAAACAATTGTCGAAAGAATATCCTACTTTAGCATTTCATGCATCAATAAACAACCCATTTGGAAAAGGGAGTCTTATTCAGTTGTTACGTCAATTTTCTGCATTGCATTCTGATAAACGCCAAATCTCAGTAGGATTTATTGGTTATCCTAACACAGGAAAATCTTCTGTAATAAATACTTTGAAATCTAAAGCATAACCTTCATTTTTCTTTAAAAATATTTCTTAATGGTATTTAGAAAGTCTGTAATGTTGCTCCTATTCCTGGAGAAACTAAAGTATGGCAATATATTCGTATGACTTCCAAAATATTTATGATTGATTGTCCTGGTATTGTACCACCAAGTGATAATGATAGTGAAACAGAAATTATAATGAAAGGAGCCTTTCGAGTGGAAAAAATCTCAAATCCAGAACAACATATTTATGCTATTTTAGATCGATGCGAAACTAAACATCTTGAAAGAACTTATGAAATTTCAGGGTGGGAAAACGATTCTACAAAATTCTTAGAACTATTAGCCCGAAAAACTGGAAAGCTGCTTAAAGGTGGAGAAGCTGATGAATCAAGTGTTGCAAAAATGGTTTACTTAAAATAATTTGCTTATTTTATATTAATTACGATTAGGTGATTAATGATTTTATACGGGGAAAAGTAATTTTGATATTATTATAAATAATTACTAATTTTCTTAGATTCCATGGTTTATGGCGCCTATTGAAGATAATCCAGCAATTACTAAATCACCCAATATGTTAATTGAAAATGAGCTACCAGTTATAGAAGAACTCAATAATACATCTATTGACGGAAAAATTATTTAATACATTTATTAGTTTCTAATCTTTATAAAAATAACAATTTAAATATTTAAATATGAGAAATAGAAAAATGTTGATATCTGTTATATGTAATATTATCAAATAATTAAATAGTCTTTTGAATATTATATGTAGTCTTAATTGTTCGAAGTTACTTCTATACATCTAGGGCACAAATCAAAATCTATGTTTGCTGTATACATCCAACAACGTAAACATTTTTTTTTTTCTGAAGGCTGGGCTGTTATATGACAAATACTTCCAAAAAGTTTTATTTTTTCATAATCACTCCATTTTTGATTTGAAAAATTCGAATCCATGGGAATTATTGAAACATCGGATACAATAAGCAGTTCAGGTAATTCATGTTCTTTAAAGTATTAAAATTAATTATATAGTTATGGGGGTAAAACCTATTTTTTCAAAAAAATGGAATGCCTCTGTATTTAAAGGCACTTTTATGATTATTATAGATTCCAAAGAACTTTTCATATGTCTTTAAAAGATTAATCACTAATATTAAATATAGATTTTATACTTATTTTTTCTAGCTTTTTCTAAAACAAGATTACATGCAGACCTAATTATTTCTATGTTTTGAAAATCTTTTTGCAACTCTAAATTCAACCATTCTTTTCTGCATTTATACCATCCAGAATGAAAAGGTGTTTCTACTTCTCCAACAACATTTTTCCCGGCAAATTTCCATGCTTCTAAAGCAAGTAATGGTATTATAGGTGAAATTATAGATACATAATTTAGAAAAATCTGAGAAAAATTAAAACAAAAGAAGAAAAAAAAATCTCTATACATGAAAAAGAACAGTCTGAGAACCAATCCTACTTTTACTTGTACGATGATCAGCATAAAGTCTATCTTTTATTATACTGAAATAAAAAGATGAAAGTTGATTGTTTGTATAATTGGCTATAGTATGAACAACTAAAAATAAATAAATTATTCAAATACTTGAAAATCTAATACCTTGAACAAATAAAAATTTATCATATAATTCTCTAACTTTAAAATTAAATTCATAGAGTTGAAGCAATGCATATTGATCAATCTAACAATTAAATAAATTATATAATAATAAACATGTATACCTTTTTCAAATCCTTATATTCTAATTCATTACCAGACCAATCATAAAGATTTCCTAAAAGAAATCTCAAAGTCGCACGAATTTTTCTTTGCATTTCAGCTACATTTTTTAAAACCGTAGAACTAATATTAATATCATTTGTAAAATCGCTTCCTGTAACCCATAATCTTAAAACATCAATACCATAAGCTGGATCTTTTTCAATATCCTTCCCACCAAAAATAATATCTTTAGGGTTCATAACATTTCCAATAGATTTTGACATCTTTTGATTATATTTATCAAGAATATGTCCATGTGTTAAAACAATTTTATATGGTGCAATATTTGAATTATGTTGAAATGAAATAAATGTAAACAAAAGAGACTGAAACCATCCCCTATGTTGATCAGATCCTTCGATAACAAGATCTATAGGCGGATTATTGCTCATCCTGATTCTTCTTTACAAGTGATTCTTATAGATTATTTAACTTACAAAATACCATGACTTTCATTAGAAATAACATTCCACGATACTCCACTATCAAACCAAACATCCATAGTTTCCCTTCCCTTTTTGTATTTTACATCACTTTTTCTATATTTTGGAGCAATCCAGATATCTGAATCAGAATTTTCCCACCAAGCATCCATACCATATTTCTTAATTGTTCCTATAATATGTTGTATATTTTCCACTATTAATAACGGTTCACCAGTTTCTAAATTATATAATACAGGAATAGGAACACCCCACGCTCTTTGCCGAGATATGCACCATTCTGACCTTGATTGAATAAAAGAAACAAGACGAGCTCTTCCTAAATTCTATTAGCCAAAGATTATAATGATAACCACTAACCGGATTCTGGAATCATCTTAACATTTTGGAGAGCTTTAATACAATGATACTTAATTCTTTCAAGATCTATAAACCATTGAGCAGTTGCCCTTAGAATAACAGGCTCTTTTGTCCTCCAATCACATGGATATCTATGAACATAATTTTCAGAATGAACAAGCATTTCACGAGTATTAAGTAACTCAATCACTTTTTTGTTCCCTTCTCCTAGCACAAATAATGATTCTAATTCTCCATTAAGTACGTCTTTTGTAAAACAACCGTAATCATCAACAGGTGAAAAAATATCAATGTTATGCTGCATACAAACTTTATAATCGTCTATACCATGCCCAGGTGCAGCGTGAACCAATCCTGTCCCTGATTCCGAAGTAACATATGCTGCATGATAAAATGGCAAGATTTGATCATTTTTATCAAGAGGATTATAATATGTTGTTTTTAATAACATTTTTCCGAAAAAATTTAAAGATATTTGAGATATATTTAAAGACTTTGGTAAATGATCAATTCGATTATGTGCAACAATCAGACTTCCATGTTGCGCTGTATCAACGATAACATATTCCATGTCTTCATGAATAAATATAGCCTAAATAAATTAATATGTATTACTTAAAACTATTTTATAAAACCCTATTAGCAGGCAACGTCCATGGGGTTGTTGTCCAAATTAAAGCATATATTTGCTTGTAATTTTTTGCATTTATCATTGTAGATAAGTTACCTAATGTCTAAATATAAAATAAAGGAACAAACTAAATTACCTAAATCAACTAAAGGAAATTTAGCATAAACTGCACTGCTTATATAGTTATCTTTGTACACCAATTCTGATTCTGCCAAAGCTGTTTTTGAAGAAGGACTCCAATACACTGGTTTACAACTTCTATAAATTAAACCTTGAATATCTTTAAAAAATATCTATAAAAATAAATCCACACACCTTTTTCCACCATATTTTTAAAAACTTCAAGTTGAAAAATAGAATACGATAAATCTTTCCAGATTAAACTTATTCAAAACATGTATACCCTACGAACCCATTGTTTGATAGCTTTTATCCCAATCCCCTATAACCCCAAGATCTTTAAATCCCTTTTTTTGGCATTTTATTATTTCTGAAACATATTTTCTTGCTTCTTGGCGCGTTTTCTCTGGAAATTCATATGATCTCTCCCAATCATGTTTCTCTATAATTTTAGTCTCAATGGGCAACCCATGACAATCCCATCCAGGAGTATATAACACACGTTGTCCATTCATAATATTTATCCGTAATATCACATCTTTAAGAATCTTATTAAACGCATGTCCTTTGCAATTCATCAAACTCATTTTCCCCTACCATTCTTTCTACAAATATACCTATATGTAACGATCCATTTGCATAAGGAGGCCCATCATGAAGAACAAATGTATTTTCATACGGTAAGTGCTTTTTCTACGCCATTTAACTACTACAAACACTAAAGTAACAGCTACCTGCCATTCATAAAGATTTTGTGTAGATAATGCAAAAATCTCTGGATCAATTGAATTTTTAGGTAACCATAAAGGAAACTGAGTTTGAGGAAGACATAATGTTTTTGAATATATACTGTTAGGTTTTTGTTTTAATGTTGTATATGATTGACAAAAAGGCTTTAAATTTCTATAAATCCCTTTAAATCTACAATTTAAATACTAAAAAATATTAATTTGTGTTTAATTGTGTTTAATCTTTCAAACGCATAAAAAACAAAGACAAGACATTTAAAGATATAGAAAACCAAATAAACCTTTGATTCTGTACGTATATATTTAAATTTTAAATAAATATAACTTAATTCTAGCACATAATAATGTTATTTATATGTTATTTAAGCTCCATTGATTTCTGATGTTTAAGCTATAAACAAATGACTTTGCTAATATCACTGAATTATATTCTTAGGGTTTTTAAAAAATGGACGAATGGAGATTCGAACTCCAGACTTCTCGCATGCGAAGCGAGCACTCTACCAACTGAGTTATACGCCCTTGTATGCCCGAGCGACGCTAAAAAGATATTTAAATAAAGGTGGATAAAATAGATAAAAAGAAAATGCACAATAAGTAATATGTATAATCTATGATAAAAAAGTATATACTATTGTTATGTATTTATAAATGCCTATTATATATTCATAATAAACTTTTCGCGTGTTTTGAATATAGTATTCTGTAAACGTAGAAGAATAGACTCAAGTTTTAGTAAAGATTGATGAGTCATTTGGGGAATTGTATGTTCCATTTGAGGCAGCAGCTGTTCCAGATGAATAAATAAATCGGTACTTTTAGACTGTATAGTGGGAGTAGTGGAGAAAGATGCATCTATATAACTAGAATGGCAATTTTTTGTGTATGAGTGAGTTTCCAGGGATCCAGAGAGAGTTTTTCTATGGTTATCAGTAGATCGTCTTGGTCGTAATCTTTTTAACAAGGGAGAATCATCCAAAAGAGAATCTAATTCATTAATACTAAATATCTTTTTTTTTTAAGCAAATTACCATCAACTGGTTCAGAATCATGCTTTCTTTTTCCAAGAGAAATAATTTTTTCACTTTTAGTAATACTATTTTCAAGTGTTTTGTTATTTTTGAGTTTGGTATTTTTTGGAGTATCTTTTTTCATAGAAGACAAAAAATTGTTATTTTTATTCTCTAATGTTAATTTTTCAGAAGTTCCGGTCTTTAGAGGATCCATTTCTTGTATATTATTATCATGTGAATAACTTTTGGATATTTTATTTTCTTCTTTACGAGTATTTTTCATAAAATCAGAGTTCAATATATCCTGAGAAGCCTTTTTTTGTACAGATTGTGCTAACTTTGCTGACATTCTTCTAGTCATCATTGAAGGTTCAATTGGCGTTGTTATTTTTTTGTTATGTGTTTTTATTAATGATGATGGCATATTAGTTTCATGTGACGTTTGGTTAGTGGTATTTTGTATAACTTCAAGCTTATTACTTGAAGTCGATGGAAATTCCTGATACTCAATATTCTCATTATCAGATGACAGAATAGGATCTAAAGGAATACATAATGTTGAAGGATTATCCTATAAAAAGTAAAAACAAAATTTAAAAAAATTATAGAATTATTTTTACGTTATCTAAAGAAATAGGAAATGAAGGTAACAGAATTTTAAGTGTTTTAGAAAGAAATTCCATAACTTTAACAATTTCGGGAGGATAATCTAACATAGTTTGTTCTCCAAAAGTTTTATTCCACATTTCAACAGTAGAAAGAACTACTGAATGATTTTTGCTCCTAAGTCCTGATTCTAAAAGAAGTGATAATGAACATAACAGTGAACTTTCATAAGAATTAAGACTTTCCAATTTTGACAAAACAGAAAACCATAATTCTTTAATCTAAATTTTAAGTTAATTAAAAATATTTATTATTAAAATACTACTATATTAAGTATTGCTTTAGAGCATTTTTTTATTATTTCCTTTTCATCTAATATCCATAGCGAGAGTCCCCCTTGTATACATTGTAAACTTTGAGTAATTTCATAAATAGGGATTATTTTTATATAGTTAGAAACACCTTGAATAAAAGAAATAATAGATTTATCAGGATTATGCTTATAAGAAAGTGCCAAAAGATTGCTTATTAACATATTGAAATTTTCATAAGATCTAAAAAGCTTAAAACAAGTCAATTATTAAAAATATATTTACATTGTTTTTTTTGGAATTTTTGTAGCTTTTAAATTTGGCTCAGATAAATTCATTGTTGAATTGTTTAAAGGGAACTTAACTTTTTTTGTTATAACTGTACAAATATTATAAATATTTCTAAAAATATTAATTAAATTACTAAAATTTTAAAAAATACTTATTAACTTCAGGAGATTCCTGAAGAAGAGATTCAGCTAGAGGCTCAATAATTTTATAACCAGCACCGGTTATTCCTATAATAGCTTCAAATTTTTGATAAAACACATCAAAGAGCATTTCCCAGTTTAAAAGACAATCTACTTCTCTATTTTTTGAAATTCTAAATTAGACAAATATTTTTATTTTAAAAAAAACTAACCGATGCCCCCATTTTAGTATTTTAAATATACCATTTCTTTGCTTAATAGTATCTTCTATATCAATAGATGATACATGCAAAGATCGATTAGATTCAAAAAAAAATTTTTTAACAGCTTCTGAAAACAATTTCCATATTTGTATTTGAAGATTATGATCTTTAGTACAACCAAAAACAGATAAACATTCAACTAATAAATCAATCTTATCGGAATCCTTTGGCTGTAACAAACCAATATTAGAAATAATATCAAATATAGCCTTAAAATATGTTTCATTTATTGATGCACGAGGAAACGGGTTGAAAAAAAGTCTAAAAATAAAAGCAATAGGAGTATAAAGGTTTTGTTGGCAAGATAAATTTCTAGAACCGGTTGCCTGTGCTAAGATTAGATCTTCATTTTCTATAATACATGATTTATTCATAAAATACATATAGCTTATTATTTCAAACGATATAGAAACAAGCTGTGAAAATAAATTGACATGCTCATTTAAATCATTTTCTAAAAATTTTAATTAAATAAAATAATAAAATAGATATTACCTGTTTTTTTTATAAATAAATTTTGATTAGGAGATAAAAACCAAAAAGACTTCAATAATCCACAAATTTTTGTAACTGCATCCATTGCTTCAAAAGTTATTTTTATTTCTTTATTACCTGCAAAATTAACCGATTTATTAAAATTTCTCCAAACTGATAATTTAAAATCTGTTGGCAACACAGTAGATATTAAAATTATTTCAATAGCTGATCTTATAATAGAGATGTTATTTCTTATCCATTTAGGTTCTATTCTTGGGATTTCTGATGGTTCTATAGACAAATTATCTGCAAGACGGTCATCTTTCCATGATTTAACTTTTTCCACATCAAACAAAGATGTCATTATTTCACATCCATTAAACGCGTCATTTTTATTAGATTCCATCATTTTTTCGAATAGGGGAAAGATAACATTTTCCCACATAATCGTTATATCTTTCATTGAAACCCCAGGACGTAAAATAGAATATAATAATGCACATACTGTCTTTATTGCAATTTTTTTTACCGGAGAATATGCAGCAGATTTTGTACTTAAAACTAATTGCATTGGTTGAGATAATAAAAAAAGTCTTTTTAGTGGAATAGATTGAACCTTAGGTGATAAAGTAAAAATATATATAAAACGTACCCAAGCTGTTTGAGCAGCTATCTTTGTTGAGATATCATTGTGATTAAAACATAACTTAAAATATTACAATAATAATACAACTTTAGACTAACTTACTTGAATAATTTTCAACCATATATTCAATTTGTTCCATTTAGGAAATAACGTACCCATAATAGCAACAAGAATACCCCACGATTGTGCTACAAAAACACCATTACCATCTTCATTAATAATTTCTTGAAATCGCGTGGAAAATATATCTACTATTAGTTTTCCTTTGAGTTTTTCTTTCATATTATTTATAACAGCTAAACTGATTCTAGATTCCCCATGCATAGCTTTTTCTATTTCGAAAGCACAGTTCAAAGCTTTTTCCCGCACAGGTCGAGAAATATCTAACAAAGAAGTATGCAAAATTAACACCCATTCTGACGCTCGATGAATAAAAATCTGAGGGCGTTGATTCATGATCCGAATCAAGACAGTCAGTCGCTCTTGAGAAATTGTTATAGAAGGAAGATTTATCTTTAAACATGCAGAAATAATTCTATCAGCTATCTCTGAAGTTATAATAGCTGGCGGTAATTTCTGGATACTTAAAAGCCAAAGATGCATAGTTGCAGATGTCTATAAATATACTTTTAAAAAAAAAGAAAAAGAAAAAATAATAAACCTTAGTAAGAGATGGGCTTTCTAAAACAGAGACAGAATATTCAATAAAGAATTTGGCGTCACTAGGATTAAAAATATCAGAAATCTCCTTCTGAGATAAAAGATAACCCAAAACTTTAAAAGCATTAGAGGCCCTGAAACGATTAGAGCATTTTAAATATAATAAAAATTCTTTATACATTTGATAGTCGCCTATATCTGATGATCGAATCTGAACTGCATCTCTCTTAATACATAGAGCAAGCTCCGGAATATATTGAAATAAAGACTGCTTATCAAGAATTGTCTCATAGGATCGAAGAAAAACAGAAAGCCCAATATATGTCTCAATCTTCTTAACACGCTGATCCCCAGTAAGAATTTTCCTTGCGGATGCAAGAAATTCAGAAAACGTAGTCTTTTGTGGCAATTCTTCTAATGAGCTTAAATATAAGCTTTCTTCAAGTGAATCAAACTGCTTGGACAATGGGGTAGTTTTAAGAATGCTTTTTGGCGGTTTTTTCGTTAATTCTCCAGGCGTTTTTTGAGGTGTTGAATTTGCTCCTTCTTTTATTTCTACAGGACACTTTCATCAATAAAAATGCCATGAAAAAAGACGTATAATCCCGTACCATTCTTAGGAAATGGAGAAAACACTACTCGTTTTTTTCTTGTTGTTCTTTCTTCTTCTTTTTCCTGATCACCTAAACATGGAGTATTTTCTTTATCTGATGGAGTAAATAACATATTTTTTCACTTCAAAAAACTTCTAATAAATATTTTTACTTTTAAGCATGTTTTTTGCGTATTTATTTATCTTTATTTTCTCTTTAATACGTTTTCCTGATAAATCTGCTTTGTCGTGTTGTCAAACTTGATCTCACATACTCTATCATCATTCTGATCACGTGACTTCAACGTCAGTCTATTTTCAAGATATATAATCTGTGTGTTTTCTATACATGTGTGCATTATTATTAGACATTTAACAATATATATATTTGTAGTTCGTCTATTAAATATATTTTCTATGTTTTTTTCCAGAAATTTTGCTTTAATTTTGAGAAAATGTCTTTATATTTTTTCAACAGCTTTTGTGGAAAATCTTCAAGCAAAAATAAAGCAAGAAACATATTAATAAAATCTATGGAACATTTTTCAATAAATACCGGACAAAATAATCTTTTTAAAGCTGTTTTTTCTCGAAAATCTGACATTTCACGACCTAGCCCTAAGAATGCGGCACCAAGCCCTCGATCAGCACAAAAGAAATAGATAGATAGCTTGCAGAAATAGAACTATAGGCTAGAAAGGACATTAAACACATATAGTTAAGTAGGGAATATAGTTACCTATAAGAAAAGCAAGAAAAGAAGTGAAAGTATGGAAAATGTGCGGGTTTCTAGTGTAAAACTTGTACTTCTAGGAGAATCAGCTGTGGGAAAGGTGTGTTTTGTACAAGAAATGCTCTTCTGATACAAGTACAGAGCAGTCTTGTTTTACGTTTTGTTAAAGGGCAATTTGATGGTATGTATAGCTAATTTTTAGCACTATACAACTGTTAGTAGCAGTTGCATAGCAAAAAATCTTTCTGTGTTATGAATTTATCTCTTATAAACATGCTGATAATGATAGATTATCGAGAAAGCACAATTGGGGGTTAGTTTTTCTTATTCAGTGACACGTTAACCCATAGATAGCGGCATTTCTTACACAGACACTATGTCTGGACGAAACAACTGTGATTAAATTTGAAATATGGTTAGTTAACTGCTACAGCTAACAGTTGTTATTTTTTCAGAGAAAACTGTCTAGCTAGTATTGTTGCACAGAAATGCTTATAAGCTTAGGGATACTGCGGGCCAAGAACGATATAGGTCTCTTGCACCGATGTATTGTAAGTATAAGTATACAAGAAGTACAAACACTAAGTTTTAAGATCGGAATGCAGACTGTGCAATTGTTGTATATGATATTACACAGACGGTAAAAAGTAGTAGAGAAATAATAGAGTATTAACAAACAAACAGGAATCACTAGACAAGGCAAAATCATGGGTAAAAGAACTGCATCGACAAGCTTGTGGAAACATTGTAATTGCTTTGGCTGGGAACAAGGCAGATCTTGCATCTCGACGAGCAGTTGAGACGAGCGATGCACAGGCATATGCAGAAGAAGCAGGACTTATTTTTTTTGAAACATCAGCTAAAGATGCACAAAATGTAAATAACTTGTTTCAAGCTATTGGTAAAGTTTTTTTTTTTAAAATTAGTATATTATTTACAATATGCGTTTAGCCAAGAAGCTACCCTTAGAACACACAACCTCAAAGCCACGTAGTTCAGGATTAACACGAGACGTTGATTTATCTCGACGATCATCTATTGCAAATACATCATCGACTTGCAATTGTTAATAAGTTTGAATGTGGGGTAGGACGTTATTTCACTTAAATATTGTGGAATATATATATCATATGTATAAGTATATCGATATTAGTATGATATAGAACTAGTTACCATTTAAATTTTGTTTCTATTTTGTTGCTATTCATTTTTGAATAAATGCTTTTCTTTTTTGATATCATTAATTAATTAGATAGCTGAAGACTTGATTTTGTTTTATGAAAGATAAAAAATAATTACAATAAAATATTACATAGCTCATAAAGTAGTAAATTAAAACAGTCTATAAAAATTAAACAGATAAACAAGATAAAACAGGATATACTTTTGCAATGAATTTGATACATTTAATAATTTTAATATCAAATACGTAAGATTGAAACTTAGTTTTATCAAATAATACTGAAAATATTTGTAACCATTTAACATTCTGAAATAATTGGAAAATAAAAAGATAAATTGATCGGAATGTTAAGTTCTTGTTTTTCATATGAGTATTTTTGTTATAAGAAAATCTAGATTTTGTCTCTTGATGTGCAAGACTTTCTTGAGACGAAACAGGCATAATACGTGATGATTCTTCATACTCATTAAATTGTAATGGCTGATCATTCTCCAAAATGTTTTGAAACTATTATTCATTAACCCATAATTTATATGTTAGCCGTTTAATACACAATATTTTTTTAAAATTCTAATAATAAACTCAACAATTTCTTGAGACGAGGGTCTTTTATGAGGGTCAGGAGATAACATAGTTTCTAAAAACATGCATAAATCTTCAGGCGCATTTGATGTTTTAGGTTGATGTTGGTAACTAAATTTGTTCAAAAAACATTTATTCAATTTTTCACAACTTACCCTTTAAAATTTAATATTTCAGCTCTTAATTTATCATATTCTTCTGCAGAATGTTCATATGGAAGTTTTCCTGTAAAAAGTAACCAATATAAAATTAATCCAAGGGAAAATATATCTGATGCTGGTGTAAAGAATCCTTTTGGTTTTCCATCTTCCCCTGCTTTTAAATTATAAATACTTCATTTGTATTCATAGAAACATTCTTACTAAATAATACTTCTGGAGCAGTATACCTAATATATTTTAAACTATATCATTAAAAAGGTTAAAAATATACTCTAATGTTCCTGTACCACCAGATCGAGACTCTACTTCAGTTGCTACTTGGCTTTCTCCAAAATCACTAACTAAAACTCTTGGAAAAAAACCATTTTTTGTACTTTGAAGTAAGCAATTGCCTGGTTTTAAATCACGACTTAAATATTCTTTAACTTAATTTAAAAAATAATAATAATACGAACTGAATCAAATTATTTTCATGAAGGAAACTCAATCCAGATGCGATATCTTTAATAAAGGAAATAACCATACCCAATGGAAGCACAATATCATTTCCAGATTTTATAAAAAACGGTTTTGCTTTTAATCTTTTCACTTTTTTCTTCAAATCGAAAAATGTTGGTTCATTAGATACGAGTAATTCTTGAACGAAACTTTCTAAATCACCTCTATCACAATACTAACAATACTTCTTATTAAAATTAAATATTAAATATTCTTTTACCTCTTGTAAAATATATAGAACAGGAACAGTTGGACCAAATTTGGTTAGCTTTGAATTCTCAAGCCCTTCAATAAAGCTCCTCAGCCTTACTACTTCTAATATTGTGCTTGTATTTACTTACAAACATGATTATAATTAACTAAATTAGTATGCCGTAGACGTAACAAATGAACTTCTTTCAACAGCTTTGAAATAAAATTAATGTTAAACTTCAAAACATTATAAAATTATCTCATACTTTTTTAAGCCAAGAATGGCTATCTCCAACTGGAATACGCTTAACTGCATCTATAAAACTATTAAAATATCCTTTACTAAGTAACTAATATACAATGGCCAAGTGGAACACCATCCAATACATGTAAAACCTTAAGTACTTCTCCACGAGATCCTTCCATAAAATAAATAACATCCAATATATACAGAAAAGATACCTCTTCCAAGTGATCCTTCTGGAATAAAAAATCTATCAAAAAATAAGATTTAAAATGGAAAAAAACAATATATAACCTTTTAAAATAACCTTGATTAAATGACAATGATGAAAGAGGTGTAGAAGTAGAAGGAGAAAAACCAGGAAGCGAAGAATTCGTCGGTGATGGACTCGACAATGGTTGAGAGATATCTAAAGGCTTTTCTGCATCATCCCAAGTAAAATTTTCAAGAAAACGAAAATATCCAGAATCTATAAACGTTTGAAGCATCAATGATGATTCATCAAATGTAGAATGAAGATCATTGGCCTGAAATGGTCGATAACAAAGCGGACAAAACGTTGTACCTGGTTTTTGAACAAGAGACCCTTTAATATTCCGGTACAAGCTTAGTTGCTTGTTTTCACGATTAAATAAAACAACTGCGCCTGATACAGAGTCTCGGCTAGTTTCTTTGTTAAAATTGTCAATAATATCCAAATCTTACAATACAACGTTCCAATCGTTACATTCAGTAAATGGGATTATTGCTTGATCTTGTGTCATTTAGAAAAAGGAATTATTAATAAAAGAACAAAGTATAATTTCTAACATCGTTAAATAATATTCTATAATCTTTAGAAATATTCAGATACTTTGATCTTTGTTGATTGCAAACAATCGAATAGATCGAGATATATATATAATATAGAAATGAATTAAGTAGAATTGAGTAAAAATAAAAGAATTTAAAGAAAATATAAATAGGAAACAAAAGAATAAAGAGAACTTATTAGAATATTAACAAAAAATCAATTGAAAAAATGAATGCATTTTTAAATAAAACTAATCAGAAAAACGTCCAGACTGGAAAGCATCTTTGATGGGGTTTTTTACAGAAAGAATACCATTTTTTTCAAGCCTAAAGTAGAATAAGATGAGTAATAATTTAAAAGAAAAATAAAAGACCTTTGAAACATAACAAAAAGTCTTTCGGCGTCGCGTTCTTTCTCTTCCTCTGTCATTTCAGGAAGATTAGAAAGTGCCATACGCTCTGCTTCAAGTGTTTGTCCAGTAATGGGGTTGATGCCATCTGTCGCCTGAAAATCCTTACTATCTGGAGAGGTAAAAGGAATACCCTGAGAAACAAGAAAACCAGAGGCATAACCAAAGCCAATACTATTAATAAAAGATGTTTCTGTAAAAACTCAGAAATTTGTATATATTGATTAACATAAAATGTCAATTTACCATCTGAATGATTAAGTTCATATAATAACCATGAAATTGATTCGCGAATCAATGGAAATGGAACAGTCATGATTCTAAGAGCTCTAGATGAAAGGGTATCACCTCTTCCAAGAATTTGTTGACGGTCTCTGAGGAAAAATTAATCAAATGAAAAAAAGATGGAAGGTATTTACTTGCTTTGAGGTAACAAGTGAAAAGCTAACAAAGCTTCAATTGGTTCTGTCGAATGTTTAAGAACCTTTCGAAAAAAAGTTATTAAAGAAAGAATTTTCGTTTCAAGAGCAGAATCAAGATTAACAGAGGAAGATTGATCATTCGAATGAATACCTAAGTCAATGTTTAATAAAAGTGTATCCAGGATTTTAAGAAGTTCTTCAATGCAATACTCTGGGCGATTTTCTGGATTAAAAAGTTCAGTAATTGGAAGATTCAATAAACAATTAATGATTTCAAAAGTAAGCTGTTGAAGGTTAGAATGCGAAAATGATAAATTTAAAAGTCTGATAAGAGGAAGTATGTTACTAAAAACTATTAGAATAATATAAAAATCCAAATATTATACATTAAAGACTCATCGGTTTCCCCCCGTACTAAATTAAAAAGCAATTTCATATATTCTTGAATAGTGCAAATACTTTGTTTTGGCCATACGTCTGAAGATTTTAAATATGCTTCGAAATACTCAAGGTACTAAAATCCCATTATTAAATCTATCTAGGATAAATTAATATACTTGATTAATTATTTGAAAAATGCCTAATTCCATTAATGTCGTTATTGCTTTTCCTGGTTGTGTCGTTAATAAAAACAAAATGCGTGTATATATAAACATAAAGTCAAAGTCATCCTATACAGTAACCACTGTTATTATAAAAAGCCTTTTGTTTATTGCAACTAACTTCATGAATCAAGGGTAGTTTCAAAAAATCCGTATATTCTTTCATAATATGTTGGATACCATTATTCTCGATAAAAATGTCTCTAGAATCCGGGTTAAGAAGCATAGTATTGAAAATGCATCGTGCAGCGTTCGCCGATTTTTGCTGCATTGTTGAATTAGAAAATGCCAGTTGAAACAAGATAAGAAATCCCTAGAATAACTTAAATAATTAAAAAAAAAACAACTAAAAGACTTTACACGCTTTGATCCTGTTATTTTAGCGCAAGAAAGATCTGTAACCAATGATTTCAATCGAACAATAGAATTGTATCCTTAACTTTAAATTTTATTTATATATCGATATAAAACATACTTGTTTTTAAATCATCTTTTTCAATGTCTTTTTTTAAATAATCTAATAAAGCCTCTACTTCTTCTTCATCTAATAAGATTAGCACTTTTATTTTAAAATTATCTTCTTAAAATACTATTTTCATATGTTTCAGTCATGTTGGTAAATAAAGTCTTACAAAAGATATCGACAAAAAAAGGCAACCTTAAAAAATATAGTTTTTAAATGATATTAAAAAAATGTAAATTTTACAAAAAAAACATCAATAAAAAGCCTTATTTTATACAAACAAAGTAGATTGTAAAAGTGTATATGTTTCAATCATCTAGAGTAGTTAGAAAAAATAACAAAAAAAAAAAGATACATTAAGAGCTTGTATGACTTCGAGATTCTGGCGAGCGTGTTTAAGCCAGTCAGAAGCAAGTTTTCTTGGGACTCCTTTAAGCTGATTTAGTTCGCGTGTTGCTGCATCCAAGTTATTTTTTTCGAGATAATTTTCAGTACGTGCAAGAATATGGTGAACATAGTCACCGTCAGCTCTCCCCGTTTTTCGGAACATAAAGAAACTCAATACTCGACTAACCATGTATCCTAGAACGCCTGTATTATCTGGACATAAGCTGACTTTATAGATTTCATTAGCTAAATGATGAAATCGATCAGTTAATTGAGTTTTGCTCATAATTCCTTGTTCATGAGTTTCTTTCTGAATCGTATGAATTACTGTTTGCATGAATTCATCTTTTTCTGATAAGTCTTTCAACACATAAAGCTCTTTTGTAAATGGTTTTTGTTGTGGATCTTCTATAATTCTTCGCAATGCCTGTGATGCAATTTGCAGCCGTTGAACATGCATAGCACTTTCAGAGAAGACTCTTGCTTGTGAAAACATAAATTCTAGTTGTTTTACATGTTTATAAAGATGCTCTAGTTGTCCTAATCGTCTACCACGTTGTTCTTCAACACGAGCTTTCATTTCACGTATCCATCGTCTTTGCAATTCAATTGCTTGCTGAATAAGTTCGTTCTTAAGTTTTTTTTCATTTAACTCCTTCAATTTTTTTAATTCCCCCAATAAACGCTCATGATAAGTTTCTGAGAGACGCTCATATTCTTGTTTTAAAACTGTCATCCAATATGTTTCCTGATTTGCTAATTGTGTTTGAAGACTTGTTTCTTGAGCCTTTAAAAGGTCTTCAAAATATGATTTCTGTTCGGATAATTTTTGATCTATTGTAGTTTTTGTTTGAGTATCTGTTTGGTGTAGAGCTGCATTTAAAATAGTAATATCATTTTTTAAAGCACTAAGGGATTCTTTTAGAAGTCCATTTGCATTTAAATCATTAATTGCTGTTATTATAGCATTTACAGATTCAGCCAATGATCGAACAGATGGATGTATTTCTTGGTTCAAAGATATAAAAGACGATGAAACTGAAGATGGTGCCGATGAATTTTTTGGTAAAATATCTTTTGAAGATGTTTTTTCTTCTATATTACTAGCAGAACAACTAGAATCGGTGCAAGGTTTTGATTGAGAAGTTTTTGGTTCCTTATCTGATGTTTTATTTGTAGAAGATTCTTTTTGAACAGAAGAAACTTCACTTTTTGATGTACTTTCTTGCATAGAGGGAACTGAGATATCCTTTTGTTTTGATGACATAAATGGTTCTTTAATAAACGTTTCTTCAATAATATCTATTGTATTAGACTCTCGATCGTTTTTTGTTTGTCGTGCAATTGCTTCTTTTGCATCAGGGTACCTCTCATAAAATCCATAATCTCGAATCTCCAACATCAATTTTTCAATAGAAGGAAACCATACGTAAAATTTTTTGCCAAGCCAACATTTATCTTCATATACTTCAACACAAATAGTTCCTGCTACTAATGCTATTAATGCACTAAAGGATCCAAAAATAATCCATCTCATAGGCTTCCAACTCTTTTCAATATGTTTTTTTTGTCCATTGATTTGAATATCATTATTAATACGTCCAGTTTCATTAAAACGCCGGACAATTCGATAAAAAGGACATTCATAGAATTTAAAAAGAAAATTTCGGTTAGAAATACTCAAAATCTTTCCAAATGATCTGTTAAAATTACCAGAAACCTTTAACATTTTATCTTTTTTGTTTCGTTAATAATCTGTTAAAATTAACTGACGTTCACCGATCAGTCACGTGATCTATATCTGCTGAAGTAACTGATTGCATTTGAGTATTATAAGTACAAAGAAAAAAACTATTTTTGTAATAAGAAACAGATTAACTCTATAAAATATCATAAAATGTATTTCAGTAAAGTCTATTTTTCCTTTTCTTAGTATTAGGTTATCGATGTGATTACTACGACAACTGATTAACATACAAAAATTTACATCTTAAGCATAAAAGACAAAAAACATAAAAGCAAAAGAATACAATACTTCTGTATTTTAGGGTAAATAATGATGATAAAACAAAATCATAAGTCTTTTATTTTAGATTTAAAAGAATTTCTTTAACCTATTTTTAATCACGTGCCAAAAATGAAATTTATTATATGATTAGCCTAAGTCAAATTTGTAGGATTTAATATCATCTAAAATGATTTGAAGGAATATAGAAGTTTTTTTAAAGCTATTTTAAAGAATTTAAAAGATATTTAAATATTTTAAAAATGTTATATTTATAATATTTAACGTTTTGGAATTACATATCAATTAAACAATAAATTCAATATTCTAGGAACTCATAGTGAAATTAAAAAAGATCAAGATTGGAAATTATATCCGTTGTAAAACGGGGTATTTAACTCAGTTTTATTAAGAGATTAAATGTCAAAAATTTTATTGTAAATACTTAATTCTAAAAAGATATAATACAGAAAAAAAATAGTTCTAAGAAAATGATTTTAGGAAAAAATATAATCACTAAAAAGAATGTTCAGAAAGAATAAGAAGACAATAAAAATATGATGGTATTAATGTTAAAATTACTATTTATGTTGAATTGGATACTATACTTAATACTAAGCTTATTATTAACTTAGATTTATTTAGGATGGAAATTTAAGGGATTAAAATTGATTGAAAGATTACATTTAAAATAAAGTTTTAAAAAACAATTAAAATACAGAAGAATTGCAAGCACCAACAAATATTTAATTGAACTTTGAAAGACAGTTTTTAGTTAGTTAAATTTTAATATGAAAAGATAAAACATAATTGGAATAATTTGAAGAATAACTACTAAATTTTAGGGTTAGGTTGTGACTCAACCCGAATAAAGTTGTAAGTCGAACGTTTTTTACTTGAAGTATAGTTTAAAATATTTAATATTCTTTTTATAGAGTGTTAAAATTCTAGAAAAAAAAATTAAAACATTTCTTTTTTTCAGATTTTTCAATTTTATTGAAATTTTTTTTCTACTTTTTTAAGTTTTAGTTAAAATTAAGGTGGATGAGTGTTTTTTCATTATTAGGCAAAGGATTGCGGCTAGAAAGTCGTGAAGAAACATTAAAAGCGCTTGAAGATCTACGTATAGCATCATCTGTTCGTGAAATTCGTCTTTGTGGCAATACTTTTAGCATTGCAGCTTGTCAAGTTGTTTCAGAGCTTCTTTCTCTTCATGCTAGAACACTTCAGGTAAGTTTTGAGAAAAATAGTTAATATCCAAAAAATAGAGCAAAAAAAAGACTAAAAAATTTCAAATTTAAAGAGCAATTTTTATATCATATTAATGCGTTATAATGTTTAAAATATTTTTAATATTTACAATATATTTTAGCATTGGAAATATATTTTTAGTATCTATATTGTTTCTGTTACATTTATATTTTATTTATTTATTTAATTCAGTTTATATATTGACATAATGTTTTATATAGATTGCCGACTTTTCTGATATTTTTACGGGTCGAACAGCACAAGAGATTCCAAAAGCACTTGAAATACTTTTATCTGGGCTTTTCTTATGTAGCAAATGTCATACTGTGTATTTGAATGATAATGCATTTGGGTCTACAGCAATAGAACCATTATCTTCTTTTTTGTCTCAACATATACCACTTCAACATCTATATTTAAATAATAATGGTTTAGGACCAATTGCAGGGGAACGTGTTGCAAAATCGTTATCTAGTTTGGCAGTAAAACAATACAGTAATACTCATGAAAAACATGGAAAGATTGAAACAATAGTTTGTGGACGAAATCGTCTTGAAAGTGGAAGTATGAAGGCATGGGCAGAGTGTTTTCAGGCACATACAGGCTTAAAATATTTAAGAATGCCTCAAAATGGAATTCGACCAGAAGGTATTCGTATTTTGCTTGAATCAGGATTGTCAAAATGCACACAACTTGAAATTCTTGATTTACAGGATAATACACTAACACTAACGGGTGCAAAAACATTGGCAGCAATGCTTCCAAATTGGCCGCTTCTTCATGAACTTGGGATTAGTGATTGTCTTTTATCAGGAACAGGTGTAGCATTATTGGCTCAAGTATTGTCTCGTGGTAGTCATAAACAGCTTAAAATTCTACGATTGCAATATAATGAAATTGATCATAAAACAGCAGAAAAATTAGCAAATGCAATAGATAAAACGCTGCCAGAACTTGAAATACTTGAACTAAATGGAAATATGTTCTCAGATCAGAGTGATGTTGTAAAAAAAATCCAGACTATTTTTAGGGATCGAGGAAAAGGCGAGCTCGATGAACTAAATGATATGGATGAGCCTTCTGAGTCTGATAGTCTAGAAGACTCAGATCAGGAAAGTTCTTTGGATTTAAAAGATATAGAAAAAGATGCAGAAGAAAATCTCGATTTCCAAGAAGAGAAAGGAATTAGTACAGAGCTTGCTGCTTTATTGAAACAAACACACATAAATTAAACACGACCTTAAAATCATGTTCAGTTTTTGACAAAATACAATAGTACCCAAATATTTGTATAACAAAAAAATAAAAATATTTATCCCATTTTATTTGAAAAGAGAATCGATGTCTTTCAAGTGATTATTTAAATAATTGTTGATACCTTATCAATAGTAATAATTTAATATAATTTTTTCTATAATTTATTTAACTTATAAAAATGTTCAGATCCACTAGATCGAAGAATAATTTATATTAAATTAATTATAATGTATTTTCTATCATATTAACTCTCGTTTTTTCTGTCTAAATACTTTATATTCATTATGTCTAATAAACTTCTTTATTGGTGACAGTTTCGCATTTTTCAAAGAATTAATTTCAAGAATCTTTTCGTATTCCTTAAGCATATCTTTTATATTAAGATCTGGATTCTTTATAAGCATACATAAATCATGTAAAGTAGATAACAGATCAGTAGGTACCTTAAAAATATTAATATCCATATTATTTATATTTCTAACATACCAAAGAAAATTTGTCTATAAATTCAATAAGTGTATATACAACTTTAATAGCCAAAATGGCTTCATCGACTCTAGTTTTTCTATTTTTTGAATATAAAATATCCGGTGTAATAACTGTTGCAAGATTATAAATATCCATTTTATTCCCCGATTCTTTATTTATATTTGCAAATGATGCAACCCAATTAAGAAAAAGAAAAATTGCTTCCATACAATTAAGATGACATTTTGGTAATAAACAACATGTAAGATGCAATGCCCTATAACGAGTATTTTCATCGTCAATTTCTGAGAAAATTTAATATATTTATATATTATTAATAAAACTCACTTTGAGATGCTAAAAACAATTTATGCAACTTAAATGTAAGAAGAGGTTCAGGAAGTTCACGAAGAAATTTTTTCATTAATGCAGCAAGTTGTATAGGAGATTCATCATTAAAAGAAAGACTATTAAAATTATTATCAATAGATTCAGTAAAATCATTAAGCCGTTTTATATTCCCATTTTTTCTAAATATTCCTTCTACAGATACATCTATAATTGTTAACGAAATTTTAAAACAAATCAACTTACCCATTTGTTTCATAGCAGATATTATTTCATCAATAAAACCCGGAATATACAAACGCCCGGGAACCATTCCATGTTCTGAATTTACACCGTTTTCTTCAACTAATATTTCCAAAGGAACTCCAAATACTTCTATATTAATAATAAATAAACAAAAATATAATTACTAACCTTTTTTTTTATATTTTTTTTTATAATCATTTGTTGATCTAAATGTTCTTGTAACTTTCCTAAAAAAACCTCTTTTTTTAGGTTTCACTAAATCTAATAACTCATCTAAACTAAAGAAACCTCTTACTAATGGTTCTATTGATAAAATTGCAATATGCTTTATAACAAATGTTTCTAAAATAGAAAGACTTGACAAATATGTTTTTGTTTCAGTAGAATTATCGATTATTAACTCTTTATCAGGTTTCGGTGTTGAAATTTGAGAAATATTTTCTGATTGAATTTTAAATTTAGATTCCATTAAAGAGTTATTTAAATATTGATACTGAAAAACACTTGATTTACGTTTTTTCCCTTTTTCATTAATATTAGTTATTTTACCATTAACATTAAAAAACTCAAAATCATCATTATATAATTTAGAATTTAAACGAAATTTATATAAATTCTGAGCGTCTTTAAGGATTTTAAAATACACTTTATCGTCTATAGATAATCTTGTTTCAAAATTGTTATATGTTAAAGAAAAATCCTCTTGATTTTCAAAAAAATTACAAGTTTCTAAAGATAAAGTACCAAATAGATGTGGTACAATGGAATTATCTTTGAAAGTGATATACAATTGCAATAAAATAATTCGTAAAAGAAAAATGTACTGTGAAAATTCAGTGACTTGAAGAAATTCTTCAGAATCAGTAGTTGAACATCCTAAACATAAAATAGATTTAGAAGTTTTATTCCATCGTGCGTTCCTAGGCTCATGTTCCATATCTTTATTGCATTTTGAACATTTTAAACAATATATATGACACCTTTTATTGCCTATACGAACACATTTTTCTTTTATATTTTTTTGACATATCATGCAAATGTTAGATGTTATATCATTATATTCAATAGAAAATAATAATTTAAATGACATTTCTTCATTATTAAAATCATTCGATAACCTTACACCCAATTTTAAACTATCCAAATAATCTAAAAAATCATAAACTGCTGTTGGATTAATATTATCTTTTTCCTATTATTTGTTTAGTATTAATATATACATTTATGTTAATATTCAGAAATACTAACCAATTGCAATGCACCAATCAGCGAAATCTTTGTTAAATACTTTAAATAACGAGATAATCCTAATGTTAATGACAAAATTTTGTCAGTAGTCCCTAATCTTTTTATTCTTAATTTCCAAGTTGTTAATAAAAAAGAAAAAAAATAAACGATTTTTCTAAAAAATAATTTTACTTCTCGGTTATATAAAATAACTATTAATATTAGTTTGTAACTTTTTTTTATAAAAATACACTAATGATACATTTTTCATTAAATTCATGAAATGAAAATTTTAACCAGTCCAAAGCCAAAAACAATGATTCAACATGTTCAACAAAATTCTTTGCACTGATAATTTCATCAATATAATTACCGTTTGAGATATGTAAAAGCATGCTACTAATACATGCTACAAAAGATCTTTCAAATCTAGAAAGAACTTCCCAGATCCGATAAACTTTTTCTTTCAAAATTTTTTCTTGTTCTAGGAGATGCTTTGAAGAAAAATTAGATTTTAAAAAATCATTTAAATTTTTTGTTTGTAAAGCAAGTTTAACTTTCCAAAACTATAAATTCATATAAAAATTTGCATTGATAACATTATAAGTAATTATATAGTACCTTATAAATAGCATAACAACCAACATGCCAATATTCTTTTTGCCCATTTCTTAGAATTTCTGTAAATTGCTTTGAAATAATAAATCGACAACCATTACACTTAATAGCAAATCTTGTGAAATAATGAAAATAACAATATATGTTTTTTCTATATACATAATATGAATCCTCTGGAGTAAACGTTGTTGAACAAATAGAACAAGTAAAATGATTAATATGATACTTTTTATTTAAAGCCACAATATACATTTCTTGAAGCGCTTTGCCACATGATATGCAAAGAAGATCAGAACGACGGAAATAGTCAGTCTCACAAAGAGGTCGCTGCTCATTTTCTTTGGGATCATTAATAAGAAAAAAATTAGATACAAGTGTTTTATGGCAATCCTATAATAAATAAGATCAAATAAAATCATGCCATATTTTATACATAACACTTAAAACATTCTGAATGTAGAATCATCCCCATTACTTCAACAAACATATCAGTAATTTTTTCTTGACATATCGAACATGTTTTATTCTTTGCAAATTTAGATTAATAATATAATAAATAGAAAAAAATACTTCTTTAGAGAATTGGTTATTATCATTCGTTGATTTTAGTAATTTTAATTTATCTAGAAAATTATTAAAAAATTATTCTTAAATAAAATTAAATATTATTTTATACTTTGTTTGGCTATTCCTAAAAAAGGCTCCAAATATGATACAGACCCTGACAAAAATAGCTTATTCTCTACTGTTTTTACAACAAAATCCCTCTGAACTATCCATATAATAGAACTTGTCGGTGAAATAGGTTCCAAAGAGCTTTCAAGTTTATTTTGATTCGAATAATCATACATTAAAAGCACATAAAAGCAAGCTATTTATCCCTGTAGAAAAACAATCTTCTATATAATTATAGAAAACCAAAAACTATAATAGATCCTAATATTTTAATATCTTATAGTATGTGCATAATAATGATTTTTACTACGTCGATTATGTTTTTTAGTTAAAAAAGTTTAAAAATATAAAATTGATAATATATTCTTTTTTAAGAAAATATAATAAATAAAATAATGATAAAAAATTAACAAAATACTGATTAATCTTCTTTTATTAAAAAACTGAAATTTTATATATTTCATATGAAATGACTTCATACAAATATGTTATATTAAACAGACTAAAAAAAATCATTTTAGCAGAAAAAAATGAATTAAGCTCTATTATAAGTTTGGGGTTATACATAAAAGGGCATGTGTAAAAGTTATAATGGTTTTTCAAAATTAAATATTTATGTTTTATTTTCATCTTGGGATTGTTTAAGATCTAACTCAGACCTAAGTTTTCTAACGATATCTTCAAAACGCTTTTGAAGTATTGGATTTGTAGTCGTTTTTAATTTTTCCAAATTTGAAGCAATTGTAGCATTAAGTTCTGCTATTTCATCATCCAATAATCTTTGATGATCTGCAGCCCATCTCATTTCTTCGTCTAAAAATTATTAAAAAATACTAAAAAATAGTTCTTATTATTCTATATTTACCCATTTCTTCGCTCGAATCTTCATTATCATCGCTTCCTGAGTCATCTTGAGGTGTTTCCGTTTCCTTTGTAAACGTAGGAGCCTGACTTTCCTCTCTATTATCGACTTCCATCATCGCCTGTTCTAACTGATCTGCAAGATAATCTTCATCTGCTTCATTATAATTCTCACTTTCTATATCTACTGTATCTGTATTTTCGTAATATCCTACTTTTTTATATAAATTTTTGGTATCAAATGATGATTCATTGTCTAGAGAAAGAGACCCTTCTCTGCTAACAAAAGAAGCAGGAATCACTTCATACGTTGATGATTCTGCTATAGCATCCAAAGAAAGCAGTCTAGTCACTTCTGCTTCAATCATTTCGATTGTCTATAATATTAAATTATTAAATCTGCTGAAGGGCTCTTTTACAAAGAAAAACTCGAAAAAAATACCTTATGCGAAAGTCTCTTTCGAAATCGTCTTTTCCTCACCCATTTTAATGGAGGCGTTAACCCATGTGGATACACGTATTCTGAATGTTTTATCGGAACCACCGTTACCACCTCTTCATCCTCAATCCTATCTCCAACTAAAAGCATCTGGAAATCAAAAACCTTTTCTGTCTAGCTTTGCTGAAAACATACCTGACAAATATCTGCTACTTTATATATCGTCTTTCTATCAAATGTCTTGCTAGATTCTATAATACATGGTAAATCTACCAACTTTGCTGAATACATATGCCCATTCACAAAAACCACTGCCCTCCGGTTGTCTTAATCTCAGCATTTTTTCAATTCATTAATTCATAATCTACCTTTAAATTTTATAGAAAAATCTGCTCCATTTCCAATCGTTTTTTCTTCAACTGCTTTCCTTAAATACTCCAGATCTTCTCCCTTACACATTCTTAGAATAAACTGCTGCTCAATATGTGGATCATCTTCTCTATCTGATGCCTCTGAATCATATCCTAATCCTGATTCTCGGTATGCCCTTAGACGAATCTTTGTTCCACTGCTATTTTGTGCTAATCCTGATGATTTAGCCTTGATTTTTGGCTGTGTATTCTTTTTATCTCCTGTTCCTCCTACTTTAACCTTGATTTTTAACATTTTTATATTTTCTTGAGGTTCATTAGCAATATCGTAGTATGTACGAGCAGTGATATACTTGTCAACGAGATGATAATTAAGTAAAATAGAGAAGGAAAGTTTTATATATGAAAAAGATGTTTAAAAGTATTAAACAAAAAAATAGATTTTATTTAAGAAAAAAAATGGATTTGAGGAAGAAAGAAGAAATTTCTAAAAAGAAGTGTTTTTCGTCGTTAATGGAAGGTAAAAGAGAAATGAGCAAGATAAGGTTATTAAAGGGGATAGATCTGGAAAATCAGGCATCTATTGAAGAAGATATATATCAAGATGAAGAACTTGTGGGTTTTTGAGTGTATTGAAGGAGGGTTATTGAGTTTGTAAAGATCCGAGTATATGAAAAGCGGAAAAAAGATAATCAGAAGGGACTAATGGAGATTGAAAGACAAAAAGACCAAAGAAAGGTATGGGTGAATGTAGACAATCTTTTTGTGCAGCAAAAAGTGGAAGAAACAAAACGTTGTATTAAAGAAGGTATGAATCTAAGATATACACAGTGTTTTTGTAATGGATTGAATATAAAGATCAAGAATACCTAGAATCAGAAATAAAGAAAGTTAAAGAAAGAATAGATTGCCAAAAAAAGAAACTGAAAATTCTACAAAATAAAATGAATACTGGATATAACGATTTTAATGACTAAAAAATGATATATGTATATTTGTAGATGATAAAAATGTAGATTAATGCAAAAATATGTTTCCTTATTTAAATGAGTAGATTTTCCATAATTATTTCCCCCATCGCATCTCAGCATTTGCGTAAAGTTGTAATCCTTTCATAAATACATGATAGTCAACAGAATCCTCACTTTGAACAAAACTAAAAAAAGTTACGAGAGGAAGCTTGATTGAAATAGAGTAATACTAACAAGATTTCGGTAAATCTTATTTGCCATGGTGGAAATCCTTGAAGAGTACAGGTTGGTGTAAAAGCCATTAATAGTTGTGGTTCAGATAAAAGAGAAGCTTAAAAAAATTAGAGAAATTGGACAGTAACTTTTTGTTTTAATTATACTATTCATTCCAGCATCTACTAATTCAATGCTAATATCTTTAATAGAAAATTTATCAGATTGAGAAAGCTCGCATAGTGTTTTTGTTAGGTCAACTAAAGATTCTCTACCATCTTCTTGAGAAATAAAAATTATTTCAAGATCTAAGATATTTATGATTACAATAAAATTACATAACAAGTTTTTACCTATAGGATAATTTGTTTCATCATTACTAACTTCATCACTAGAAAAAACAGAAACATAAGGGGAACGAATTTTTATATTATGTCTTGATCTTCCAAAATAACTCTGCATTCTTTGTAAAATAATACGATACGTAGCTGACTGATATTCCTTCATACGTCCTAGAAAATAAGTTTGACAAAGCGTTCATTTCTAAAGCACAAAATCTACCCTCTTTCTCATAAATAGTTAAAATCCGAATTCCTGATGACACACACCAACATGACAATTCAGCAACTTGATGAATAAGTAGTTCTAAACCACCATCTTTTTTGTATTCTAAAATAACCGCTAAATGATGAGGAATTTTCTTTAATCTTCCCACATCTCGTTTAATGATCTGTGGTGTACGGTGATGATATTTTGTTATAGCTGATATGTACTCATTAATTGTAAAACATAACATATATAAACGAGACCATATAGTAAACGCTATTTGAAGGAATATAAGAACTATTTTATAAAAAAATATCACTCCTCGTGACTTTGGAGGACTCCACATCCAATAATAAAACTTATTTTATTATAAAAAGTATATAAAAGTTTTTAAAAAGTCAATTGTTTTAAATTTTTGATTTTATATTTTTAAAAAATCCTTTTTTTATACTTTTTTTTATATAAAACTAAAGTAGTTTCTCATAAAAAATATTTCTGCAAAGAACTCCTTCTAAAACTATCAGATTAATTTCTTTCTCTTAAATTTTCTATTTTTAAACCTTTTTAACATTTATCGATAAATAATTAAGATTAAAAAATATCAAAAAAATTTAAAATTATTTTAAAATTCAACATTTCTTAAGGATGTATGAGAACCATCCTTATGATATAGACGCAGAAATAGATAAATTACTAACAGTTGAATCGTTCAGAGCAAATAATTTTACATTAGCAGTTTTTATTGAAACATTGAGCAAATCATGTAGTATAGAAAATCAAGAATCAGCACAAAGTATAAGAAAGGAATTTTGAAATATAATTATGTTTATGGATAATAGATTTTAATCCAAAACCTTATATCCGTGTTTTTGAAGCAACTCTTGATCGTCTAGTTGCTATGAATTCAGAAATATTGAAAAATATAAAAGATAATGAAGTACAAGCTAAGAAAGCAGATGTAGACCATTCTTTAAGAGTAAAGAAAATAAAGGAGAAATTTGATGTAAGGAAAATATTACGATTCTATTAGTTGATTTTTGTTTGATAGAATTTGGTTAAAGAGTTTAATATTTTAGAAAATAAGGTGAATGCATCAGGAAAATTTGCAATTGAAATAGGTATTTTATATAATTAAAAACTGTTTTTACGATACATATTTGTGAAGGGAAACAATTTGAGCAAATAGACAAAGAAAATTCTAAAGCACAAGAAGGAAAGCTTTTAATTCAATCTTATGTTGAGATTGTAAAAGGCAACTTTGGTTCTTTAGAGGAACTTCGTCTAGCAAATACTATAGAATCACAAGCATTATGTGCTTCTTTGACTAGAAATCTTCATGTTTTAACTAAAGATATTAATCTTTCTGGGTCATCTAAAACGATTGAAGCATTAGAAAAGTTTTCTGAAGTGCTTGAAAAAGATCTTTTACAACATTTTGATAGAGCATATAGAGCAGGAAATTTAGAGCATATGGCTGTGAGGATTTGAATTTTAATAATATTATTTTTACCAAATAATAGAAATATGCAAAAATTTTATTTGACTTCAATGGGGGAGGCTCAGTAGTAAGGAATTTCGTTAATCAACATGATTTTTTTATTGCTCCAAAGAATCTTGAGAATTATGATATTAATAAAGATGATAAAATGTAAAACTGTTTATTTGTATGTTAAAAGAAACTAATTTTATAGATGGAAAAAACTCTCTGATCCTGATGTAAATATTTCAGAAAGTGATCTTTTAATTGAGTCAAATCTTCAATCTCTTATTAACTTGGTTCGAAAAACTGTGAAAACAGAATATAAAATTATTCGGAATGTTTTTCCGAACTCATCTGCAGTATTTCAGGTTTTTTTACAAAGAATATTCGCTCAATCAGTCTGTTAATAATTTTATATTTTCATTTTTGACCTATAGTTTAGATACAATTACGATTAGAAGAAATTATTGGATATGCTGAATTAAATTCTACGTTAGCTTATCTTCGTGTGTTACAAGCAACACATAGTTCTTTAACAAACCTTGTTGAAGACCTCAAATCCTTTGAACAAATGTTTATGTCGTCTGATTTAACTAATGAATCATCCAGTTTAGCTAGTTATGTCTTAGAGCAATGTTTAAATGATTTATTTGTCCCCTATTTAGAAGGATCTCGGTATATTGAGAAAGAAAAGAAATCTTTAGATGAGCTATATAGTTCTTTTCTTTGCAATTTTAATGCTTACCATGTAAGTTGTATTTTTTTCATTAGATTTTTTATTTATTTGGACAAGACTCAAAAAAGAGCCATGAAAAACTCCACTGTATTGGATAGAGTTGTAAGCCGTTTTCAGGCTGCTACTATATCTTCTCAATCAACCTCTGCTTCTGGACGAGATGCTGAAGGAAGTTCTGGTACGGAGCAGGGCAGTGTACAAATGTTATTTCGATTGGCTGGACTAGAAAAGTCAAATACTAATAAAGATCGTAAAGAAAAAGGTGAATCTAGGTCAGACGAGCTTGAAATACACGAAAGTGATGGGAAAGTTTCTTTTGAATGTGTTAATAGGATCTTAAAATGGAATGCAGAAACCATTGGTAGAGTTGTTGAATTATTTCCGCAGAGTGAACTGTAAGCTTATATTTTAAATATGTTTTATTTAATTTTGTAGTGCAAAAGACTCATTTTCAATACTTAAAGTACTTTTTGAATACATTTTTTCAAATTACTTGAATATAAGTTTAGAAACGTATGTGATTTATTTAAAATAATTGGAGTTAATGTTTGCAGAATTTTTGACACAATTGATTCCTATGATGGGAAAAGTGAACCTGAATTAAAGTATTTCGATGAATTAAAGCAAATGACAATAATTATCCATTTATTTTCAACATATCTTAATACTATTGTTCTTCCTGTTGTTTCTTTTTCTCTTACTTTAAGAAGAGATATACTTATTTCCGCTAATAATAGCATTTCAGAAGTTGAAAACAAAATAAATTTAATAATTGAAAAATCAGTTGAAAGTAAATTTCCAGAAATTATGAAATATACTTATTGTTGATATTAATACTAGTAATTTTAAATTGGGTATCTGTTTTGCTTGGGAAACAAAAAAAAAACGATTTCAAGCCTAAAGATGATGATAAAAGAATGGAAAATTTAAGTACTGAGGTTAGATTTATATAAAAATTTTTGAAATGAAAGTTAATTTATTAATAAGCCATGTAAATCGATTGTACAATTTATTTCTAAGGTTTATAATATTGTCAGTGATAATCTCATGGAATCAAACCTTGAAAATTTTCTTGTTATTTTTGGGACATCTTTTCTTAAAGCTTTATTGGAGCATTTTAAAAAATTTTTTGTAAGTCCTTCAGGAGGATTAATATTAACAAAGTACTTTTAATTTGCAATTTTTCTTTATTTTTTACAATATTATAGAGATTTAACCGAATATGAAAAATGTATAAAGTCTTGGGGAATTCCTAAGTTAAATGAAAAATTTAAATTACTTCATGAACTTGGTAATATTTTTATCGTTAGGTATTAACTTAATAATCATTTGAATTCTGGCTAATTAAATCAGACCAGATATTTTAAGATCTTTGCTTAATGAAGGAATGTTAGCTCGTATTAACTTAAAATATCTGATACCATATATTTCAAAAAGAACAGACTACTATACTACAGATATTAATAAAATTGTATTATATATATATTTATTTAATAATATTCTAATTTAGCTAGATTTTAAATGAAGAAATTCATGATTAAAAAATAACATCCTGGGTTTACATAAAATCATGACTTGCTATATATTATATATTTGGATACTATAAGCAATATTTTGGTAAATATTAATAAACATTATATAATTTTACAATTAAGCTTTTTTTTCTTTAAGCCACTTTAAAATGTTAATACTGGATATTATAAGAGAATTACTTTACTTCTAGTGTGCGTTTTATTCCATCTTCCAGTTCCACAACAGGAGAATAACCTAAACGTCTTCTGGCTTTATTTATATTGTAATAACGATTGGCACAAGTAAACTTCACTCGTGATCTTGTTAATCCTGGTTTCTTTCTAGTAATAAAAGATAAAATTTCAAAAAAAAATGCTATGATAATTCCAATACACCTTGGAAAATATATAATATTTGATGGGATATGGCCTAAATAAGCCCACACAGTCGATGGGAAATCCCAAAAATATATTGGTTCTCCGTTAGTAATAAAAAATGCTTCTCCTGAAACATCTACAGCATTAGGAGAAAATAGCTTCTGAGAAGCAAGAATATGTGCATGTACTACATTATCGACATACGTAAAATCAAATAAATTAAGATTATTTCCGATCCGAAATCGCGTTTGACGATTCTCCATAACAGTAATTATACCAGGTATAAGTTGAGAATCCTCAGGACTACGAAATATATCATTTTTTGAAAAATTTTTGCACGCTATTACCCAAAAATTCCTGATGGTCGTATTGCAACTGTCATCATCCCATTTTTTCCGTTGGCTTCAAGAATCAGACGTTCTGCTTCTGCCTAGACCACTAAGATTTGTTGCTAAAAATAACTCTTGTATTACTTTGGTCTCATTATACGCTTCCATTGTTCCTTTTGGAATTGCTATGGTTTCATCCACGTTAATTAAATCATTTCCATTAAAAACAACACCAGCACTACTTGTGTATATAATTGCTTTAACGTTTTCTAAAACTGCTGCATGAATCAGATTCTTTGTTCCTTCAATATTGACCCTTTCATATGTTTTTTTTTCAAGACCATGAATTGGGCTTGCCATATGAAAAATTACGTCCGGACGATGCAAATGTATCACTTCTCTCAAGTACTTTGGATCACAGATGTCTCCTTGGAAGTAATTTACTGATGTAAACGCTTTATTTTTCACATTTAAGTCAAAAACTGCTATTTTTTTGCATGTTTTTTGCTTAACAAGCTGTGAAGTAAGAGATAACCCGAGAAAACCACATCCCCCTATAAAAATGTGTCAGAATACGTTAAAATAATCCATTCTTCATAAAATATTACCTATAATAAGAGGATATTCCATCATAAAATATTTATTTGTCGTTGCCAAAGCTCAAACTTTAATCGATGTTAACTCGTGATAGACTCTACTAACGTTCATAAATTTTCGGATGAAGAAAAATTGTATTTATTGAATTTTTGGGGGTATTTTTAATAATAACTAAATATGTTTTTACTAAAAACAATAATAGATATTATACGGGTTATTTAAATATTTAAAAGCGTTTTTATTTAAGGGTTTTTGTATTTTTTTATGATGGTTTATAACAAAGCATTACATATATTTTTTCTCTATTGGGTTCTATTTATAAGGATATTAGGGGCTAGTGGAAGTAGGGATTATGATAATAGGCATTACTATGTTTTTCATTTTTCAAAAAAAGTGGATCTTAAGGCTTTTTCAGATGATTTAGGGTTTAAATATGAAAAAGCATTAGAGAATCTAGAAGATCATTATTTATTTTCAATATCTAAGGAGTTTTTAGAAGAGGAAGTTGAAAGAAAAGTATCAGAATATTTTTCTGGTTCGGAAGATGGAATAGTAGAATCATTTGAAGACAAAGTTCTTTTTTATCAGAAACAGCACTTGAAAAGACGTTATAGGAAAACGCCGCCTGTAAATTATGAGGATTCTCTAGATACAGGTCATGTTCCAGTTAGGGTAGCTGAGTTGGAACAAATTAAACAGACTTTAGATATAAAAGATCCGATTTTTGGTGATCAATGGCACTTAGTAAGTTTTTTTTCTTATCTTTTATAAAAATTTAACAATAGTCAGTATAATCTTAAGGATAAATTTAATGATATAAATGTGACTAGTGTTTGGAAGCAAGGTTGATTATATGAGTGAACAATCGTATAAACGTTTATCATGATCTTAGGGATTACGGGAAAGAATGTAACCGTTGCTATTATAGATGATGGGTTGGATATGACTAGTGAAGACTTAAAAGATAATTATGTATAGAAATTGTTGTAAATTTTTTATTTTAATTATTTTTCAGTATCCTGAAGGCTCTTATGACTTTAATGATCACAACCCTGTTCCAATGCCTAAACTTCCTGAAGATACGCATGGGACTAGATGTGCTGGTGAAGTAGCTGCCGTTCGAAATACTGTTTGTGGAATCGGTGTTGCATATGAATCCAAAGTTTCTGGTATTTTATTCTTTTTGACTGAATCTAATATAATATCATTAAGGTTTGCGAATATTATCCGGGCCTATAACAGATCTTGATGAAGCAGAATCGCTTAATTATGATTTCCATAAAAATCATATTTATTCCTGTAGTTGGGGACCTGACGATGATGGAAAAACTGTTGATGGGCCTTCTTCTCTTGTTCTTAGAGCACTTATTAATGGAGTAAATAATGGAAGGAATGGGTTGGGTTCTATCTATGTTTTTGCATCAGGAAATGGTGGAATATATGAAGATAACTGTAATTTCGATGGATATGCAAATAGTGTGTTTACCATTACTATTGGTGGCATAGATAAACATGGAAAGCGTCTTAAATATTCTGAAGCGTGTTCTTCTCAGCTAGCTGTTACATATGCAGGTGGAAGTGCGGGATATATTGTAACTTTAATTCTATTTTTTTTTATATAAATTTATAATAATTAGTATACTACTGATGTTGGTACAAATAAATGTACGAGTAGACATGGTGGTACCTCTGCTGCTGCACCTCTTGCTGCTGGTATTCTTGCTTTGGTTCTTTCTGTACGGCAAGTATTCTATTAAAATTAAGCCTTGATTAATAAAAACTAGACCTAAACTTACATGGCGCGATTTGCAAGCTCTGATAAGGATAAGTGCTGTTCCGGTTAACCTTCACGAATATGGATGGGAAAAAACGCATTCTGGGCTTTTATTTCATGATTTTTATGGTTATGGAAAATTAGATGCATCTCTGATAATTGAAAATGCTAAAAAATTTAAACATTTGAAGCCTCAAGCAAGATTTTCATCTCGTAAAGAAACTGTTAATAAAATATTTTCTAAAAATAATGGGACTATTACAAGTAAAATTTTGATTGATAGTAAATCTGTTAAATCAGCTAATCTTGGAAATTTGGAACACTTAATCATTACTGTAAATATTGTTCATTCTAAACGAGGAGATTTAGAGGTATTCATTATTAGCCCTAATGGTGTTACTTCAAGACTTGCATCTAGACGTGTATATGATTTTAATAGTGTTGGAATACTTAATTGGAATTTTGTGTCAGTAAAACACTGGTATTTTTTTTTATAGAAAAAGAGCTAAGGTAATATTTCTTAGGGGAGAAAGTTTTTTAGGTAATTGGACTATTCGAGTTAATGATAAAAATAATCCGAATGTTGATGGGAGTTTTATGGATTGGCAGATTCATTTGTGGGGTGAGGCAATTGATCCAAAGAAAGCTAAGCCTATTCCATATCCTGTCGTATTTACTAGTAACAAAACTTCTAATCAAACTTCTGCAACTTCGACATCTAGACCTACAGCTACTTCTAGCTCTACTTCAAAGACAACCAGTGCGACTGCTACAAAAACATCTGCTACTGAGACTACACCTACTAGTGGTACTGAACATCCTACTAGTCCCGATAAAACAAAAACACAAAAAGGTAAAGACAATATGAAAATACTAATTTATTTATCATTACACTTTATCTAACTTGTACAATAGGATCTTGGGGGAGAAAAGCTTGGCTATATTTTATTGTTACTTTTCTTATTCTTGCTTTTATTTCAGCTTTATGTTATATTTACTTCCAACGACGCTCTAGAATAAAGCAATCGTTAATTGAAGAAAGCTATGAATTTGAAGTTCTTAGAGATGATGAAGAAGATATAAATTATTTATTTCAAGATTCTGAAAAAGCAAAAATATTACAAGAAAATCCTGAGATATATACTGCATTTGATATTCATGATGATTTTGACAGTGCATCTACCAGTTTTAGAAGGGAATAAATAAGCTCTAGAACTGTTATATCTATTCTAATTTATTATATTATTTAATAATAATCTTTTGTATTTTTTATTACTCTCTTTTTCCTTCGATCTACTTGTTAATCTCTCTAGATCAACGTCAAAAAATAGAGAAAGTATAAAATTGAAGAAAAGAGCCTTTAATAGATACTTTTTTGATAGTTTTTTACATTTTTTTAAGAAAAAAATGCATTCAAAAGTAATATCTATCTTCATTTATCCACAACTTTAATTTTATTAACATAAAAAGGTAATAATTATTGGATCAGGCCCAGCAGGGTGTGTTTAGTTTTTATGGCCTTAATTTCTCAGTTATTAATGATATATTAGTCATACTGCAGCTATTTATCTTGCAAGAGCTGAATTAAAACCTGTTTTATATGAAGGAATGTTAGCAAATGGTATTGCAGCAGGTGGACAATTAACAACAACGTATGTGTTTATATAAGAGGTTTATAGATATAGAAAAAGTATATTAATATACTATACACAGGACTGATGTTGAAAATTATCCTGGATTTCCTGATGGCATTATGGGGCCTTTATTAATGGAGAAGTTCCGGGAACAATCAGTAAAGTATGGGACATGTATTATAACAGAAACAGTATCAAAGCTTGATTTATCAAAACGCCCTTTTAAATATTGGTGTGAATCTGATGAAAATACATGTCATACGGCAGATGTAGTTGTGATGGCAACTGGGGCGTATGCTCGACGATTACATATTCCAGGTGAAGAGACATATTGGCAGCGCGGAATTTCAGCCTGTGCTGTATGTGATGGTACTAAATTAGAAAGGATTATGTGTATCTTTATGGTTGATTATATATTTAGGGGCAGCACCAATATTTCGAGGAAAATGTCTTTCAGTCGTAGGAGGTGGAGATTCTGCTGCAGAAGAATCGTTATTTTTAACGAGATATGCAACTAAAGTATATCTACTTGTTAGGAGGGACAAATTAAGGGCTTCAGCAGTTATGGCTAAAAGATTACTTAATCATCCTAAAATTGAAGTTATCTGGAATACAGTAGTGTTACGGTCACTCGGTGATGGTCATTTGTTAAATCGTTTGGAAATTAAAAATGTTAAAACGCAAGTTGTTTCAGAATTACATGTTAGTGGTCTCTTTTATGCAATTGGTCATGAACCAGCAACGGCTTTAGTTCGAGGTCAAGTTGAATGTGATGATAATGGATATATTATTACGAAGAATGGTGGCCCTGAAACAAATATTAAGGGATTTTTTGCAGCAGGTGATGTTCAAGACAAAAAGTGGCGACAAGCAGTTACGTCTGCGGGCAGTGGATGTATGGCAGGACTTGCAGCTGAACGATTATTAGCAGAAGAGGAAGAAATGAAAAATATAGAAAAAAATAAGAAATAGTTGAGATGTTTTTATGTAATTTTAAAATTAATTTTTTTGTGTTAACTGTCCATGTATTTTTTTCATTTTTGTAGCATAATTAATATCTTTTTCTTTCTGTATTTTTTCAGTTTCACGAGCTATAAATTGAGCATCTCGTCTAAGCATTCTAATAGCACTTCTTTTATTATCACGATATTGGAACTTCAATTTTGCAGATTCAGCTCGTTCGCGGTCTGGATCATATGATTTCTTGTCAAGAGAATATTCACTTTCAAATTTAGGAATAAAACTTTGAATTGGAATAGGTTTATGTGCTTGCAACATTAATGGTTTACGTGACTGAAGTGAAAAATGAAGTAATTTTGTAATCCGTTCATTTATAGAATTTATCTCAGTCTAAATAGTTAAAAAATACAGATCTAATAAAATAGTTTAATTTACCTGAAGTTCAGAAGACAAAGGAATTTTACTAGAGAATAATTTTAGTAAAATTAAACAAGGTGAAAAGATTTCTATGAATGCAAGTTTTCCATTCCACAAATTAGCATAATAATCAATTAATTGAGCAGCTGTCCTAAAAAGAGAAATTTCTAATTCTTTATTTTCATTATCATTAGAATATATATCTGAAATTTTCAAAGTTCTCGGTTTACATGATAAATCAAAAAACTTATTTTCTGAATTAATAGATTTTTTTTTGTCTAACTTTTTTTTATTTTTTTGAAACAAAATCTTTATTATATTCAACAGTGCATGTATTACTTCAGGAACTACTCGTCGTGACAAATTAATATACTAATAAAATTAAAAATAATAATTATAAAAAATAAAAAAAACCTCTGCAAACAATGTTATGACATAAAGTTTTAAACTAATATCTCCTAATGATACAATTTTTAATTGAGAAAGAAGCTGGCCCATTATAAGTAATGTCGGAGTAACTATTACATGAGAAAGGTCGGAAGTTGGAAAAATGGATCCAATTAGTCTTAAAAGAATTAAATCTTGAGTTGAAGGGAAGAGTTTATCTATACAGATTAGATACCAAGAAAAATTAAAAATATTTTTGCCTTTTCTTTCTGAAAATAATAATTGATTAAATCTTTCTCTAAGATTTTTTAATTTTTTATGAAAAGTATTATAAGCTGTTTCAGGGTATTTAGCCGAAAGATCACGTAAATGTTCAGAAAGCATATCTAAAGTTGAAAGTGATGCTTTTTTTTTTTCTGATAAGTAAAGAATAAGATCTAGTAATACTTCAATAAAAGACTATTTAAATAATTTAATAACAGTAACTAATAACTTATTGAGTACCTGAAGTTTTTCTTTATTTAATGGATGAAGTGATGGATGATATAAAATTTTAATTCGATTAACAACTTTTGGGATATCTTCTTGGTGAATATTTTTTAAAATTGAAAGAAATTCCAAAATTGAACCTGGACATGGATAAACATAAGCAAGATTTTGCTTTTTTTTTTCAAATTCTAAATCATGAGACCCATTAGATAGTTTAGAAATGTTGTTTTTAAATTCGTGTATTATATTATCGCGTGTTAAATTTTCTTTGATTTCTTCTTTATCAAAATTTGACTCATTTTTAATCCCATTTACGTTATTAAGCATTTCACTTGTTTCCTCATGTTCATATTTTTTGGGAGTTTCTTTTTCAAAAGAATAAAATTCTGTATCATTGTCAGTTTGATTATCACTATTGCTTATAAAATCGTCTTCTAAATTGTCTCCTTTAGAAAAAAAAATCTTGGATTCTTCAATATTATCATTTTCAGACAAATCTTTATTTTCAGACAAATCTTTATTTTTAGATAAATTTTCATTTTCAGATAAATTTTCATTTTCAGATAAATCTTCATCTTCGGATAAATCTTCATATTTCATTCTTTTTAATCGTTTTTCTTCTAATTCTTGTAATTCTTCTGCTCTTTCCTGTGCAATTTCTTCCTCTGTTTTAGTTCTACTCGATGGGCATGCACGTTTTTCATATACTAATTCTTTTACTGAAAGATCGTATTCTATGTCTTTGTCTAATTGTTTTTCTTTAGTTTCTCGTGGTATAAAATTATCATTTTTGGAAAGTAATAATCGTAAATCATTAAGTTCTGCATCAAGCATTTCCCTTTCCATATCATCATCTTCTTTCCTTTTTTGTCTTTCGTACTTTCTAATTTTTGATTTCTTAATAATTTCTTTCATGACTTCAGATTTTGTTTTTTTCTTATCTGGCTTTTCTGAATCTTTAAATCCCCCAAAATGCATATCATTCACTGTCTCGAAATCAATATCTCCTTTTAATTTTCAGTTATAAAATGAAAAAGTATAAATACCAAGTACCATCATTATTTTCATCCATATCTATAACATCTTCGAAATTTTCGATTTCTTCAAAAGACTGCCCAAAATACCCTAAATCATCATCTTCTTCAAGATTATAAATGCTGCTTTTCTTATGAAGTTTCTGAAAATATTCTTTAATTGTTTTATTTTTAAAAAACATATAAAAACCTGTTTTTCAACTGCATAGCGTTGCAACATTTTCTCTTCTAAAGAAAGATGTGTGTTATGTTCTCCAAAACGACGATCAATAATACCACCTTCTTTATTTCTTCTTGACATATCTACAAGAATTGTTTTTTTCCTCTAAAGATGTTTTGTTAAACAAATTAGATTTATTTTACAAGTTTTACTTTTTCTTCTCCTGCCTGATGGCTTTCCATTGGTCGTCCTTCAATTCCTCTAAGCTTGCGACCACCAACATCATGCTTCACTTTATTAATTTTCTTTTCATAATGGTTAAACTAAAATCTTTAGTATTCTTTTTTTAACTTAAATATTTTTTTACTTGTGATCTAATATCTTTTAATATAGATGCTCTATCTATTGGATTTTTATGATTTTTTTTTTTCTTTGTACGTCTATTACTTATAGATATTCCTGCTTCTTTTAAAGCTGTTTTTAGCTGTTTAAGCTGAGATTTAGCCATCTTTTATAAGTAAATATTGAAAATTGTAGAGTATATCGATAAGTGTAATTTTATGATAAAATTATTGAATAGTTAAAAAAAGATATATGTATATAATATTTTGTGAAAAAAAATTTTGCAATTTTAAAGATATGGTAATTCTAAAGTCTTTTTTAAATAATGAATTTTGGTCATTTTTAAATAAAACGTTAGTATGATCTATATATAATAAATATATTTACATGTGACGCTAATAAGAAATAACAACAGAGATAATAGATTTTAAGTAAATGGTATACCCGATTCTTGAAGCAATTTTTGGATTTCTCCAGTTTTAATCATTTCACGAACGATGTCAAGTCCGCCACAGAGGTTCCCTTGGATATATAATTGCGGATATCTAAAAGGTTCAAATAAAATAAATATATTGTGTTTACATACGTAGGCCAGTTGGAGAATTCTTTTAATCCTTCTCTAACTTCCTGATCTGAAAGAATATTGAAGAATCCTTTAAAATTAAAGGACTTAATGAAATAAACAAAATTGCTCACCATATTTAACACTAAGATCATTAAGAATGTCAACTATCTGTCTACTAAATCCGCACTGAGGATTATCTGGCGTTCCTTTCATAAAAAGCATGACAGGTTCAGCTTTAACAAGCTTTTCTAGCCGACTTGTCAAGTCTTCATATTCATTCTCTTTATCAATTAAAACATTTGTGGCATTGCTTTTAGGTTTTTCATTTAAAGGTGTAGATGATTCCATTAAAGGTGCAGCTGTCTTTTTTGAAAATTGTGCAATTGTTTTTGTCAGTTCTGGTGGATTTGCACCAGACACTTTTGTAAGCACCTTTCCTTGCTTTAATAATTAAAATTACGATTACTATATAAATTCCATTCAGCTTTACCTGTAATATAATAAAAAATGGCACTACCGATATCTCAAACGACTCTGAAATTTCTTCAAGTTCTTCTGCATTGATCTTTGTTCTTTTTAGCTTAAAAAATATATTTCTATATCCTTTTCACTTACATTTGCAAATTTTATATCAGAAAATTTCAATGATAGCTCCTGAAATACATTATTCATATATTGACATGGCTGAGCCCAGTTTGCATAAAAATTTAATGCAATAACTTGATCTTTACATGAAAAAACAAACTTCTGATAATCTTCTGTTGATTGTATTTCATAAATTGTATCTGTTTTAATTGACATTCTTTTAATTTGTTTTTATTCAAATATTTTATTTTTTTGACGTTTGATGAGTTATCGTTAATACTACGTCGTTATCCATAGTAAGTATTTTTGGTTTATTAGAAATTAATGACTGAATTAAGAGGAAATGAGAGGACAACATGATATATATGTAGAAGAGAACCCGTATATTTATAAACACAAGTTTCAATCTATTTTCCAGTTATCATCACATCCAATTGCGCTTTTTTTTTTTTTTCTTTTTCGTTTTCTGGCTATTTTGACTTATCTTTTTGGGTTTTTGATTTTTCATGATTTGTATGTATTTTATGGTTGTAAATACATTATTCTTATATATGAATATCAGTATCTTAATATTTATTTTGATTATTATTTTTTTAGCTTTTGATTTTTGGACAGTTAAAAATGTTTCTGGAAGGCTTTTGGTTGGATTGCGATGGTGGAATGAGACAAATTCTGTTTGTTTTATAATTTCTTAGTATTTTTTTCTAATGTTTTTTCAGGAAGGTGAAAGTATATGGATTTTTGAAAGTGCTGATGTAGTATTTTTTTATTTTTTAATCAAGTTAATGTAGTTAAATAGCCACAGAATAAACAGAATGTTACTGATTCTAGGATTTTTTGGTTTATCCTATACTTAGTGCCTGTTATTTGGGCTGTTTTCGGAATTATTGCTTTTTTAAAGTTTAATTTTTTATGGCTAATTGTTATTATCATTGCTCTTCTTTTAAGTGGTGGGAACGCACTGGCATTTACTAGGAATGAAGAAATAAGGATTTGTTTATTATGTTTTTAATAATTTATAGATGTAATAAGGACCAAAAAAATAAATGGATAGATGATATTTCAGAGAAATTTTTAAATTCCAATTATTCTTACAATATGTTTCGTAGACTAGGAAATAGTTTTCTTCATAGATTCTTCTAATCACATTAAAAGAAATTCTGAACAAGAAAAAAATATTTCGATATATTTTAATTACAATTCTTCTTTTTTAGACTCTGAAGCCGATTGTATAACTTTTTCATTTAATTTTTTCTTTTCAATTTTATCCCCTAATGTTATTCTAGATATTAATTCTAAAAGCTTCTCTTCTGAATTTTCAACGAGCTCAACATACCATCTCTTTTTTCCATTAACTAGTATGACTTTTAATTCCTCAAATTGCAGTTCTAATATTTCCGATATAGTATTAACATGCTTTTTGCTTGAATCAATAAAAAAATATTTAAATTTATTATGTTTTTTAGCAATTTTTTTTAAAAAATCAAAATTTGAAGGTGATGACGATATTCCAATGATACTAAATCCATGCCCTGTTATACATTTTTCAAGGAATTCATTCACTGACTGTAATTCTATTACTATTCTTCTTTAGTCTTGCATAATAGAAAATAGAGTATAATACGAGTAAAATCTTTCTTAGTCTCAGGTGCAGTTTCTTCTTTCTTTTCAACTTTAACATACTTTTCGAGAAAGTTGAATATATTTCTGTACGTTGTTTCACCTAAGTATGTCTATATAACTTTTATAAATGCTTAGAAAAATGATACCTGAATAAAATATTGAATCTTTGCCTTCTTCAAAAACAAGGACAATAGATGGAAATTTTGAAATATTAAATATTTGGACAGCTTCCTTGTAACTTTCATGGATCAATCCAAATGACACATAGTCTTGAAATTCCATTGAAAGTACTTTAAAAAAAGCATTTGGTGTTTTTTTAGATGTAAATAATAATAACTTCGCTTTCCCATTCTAATTAATTAAGAATTTCTGCAAAATAAAAGGTTTGTTAATACACGTTTATTTAAAAATAAATCAACGCCTGTAGAAATTTTTGCTGTATAGTCTGTTATTTCTGAAGATACCTTATTCATTAAATCACTATATGTCCTTGATCCCTGATAATCTAGGCTATGTCAAGATGAAAAAAATAAACATCTTATTAACCCTCGATTCTTAACCCATTTTTTCCAGGAATTATTATTTTTACCGTAGGAAAACCTTTCACATTATATGTCTGGCACAAAGGCCCATTCTCTTGATCATCACAGTCTACTGCCTACTTCCAATTACGCCCTATATCCAAATTTCTTGCTTTTTTACAATCACATTGATAAAATCCGATACTTTTCCCGCAAACATTTTGTAAATCGGCGCAAATTGCTTACTAATTATTTGTATTCTTAGTTATTGTCCTTTCTGCTCAATATAATCCTCTAAAACTTACCAATATCCGCACCATGGCGCAAAAAATTCTACTACTGAAATATGTTTCGATACTTTTAAAATATTCTCAAGTTCTACCCGTTTTACCACTTTGACTCGGTCACTAGAATCATAAAGTGATTGTACATGGCTTAATCCTGTAAAAATAAGCACAAATATCCATAAAAACTGCATATTTTTTATAAAAATAGATTTTAATTTCTTGTCTGACGTTCCGATATTCATTAATTTAAGATTTAAGCTTTAGATCGAAGCAGATAGAAATAATGGCTGTAGTGCTTCCAACTGAATTAAAGCGTATTGAGCCTTTTATTAAGCGTGCTGAAGAGATGGAAAACGTTGATAAACTGGTTTTTTACTATTGTATGTTTTTGTATGTGTTTTCTATCATATTTAAACGATAAACAGGTAGTTTTTGGGCTGCTAAGTTGGGACTTGAGATGGAGCTGAAAACAAAGGAGTCTGAAGCATATCTTGAATGTGTTGTTGAAAAGCTTGAACGGGTATGTAGCAGAGAGGAATTGGGCGCATACAATGCATCTGAATGCACTTGAATGTGTTTTTGAATGAATTCAATGGGCTTTTAAGCGGATATACTTGGTCTTGAACACATGGAATGCTATTATGAGTGCATATATTTGTTTTTTTTTTTGGAAAACAAGTCTTTTGAGAGGTGTATGGCATGATATTTTAGCAGATAAGTGCGCTGAGGGCTTAAATGCGGCGCAGATCAAGCTATTGGGGCGCATATATGCGTATATATGTCTATAGAACACATGATATGCATACAGAGTGTGTATCTGCTTATAAGTTGTGTATGCAGTGCATATATATGTATACAGAGCCTTGCATATATTGCTGGGTTATGGTATGCTGCATATAGGCTAATGCATGAATGCAAGACTATACTGCGATAAAATGCGTAATAGAATGTGCTGATGCATATTTTTGTATTATCGGAATACTGAACAGTATAGATTAAAGAGGACCCTGTATATCAATCGAAAATTCAAGATGAAGCAGCGGGCAAGGCATATATGAAGAAGTTTTCTGAGGAAGTCTTTAGAAATGCAGATGAAGATATACGAATGAAACGTATTTCTCCGTAAGTTCGTATTTTTTATCGACAACTCAGTCTAAGGGCAAAAATATAGTCAAACCTCTAAAGGATTTTTAGCAGCAGTCAATTTTTTTGAGGTGATGAGAATATGGGGAGAATTGAGTCAAGATGTATGCATGGATTATATAATGAATGGTTAATTAATGAAGGGAATAGGTGCTTTATAAAATTAAATATGCTAAGAAGTGTGCAATTGACATTATCAAGGTTTATCGGAGTGGGAAAGATCCAAATGATGTATTATTTGATGCAAAAGATGATTCAGAGTTAGTGTTATTGCCAGAAAAAGAATTGCTAAATGCTTCTGAAAAAACAGTGGATAGGAATAGTTTATCAAAAGATCTCTTGTCAAACTCCGATGATAGAGAGATAAAGTTATCTACAGAGGATTCATTATCTTTGAAAAACATAGAAACTTTTGATCTATGTACAAAAAAGGTTGAAGAAAATAAAGAAGCATCGAGTGAAATGTCTTGTATTTCTACTTCCAATATACAGATTATTGAAAATAGAATTGAAAAGATTGAAAAAGCGCAAAAGCATGCAAGATGGGCAATTAGTGCTTTGAATTTTGAAGACCTTAAAACAGCAACTCATGAATTGAAACTCGCTTTAGCCCTTCTTGAGTCTATATAAAAATTGTATTATTTTTGTTACGATTAAAAAATTATAATCATTAACTATTTAAATCATTTCTGTGAAAAGCTAAGTTAATATTTTTAAGAAGTTTTAAAATTGAAATTAATGAGTCATTTAAATTAATATGGATATGTTGTGATTAATGGTTGTTGAATTATTCAAAAAAATTATTTTTTTATCTTTGTTCTATAAAAGGTTTAGTAATTTCGAAATTTTTAGATTTTTTTATACATTTTAAGGATCTGATACAGGAGTTTCCTTTATATTCAAAAAGATAAATTGCAATATAGATATTGTTAATTTTCGTGTTTTATTATGTTTTTTTTATAAACTACAGTTTATGTATTTTTTGGTAAGAATTTTTAATTCATGTTTATATAAAAAAAGTATTAAATTTCTAAATCAAAAACCATAATAATCTATTTGTTTTATTAAATTTTCTAGAATTGATTATGTCTTCGAAACATTGCTTGTTTGATTTAAGTTTTTTTGAATATTGACAATTGTAGTATTTTCATTAATTGCATTTGGTGTTTACTTTCTTTTACTATTTCTATACAATACATACTAATATTTAGCTTTTCTATATATAATTTTTGTTGGTTTTTTCATCCGTCTTCGAATTTATATAAAAGATTAAAGTAGTTAATTTAAGAAAATTTTCAATTTTTTTTATTCCTTTTTGAAAACGTTTGTTTTAAATATGTGGTTTTTTGTATTAAAGCAAAATATATATTATTACAGGTTTATAAATCTTATTTGTTTAAGGGTTTAACCCTAAATAGTGAATTTTTTTAACCGATCCTTCTCAGCTAAGAAATTAGAGTAATGGATATTTTAATTTTTTAAGTAAAATTTAAATTATTCAATTTCTAAGTTTTTCTGCAATGCCATTTTTCTTTGGAACAGGATTGAATCATGTATGAGTATAAATATCTGCTTAGTGGTTCTGATAAAATTTATTAGGTCGGAAATGATGTTGATTAACGTTGATAATATAGCACTTAGAGATAACGACTATAACAAAATGTCGTTTAATTCAAACACCATGGATGATTCGTGTTTTTTGTTTTTAAAGTATCCTTTTATGAGGGATAATAGACCATTTTTCTCTGAAGTAAATCCTTATTTTTCTCAAAACAAATATCTAGATACAAAAGAAAATGTTATATATGATCTAAATATAAACAGTTTGCAAAGGTCTGCTTTACTAGCTTCTCAGAATATGAATCAGGGGAATACTTTTCAAAAATATAATTATGTACCAGGAATTAGAAATCAAGAACATTATGGGTGTAGTCCAATGTGCACTCCTGTTATCAGTTATTCAACAACGGATCCTTTAACATCGTTTTTCGATTACGAAAATAACACTGGATTTTTTAATGTTAATAATGTTGATCATATCTCAAGGCAAAATGAGTGTTTATCATCTGATGTTGGAATTTATTCAGTGGATACTGAAGTGTTGTCAACTTCGGCTAATATGAATAATGGCTTTCATTCACAGCATGTTCCAGACACTTTTCTTCCGTCTAATAATGTTATGATGACTGATACAAATGATTTCTCCGGATTTCAAAAAATGCTTTTTATAAATAATTCTAATATGAAACAAAATATGTGTTTTAATTGTGGTGTAGACGAAACACCATTGTGGCGGCGTACACCTGATAAGAAATATTTATTATGGTAATATTGATTTTAGCTTTATTTTAAAATAGTAATTTTTATTTAGCAATGCCTGTGGACTTTATTTGAAGCATTATAAGTATATGAGGCCTTTCGGGTCTCGTCATAAGAAGCTACCTAATTCTCAATTAAGATCATCTGCAAAAATGGTTTGTGTAAATTGTCAAGTTACTCAGACATCTTTATGGCGTAAAAATGAGTTTGGTAAACCTGTGTGTAATGCATGTGGTCTTTATGAAAAATTGCATCATACACAGCGGCCTGTTACCATGCGTAAAGAACAAGTAGTTCGTCGTAGACGTTACAAGAATTTTGTAGAAGATTCTCATAACGCTAAAGGTGATGATAGTGTTAATGTATCTGATAATAAAGTTTAGTGCATGTATGTTTAGTTTTTTGTTTTAGAGTTGTTTTTTGTTAATATTTGTTAATATTTATTTTTTTTAATACTTTATTAATTTTTTTACAAAAAACTTTAAGGTTTTTGTTAGAAGTTAAAATTTTTCTTGGCATTTGAGTTCAAGATTCTATTATTTATTTCTAATGGTTATGAGGAAATAATTAAAACAAAAAATCTAAGGCTAAATTGTATATTGATAAATTTTAAAGTGTAAAAATCTTTATTTTTGTAAAAATATGTTTAATATTTGATAATTTGATAAATTCGTTAGAATACATTTTTTTATGTTTTTTCATTTAAAAAAATCATTACTTGAATTACAAATTGAACGGATTTTGATATTTAAATTAATTAAATAAATGAGCAAAAATAAATGATTTAAAGATATTAATATTACTTATATTAAATGGTATCCTTAATTTCATCTGTTAGTTTCATTCCACGTGGTGTTGCTGCAGAATTTCCAAGAAAATATGTTTTTGATGAAAATGAATATAAAAAAATACATAAATTGATTGATCTGCAAGTAGAAAATGTAAAAAAGAGCCATGAAAAAAAGGAAAATGAAAAAAATAATGAGTAGGGTTTTTCTAAAATATTATTTTTCTTTATTTAATATGTCAATAGTGGAATTATGTCTGAAGATGAAGAAGTAATAAAAAAATATGATTTACAGAATTATGACATGGATTCTGATGAAGATCAGCGTATAATTATAGTTCATGATCTTAACCTGGCTTTTAATAATTTTAGGCATGGGAATATTTACAAATATTAAAGATTTGACGTATTATGAAAATGAAGATGATCCATATATTGTTTTAAAAGATGTATAATAGTATGTTTTTAGTATTATATTAAGATATAAAAGGACAGTTCTCATGAGGAGAAAGAGGAGCTTCAAATATTACCGACTGATTATATTATTTTATCTGCTAAAACAGAAGATGATATTTCTTATCTTGAAATATATATTTATGAAGCACCTGAAGATAACTTGTATGTGCATCATGATATAATGCTTTCAGCTCCTCCTTTATCTTTAGAGTGGTTTAATTATAAACCTTACAATGAATCTGATATTTCTGGAAATTTTGTTGCAATAGGAACATTAGATCCTGATATAGAAATTTGGGATTTAGATATTATTGATCCTTTATATCCTACTGCTATACTTGGAAATCCGAAGAAAAAGAAAAAAAGTAAGAAGGGAAAGAACAAAAAAATTAGTTCAAAATATCATGTAGATTCTGTTTTAAGTTTATCTATAAATAAACATCATAGAAATATTTTGGCATCTGGATCTGCTGATACCTCAATAAAAATATGGGATTTAGAATCATGTACTTGTACTGATTCATATGTTTACCATAGTGATAAAGTATCATATATTGAATGGCATCCATTAGAAACAACATTATTATTATCCGGAAGTTTTGATCATACATGTATGATATATGATTCACGTTCTTCTATGTCTAATATACATAAATGGGATCTGAACAGTGATATAGAATCTGTAAGATGGGATTTACATAATTCTTTTCATTTTTATGTAAGATAATGAAAGTTTTGATTAAAAAATAATAAATTCAGGTATGCACTGATTCTGGAGTGGTTTATTTATTTGATACTAGAAATCTTTCAAGTAATTCAAAACATGTAAATCCAATTTGGAGATTAGAAGCTCACGATGGACCTGTTTCTGCATTTGACATTAATTCATTCATTAAAGGGTATTTTATAACTGGATCAACAGATAAATTGATTAAATTATGGAATACATATGGAAGTGAAGGGGGACCGAGTATGATTTCATCAAAAGATATTGGTGTAGGTAAAGTTTTTTCGGCTCAATTTTCTTTTGATAAAGAAACAATGTTTTCGCTAGTTGCTGCAGGAAGTAATGGTATTGTTAGAATATGGAATACTCTACAAAGTAGAGCTGTTAGGAATACTTATGGAAACAATGTTAACATATCTGATACAAATGAAATTATAGGTAAAAACATAATAGGGTTAGAAGATACAGAAATGTCTAATGATTAAATTTAATATTTAAACAAATAAATTATAACTCTTACAAAAAGCATGGTATCAAGCTCCAAACCTAATTATATATAAACATTTTATGTTATATATTTCGAAATTTAGCAATTAAAATGAAGATTTAATTAAACTATTAAAACTATTATCCAAACATTATTATTATATTTTTCTCCATATTATGGAATAAATTCACTGTTTTTATATGATTCTGATTGTATAAATATTTTTTAGATCCAAAATTTTTTTTTCCTCAATATTAAAAATATTGAATATGATTGAGATTTATCGTGTGCTCAAAACTGCTACATCATTTGCATTTTCAGTTTATGTAGTTTTTTCTACATTATCTGTTTCTGTAGATTCAAGGTTAAGCGTTGCAAAAACATCTTGAAATTCTTTAGTATTAAAATTGCAATTTAATTTTTGCAATTTCTCCATATCTGAAGATGCATAATGATCTTTTGACAAAGGACTGCTTGGAGAACTCAACTGTTTGTTTACATTGTTGCAAGTATTAGAATTTATAGCATTTTTTTCTTTTTTACGAAAGATGTTCAATTTTCTTAGATTTGAATTTTTAGATATCTTTTTTGAATGTTTTATATTTTTTTTCGCAATTTCTATACTTTCCAGCAACTCTCTTTGTCTTTCTCTATGTTTATCTGGATCAGGAACTTCGATTTCTTCGAATTCTTCACTTCGAATAACCCATCCTACTTTTTTCATAAGCTTTGGCATCGCTTCACGATAATACTAATATAACGTTAACCATATATATATATATATATAATTTAGAAAGTCTCACCATATGGCCGTCTACCAAATCAGTTAGATCAAGATTTTCTATATTAGGCAATTTTTCAATAGGTTGTAATCCTGCTATACGTCCTATTCCACTGTATGTAATCCGAAATAAGCATCCCAAAACCCAATCATTTGTGATATAGCCATTAACAAATCGACCTGCTACAACTGATGATGCTTTGATCCAGTTATTTTGATTAATAACAACAGGTGTACCGAATAAATAAACATCTTGAATAATACCATATGCATGTTTTCGAGCTAATTCTAAAAGGCAATAATATATTACTCGAGAACCTAAAGAGAAACCAACTAAACTAATAGGCCGAACTCCTAATTTCCGATGAAGAAGAATATCTGCTAATACCTTTTATGTAATTAAAAATCGAATTCAAATGTAATATAACTTACAATACCGGCAGCTTTTGCACGTTGTAAAGATGTTATAAATGGATTATCTATCAAATACCCCAGTTTGGTTAACATTAATGGCCACTGCAAAGCGTTCATTAAAGCAACTAAAACTGTTTGTCCAAGAACTTGCTGTAAAGATTGTGTTAAAATCTTTCATGGTTAACATAGCATTCAAAAAAAAATAAAAAAAACCTCTGTTGCAAGAATATTAATACTTTTCCCCATTGATTGAAGTATTTCTGGTTCCCATAATACCTATATGAAATGATTATTATAGAAAAAAATCATTTTATATTTACTGAATAAACATCACCCATAATTGGATCTATAGTGGAAAATGGAAGTCTAACATCATCTTCATTAAGCATCCAACTGAATGAATTAGATATCAATATTTAAATTATTAATAATATTTTACCCGGGAACTGTTATTAAAAGATTAAGGCGTTTATTGTCATAAAGAGGCTTAAATTCAAAAGTTTCAATATTTTTAATTCTATTAGACATCTTTTTAACTGCAATACTACTTCCAGTAACGACCCCTTTAAATATTTCATTAATAAAACAAATGAAAAGAATAGCTTATACCTCCAGTAGTTATTAAAGCTGCTCCTCCTGATCCTGCCAAAAACCCAGTAGTTCCTGCAACACCGATAGTTGTAAATGCTGCTCCTAACCCTGCACCAATAAGAGGCGCTAGTATCCCTGACGAAAGCCCAATTACTAAACCCCCGCTAATAGTAGCTAAAGCCATTAACATATACCGTTTATTTTTCGGCAAATTATCCCTTATTACAACAGCATCTCTATTTTTAGAGGTTTCGAATTTTTCTTGAATAACTAATTCATCAGTAATTCTTTTTTCAAACATGGTAATTTCCAAAGCAGAAACTGAAAGTGTTTTCCCTAGCCTTTGCAAAAAAACTCTTGAACGAGAATCATAGACGGAATCCGCTACTAATAAAAGAAAAAGATCACATAAAATTGTCCAACGTATATCTAACTTCAAAATATCTTTATTACTAAAATCAGATGAATTTTTGAGCGCGTTAATATTTGATACGAATAATGGAGGCTCTTCGGCATTCAAATCACCGTAATTGTTCGAAGAGATATAAGTAGGGTGATTAGTATGTGTAGACGACATGAGTATAAATGCCATGTCACTAACTACAACACCATGTTTAGATAATCTTTCGACCATTACTTGTTCTTTTTCGGCATTAATAATGAATTATTTATTATTTTCATCTTACCGTCTGGCGAAATGTCCATATGAGCGTATAGTCTTGCCAGTATCTTTTGACTCCACAGTTCCATATTCTGAGAAGCACTTATAAACATATGCCCATTATTCCTTCTAAGAGGTAGAGGCAATGATGAAATCTCTTGAATCATCTCTACAAGAACTAATTTACAAAGGCTAACATAACTTCAATGTAAGCTTTTTTCTTAGATTTTTAACCGGGAAAATTACGCTATTCTCTGTTCTTCACTAAGAAGATCTTTCGTAAACTCCATTTGTGAAAGAATCGTTAAATCGTTGTTTCCCGCAGTTTCATGAGAAAACAAATATGACGTCTTTTCATCCAGAGATTCATCGGATAAATCATTTTCATCCAGATTCAACTTTGTGTATCCTTTCGAATTCTCTTCTTGCCATTCATTCGCTAATGGCATCCTCATATATTGGTCTTCCTCTTCCGATTCTAAATCATTCGACATTAAATATTCCATTGTTTTCCATTCATTTGTAGATTCTCCAAGGCATGCATTATATATCTCGTTATGTATATTATCTAAATATAAAACGCTCCCATTATTTTTACTCGAGAAACTGCTTTACTTACCCTGATTTCCCAAATGCGATAAATAAATCGGTATTTCCATCTCTTTTTCATCTCTTTCATCATATCCGTAGATTTCAGGTGCTTTCTCTATCTCCTTTGCCTCCTGTTCATTTTCACTGTATTCTTCTTTTTCCTCAATACAGTGAAAAAAATTATCTTTGTCAAATTTTGTTTCAAAATTTAGATTCTCTGTCCATGACGCTTTTTCTTCAAATAAAACTCTGCTATTTTCACATTTTTTCTCAAATAATTCATGGAACTCTTCTTCCTCTGCTATATCTCTTTTTTCTGCATCTCCAAACTTCATTTTAAACTTTTTTAATCCTTAAAACAAATTCCCGTATTTTTGTCTTTTAATTCCCCAAAAACCGGGTTTTAATCCCCTGGGAAAAACAAAAAAATCTTATTTCCTGTTCCCTATGTGTTTTCGTGCACTCATAGGCCAATATTTCTTTTTTATACTCGTATCCCTTGTTCTTATTTAATATTAAAAAATCCGTCGTTAAAATTGATACGATGTTAAATTTCCGTGCTTTGTAATCCGAGTTCATTGACTGCAAAAATATTAAAAATATAAATTTTGTTCAGTTTTTGCTCATTTTTTGCCGGATAAGTGCTAGAAAGTTTCTTCTTCTTCTTCTCTGTGCTTTCTTTCTATTGGTTTCCTCTGGAGCAGCTTTTACACCGTTTTTTATGTGGTTTTTGTGCCGGAAAAAACCAAATACTCTTTAGGCTTATTTTAAAGCATTGTATGGCCGTGCTATTCTTTCTGTATATATATATATATTCTATATAATGTCTTTGAATGCTTGTTTTGCCTTTTTTTCTGCTTTTTTTCTCCCTTTTTCGGAGTATATGCACTTTGCACTTTTTGCAAATATATTATGAAGCAGCAAAAATCATAAATAATATATTTATGCCTCAAAACTACTTAAAAACACATCGTTTTCCCCAATATTTGTGCACAATATCGTCTTTTTACTCTTATTTTAACTCGCTATTTTATCTGGTTTTTTTTACGTTGAACGGTTTACTTGTTTGAAAATCATGATTGAGCGTACGCCTTTTATATCTTTGGGACGTTATCGGTACTTTGGACGGATTTTGGATATCAGTAATAATTGATAGATATTTGCGGACGCTGTTTTTGATAAAACGTGTGAGTTCAGGAATACTTGCTGCAGGGCTTTCAGGGCTTTTTGTGTTTTATTATACGGATTCTCGTGCAGGAATTCATACGTATGGAACGAACTTTGTGCTACGTACTTTTTTTCCGGCAGAAATAGGACATCAGATTGCTTTGAAGGTTCTTCAATGGGGATTGGGGCCATGGGATAAGAAAACAGATGATACAGCATTAATGCTGAATGTATGAGGAGTATATTAGTGTTTTTTGAGTCTAAAAGATCAAGATTTGGGGGCGTACGGTGTCAAATCCTGTGGGACTTGCAGCGGGGATGGATAAGCAAGGAGAGGCTATAGATGGGCTGTTAGATCTTGGATTTGGGTGCATTGAGATTGGGACAGTGACACCGCGTGCTCAAGTAAGAGAAGAGGATGTTTCTGTCTGTAGATAATGAGTGGGATAGCCGGGAAACCCACCGCCTCGTTTTTTCCGTTTGAACAAGGATGCTGCAGCAATTAATCGGTATGGATTTAATTCCGATGGCTATGATATCGTAATACGGCGTTTGCACAATCGGATTCTTAAATATGCAGCTGATCATTGTCCTGAGTTGAGGAAAATGTCTATTTCCCAACTAGCACAGCTAGCCAAGAGCGTAGAATCAATAAATTTTTTGGATATTCCAAAAAGTCTTAGGAGAAATAAGCTTCTAGCGATTAATCTTGGAAAAAATAAGGATTCAGATGAAATAAATGATTATGTAAAGGGTATACGTCGTTTGGGGCCGTATGCAGATATTTTAGTAATGAATATATCAAGTCCCAATACACCGGGGTTACGGCAACTCCAACAAAAGGATTCCCTTGAAGCGCTTTTGTTAGCGGTAAACTCTCGATACGTTAGTTAGATTTTTTAATTTGTAAAGGCTATTCAAGAACGTGATCTTTTATCTGATCCAAAACCTGCTTTATGTATTAAAATAGCACCTGATTTAAATGACTCTGAATTAGATGATATTGTTGATGTTATTAAAAGGATACCAATTGATGGAATAATTGTCTCAAACACTACAATACAAAGGCCAAAGAGCCTTAAGGATGGTATTTTAAATATATAAATAAAGTATTAATTAAATAAATAATAGATCGGTTTATACATGAACAAGGCGGCCTTTCAGGGCCTCCTTTAAAACCATTGGCTCTTAATATTTTAAGAGCTTTACGGAGAAAGTTACCTAAAGATTTTATTATTATAGGTTGTGGCGGGATTTCATCAGGAAAGGATGCTGTGGAGTATGCTCGTGCTGGTGCTTCTTTAGTTCAATGTTATACTGCCTTTGGGAAAGTTATATTTGTATAAAACTTCTAAAATTAATGTAAATTAGCTATGAAGGACCTAGATTTCCTAGACGTTTAAAGGATGAAATTTACAATGAATTAAAAGGGAAAAAATGGGTAGACATTATTGGTATAGATGAAATAAAGGATAATTGAAGTTATAATTAATGAATATGCTATACGTTTTTCTAAAAATACATGGGAACATATAAAACATGTACAAAAAAACGGTATTTTAATCAAATCTGCTTACCAAAAACTTATTATCAACCGTAGTTTTTTTCCGCTTCCATTGTTTTATCTTTTTCAAAACAAGAACCAAACATACAACCAAAATTATAACTGTAATCACATAAATAGTAATAGCAATATAGTAACGTTTTTTCTTAAAACGATCTCTTTCTTTTCCAGTAGCATCAGGCGTGCCCTTTCCTGTGTATTTTGATACAATTTCGAGAAAATCCAAAACAGATCTTTTATTTAATTTAATATAAGAATTATTCGAATGTTTACTCCAATATCGTTTTTCCTTTTTATATATTAGTATATAAGTCAATAAATAAGAGAATAACTACCATTGGTTTATAAAAAATAACTTTTGCTTCATCATCGGTTTTTCTTAGTCTGAATTTTTTATATAGCCATTTTTTCCAAGTTATACCATTTACCCAAGCAAATTGTATTGAATTTAAATATGCATTATTTTCAGAGTTTTTTACAGTTTTAGAATGTTTAGATTGCCATTCACGCAAAATGCTTTTAATTAGATTTGTTTTCTGCTTTGACTCTCCAGATTGATAAAATACAACTAAAACAACAATATGTTTTTTCGTTATTTCATCAATATTGATAACTGTTAATTCTGGAAAAACAGGTAACCAAATATCTCGCATCCATTCAAGAAGAGCTTCTTTGTCTCGCATACTTCCCGAGTCTTGAGCAGGATAACGTATTACTTGATGATCGCGAATGGCTACAAGAGAAGAATATTGATTGTTTAAAGAGAGGCCTTTAAATATAGAAAAATTTGAGATCTTAAGTAATGGTGCTTTTCCAATCAATACTATGGAGAACCAATGAAGCATATCCTAAAGAAACAATTAGAATTTCGATAAATTAATTATTTAAGCTTTTAAGGTAAAGCTAAGGAGGGTTGATTACATTATCATAATAGTCTTCATGAGGACAAAAGTATATAAAAAAGACAAGATATTTTGCATAATATTTATTAAATGTTTTGGAATCATTGACGTTTACTATGTTTGACCTGTTTTCAAAAGTTAGATAGGTATAAAGTAAGGCAAAGATATACAATAATACTTTCAAAGAGAACAACCTAAGATTATAATACTTCTTAGGACCTTTGTATTGAAAGCTATAAAGACCTCTATAGTAGAATAAAGCGGGAACAGCGCTAATATTCAATTTAGTACAAAGTTCTCTTTCTTCATCACAATTGACGTCTCCGACATTCATTCTTCTTCGCAAAGACATGGCTAGGCGTTTCCAGTCACCAAGCATACGAGCACAATATGGACATGAAGGCACAAAAAACCGAATAAGCCATCCGTGATGTCCACTAAGTACCAAAGACGTGAAATTATGTAATGTAATAGTCACCGATTTTCCATATTCGTTCACTAATGTGCGTGAATGTGCTAAATCAATGTCTTGTTTTGGAGTATCAGGTGACGTTGTCTGCTGCTCTTTTTCAAGTTTTGAATAAATAAAAGCAAGAATTTGATCTACAGCAGATACTGATATTGTTTCAAGAAGTAGCTCTTCATCCTGTTTACCGCGCTTATAACTAACTACTGTTAATTCGCATCATATAAAAAGTAAAGCAGCAGAAAATTGCAAAGAGACGCTTTGAAAAACTATTTTAGATGCGTCATCGAAAATTGCTGCAAAAGGGCCTTACAATACGAGCTTCGGAACGTAAGCGACATTTAAGTCTTTGCAAAATGCTGTTGATTCATTAGTATTAGTAAAATATATTAAATTATTGCACTGAAGTTGTATGTAATGAGCAAAATGTAGGCAAATAGTCGATCAAACACTAATATTGTATAATTGATCAACGGATATTGTTAATGATGCCAACTAACAACTGTTCAACTTCTTTCTAGGCTTAAAACTGCATCATGAATTTCGTGCTAAATGTTATGACTTACATCTATATGATAAACAATTCACCTCCCCAAAATGAAAGTCATATGAAGCCGAATAAATTAAAGCAGATTTTGCTGCTGATTCCCAAAAAGGCTCTGGCCTATTAGCTTTTGTATTACATTTAATATATCTTACTAAGACTCGCACAATAAGAACATGACGGTGAAAAGAATAAAATTAACCTAAAATAGAATGTTAATATTGTATTACCAATATGAATGTAATATAGTTATGGATTCATAAAAGTGTCACAATATAGCATTTTTATTATTATTTTGTAATGTTGTTAGCATGAAGATGCAAAAAAGTATAAGGACCTGTATTGATAATATAATATCATAGCATTATTGTAATCACTCTAAATTTGTTATCAGAGAAATATTGCTCAAACAATGTTTATGTAACATTGTCTATGCAGCACTAAACACATTCTAAATTGTTTTGTTGATCTTTAATATCACTGTTGAGGATTAAAATTATTCCTGTATAGAAAACAACAGGAAATAAAAACAAGCTAAAATTCTATCATCTATATATTAAAACACCAATCATACACATGTTATATGCATTCTACTTTTTTATTGAATAAATTTAAACCATATCTACTTGTCAAATCCATGTATTTTGGATATATTAAGCTTCATAATATATATGCCAGAATGCTTGTATAATGCCTAGAATATATTTGCTAAAACTTTGAGCAAAGTACAGTATATATTTTTAAAGTATTAAATATATGACACTGTAAATGCATGCGTCAAAGCACGTGTTTTTGTTAAAGCACCAACTTATTAAAGCACTGACTCTATAAAGCAGGCATTAATTGACTATATTCATGTCTTGTATATATGTTGGATTCTTAGATTTGATTTTTTGCTTAAAAATGCACTTAATCCTTATACATGCTTTGTAAACATACTTTTTTTGCTATCAAATTATTGCTTTGATATATGCGTTTTATATACATTTTGCACGCATACATTCAAGCATATGCGTTAGATTCGCTTCATAAGGCTGTATATGTACTTTATACCAGCTATATGCGTATATATGCACTGTGTATTGACACTATATACGATGTGTATGCGTGTATATGCGTGTATATATGCGCCATATATCTTCAAGCCTTTTACTCTGTCCATTGCATATTTTTGACACTGTTCTTTATTTTTGTCTATACTTACCAAAAACCACGAGAAAGCGCTGAACTAAACGTTTCTGGATTCAATTCTACTAATGCACTGTTTTCATTTTCACTATTTTCCGTATATAAATTTGTTGCTCCTAATACATCCCCTAATGTGTTCTCCAAAATAATGTCTAATGTGTCATCTTTAGGAACATATGCCCATTTTGACGCGTCTATTTGGTCTATTTTATGCAGCCCATATTCTTTATTTTCTCTGTTATTTACTGATTTATTCTCAATATCATACGCCGCCTGCAGCGTCCTAATTTGTGTCACACCGAGTGTGAGCAAAAAGCAGTACCGCCAAAAGCACTGACAAAGCATACGTGTTTTCTGGAACGAAGGACTCTCAATATATATTCTGTACACGTGTGTTCCGTATATGTTGATAAAAGGGGCACTAGAAATAAAGTAGAAAAGTTTTCATTAAAACAGAGAAAGAGCGTATTTCTATGATTTTATGGTCTAATATGCTTGGTTGTGCAGAATAAAGCGCGCTTTGTGTTTTGAAATTGACTCTCAGGGAGCTAGTTGCTATGGAAATGATTCTATGGCAACGACAACGATAAGAAAGCAGCAAGACGGAGAAAAAGACAAAGAACAAAGGAGGGGAGCAGAGAGAATAGAGAAGCCATATGTGGGATTTCCTGGGAATTTGAGTAGTTTTCTGGTAAGATCAAGTTTTCCTGAGCATATGAGTGGTTGAACGAAGTTTTTAGGTTGAATTTTGCTTGATTAAGAGCCGTGAAAAGTTTCAGCGTTGATCAGGAATTTGGGAGGGATTAGGGGGGGTTTTGAGTATATTATTGTGTATATAAATGTCATCGGATACAGTAGTAGATGCATTGTTGCTTCTGAGGGCCTCAGTGCTTCATGGAACACAGCCACGGCTTTTCAAGAAAGATGAAGAATCTGGGTCTTTTGAAGAGGCAGTATCTCTTGAAGAAGCGACACATTTAGGCTTTTCTGGAGGGGAAATGGTTGGTTTAAGGGATACAACACGGTTTGTGAGGCGTGCAACGGGTGAGGCGTTTGATGTACAAGCAATCTATTTTGCATGGTTGTTACGAGATGCAAATGTTGCAGAATATATCCAGCGTTGTGGAGAAGCAGATGTCCGTAATTTGTCATTTCTTGAGAAGACAGATCTAGTTGCTTGGCTTGATGGTGCTCCTGAAAGTGAGCATGTTTTGCCTCTGGGTAGGATTTTATTCAGCAATAGCAGATATTTTTTGAAATGGCTATGGAAAATAGCCTAAGATCTTTCTGTAGTTGTTTTTTTGGTGTTTTATGTTTCGCGTTTTCTTTTTTAGCTATTTCAGTTCTGCTTTGGATGCTGTTTTTATATTATTTTGATGTAATTTTTGATATTCTTTAGATGATGATGCAGCCATTCCAGCTGCTGCAATTGCTTTGCCAGTAGGTGCATCGGTTCGACGAGTAGGATTTGAACGACCTGAGCGCAGTTCTGTGCTTTTAAAAATTTATGCACAAGAACGGACAATTGTGTCTCGTTCGACAGTTTTGCGCGGGTTGAAGCCAATGGTAGACACTGCTTTGCTTTAAGTTCTGTGCTAATGTTTCAGGATTTTTCAGCCGTGCGGAAAGATGCATATGAGCATTTTATTTCTAAAATGCGTAATAAACAAGCATCTCCAATAGAGAATAAGCAGAAACGTATACAATGAAACTTATTTATATGATTGTTGACTTTTTGAGGCCGAGATCCAATCATTCTTCTGTCTCCATCTGCATCTTCTCTTTTAACAATGCATAATATTAAACGGTTTTTGGAAGACGGTGTTTTTGTGCCTCCGGAACAAGCAATGCAGATGAATGGAGGCAGTCGGAGTGCAGAATTGGTAGCGATCTCACATATATCACGAATTGCAAAGGGCTTATCGTATCGATTTGTCATTGTGCAAGGTGTTGACAAATTTCGACCAGATTATTGGTACTCCGGACCTTCTTTGATGTCTCTAGTCTTATATTGTCTAGGGATCGTGTAGTTTGCGTGTTCACTACTGGACAAGCATGGCAATTTAAAGAATACAAATGGTCAGAACCACGAGAGTTATTTCATCATGTTAAGGGCTTTTTAATCCAGTATGTTGGTGATCCACCGCATCCAGCAACAAAAGAATGGAATGTTGAGTCGGTCCGTATTGAAAAGAATCGTCGCCACACTGATCGAGAAGTTGTTAGTCGTCTTTGGGAGTCCTTGGTAACCAAATATCCCAAAAGCTTGTGCTAATTGCTCATTATCGTGACATAGGAGCGTTGGATGGATAATCATCCTGTTTGGAGAACTATGGGAAGACCCAGTAATCGGGTCTGAACGAATGGAAGTTTGTTTTTAAAATACAAAGATTGCTTTAATGCACAATTGGCTTTAAAATGTAGAATCTTTTAACTTTAAAAATACACACTTTTGGCTTCTAATAACTCAAAGCTAAAACTTCAGTTGATAATACATTAGATACATATTTGCAGGATGTATTAAGGTCTAGACCCAACATTCAGGTTTGGTATTTAAATCGTTGATGGATAAAGCATCTGCAGACAAAGTTAGTAGAGTCAAAAAACCAACGGCAATAGACAATCCGGACTGATGCACCTAATGTGCACGGTGGAAGGTTGTGACGGAATCTTGCTCTAACACACCCCGAGTTTCCATGCGGACGTGTTATCTTCCCCCATATAACACGAATTTTCGTTCCTCTTATTTCTTTCTTTGCTTTGTACACATATGCCACCCGTTTTCCAAGGTAAAAAAGCGTTTCTTCCTTGCTTGTTACTCCGTCTGTTCTTCCTTGTAAGTTTTTATGTACTAATCAACTCCAGTTTTTTACCAATTTTGATGATAGAAACATTCGGGTTAGAATTCCGTTTTCCACGTTGATATCTGCAAAAATATAAACAAAAATACATTTTCTATTGTCTATTGCTTACGAAAGATGTCGTCCTTTTACGTAAACTGCAAAACTGGTCAGTTCCTCTTCAAATAATATTTATCAAATCTTATTTGTAATTAACTTGTTTTTATTCATTCAACAATCCGCAAATTCCCGGATTAAATATGTTTTCCATGAAAAACAAGTAAGATCCTGTTTATACTTACGTCTGCACCGAGTTTTTCCCATTCTAACTCTTTATTTTTTCTTTAATCTTATTTTTATATTTTTTCGAGGTTATCTGGTCTCTACGAATATTTTCACGGGTTTCATCTGACATGTATGTTAGGGCTAAACCCGGTCCAACCCTATCAGACTGATAACTGTCTGAGCTGTTTATACAGAAAGCATGTTGGGTATGCAACTGAAACATGAAAACTAATTCGTTCAAACAGCTAAAACGCTTTATATTTTATTTCTCTAATGTACACACTATACACTCTGTACACTTTGTATACTCTGTCTTTTAACCTTTGCACTTTTGTGTTGCCCTGCCAATCCCTTTCTAGCAACCGTCTCCCAGCAACGCACTATGGCAGCATGCCCAGGCAACTGTTGCCTGGTAAATGCCTGGTAACCGCCTGGTAACCCGAGGGTTGCCCTCGCAACATCCACAGCAACCTCACTCCTCCTGCTTGTGCTCCTTTATTTGTCTCCAGCGCTCATTCAGCTCTACAACTTAGACTCCTTAGCTCTTGTCTTTGCATACCTGCAATGTTCTCGTAGTTTTCCTTTGTTATTTCAATATCTTCTCCAATCTTTTCTGTCAGCCTCCGCACTGACTCAAGCATTGCCCGCATCACACGAAGATTCTCCACTTCCTGCTCCATTAGCTTTATGTTTTTTTGTTTCTTTTAAACTTTTTCATTTTTTGTTTCTGATTCTGTTATATATCTGTCGATATCCATTGATATCCACCGATATTCACTGAGACACCCGAATGACCTCACTTAAAATACGTTTTTCAAAATATACACAAGTTTCTTTTCATATGTTTTCTGCTCTTTTTTTCTATTTCAAATATCCTCTTTGGCTGCCTTTGTGGCTTGTATTTCCTTTGTTTTCTTGGTCTTGTTTTTCCACTATCTCTCTGTTGCCCGCCGCCGTTTTGCCTCTCCAAGTCCCCGGTCGACCTCTCCCAACTCTTCTGCGGTCAAAAGAACCCTTTTTCGTGTATTTTGTTTCATATACGTTCCACCACACTCCCCTATCTCCCCAATTCCTTGTCTTTCGCCCCGTACTCCTCGTTCTGGAGATCCTTCTCTGCTCTCTGCCTGCACTGCATCCAGAATCCGCTTCTACCCTCCATCAGACCCTCTGCAAACCCGTCTTTTGTCTCCACTCACCATCGTTGCGTGCTGAGACTTTATCCACTCGTTCTGCCGCGCCTCAAACCTCTGTATTGTCTCTGACAAGTCTTCAACCATCCGCTCCAGCTTGTGCATCTTGCACTCGCTTGCCTTTACTGCGTCCGACACTATCTCACACAGCCGTCGGATGCTCTCGTGTCTTTCCCCTGCTGCTCCCCTCAGCATCAAGCATCATACCACACTATACTGCTCCACCACACTGCTTCACCACACTGTGCTATATAATGTTGCACAGCACTGTATAGTACTGTATTCAGTGTATAGTCCTATATACCTGTATAATATACATGTATATATAGTGTATAACATATTATATAGTGTATATATACTGTATATAGTGTGCAACATACTATAACATACAGCATAGTATAGAATGCAATATACAGCACAGTGTGCAATGTATTGTATATTGCAGTGCATAGTCGTATTGCACTGTATAGTATACAATATACAAGCACATGTTGTGCAGCACACGTATGCACTGTGCTTACTGTATATTACGATGCACACCACACATGCTATACATACAGTGCATACAACATGTATGTACAGTATACGCATAGTATATGTATAGTATATGCACAGTATATGCATAGTGTATACATAGTATACATAGTATGTGCGTATATACGCAACATGTGCTGTGTACACCGTGCATACAACACGCATATACTGTGCATATACTGCGCATACGCTGTGCATATGTGTGTATATGCGTGTATATGCGTGCATATATGCACTGTGTAGTGCTGCAGCACTGCTACAGACCTTCGACATGGCGCGCACGCTGCTCTTCGCGTGCTGACTCGAGCCATACACAGAAATCACTGCGGAGTGCCTTTGCGAGCGCTTCGAGCTGTGAGTGCCGCTCAAGATAGCGTTCAGCGTTCATTTGAACGAGCTTTTGCAGGTCTTCTGAGAGATAAAAGATCTTTTTCGCCCATATTTCAAGCGACCGACTCGCTGGCGCAGACAAGGCGGAGAGCGCCTTTGAGTCGGGTTTTGCGTCGGCCGTCGACGGCTGTTTGGAGTCGCAAAGCTCATATGCATCGTATGAATTGTATGCGTCGTATGGCGGGACAGGAGGAACGGGGGGAACAGAGGCGTCTTTGTGTAGAGAGAGCGGCTTTGGGTCGTGGAGAAACAGGGCGGAGAGGTCGTCAATCATGCTGAATACGCGCTGTATGCACTGTATGCAATGTGCAGCGCATGTACAGTGTATGCGGGTATATATATAGTATGCGCGGTATGTGCGATGATGCAGAGGTGACGCGGGTGCTGCAACGCACACATACAGTGCATATAGTATAGTGCGCAATAGTGTACTCTATACATGCATAGCATACAATGCACACCGCGCACACAATGTATATACAGTGCGTACATCGCCCTATTCCATGCGCGCTGTGCATACAGTGCGTGTATATAGCGTATACATAACGCATATACACCGTATATATGCGGCGTACACAGTGTATGTGCTGTGCATAGAGCGCAGCGCACAATGCTGTATACACCGTATGTGCCTGCACATAATATGCATATAACGTAAACGTATATACCGCACAGTATGCGTATATACTGTACGCGTTGTATGCGTTGCATGCGGTGCGCGCACACAACACGTATAGTATAGATCGTGTATAACATATAATGCGTGCACAGTATACACAGCATATAACGTATACAGCACACTGCATATACAACACATAGTCAGCAGAGCGCGCATATACAGCGGCACTGCACATACACACTATATACACCACACATGTGCTGTGCACAGCGTGCTGTGCATACGCCGCACATACAATGTATACACCGTATATACGACGCATATAACACGCATACACTGCGCATACAACACGCATATACACCGTACTATGCAATATGTACGCAGCGCCTCTAGCATACACCGTACAACAGATGCTTTATGCCGCATACAAACGCATGTATAGCAGTGTATGCACGTTGTGTCGCGTTGTATGCGCACTCTGCGTGCTGTATGCGTGTTGTCTGTACTGTGCTGCGTGTATACACTGTACGCCGCAGTGCCGCAGTATCTGACGCGTATATACAGCACACAGAATGCATAGAGTGCATATATAACGCGACATAGCATGTATACTGTGCTATACATGCGTCAGTGTGGGGCATTGTGCAGTGTGCGCTATGGACATACACTGTGCATATGTGCAGTGCGTTGTTGCTATACGTGCAGTATGTATGCACGCAGTATGCGCAGTGTGTGCACGCAACGCATAGCATACAACGCATAGCATATATGCACAGTGTATATATATAGCACATCTATACAGCATACACATGTTATATACACAGTGTACACGCACAGTATGCACACAGCCGACTATATGCCATGCATGCATGTGTTGAGTGCGTTGTATGCGCACTATATGCGTCATATATGCGTTGTATATGCGCTGTGTATGCAGTGTGCTGTATGCGTTGTGTGCTATACACACGATATATGCTATGCACGCACTGTATGTTGCACGCGTTGTATGTACGCGCTATGTATACTGCATACAGTGTATGTATAGCATATAGTGCGTATAATGCATGTAACACATAGAGTATATACAGATACACCGCGTTATATGCGTTGTCTGCGCAGTGTATGCGTGTTGTATGCGTACTGCACATACGCCACACACACATACTATGCACACATATACTATGCACATGCTATGCATATACGTCGCACATACTGTCTATACATTATATTATGCAGTGTATACACATACATAGTATACGCATCGTATATGCACTGTACATATAGTGTGCACGCATTGTATGCACTCTGCCAACCATATGCTACATATGCTATATACACGTTATATATGCTACGTTATATATGCTATACGCTATCTATGCTATATACGTTGACTATGCGTCACGCTGACTATGCGCTGTATGCGCTGTATATGCTATCTATGTGCTATCTATGCTGTGCTGACTGCTGTGCGTTGCGTTGTATGCGCTGTCATTACACACCGCATACGCGCACCCGCGACGCGACGCGTCGCGCTCCGCTCCGTTAACCCCCCGCCGCGAACACCACACGGCCCATGACGCTCACCGCTGCCCAGCAAGACTCTGCTGCTGCAAAGGTGCTCCGCCGCGCTGAGATCTCCCGCGTAAGTCTCCGTTGCTCCCTCTGCTGCTAACCCCCCAGATCACCCGCCTTCTTAAGTCCCGTCTCACCCTCGCGTCATACAAGACGAGCCGCGGATGGCAGAACCTCGCTCTTGACTCCATCGCTCCTCGTCTGACCGAGGAGCGCGTCTTTGCCGCTCCGCTCCACAAGCGCCCCCGTACCGCCCCCGACGATGCCCTTCACACTGCCTGGGCCGGCGCCCTCCGTCTTCACCAGTCTTCCCCCGCTCACCGTTCCGGCGCATACAATCCGTGCTCCACGCACTACGAGTCGCGCTCCAGTCCTCCGCAGACGCCGCCGCGCACTCGGCCGCCGCCGACCGGCGAGGAGGGCGTCGACCTCCTCATCTATCTTGCGACGTCGCCGCACGCATCTGTTGGTGCGCGTTTTGGTGCGTGTTCCTCGGCTCGTTGGTCGTCTCTGCTGACTGGGGCTGCAGTGCCGCACACGCCGCAGAACTTCGACCTCGCGGACTTTGTTAACATCACGCCGTCGCCTGCACAAGCTGCCTGGACGCGAACGCCGGGCAGTGCGCGTCGACGGCTGACGTACGACGCGCCGAGCGCTACGTCGCCCGCGCTCGAGCTTGGCGAGGAGCTGGCGATGTAACGTCTACTTGGCCGTACAGCCGTGCGCCTCGACATAGACAATGCGGAAAGTGTTGCACCAGGCCTGTTGGGTTAGTAGAGGCTGGACAGCGTGATGAGTACCCCGACTGACGCGGCGACACCGGCAACGAGGTGGCCGTGCGGTGGCGCGACGCAGCTCCGGGCTCCTGAGGGCGTGCCATAGACAGGGCTGGAGCGGTTAGCATGGAGTGAAACGTGTCTTGACGTACCTTGTGCGGCCCCAGCTTGTGGCGACCTGCAACGCATCGATCCAGACGGCGGACCACACGTAGAAGGCGCTGATGCGCTCTCCCCGGGGGCCGTCGATGGGGAAGGCGTGAAGGGAGCCGCCGCGGCCCGAGAGGAGTGTGGAGGAGTGGTCAGCGAAGAGGAAGCCGATACCGTCTATGTACAGTCCGGAGCGCACGCCTGGGCAGGTGAGATGAATGGTGGAGGGAGAGTTAGAGGAGAGGGGAGGGGGCATACGGATCTCTGTGAGTGTGTGGAGCCGATCGGAGAAGTCGATAGTGGACTCGGGGAAGGCGGGGTTGAGGTGACCGAGGATACCGCTCCTGGTGCCGAGGCCGAGGGCGAGTGGGAGGGAGGAAGAGGAGAGCTCGGCGGCAAAGTCGTGGATGACGAGCTCACGGAGGGCGGCAGAGAGCACGAGGACGCGCAGGGGCTCATTGCGGTGGCGGAGATTGGCGTGGTCGCGGAGGGCGGCCTCACGGAGCAGAATGTCTTTTCTTGGTGAGTCGCAGAACTCGATGTGGCCGTGGCAATGGTCGCCTATGTATATTTCGATGAGCACGACGCCCTCGCAGGAGACGACATGGAGCCCGTCCTTGACGGGGTAGTAAAAGAGATTGGTGTCATTTGCAGGGGGGTCGCTTGGGAGGCCGAAGAGTGGATGGTAACGGAACCGGACAAGGTCTAGGCGGTGCCAGGTGCACTCGGAGTCAGGAAGACAGGGGCCCCAGGGGCGGGTTTTTGTCCGCACGGAATAGGACTCTTTGGTGCAGAAGGACCTGTTGAAGCAGAGGTAGTCGCGGTGCATGATCCCGCTGGGCCGGTGAGGACAGCCGAGGAGATGGCCGACTTCATGGAGGAATGCGCCGATTCCTATGTTTGCACACTCCCAGTTTGTTGAGCTTTGGTTGTTGTCGTTAGCGACGTACTTTGTGTCAATAGGCGTATCGTCGAGGAAGGTGGGTACTATTTCCTCCATGCAGGAGGGGAAGGAGTGCATAGAATGGGACCCGAATATAGCTAGTCGGATTGAGCCTATAAATTAGTATATACATGCAGTTTGAATGATGCATAGTGTGTATATATGTCTACACATTAGCGATGACCATACCTGTGTAGCCGCCTAGTGCGGCGTGGCCCAGAATGGTTTTTCCGTCCCAATGGCTGTCTAGGATGCATGCGGCGACGTGTACAGGGGAATGTGATGCAAAAGGTCCGCCGTATTCTTTTAAGCTTTCATAAACCACTTTTCCGAACAGATCATGGCATCTTTTGGCAGTGGGATTTTGTTGTGCTAAATCTATGTCTTGAATTTCTAGAAAATGCATTTAGCTGTTTTCCAGTGCACATGTAAAAACTAGCCTTTGACCATGTACTTGGATTGAACTATATGAATTTTGGCTGTTTGACGTATGATGTTTTTTTCGCGATATGATAAAGTATCATAGGTTGCTTCATCCTCAAAGCGAAAACAGCGTCTTTCAAAGCCATTTCTAGCCATCTGTTCACCAGTAAATGCCTGCCAGAGATATGCAATCATTCGAAGTTTTTTTACTGCCAGTTCTAGTCTATTGCCTTCACGTTTTTTACGCAATGGTGGTGCATCATATTCTCCTAGAAAAGAGTATTAATTTTGTGTAAAAAATGCCATTCATGGCCAGCTCAACTTGGGGAATCCTTTGCCAATATAATTGCAAGATAAAGAGGTGGATTTTGGACCACATTCAGATAATTTATAAGAATAACCGAAGAAGATGGTTGCATACACATATTCTGTGGCGGATAAAAGACAAAAGATACACGATTAAGGCCCGGATTCAGGTGAACTAAACATTTAAAGTGTGAATGTGTGCCTATGATGCCTATTAACAGCCTGTCCACCGTGAAGAATGCTTACATGGCCATGATTGCGTCGGAAAGCTATTTTGATCATGATGAACCACAATCACACTATCTGGTATTGCTTCTGGGCCTGCCTTTCCATACACTAATAAAATACGCTGCTTCATTGGCTCAAAGAGCAGAATATACACAATGCCTTACCTGATAGACTGTTTCTCCATCTGATACATTTTGAATTTTTGGAGGGTATTTCCCTTGAGTTAGAGACATGGGTTTTGGAGAAATTGTTGGCCATACAGACATCTCTACAAAACCAAAATGTTTAAAATATCAAACAATAATTAAACCAATAAGTTATAGCAACTCAAATGGTGTGTTTTATATTCGGTTCTAATAAACTATATTCTTCTGTACTAAATTTTATGCTATTAACACTTATCAATGAATCATAAAACAAGCCAGAACACTCGGCTAATCTATTTTGAATTATTTTGAATATATGTGCCTTATTTCAGAGTGTATATGCGCTGACTATGATGTATATGTCTTTTATAACTAGTTGTATACAATTAAATTTGATTTAATATATCAAAATTTCAAAAATAAAACACGTAAATCCTCAAACAGATAGAGAAAAATCAATGAATTGGTTTCCTTGATACATACGCTAATGTATATGCGTTTTATATGCGTGATATATGCACTGTGTTTGTTGTATATCTGTTGTTTACTGTATATATATTATATATACGTTTTATATACGCCTTGTATGCGTATTATATGCGTATTATATGCTTCTTGTATATGTTATATACTGATCCACTTTTTCACCAAAGTTAAATTAAAGCACTGCCCATCTGTTCAGCAGCTAATTGCAGAATTACTGAACGTTATCGGAGTGTATGCGTCTTCATAAAGGTTTTCTGGACACACCGAGATTTAGGTTTTTTGAAAAAACAAGCTTTAAAACACGCATATACAAGCCGTTTTGTACCAAAATCTGTATCAGAGCCACTCTCCCTACTAACGTCTATAATGGCTTCTGCTAAATGTATCTTTTGCAAGATTGTTCTCGGTGAAATGCCTTCATTCAAGCTCTATGAAACCGAAAAATCGTAAGCCTCTTTTGTCCTATATATGCCCTCATTCATACAGGCTTGCATTCCTTGATATACAGCCTCTCAGTGAAGGCCATGCTCTTGTTATTCCTAAAGAACATGCTGAAAAGATGCATGAGCTTAGTGATGACTCTCTTAATGATCTTTTACCTCTTGCAAAGCGACTTGTTAATGCAATGGATCTTCAGGATTACAATATATTACAGGTATAGAAAAAGATGCACAACGCGATATACGGGACTATACAGATCGGGCTAAATGGATATAGAATAATGGTCGGCTTGCACACCAAGTAGTTAATCATGTAAAGACATGTAATTACAGATACAATTGTGCTGTTAACATTCTAAAAGGTACATTTCCATTTGATTCCAAAGCCAAGAGTTAGTGAGGGCCTTCGTTTTGGCTTCGATACAGCTAAAGCTGTCGGAGAAGACTCGCTCCGAAATGTTGCTGAGCAAATCCGAAAACGGCTTAACCAGTTATAAATACACGTTGAAACATAGATTTTGAATAGCATTATACAGTTTTTTGTATATAGAAGAGTGTCTGTGTGTACCATGTTTATACATATTTTAACCGTGTTTTCTACAAATATTATATCAGGTCACGTAGGTATCACGTGATTTCCTCACCGGAGATGTGGCCGAGCAGTAGATGAAGTGGTGTGTGGTGCATTAGACTTGAAAGAAGACTGGCGTGCAGAACGGGTAGATTTCGCAGATAATTTTGGAGTTGAAGGAGGTATCTGACGTGTATTTTTTGATGGGCGTTCAACAAAAGATGTATCGTTGGTCGTGAAAGTCGTATCAGCCGATACATCTAGGCGGCTGCTGGAAACGTTGGACGGTACACCACCAGGTGCATTGAATATGCCTGAATAAGATGTATCTGTGTAACGGGAGTCATTTTCTGCACGTTTAAATGACTGATGGACGGGTGCCTAAAAACAATGATTACAAAGATATCAATCGATAAATCTCATTAAACCTCAGGAAAATCAACACAAAAGGCATTCATATTAAGCCCATACAAAAATGAAGCAAAGCTTTCATTAAAATGCACGAGATTTGCGTGAATCGACTGTATATGTTCAAAATTGTGCTGCACATCTGTCAATGCATCTGCCATCTCTGCAAATGCTGGTGCAAGTGCATCAAGAGGAAATGGATCTTGGCGACTCCATGATGCTGATAAATGTGATAATCCTCCCTTTTCAATCCGCCTTAATGGTGTTGTTGGTCGTGATCTTGGCTTGGACGGCATGGTTTATCCGTGCTGTCGTTTCAATAGAGTTTACCAAGTATTACAAGTTTTTACTAACAGGTTGTCAAGGCAACGCTATAATATATAACAAGGATGTAATTGGAGAGATGTATGTATTATTGGACAAAATATCCTTAGAAAACGTCTTTATTGTGTTGTTTTTGATGAATTTGTATTATAAATATTGTTTTTCATAGCGAAATAATATAACTCCACAATCAAAGATTTGTCATGGAAACGTGAGTCGTTATAGCAACACTCGAGTGTTATAATCATTTGATCATTTTAATAAATTATAAAATCTTTTTTATCGCAAAAACATTATTTTGATATTATTTTGCATTTTTAGGAGTTTTTGGGAACATATTTAAGGTTTTAGACGCATTTAATAAGAAATTTTGGTTTCTATATTCTGAGATTTGGGCTACTGTTTTTGTTTCAATTTGATTCTTTTTTTTATCTCTTTTCTTGCTATTATTATTATTTTGTGATATTTTTTTAAAGATTAGGAATAATTCTTTGAAAAAGTTACTAAAATATTTGAAAAATACGTATCTTAATACACAAATCAGTGTAGCGTTTGGAATAAGTTTATTTTGATGGGTAATTTAACACGGAAACAAGAAATAGCGTTGAAATGTGTATGGGCGGCTCTTTTGCATTGCAGGGCAGTTAAATGTCAGGATGAGGAGAAAAGTGATGTACAGGAAGAAAATTTAGATGAAAAAATACATGAAAAACTGGAAATTGAAGGAAAGAATCAAAATAATAATTATAAGAATGGAGCAGATGTTAAGGAAATTAATAATAGTCTTAAATGCAATGGTGATGATAATTTTAATGACAATGAACGATATGGATGGACTAAAGCGTTTGGTGAGATGTTACGGAAGGAGGGGAAAGAATTATTAGCGGTATTTTGGGAAATGATAAAGATGGATAATCCAGATCGGTTAATGCAAAGATTTTTACGTGCACGGCGGTGGAATCAAGAGAAGACAGTAGTAATGTTAATAGAGACATTGCAATGGCGACGTGAATTTAATGTAGAGGGAATATTACGTCATGGCGATGGAGATAAGGAGGAACCGGATGCCGTAATGTTTTTAAAACAAATGAAACTTGGGAAAAGTTTTATCCGAGGAGTTGATCGAGAAAATCGTCCGATTTGTTATATTCGTACGCATCTTCACCGAGCAACAGATCAGCCAGACACAACATTACAGCGCTATATTGTTTGGCTTATGGAAAATGCCCGTTTTATGATTTCCTTTCCTGTTGAAACAGCAACAATTTTTTTTGATTTAACTAAATTTTCGGTATGTTATGAAGCTGCATAAAAGCTGTTATAAAGCAAAGCAAACATATAGAACTTTTTTCAAGTAGCAGACGTTAAAAATTAACAAGATTTTTTCAATGTAGTCTAAAAAATTATGAAACTGTGTAAAAAGCGATGATGCCTTTTAGAAGGTTGAAATATTGCTTCTAAACTTTAAAGCAGCGTTTATACTACATCTATATAATTTGCACATTACACCTAGTTTTATATTTGATTCTAACGTTTTTATAGTTGAAAAATATTGATTATGCACCTGTTAAGTTTTTGATTAAATGTTTTGAAGCACACTATCCTGAGAGCATGGGTATTTGTATTGTTCACAAGGCTCCATGGGTTTTTCAAGGTATGCTAGGTTATTTTTAGGACATTTTTAAGATGTTGAAAATATATAGGCATCTGGAAAATTATTAAAGGCTGGCTTGATCCTGTTGTCGTGAAAAAAATTCATTTCACTAATTCATGCAAAGAACTCGAGGCATATATTGATATTTCGCAATTGATTAAAGATGTAGGAGGTAAAGATGACTGGAAATATGTTTATGTGGAGCCTGTTGAAGGTGAAAATGATAAAATGAAGGACACTGAAACTCGGGACAAATTAATACAGGAGCGGACACTTTTAATTCAGATGTTTGAAACATTAACGACAAAATGGATATTAGAAAAGAATGAAAAAATATCAGATCAATTATTGCATGAGCGTAACCTCCTTGCAAAAGATCTATCTCATAATTATTGGAAGCTTGATCCTTATATTCGTGCTCGATCATTATATGATCGGATTGGTGCTATTTCAGCGGAAACAAAATAATAATCTTATAAATTAGTTATTATTATAAATTAATTATGAAATAATTGTAAATAAGTTATAATTCGGCCGTAAATCAGCTATAAATATACTCTGAGTGGACTATAAATGAAATTTTAATACATATAATACTGTAGAGGCAAGGTTGAATAAAAATATTTAATATGATTAACTATTTTTGATAACAAAAATAACTTACAAGTTAATATATTTTATTATAGAAAAATTGTTTTTAGTATATCTTTACAAATCATTATAAATTAACGTTTAGCGTTCTTTGTGCGCACACCTCTCAGCTACTCAGCCTTTATATTCAACATTTTTACATATTTATAAAGATAAAACGTGTATAAATTTATAAAGATATAAATAAAACGTAAATAAAGCCTAAACGGATCATAAAGGAGGAAAATAGAGCACAAATAAAGCTCTTTTTCCACAGAGATGGTACGCCGAACTGCTACAAAAGGCTCACCAGTACGACGACGGATAATTGCATCTGATTCAGATGATACAGAAGATAATATACGAATACAAAAAGGAAAAAAAGAACACATAGAAGTTGTTATAACAGACGCACCAAATGTTTCATCTACTTTATCAATTAAAAACATGCCAATGCAAGTGTCACCAAGAAAAGTTACTGCATTAGCAGCTGAATTTTCATCATTGAATGTTGATGGATCTATTAACAAGGACGAACAGATACAAATAAAACTAAAGGGTGTAAAAATGCAAAAAGATCAACTAGAAGAAGGTATAAAAACAACGTGCAAAGTATCCGTACCCGTTCAGCGAGTACCATTGGCAACTCTTCCCTCGTCTTTTATACATTCACCTTCATCTCGAGTAACATGTTAGTATTTCTATTGTTATTTTATCTTGGACTTATCTTGGTATTATCAGATCAGCAAATGGATATTGACAAAACGCCTAAAGAACGGTTGATAATCTCACAATTGGTATTAACGAATTTTAAGTCGTATGCGGGACGACAATGTATTGGGCCATTTCATCCAGTGGGTTTAGGGCAGTTTTTTTAGACTAATTAATCAATCTAGTCGTTTTCTTCAATTGTTGGGCCAAATGGTTCTGGAAAATCAAATGTTATTGATGCTTTGTTATTCGTTTTTGGTTTTCGTGCAAGTCAGATGCGTCAAAGCAAGATTTCAGCATTGATTCATAAATCTCTTGAACATTCTGACCTTGAATGGTGTAGTGTAGAAATATATTTTGAAGAAATACAAGAAACTGTGGGTTCGGATGTTTTTTCCGGAAGATCCTGATTATTATATACATTTTTTAATTCAAATATAGTCTTCAGACGTTAAATATATAATGAAACCTGAGTCACGTATGGTAATTTCACGCAAGGCTTTCAAAAACAATACAAGCAAATATATGATTAACAATTGCGAGAGCAGTTATACCGAAATTACATCACTCCTTCGTAAGAAAGGAATTGATTTAGATCATAAGCGATTTCTTATTTTACAGGTGTGTATAATTTTGTTATTGATGTATATTTAAAATATTCGTAAAGGGAGAGGTGGAATCTATTGCACAAATGAAGCCTAAGGCTCAGAATGAACATGAGGAAGGTTTATTAGAATATTTAGAGGACATCGTTGGTACATCTAATTATAAAAAACCAATTGAAGAAATGTCTATTGAAGTTGATCGATTAAATGAGCTTTGTGAGGAACGTTCAAATCGTGTTTTTGTTGTTAAAAAAGAAAAAGATAGTCTCGAGGCAAGAAAATTATAGGTATTGATTTTATCCATTATTCTTACTTTTTTAGACCCATAAAGAAGCAGTGTTATCATATATTAAAGATGAAAATGAATTAGTAATGAAACAATCAAAACTTTATCAAGCATATGTTTTTGAGTATGACAAAAGTGTTGAAATAGCAAAAGAACAAATTGTAATTTTTTTTTTTAAAACTAGTATTAGTGCTAATAGAGTTTAGGAAAAATTAAAAAAAGTGATAGATATGGATGAGTCTAACCATAAAGCAAATATTAAAACAATTAAAGAATTGGAGAAACAGTATGAAAGAGTATTAAAAGAGCATGAGGCAAGTAATATTGGTTATTAATTAGCTATACTTATTTGATTAGAATTTGAAAAATGATTTAAATAATGCTCAAAAAGAATTTACGAAATATGATCAAGAAAATATTAAATTACAGGAAAAACAGAAACATCTTCTACAAAAATTGAAAAAAAATAACAACTTAATACAAACAGTAATATAGAATTTTAAAATGAAAAATATTAACATTATTTAGAATTCTCATTCTTATTCAGAATCTGTAATATGGATAGAAAACTATATTCAAGAGATTAAATCTTATGAAAATGATATTTGTGTTTTGAAAAATAAATTAGAGCTAGAGACAAAGGAATTAGGGAAAATAAGATTTGATCTTAAAGGTATGTTCTTTATTTTTTAATATATTTTTATAATATAATAGATAAAACACAGGATATTTCGGATAAGTTAGAAGTAAAACAGAAACAATTAGAACCCTGGATTGAACAAATTAATAGTAGACAATCTAAAATTGACGTTATCAATTCTGAAATAAAGATATTTTTAGATAAGGAGAATAAATCTCAGCAAGAAATTCATAATATTCAAGAAAGAATTCGATTAATTGAAGAAGAAGAAAAGATAACAAGAAAAACAATACAACAATGCAAAGTTGATAAAGACAATAAAGAGAAGGAACTATTAATAGCTAAAGATGAATTTGAAAAAATGAAAGAAGAAGAAAGAAGGTTTAAGGAAAAGCTTTCTCAATGCCATCAAAAAGAAGATGAGGCTAAAGCTTATTTTTCAAAATTTCAAAATCATAACTCTGTTTTAACGGGTCTTATAAGACTTAAAGAATCTGGGCGTATTAATGGATTTCACGGACGTTTAGGAAGTCTTGGAACAATTCCTGATAAATATGATGTTGCAATTTCAACAGCATGTCCTTCTTTAAATCACATGGTTGTAGAAACAGTTGAGGTGGGTCAGCAATGTATAGAATATCTTAGAACGAATAATCTTGGAAGAGCTGTGTTTATCATATTAAGTCGCTTGCCTTCTAAGTCTATGGAGCGTATTGAAACACCGGAAAATGTGCCACGGCTTTTTGATCTTATTACGCCGAAAGAGAAAAAGTTTGCACCTGCATTTTTCAATGCTCTTCGGCATACACTTGTTGCAGAAAATTTACAACAAGCTAATCGTATAGCATATGGGAAAAAAAGGTGGAAAGTAGTTACATTAGATGGACAATTAATTGATAAGTCTGGTACAATGACAGGTGGTGGAAACAAAGTAGCACGAGGAGGGATGAGTAGTAAATTGGAGTCATATGTGTCAAGTTCATCTATAGCAAAATATGAACAAGACCGAAAAATTGTTGAAGAAGCATATCAAATATTCAATTCGAAATATACACTTCTTCGGAATCAAATAGACGAAATGACTAAAGAAGTGCCGGAGTTAGATGTTAAAATATCAATTCTTTCATTAGAACTTTCAACACATAATAATAATATTATTGATGCAAAAAAAACACTAAAAGATGTTAGGTATTTGATTTACTTTAAAGCTTTATAATTCTAATCAGAAAAGTTTATTATATCAAATATCATCTACAGATGTAAAAAAAAAAAAAGATTTAGAAAATGATGTCATTGATTTAGAAAAAGAAAATGAAGTGACTCGCAGAAATATGGCAGGTATTGAACAAGAAATAAAACAGTTGCAGGACCGTATCATGGAAATTGGGGGGATTCGCTTGCGAACTCAAAAGGCAAAAGTAGATAGTCTTCAAGATCAACTTAATACAATTCATGATCGTATTACAAATGCAGATGTATCTAAAATTAAAAAAGAAAAGGATAAAATAAAGTTTGAAAAAGCTATCAACGATAGTAAAGATGAGTTACGAACGATTGAACTACAACTTTCTGATGTTAAAGCCGATATTTCGAAAAAATCAAAATTAATTGATAGTATACGTTCTAAAACAGGAAAAATTCAAGAAGTATAAAATTCTTTATAGTTGAGTTGATGTCAAATGATTTAGGAAATAAACGAAAAGACGGATGAATTAGCAGAAATAAAATTGAAGTTGAATAAAGAAATAGATGCAAATAATTCTGCTCGTGTAGAAGAGGTTTATAGTTTTGGTTTGTTTATTATTTCTAATTTTTTTTAGATTGAGACAAAAAATAAATTAGAAGAATATATTAAGATTCTTTCTGATAATGAAAAAAAATTAAAATATTGGAAAGATAAATTAAAAAATCTTAAACTTCAAAATATTCAGTAAGTACAATTTCGTTTTTTTTTTTTTTTGATTATTGACTAAACGATTAGGGAATATTTTGAAGATAGTGAACTGTTGACATTACAAGTATATAATAAGGAAGAGCTTGAGAGTATAAATCGAGAAAAACTTAAAGCGGAAATCACTGCATTAGAAGGTAAACAGTATATTTATATCTTTAATTATAACCTATAATAATGTAGAAAAAACTCAAAATGTAAAAATAGAACTTGATGTCTTAGAAGAATATAAGAAAAAAGATGAAGAATATAGATCTCGTAGTAAAGACCTAGAAAATGTTATAAATGAAAGAAATTCTGTTCGTTTACGTCTTAGTGAATTGAAACAAACACGGCTCAATGAATTTATGACAGGTTTTAATTCTATATCTTTAAAACTAAAAGAAATGTATCAGGTTAGATTTATTTAGATTTTATTTATTTATTTATATTTTTTAGATGATAACTATGGGTGGAAATGCCGAATTGGAACTAGTAGATAGTTTAGATCCTTTCTCAGAGGGTATTTTATTCAGCGTAATGCCTCCAAAGAAAAGCTGGAAAAATATTTCTAATTTATCTGGTGGAGAAAAGGTATTCTTTATACTATGTGAAAAAATATATTTATTTTTAGACACTAAGTTCTCTTGCACTTGTTTTTGCGCTTCATCATTATAAACCTACGCCTTTATATGTTATGGATGAGATAGATGCTGCATTGGATTTTCGAAATGTATCTATTATTGCAAACTATATTAAAGTATTTTATATTAAGTTAAGTATATTCTACTAATTTCATAAGGATCGAACTAAAAATGCCCAACTTATTGTCATATCCTTACGAAACAATATGTTTGAACTTGCAGCAAGATTAATTGGTATATATAAGACTGAAAATAAGGTAATAATCGTAATGTGTTATTATGAAGATTAATGTTTGGATAGACAAAAAGTGTTACGTTAGAAAACAAATTATAATTTTAAAGCATAACATTAACTATTGTATTAATACACAAATGTTTAATAACCAGACTTTGTTTTAGATATAAAATATGTAATTTACATAAAAGAGTTTTTAAAGTAAAAAAGAGAATTTATAAACCAATAAAGCATAAGGCTATGAGTAATGCAAACTCTCAGACATCCAAGGAAGGATTGGTTTCACCGTACGACTTAAATATTGGGTTCAAGCGCCGTACTCCACTGGAAACTGCGAATGTAAAGATAATAGTTGCATCATTGAGTCTGCACTTTAGCACAAATGCATAGTTCTATAATAAACAGTAATGAGTTAAGATTACTTCCTATGATAATGGAAGTATTTAGCTTAAGTCTTCTATATATCTAATGTAAGAAAATCGCTTAAATACAGTTTATGAGCAGCACCAACTCAGTAGCTGCGACATACAATGCTCGTTAAAGAACCGTGTATTGCAACTATTTATGTTAAACACCAAACTGGTGTTGTTGTATGTCTTTCAGCGTCGATCAGCCAAAATATGGTTGGTTTCATCCTTGTTGGCACTGTTTCTTGATGCCTTACCTTTAACTGGTAATATTTGTTTCTTTTTACGCATTTTTGTGTCTTTTCCTTTGTTTTTAACAGTTTTTAAGATTTCTGGGCATTTCCACTTGCTTTAAACTTTTCAGCTGTTAACCCTTAAAATGTTTTAATGTTTTAACACTCTCTTTAATATCTCCTTAATTTTTTTAATCTCTTGATTTCTTTTTACTTTTAGCTCTTAGTTTTTTATTTAACATTTTTAACACTTTTTTGACATTTATTAACATTCATTAACATTTATTAACATTCGTTAACATTTTTTAACATTTCCTTATTAATATCACTTGATTTTTTCTTAAATTTTTCTTAAAATTTTAATTTTAAAATTTTTAACTCTTATCGGTGTTAACTTTTTTGTCTTACGTTTCTCGGTTTTTTAACCGTCCCCACATACGTAAACCTAACCTGACATACTAACACTGCAGTAAACGTTGTACAGGCTTAAGGTGAGGGTTAATTGAAATTTTTAAGTAAATGGAGTTTAGTACAGCATTTTATTGAAGCTTTTGCTTTCATATATTGAGTTTTTTTCAAAAAGTATAGGGATTTTTAGACAGAACTTGCTAAATTTTATATTTAAGATTTTTTGTTGAATAAACCAATTTACGTAAAAAAAAAGACCTGATCAAGGCTCTATATAAGTGTGTTTGTTGGTTTTTGGTTTGTTTTGTCGTTTGTTTTTTATTTCGGCTTTTTTTCCCAATTGATAGCTTGTTTTTTCGACTTTATTTGATTACTTTGTTCTTTTTGTTATGCAGCCATTTCAAGGGCATCTTCAAGGAGCGCCATGTCCTGGAATGGGTCGTACGCATGGCTATCCAGCTGAGGCAAACATAATACGGCGTCCGGAAACTGCAGCACAGCCGGGTCTTGCGGTTTTACAATTACTTCAATTTATTGATGGGCTTAGTTCGACGCAGAAGGTAGGTTAAGGCTGTTAGGACTGCAGCGCTTCAGTGACACATTCTGTTTATCTCCTGCTCACGTTTTGTCTGGTAGCGACATGATTTAGCTGGTTGGCGAACGTTTGTACATGCCTATTTTACGGATTATGCAATGATGCGACTTTCATTGGCACCGCAGCGTGCACAAACAACTCATTCTCCGCGGGTATTTGAACTTCCAGTGTTATCGTTACCGATGTTTTTCTGGACAAACTACGAAAGTGGCGTTGCACAGATGCAATTTGTACTTGGAGCTGTTAAAGAACATATAACAATATCTCATGGTTATGTTGTTGCTTGTCCACATGCTAAGCTTATTTATTGGTATGCCAATGGTTCTCAGGTAAGAGTTAGATATTACAGTATACATAGAAGATTTAGATTTTGTATTAACGGAATGGTTTTGGGGACTAATGAATGTTTTAGGTTGTTGCTGAAGGGAACTTGTCTGTACAGTTTACTCCAGTTCTTCTTAAAATGGAGTGGTTCGAATTTATTACTTTACGATATGATGAATATATCCTGCGTGATACTGTTTGTCCTAATGCACCTGCTTCTGTTGTCAACGATTTGGGAATTACACGTAGAGTCTTAAGATGTCTTGAAGTATGTTTTATTTTATTTTATTTTTAGCTGATGTTTTAGATGGGAGAAAGTTTAGCTGATATGTATGCTTTAATGATGGCATCTCAAGTTAATCATCTGGGGCCACTAAAAACTCTTTCCCATTTTTCGTCATTGCGTGAACGAACTGATGGTATTCGGTGAGGAATAGGAGAGGACTTGACTATCTATTCCTTGTCATTTTTTTATCTATTTTCCTCAAATAATTGAACAAGAAGGGTTATCTAATGATAATAGTGAGACTTAGTTTTTGGAGGTGCTGTATAAATGATAGTATCGGCAAAATAAATTGGTTTTTTCGAGATAATTCTAAAACCGGATTTATTAATTCTATAGGATTATGTTTTTTTGTTGTCCAGATTGTATTTTAGAACATGGACTGGACACGATGTTTGAGTTCATTTGAAAATAGTCTTGGTTATTCTAAAAATTTCTTCTTTTTAAAGAAATGAAATAGTTTTATAGATGGTGTTAAAACATATTTATGAAATGACGGCAATACTCAAGAAATAGGAAATATTTTGAAGCATTCTAGAAATGTTTTTTTATTAAATATTATAGGATTTAGCTTTTATTGTATAATATTAATGGAATTTAATGGAATTTAGTCGTCAAACAAAAGATAGATAGGTTTATAAACGGTATTGGGTATTTTGGCGTCTTATTTTATCTACTGTGTTTCTGCTTGGAAAGACCAAGCATGTAAATACGTATCAATATATTCGTTATATATTTCTAAATATAATATTTTTAATTATTTAATCCAGATTTATTTTCAACGGAAAATTTTGGGCTATTGTAGGATATGTTTAATGAATATGTATTATTTATAATGGATAATTATCCACTGGTTTGTTTTGGAATTGTTTATGTATTTTGAAAAGCAAATTCTAGATATTTAATATAAAAATTATGATTAAATACAACTCATTTATTATGAAAAATATAATAATTAGAAATGTTTATTATTGTAATGAGTTTCAACGGAAAATACTCAAATTAATATTTTTAATTGAAAAGTTTGGATATTAGTCTTAGATTTTAAAGTATTTTATATTTAGTTAATTTTATAAATATTAATGTCTATATTTACTGATGATAAAATATATGTTTTTATACGTTTAGGTTTTATCTTAGTTATTTTTTTATTTACCTATTTTTTTATATAAATTTACATATTTTAATAATAAAACTTGTAGATTTACAGAATAATTTTTTTCATTTATCTAAACTTTATGAAAACTAAATAACAATATAGTGTTCATTTTATTAAAAGTAATGTCAATAATAATGATTTTACATGTTTAATGTAATTCTTTCAAAAAATTAATATAATTGTTTTTAATTAAAAATTACCTTCGATAAAATATTAGATAGCATTTTCATATCAAACCGCTCATTAGAATAGTGTTTTTTATGTATTTCTTGATTCTTTTCATTAATATCATATTACGTCTATGTTTTATAATTTTTAATCAAAAAAGAATATTTTCTATAAAAAAATGTATTAATGTTTTTATTTGTTATATATATCGTGTTTTCAGATCTTTTTTGACAAAAGGGGCTTTTAAATTATTATAAAGTTATCGATTACATACTGTTCAAAAAAAAAATTATTTCAATATAAAAGTGCTCGATATGTTTGAGGTATAAGGATTTACTGTTAAAATATACTTACATATTAAATTTTTTCTTTGATTACTGGTTTTTGTTTAAAATATCAGCTAAGAAAAAATAAGATTTGTTTTGCTAAAAATATGTTTTTTTATTGCGCTTTTGAGCTATAAAACTTATAAAGTTATTATTTGAAGCGTAGTATATTATATGTTTGTTAATTAGCGTGTATCAAAACCTAGTTTCTTTAAAAAATTGGTTTCAAAGTGTTCTAATTTGAAAAATATTGCTGGATAAGTTTAAAGTGTGAAATATTGGATTTTAAACATATAAAATTGTTGGATGTTTATACAGATACTCAAAAATGAAAAGAAGGGTGAAAAAAGGTGTTAAAACTACGAAATCAGATGAATTTGAAGGCTATCATTATTTACCTTCATCTATATCGTCCTCTGATACTTTAGAAGACATGGATTGTATGTTTTCTTCCAGCTTTTCTGATGTTTTAGAACGAAGGAGTTTTTCTGAAGAAATACTTTTTATTGGAAAAAAGTTTGAAAAGTCAAAAATAACAGACTGTGTATTTGAAAATAAATGTAAACCATCAGGTTTTATAATATATATATTTAATTAAAAAAATTAACGTGGAAGGAGGCCTCCAAAACATTAAAAAGGTTGGGCTTAAATGTAATTTTGATGGAAATGGTATGTTTTAAAAAGTGTTTTTGTTAAAAACTTTTAATAACATTTAAAAAGCGAAAGAATTAAATTTGAATAAAACGAAAAGACGTTATAAACTCTGTAATGATATGGAGTTAGATTATGTCTGGGTAATAGTATTTTTTTATTTTAATTTCTTACATTTATGAAAAGAACATAATTGATCATGAAAATTTAAACTATAATGATTTTTTAAAAGAATGTGATTCGAATTCGTTATTTCTAGATAATGATATAGTAGTTGAAAGTGGTGAAGATATATGTGAAAAAATGCACTATAATATATATAATCGGTTTAAACCTGATTTTAATGTTTTTTCAAAATTAAATTGCCGAGGCTGGAAAAATGGTTATAAAACATCTTATATGAATAAAAATTTTAAAGAGAATTATGACTTTGAAGGTTAATTCTAGATTTTTGTTATTGAATTATTTTCAAATCTAATTATTATTAGACGAAAATTATCATTTTTTTCATATGTTAAATAATTTGAAAAATTTGGAAAAAAATACTACAAAAAGACGCCAAAAGATATATCAAAGGAAATATTTAGAACAGAATATTAAAGCGAAAAAAAATGAAAATAGGAAAAATACTAAGACAGGACGGACTCTTAGAGAATTACTTTTAAAGGTTAACAATATAGTGTGTCAATTTATATCTGACTCTGACCTTATGGAGTATGTTAGCTGGATAATTTTTCGGTTTGTTTAATAATTTTATAGACTCGATCTTATCTCTATGGACTCTCAAGCTCGCAGATGGAGTATTTTTTAAAATAATAATTTTACATTTCTAATCTAAAAATAGTCCATATGTTGGCAAATGCATACGGTATTGGTTCAAAATCATTCGGAACTGAGAGATCCCGACATGTTATTTTATATAAAACTACTAAAATTCATGATAATTATTCTAAACAACACGTTAATAGGGTTTTACAAAGTCTTAATCATAACCAATATAATCGTAAAGTATCCCAAAGGAAAGACCCTAATAAGTCGAGAAATAATACTAGCAAAAATTCTAATAGAAATGGAAATAGATATCATGATGGGGATATTGTTGCCAAAAATGTTCCTGAAATAGATAAAAACAATAGAGGAAGAATAATGTTGGAAAAGCTAGGATGGATTGCAGGGAATGGGTTAGGTGCGCCTGATAATAAAGGAATTGAAGTGCCTATAGTGGCTATAATTAAAACAACTAAATCGGGACTTAGATAGTATAGTTTTATAACCTATATAAATAATAATCATTACATTTTGTTTATTATAAAAATATATTTAGAAAAAATTGTGATATAGATACCATTCTATTTTAAAATTCAGAATTTATATCCTGTAATGATCTGTTATTTTTATGTTGTTTTACTTGAAATAATGGTTGAGCATGTCCGGAATGCCTAAAATGATCGAATAATTTGTTTCTACTTGAAAACTTTTCAAGACAGAGAGTACATGTAATATTGGTATTAACATTTGTATCGTTATTATTTTTTTCTTTTTTTCTTTTTAAGTTCTTAAAATATTTAGTTTTAGTTATGGTATCATTTTTATTTTTTTTATTAAGTGAAGATTCATTCAAACTATTCGATAATGAATCTATACAACTCCCTAAATCATTTTCAAGATTTTGTGTCTGTGTCAAAAAATCCGAATTTTTTAAATCGAGTTTGGTATCATGTAAATCAGATTCCTCATTTAGATGTTTCAAAAAGGGAGAGCTATTATTAACAATAATGGAATCATCTTGAAAAAAATTTCTTTCTTTTAAGATATTTAAATTTTGTTCTTGATATTCTTCAATATCTTCTTCTCCTGTAAAATATTCTTCACTACTATCAGATAATTCTAATTCTTCATGTGGAGGATAGATTCCTAGCTCCAAAAATTTTTGTTTAAACATTTTTCTTAAAATATTTAGGGACTTAATATGTTTTTTACTTTTTTCGTGTACCATGAATTGTCTAAATTTTATAAATTAAAATTCGATATAAAAAATTACATACTTTTCACTTTTGAATATTTTTTTACACGCAACACACTCAAATATTTCTTCATCTTCGCTTTCTTCTTTATAGTTATCATCGATCTTAGTTTCAACTTTTGCCCATTCTTGTTCATCATAAACACCAAGACTTGCCTGAAAAATTGCTCTATCTTTTTCAGCTTGAGCTTTAGAAGAAGCCAGAAGAGATGCTTGTCGATCTTTTTCTGAAACTTTTTCAAATTTAATTCTTATATCTCGTTTTTTTATAAAACTAACCAAAGACTAAATAAATTAATGTCTTAAGTAAAACACTTGATCTTAAAATACTTTTACAGTATCATTAAATTCTTTTATTGCAAATTTCCTAAGCTTGTTGTTTTCTTTTTCTACAATGCGTTTTATTTTTCTTTCTGAGCTATCATATTTATATTGATCAACCCATGAAAAAGATTTTTCAGTAGAAAAACATGACCATTCTGCATAAAAATCTCTAACGATGGGTTCATATGGTGATCTGCTGTTTCCAAAGGATGGTTTCTTTTTCACATTTATTCCTTGTTGTTTTGCAACAGCTAATTCTTCAGATGCAAGCTTTTCAAACAAATCTCTAATTCTTGTATAAAACCCCTGGATTTTTTAGAAATTTAATATTGTTGTTAGCTAGTTTATACTTTACTGCTGTCGTCCATTTTCTTAAAAATTATTGGGTCAAAAAATTGCATTAATTCCTTAATTTTCAACCAAAATTATCTAAAAAGAGAAATACAGACCTCTGAAGTCGTCACTGGTATACCATTTTCCATAGATGATGTTTCATAATTCCTATAAAGAATTTGCTCGCGATGTGTATCATACCATCTTCTTTCTATTTCATCAGATAAAACTTCATATGCTGCTTGGATCTGTGCAAATTTTTCAGTTGACTATGAATATTAGAATATGTTTATATTGTTTCTAGGGGTTAAAAACTTCTTTACTACTGTTATTTTTATCCGGATGAAAGATTAAAGCAAGACGCCTAATAAAACGTCAATAATGTCTGAGTTAAAGAAGCTACCGATTAAATAACTGCTATTGCAGTATATTTCGGCAAACGTCTTACTTGTATGCTTTTTTAATGTCATTAAGGGAAGCACTTTGGTTAATTCCAAGAACATCATAATGACAATTTAACATATTGAGATTTCAAAAAAAAGAAAACTCTATAAATATTAAATTTAAATTAAGAGAAAAAAATTATGTTTAGTTTACAAATATTACCTTGTATTTCTTCTTGAAAATATATTATTTAACTGTTATCTGTAGAAAATGATGTTAATAATCGATTTTGATATACCCGATCTCGATCTTTTAAAATATAGATGTATTAAATATATACTTTAATTTATTGGACTATTTTTATGAATTTTGAATGTATTTTATTGTAATCTTTTAATATTTTAGTATTTAATAAGATTGAGTCTTTTAGTTATATGTAAAGAACTAAACTTTGTTTAGCTATATTTATATATTTAATAAAAATTTTTATGTTTTTTTTAATATTTTATTAGAATATTAATTAAGTAAAAACATGTATTATTTATATTTAATTTTTATATTTATTTTTTATATTGATTTAAAAAATTGACTTTTTAGATATATAAAATTTAAAAATATTAAAAATTATTTTTTGGAAAATTAAAATAATCATAATATAAGTATATTTAGTATTTAAAAATAGATGATTTATTTTGTCTTTTTAGATAAATTTTAAGTGAAATATACCTTTTTACAACAAAAAATATGTATAATATAATAAATAATTATTTTTATACAAAATTTTAAAAAAATATATAAAGAAAAATTGGTTATTCCTTTATATTTTTGTATTATTTAAATGTTTTTTCATTTTTTTAATAAATATTTTTTTCAAAATTAGAAACTTTTTTTGAATATATTTTATACAAAAATTTAAAAATGTAACCCAAATACTAAACGATATATTCATTCAAATTTTATTTTTTTATTCAATCTCAATAAAAATTTAATAAGAATAAAAAAATTGATAATTAAAGATTAAATATACAAAAAGCTAGAAATTTTATATAAATACAATACATAAAGACTGTTGAAAAAAAAAAAAAACCAAACTAATATGGAGAATTCACAATATTAGAACGAGAACGCAAATTTCTTGTAGGTGTTCGCAAAAGAGATTCTCGGGTTGGTTTTCTAAAGGCTGATTTATTTATCATAGATACTAAGATAATCAAATTACATATATGTAATAAATACAATTTACCATTATGTGGAAGAGCAACAATTACATTTTTGTCTGTTCCGAATTTAAAATTATTTGCTTTAACCTTTTAAAATATTAATATTAAAAATCTACACAATAACAAAAGTATACTTCATCTGGGTATTGTCTTATTTTATATTTATACGTTTCCCCTTTTATTACTCTTGACAACTCCCATGATATTACATATGGACCACTACTCGTAACAATTGTTTTTTCTTCAATATCTTTTCCCGTATTAAATTTAGCAGGAGTAAAATTAATTTGCCCTTGCATCATTGCGACATGTACAGGACTATATTCTATTATTATAAGGTATTAGAACAATAAAAAGAAATACTTAAGTTGTAATCTCTTTGGCTTTGGTTTAGTATCTTTCCCAAAACTTTTTTCGAAACCAAGTTTTCCCTGATTTTTCCCTTCGTTTATTGTTGAATCAATAAGTAGAAGATAAGTTGTACATGTAGCTAAAATCCATTTTCCATCTGCAGAAACGTCAATTCCAATTATAGGTTCTCCAAGTGCAGGTAAAGCTGTCTTCAGAAATTAAATTAATAAACAGCTTAGAAAATAATTACCTTAGCATTAATGCCAACTCTATCAAACAATCTTATATCTCCTTTATTAGAAGCAACTGCTATATAGCCTTTTTCAGTAGTAGCTACTACACTAAAATCATTCCTAGTAGTGTATTGTTTATATTCATCCATAACAATTTTATCTTTAGGTAATCTAGAATCAATTCTAAAAAGAGAATTATGTGAAATGCCTATAAGTGTTTTTTCAGCAGTCATTTGGGAAAATTTAGTCTTTGGTGTAAAATTTAATATTGAAATATCATCATTTATTTTCCATTCATCAACAACTTTCCCATATTCAAGATCCATTTGATATAAATTGTGAGGTTCATCAGGATTCTGTAGTATTACTTCAGAATCTTCATTATGAAGCATGATCTGTAAAGCGATAAATTATAATATTGTAATTTTTATCAAATATACCTTAGATGGCTGAAATAATTTTCCTTTTGGTGTTTGAATTTTATTAATAGTAGCAACAAATTCTAATTGATCATCATTTACATGACGAAAAACTCCTATTTTATCGCCACGAACAACAAAAGATCTGTCATGTTTATATCCTACTGCCAATTGACTATTTTCGCCTTTATCATCTAATTCCGAATGAGAATACTCATCTTCATTATCTGATTCTACATCAGAATATTTATTTTCATTATCAAAATTTGCATAATGACGCTCATTTTTTTCAAAATATTGAGGAATATCATTAGCTACAAAAAATTAGTTTTAACTGAACACGCTATAAAAGATAAATCACTAACAATCACTATTTACATCTTGATCATTTTCTTCGGGATCATCATCATTGACATTTTCCATTTCAACATCCTGATGAAAAGTATCAATAACATATTCTTTCTCTTCATCTTTCATTTTAATCCATCTTTGCTGATTTAACATTTCCCATAAGGCTATCATAAATCCTTCTTGGAAGTTTTCTTCGATTTCAACATTACTAAAACGAAGTAACCATGAATATACTTGTGACCTATCGTCACAATAATTCCTAAAACTATTAGAAGTCCCGTTAAAAATATTGATCTAATTTAAACCAAATAAATGAAAAATGTTCCTATAGAAATTAGTATATTTGTCTTTAAATCATATTACGCACATAGTTAAATACAGGATTTATATCTGGACAAATAGGTTGACCAAGCCATATCCTTTCATTGCCTTTTATTTCAAGCCAATCTGTAATTATTAGAAAGTAAATATTAAAAATAACTTTCTACTACATTCCCATAGACCTATTTCAGAAACAGTTGCAACTACATCATTGTCTTGAAGTACAAAAACATTATCTGCAGCATCAAATAAATGCAGTTCAGCATTAACTTGAACAATAATCTTTGCTTGGGTTGCTTCTGTTTCTTTTGTTTTTATAACAGAATCATCTGTTTTAGATTTGGCTTTAGAACTATCAGAGATCAAAGGGCTTTGGATTAGCGATGGATTCTGAGAAGATGTAAATGTGGACATTGGCGACCTTTAATGTGTTAAAACTTAATTTTACGCTAATCACTTACAAAAACTTGTTTAAATCTGAATCAGTCGCTTCTTCATGAGACTTTCTATATTTTCTTTCAAATATGCACCGAGCTGCTACCTCTTCAAAGGTGCGTATTGCACTTTTCTGTATACTTGAATCACAAACAAATTCATATAGATCATCTTCATCCTTCTAATATAAAACATATGCCATATGAAAAGATAAAACTAACCCCAGAAAGATCTCTCCATGCATAAATAACACAATCTTCCCGTATAAAAGAGTGAAATTTAAGAGATTCATCCATCAAAAAGCTTTTTTCATCAATAAACTCTGCATAATCAATAATTATCCAATACGTAAACACATGATACCATCCTGGCGTTCATCTTCATTTAGTATTTGCTCTTCTCCTTCTTCATATGCCCTTTGTATTACTAATTGGTAATGAAACTCTGTTAATGTTCGCTTAATACTTGCAGCTGCATCTTTATATCTTTCAAAAAATTGTTAACATTTTATTACTAATTAAGATGGAATCTTCACACACATGCATTCACTATAACCTTTTGGAGAAGATGGACGTACAAGATAAAGCTGTCCAACTGGAATATGTGCAATATTTAAACTATCAGGATTACCTAATTATGGTCAAATTTAGGCGAAAAAAAAACATAAAATTTACCCCAAATCTTTCCTAGAAAGTTCTTAAGCATAAACATATTGAAATTATTAAAAAACTTTGTTTTAATTCATCTAAAAATTATCTGGTCATAACTCGTCTTTTTTTTACGTTGTGATCGTGCAACACCGTGTTAAAGTAATATATTCACGTGATATTAATAAATATATTATATATAAATATATAATAATATGCAGAAATTTAAAATTTAAGTCTCTATGTATATATTTATTATATATTTATATGTTCTTTACATTATAGATTTGATGATTTGATAAAACCAGATAAACTAGCTTATAAACAATTTGGCATGGCAACACACTGAATCTCCGAACAGAGTTAATATTATGAAAAAACATATGTAAAATATAAGCTTTAAATAGCTTTTTTAGAGAAGAAAAAGATTTTATACGTCTTTTATCACTATGGTTTCTGTTAATGATCGAGTATATATTGGAAAAGTGCAAGGAACAGTTAGATTTGTAGGTTTAACACATTTTTCATCAGGTTTTTGGGTAGGAGTAGAGTTAGATACACCAACAGGAAAGAATGATGGATCAGTTCAAGGAGAGCGATATTTTGAATGCAAAAAGAACTATGGTGTGTTTGTTCGGCCTTATGTAGTAAAGTCAGTTGCTCAGGAAGATGAGCAAGAATATTTTGATAATGTAAAGATTCTTTGTTTTGGGGTATTAATAGAGAATTAAGTGTATGAAGAAAGATGAAGCACATGAAATGAAAAGGAGCACGGTATCATCGCCTCAGAAAATGGATGTTTTTAAATCACCTCGAGGAATAGCACCAATTTCTCGAATACCATGTATTCAATCTTCAAAAATACAACAAAGACCTTTAAATACTAAGTCATCGTTCGAGATGCTTATTGCGTCTAGGAATGTTAAAACTCCTGATAGCCTGAGTGAAGTATCTACGATTGTATCACGAGCAGCAACACCCATACATGGGTCTCCCATTAAATATGCAGATTTGGAAGGGAATTTGGAAAAAACCAAAGAAGATACAAAAGATGTGGATGATATAAGAAAGAAAGACAAAGAAAGAACTGTTTTAGATTCATTAGAAGACGAGAAAGCGTCTGCACAGTTTTATCTAGCAAAGTTTGAAGTATAAATTTGCCTATTTTGCATATAAAAATTGAACTGTTTTTAGGCAAATGAAGCTAATTCAGTAGATGAATTAAAAAAGAAGCTAAAAATTCTTGATACAAAAAGAGCAGAGGATAAAAATAAGATAAAGCAGTTAGAAGATCAATTACAGGAAAAAGAGTTTTTAGAAAAAGCTAAAAACAAACTTCAAAGTATGTTTTAGAAAAATTGATAATTTTTCATAAATAATATTTGCAGTAAAAGTCGTATCTATGCAGGATGAAATACGGAACTTAAAATCTTTATTAAGAAACATAGAAAACGAAAAAGAAGAATTAGAAATGAAACTTATCGAGACATCTGAACTATTAGAGACTACTGCTATTGACAAAGAAATGGCAGAGGAAAAAATTGAATTTTTGAATTTTAAATTAGATTCTTTTGAAAAAGAAACGCAAAAGAATAGTGTACAGGAGGACTCTGAAAATATTTCTGATGAAAAACAAAATGAGGATGAAGGATCTCTTAAAGAACAAAACAACTTATTAAAGGATGCGCTTATTAAGTAAATATAAATATCTATTTTTTCTTTTTTTAATATTTAAGATTACATACTATTACAAATACTCAAGAGGTAGAATTTAAAAACAAAATAAAGCATTATGAATTAGAAGTTGATGGTCTTAAAAAATATAAAAGTAATATTTATTGCTTTATTTTTTATTTATTAATTTCTTTTAGCACAATACGAGATTTTAAAAGAAAAACTTAAAGAAACCGAAGATCTAATTGATGATCTTAAGCAACAAGCAGATATTAGTTCAGCTGCAGAAGAAATGCTAGAAGAATTGACAGAAAAAAATATCTCTTTAAAAGAAAAAATAGATCAAATGAATATAACTATTCAAGATTTAGAATCTTTAAAAGAGCTTAATGACGAATTAGAGGAAAATCGTTTAGAAAATGAGAGACAAATGAGGGAAGAATTAGAATATAAAGATTTTATTATACGTGAAAATATGAATAAGTTGGACCAGTTAAAGAAAACTAATTCTGAATATGAATCTATTATTATTAGATTTAAGGAATTGGTAGGAAAATTACAAAGGTATTTTTTTTTGTTTTTAATTTAAATGGGGCTTATAAATTAGTGAAATTGAGACTCTGAAGCTTGAGAATCAAAATACAAAAACAGAAAGCACTGAATTGAATATTTGGACTAAAGAAGTTATGAGCCTAAATTTAAAATTAAAGTCTTCATCTGTTAAGTCTCAGTCTGAGAAAATAGAAAGTGAACTTGAAAAACTTAAAGGTTTAGATGCATTAGAAAAACTTAAAATTATGAAGGTAAATGTTTCATTTTTATTTATAATTTATTAAATGATTTACAGCTTTTCTTTCCCGAATCTTATTCTTCACAGGATAGTCCGATTATGATTTATTTTAAATGTAAAAGGATTGCAATGAAATCTGTTCTTTTATATGATATTATTAATGAAAAAATATCATATAATATGATTATTAAAAACAATGTATTAGAAATCAATTCTTTTTTAGAAGAAATAGAAATAAATAGAAAGCTCACATGCTTATCTGCAATTGCTAATAATTTTACTCACTTTATGAGTGCTTGCACTTTGTCTGATTTTGAAACAATTTCTTCTGCATTTTCTAAATTGGATCTTCTAGAAAACACATTAGATATAGAAATAAGTAATTTAAGAAAAGATAATTATTCTGAAAAAAAGGTTCTTGGAGCTATAGAAGAGTGAGACAATATAAATTAAAAATATATTTAATAATAAATATATAGATCTATTTTATTATTTGGTAATTTATCTGATATATATATAAAGTCTTTTGATGGTGAGTTCATGTCTAAATTTGAAATTGAATTATCATTTTCTCTTAATTATATTGAAAATTTTTTAAAACAAGAATCAATACTTCAAAATATACTTCAATCTGATTTTATGAAACAAATTATAAGAGAAGATGACATAAACATTTCAAGATTAATGAAGCAGTTTGAAACAATTACATATCAAGTTCAAAAAAATAAAGTTATACTAAAGTAAGCTTATTATTTTGTTATGGTTTATTTATATTTCTAGTAAATTTCTTAAAATAATAGACTCATTAAAAGAAAATTCATTATCAATAAAAGAATCTCTTGTTTTTGAATTTTTTAATGTTAAAACTATGGCAAATTTTATAGATGATACAATGAGAAAGGTAAGTATTTATAAATATTAACTATATATATAAATTTTGTTGTAGAATTTAATGTATTTGAATGATATATTAAATAAGTACTCTGAACGTACTGAAATATTTCTTTCTAGAGAAGATATAGAGTCAAATTTAAATTTTGATAATATCTTTAATAATGTTGCTTCAATAACTTCTATTTTGTTAAAATTAGAAAAAGATATTGAAAATCCATCAAATTTGTTTCAATGTAAGATATTTTTAACTTATACATACCTTCTAATTTAATAGCACCTCAAATTATTTCACCATGGAATTTGTATTCTGATGAAATTAAATTAATATCACAAAGAAAAAATGAACTAGAACAAAGACTTAAAAATCTTCAGGATAAGATTAATCAATATGTCATTGATATACGGCTTAAGGTAAAATTATATTTTTTTCTGATTTTTTTTTAAATAAGGGAAGGATAAAATAATAGAAGAAGTTAATATAAAGACTCAACTTTTAAATAAAAGAACTGCAGATATAAAACAACATTCTGAGACTATAAAAATGCTCGAAACGCGTTTAAATGAATCATTACTGAAAGAAAAACAATACGATGAAACTATAGAGAATCTTAATACAAAAATCAAATCTATGGAAAAAATTATAAACAAGTTTGAAAATAATAAAAATTTTTCTGGTATCAATTTTGAGGAGAATTACATAATTAATAGTCAGTTATTCCAAAATAAGGTCCAGGAGTTTTCTAATGAAGTAATAATTTTCTTTTTTTCTTTAAAACAATAAGCTTATGTTTTAAGATTGAATTTTTAAACAACTCTGTTCTATATTTGGCTGAGGAAGTCAAACTTATATCTAATCATAAAATAATTTTTGATAGCTCATGGTTATCAGAGTCATTACTTAAATCGAATGATGAGCTTTCAATAAAAAGAAAAAGAAGAGCAGCTGAAGTTAGAGTATTACTTAAAGTATTATTAAATTTTTCTTAATTATATTAATTAACATTCAAAAAGTCTCTTAGAGCGTTTTCGTCTAGGACTAGTGTTATTAAATTGTCTTCTAAGAAAAACGGATGGACATCAGAGATGAACACCCCTCGTTATAAGCATCTGAAGCAGCAAGAAGAATATCTTTCTTTATGTGCTAAACGAGATTCTTTAGTTTCATTTTATAGTCCCGCTTTACGTAAACTTTTCTATAATTCTACTGTAAGTTATATGTAATTATCTTTTTATCTTAATAGTGTCTTAGAAAACACCACTAATTCATTGTACGGTTCAAATCCCTTCATATGGATTGAGTAATAGTCAGCAAAATAATACTTCATTTCAAAATATTGAAATCAATCATTTTAAAGAATTAGAGCGTATTCATTATTCTGTCTTAAGACCTCTTCAAGTACGTTAAAGAATGGAATTATTATATTTTTTTATTATTATACTACAAAACCATTTACGAATGAAAATATTGAAATTTTTCATGATAAGATTTAATATTTTTTTCAAAAAAATATCAGCTCAAAAAATATCATTTGAAAACACGTATAATCATGTTTTTTGTGTTTTTTTTTTTTATAAATTTATTCGGTACTCTAATGTTTATATAAAATCTTTATTACTCATCGAAGCTACGTTCAAACCTTCTGAACATTATGGTAAGTGCGTTTAAGCCGGATGAGAGAGTATTATGGTATTTTTAGTTATTTTTGTATGTTTGTTTCGTTGTTTAATATTGTTTATTAGTTTTCATGGACCATTACTTTATGAAGCCAAAGTATTTTATGAAAATTTAAAAAAAAAAATGAAATTGATTTAAATTAGGTCTTAAGTGCTGAACTTAGGGAACCTGAAGATGGGGGAGAAAACGCTGAAAAAGAGCCTCATTTACGTGTTCATTATAAGGGATGGAAATCGACGTTTGAAACTTTTATTATCTGTTTGAAATATTTAAGTTTTTAGATGGGATGAATGGGTACCAGAGGATCGTGCTTTAAAGTGGACAGAGGAAAATCTGGCTACACAAAGGGAGTTACGTATGGCTGCTCTTGCTGCACAAAAAAAAACGGGTAAAAAAAGTTCAGGAAGATCCAGTGAATCAGCAGATGGTCCTTCACATTCACGTGGCCAAAAGCGTCTAAGAGATGTAGATTTGGAAAAGGTTTATTTAAAGAAAGTTATTAAAAACATATTTTAAATGTTCTAAAGGAAGAAGATTTTATTGCAAAGCCGGAAATTAATATTGCAATTCCAGATGCATTAAAAGCACAGCTTGTAGATGACTGGGAGAATATAACGAAGAATCAACAAGTTATAGTTAAAAGTTTATATTAAGCAATAATTGATGATTATAATAGCTTGTTTCACTTCCTCGATCTCCGACTGTAACAGAAATTTTACAAAATTATAAAAATTCAGTTTCTTCTACACAAAAAAAACGGTTTAGTAACGCTGATGCGGATATTTTTGAAGAGGTTATATCAGGAATTAAACTGTATTTTGACCGGTGTTTGGGTAATATTTTATTATATCGGTTTGAAAGACAACAATACTCGGATATACGGAAAACATATAAAGATAAAGAAATGAGTGATATATATGGTGCTGAGCATTTACTTCGATTATTTGGTAAATATGATATTGTAAAGGTGGAATATAAGCGTTAATAATAACTAGTATCTCTTCCTGAATTAATAGCACATACAAATATGGATCATCAAAGTATACAAATATTAAAGAATTATATTAAAGAATTTCTCAAGTAAGGTTTTAGGGCATTCTGTTGATAGATTTTTATTTAATTTATAGATTTCTTACTAAAAATCAGTCTGAATATTTTTTGAAAGTATATGAAAATGCATCACCTAATTATCAATCACTTGCACGGTGTATATAAAAAAACGTAGTTCTCCACATATGCAATCATGGTAAATATATCAATTGGTGTTAATATTAGTTATATATTTTATGTTACTTGTCAATACTATTTTTTCTTTAAACTGGATTTTATTTAGATTAAAAAATTATATTATTATTTTTGCAATTCTTATATACCCTTGGTCTTTTATTCATATTTTGTTTAGAAAGAATAGAACATTAACCATTCTTTTATACTAGGGGTTTTTTACACTTGATTAATGTATATATTTGTTTTTCTTTTTTGAAAAAATGAAGAAATTTTAAAAAACTTTTTTTCAGAGTCATTGTTTTTTTAAATCAATTTATAAATGAAAAAATTTTGTAAATTCAGAATGAAAAATACGTTAACTGGTTTTTTTTTTTCATTAAGACTTTTTTGGGTTTTATTATTTGATAAACATGATTTTTAAAAAAAAAAAAAAAGAATTCTATTATTTAGAATGGTTGCTTTTTTAAGCATTATATAACATTTTTGTCTCATTAATTATTTTTGTTTTTCTATATTTTATTCTTCCTTTGAGATAGATTATATAACTCTGTTTTACGACTTGATAATTGGTAAACGTAAAAAAATCATTTTTTTAAAAAATTATGGGTTTTTCATCTTTAAGAGATTTTAATAAGGCTAATTGTATAGAAGATAGGACTAAAAGACAAGAAGAAGATAATCATGAATATCTACAATCACGGACAAGTCAACCATCACAAGAAAAATCATTACGTATCACTATCCGAGTTCCAACACGATCACACTTAGGAAAAAGATCAACTCGAAGACGTGTTGGAGTTTTAGAGAGTGCTACAGATACAGAATCAGAAGAATTGAGTCCATTAAGTGATCCTAATGAAGATGAAGAAATTGCACATAATGAATCATTGGATACGGATGATATTGAGACATTTGTATCTCCACCGTGTCCACAAAGTACATTGCCTAGTGAGGCTTCTAGACTTACAAAACGTCAGAGGGCTCGGATAGAAGAAGAATTGGCAATACCAAGTGATCTTGTACAGTTACCAGAAAGTAGGGTTTTTATAATGTATTTTTGCTTTAAGTGATATGTTTAGCAGTTAAACGGCGTCATCAAAATCTTACAGAGGAAGAATTAGCCCTGAAGAAAGATGAACTTGCTCGTCGCCGAAAGAATCTTTCAGAACAAAAACTGGAGGAGGAGAAGGTATATGGTGGTTTGATATAAGCTCATAGAATACTTATAAGACAAGATGGAAACGATTCATAAGCTTCTTAATAAGCAAGCAACACATAAGTATAAAAGGATTAAAACAGGAGATACAGAGGGTGTATCTGACGATGAAAAAAATATTCCACGAGTATCTTCGCCTATTATGTCACGATGGCTTGATACAAAGGATGGCACTGTGTTTGCCGTTCCCCAACGATGGCTTAATACTAGTATTTCGGCTTACTTTTCTCCACAAAAAGCACCAGCGCCTCCTTCTCCACGGCCGTTATGTGCTTCATGCGGTGGTTCTGGAATATATGCTGTAATTGATTCTAATGTTTCCGTACGTGCATGCTCTATTCCATGTATTCGTTCTATTCGGTTAAAATCATAATTACATTTTTTTGGGTATAGCGTATTTTCTAATTTTTTTAAGTTGTAAAAAAATGTAAGGTGTTATTTTTTATTTGTCTTGCTTCTAAAATTGCCTAATTGTTTTCTTTTTTTAGATAACTATTATTATTATATTCTTGGTTGTGGTGTTTTTATATTACATGGTTTAAGTATTTAATTATTTTTTTTGATTGCATATTCATTTTTTTAATTATTTACTGTTTATTTAAATATTTTTATTGGTAGTTTACTTTATAAAGTTTTTAGATTTTTTGTTTGAACTTGTTGAAATTCTATTATTTAACGGGATTAACTATATATATCTGGTTAAGTTTAGTATGCGAGGGATTGTTCTATAGATAATATTTATTGAATTGTGTATTTAGTGGAATGTGATTATGTAGAATATTGTTTCATTTTTTGAAAAATGTTGATTTAATAATTTCATTATTTCTAGATAGTCTTAGATAAATGTTTTTTTGATCAGATAGGATTGTTATTATATGTTTTGATTAAATTCTATATTAATATTGTTTTTATAAATCTTAGTGAAAGTAAATTTTTGTTTTTGAGTTTTTTATAAAAATAAGTTGTTTTTTTATTGTTTTACAGAAAAAAAAATGTATTAAAATTAAAAATTAAAAAACTCCATGATTGTATTAAAATAATGGCTTGATACTATGTTTTTAGCTTTTTGAAAAAAATATAGATTATATTGTTAATATTTTAATTTTTCATGATACAAATATCTAATTTTGTTCTTAAATATTAATAATTGATTTTTATTTTTAATTAGTGAGTGATTAAATAGTTTTTTTAAAAAAAACAAAATATCTATTAACAATGTTATCTTAGAATCATCGTAAATAAATGATTTAATATTAGATTTATATAAATTATTTTAAATGTTTTTTAAAGAGAAAAGTTTAAACATTATAAAAGATGACTTATTAACTAATGAATTAAATATATTATATTAATTTATAAATTTTGTTTTTAACTAATATATATCTTTTCTAAGCTTGTTCTAATTTTTAATTATTTATAAAATAACTATTGAAAAAAATTATGAAATTATTTAATATACGTTGCCTTTAAAAAGAATTAAATGATCTTTTTATGAAATCTGCGATAATTTAATTTAAAAAAGTAAAATTATAAAAATATAATTCACTACTTATTTATATAATAATTAAGAAACTATTGTTTTTGTCTTAATTGTTTTATTTTCTTTTTTTGTTTTTAAGGAGGCTTTATCGCTTTGGAGCTTAAAATTTTGAGTTAGTGCAAAATTAATAACAAAGAATAATTTAAAACGTAGAAACTCTTTGTTAAATTAATGCTTTTTAGTGTTTTCATGTGATTTATAGGAAGCGCTTTTTATGATATATGAGGATCGAATTAGATGTTATTGATTTATTGATTTTATATAACCATATTTTTTAATATATATGTCGCGGGCGACATACAGTTTTGTTCATAATATACAGTGTATGGATAATAATTGCATGGGTTCTTGTCAAAATCGATTACAGTATCCGCCACATGTTTTTCCTAAGGCACCATCACGTTTTTATAATGAAAAGTATAATTATACATGGGAAAAAAATCCCAATGATTTTACAAATTACCAAAGATCTCAGATGAATTATGCTCCACCAGATAGGAATGTGCCTTATTTGTTGTTGCCTGCTAGATTGTCATTGGTTTGGGTAAATAAATGGACAATTGTACTTATTCTTATTTTTATTCGGCTTTTTTTCTTTATGCTTTCTTTTAAAAAAGATATAAATGTTGTTCGGGATAGAATGGAAGATGGATATGCTCTTATTCAGTATTCGGCAAGCACATTAGCTACTATGCCACGCTTAATGGCAATAGGAACTAATAAAATTATTGCACATAGTGTTGAAAATAGTGTTCAGGCTTTGAACAAAGTCTTGTTGCTTACTTTGGTTGGTTTAGAAAATATCGTTTTGTTTTTTATTGAAATGGTAACACGTATGTGTTATTTTATTTATTTATATATTCTTTTTAAATTATAGTAGATACTTGGACTTGTCTTTTAGAATTATCTATCAAAGGGGGTATAAATATTGTAGCAGATGTTGTAGAAAAAGTTACAAAGTTTGTAAATTTTGCGCTTCAGTCTATTGAGAAAGATGTTGTTTCTGGTATTCAAGAAGTTAATAAAGGGCTTTCATCTATCCTGGTTACTATTGAAAAAACCCTTAAGGTTCTAGGGAAAAGTGTCAATTTGCCACCTCTTACTATATCTTCTGTAAATAAATTTGCTAATGTTACTATTCCAGAAAATTATGATGATGAGTTAAGGAAACTTCAACATAAAATATCTCTGGACCCTGTAAAGAGTATTACAAAAGAAACAATAATATTTCCTTTTTTCCAGTTAAGAGTAAGTTTTTTTCCCATTTTATATTATATTTGTTTACATTTTAAGAAACTTATTAATAACACATTGTCAAATTATTCTTTTAATATTTCTCTTTTACCTGTGCCTCTTGAAAATAATGTTTTAGGATATTATAATAATAAGGACATTGAAATTTCTCTTAAAAAGCTTGTCAATAGTTTTTATAGTGCTATTCATTTTATGTTGATTGTTATAATAATATTGGCTATATTGGCTATAATTCCTTTTGCTCTGAAAGAATGGTGGGATTGGAAAAAATTACAGTCAAAAGCAGCTATGGTTTGGTCTATTTTTTCTATTAACAAAACATTTGACCCTACTGAATTTATTCTTACTGTTACTTCTCCATTGTCAACGTTGGTGGGTATTAAATTTTCACAAAATTTCAAAGATCGACATCATAAGGTTTTAACACGTTGGTTTTTGTCATATATTTTTCATCCATCGTCTTTATTTGTGTTGGGTCTTGGAATTTTAGGAATTATAAGTTGTGGACTTCAAATTGCTCTTTTAATGATAATAAAAAAAAATGCACCTACTTCTTTATCAGAAGTAGGTATGACCTCATTAGTTGTTGGAAATTTTCAAGAAATTTCTTCTAAATGGTCAAGTGATGTAAATGATGTTTTGAATCAAACAAGCGCTGATATGAATAATCTTCTTTTTGGATGGGTTTATCAGAGTACTCAATATATAAATAATACATTGAATGTTTTTGTTGATACTACAGAAAGTAGTCTTAAGAAAACTTTTGGGGGAACAATTTTATATCAAGTACGTTTAGAATATTATGTATTCCTTAATATTGATGTGCTACATAGCCTATTCTTGATGTGCTAAACTGTATGTTTTTGATAAAAATTAAAGGAATCGAAAAAGGTATTCTCATATAGTTTTTTATTCTTTTATTGATAATTCTAGGATTAACATGGATGCATCAAAATACTCGTATATCGTTTCCTTATGTTCCAGATAATATATTAACTTCTGTTGAAAATTCTACATCACACACTGCTTTTATAAATACATCTAGAGACCTAAGTAGAAGGTTTTATTTACTTTTGAATACTTTAATTGATGGATACGAAAAATCTATTGTTTTTGAAGCCAAAATATCTTTTGCACTGGTATGCGCTTGGATTTTAATATTTATTATGGGCTTGTTTAGAGTTGCATTTGCCCGGAGACCTAATATAAGAGGAATGGGTGGAGGAACACATGCACATTTGCCATCAAAAGGTTGTTCGCGTCCTGTTTATAAAGAAGAGGTTTTGTATGATTATTTGCCACCTAGGAATAAGCAATACAGTACAAATACCGAAAAAAAAACTCAAGAGTTACCTTCTGACTTTACTAAAACACCTTTTGTAGTTGATGATTATATTTTACCTTTACCCGAATCTACACTTTCAGATCAAGTTGAGCAATGTAAAACAAATGATGGTAATATGAAGAAATGTTATGGAGAATAGTAAGCATTTAGTAAAATTTATATATTGAATAATTCGAATAACTACGAGTTTTAATTTCTAATATTTTATCTGGAAAATTATTTTTATATAAAACTTGATTGCAAATTGATAATTATATAATAGGTCATCAATATATCAACTATATTATATATACTATAGATACTGATAAATATATTGAAATTTAATCTATAATAATTTATTTTTTAAAATTGAACTTATCAAAAAATTAAAAATTTTAATAAATTAAATTTGATTATACATATTTAATAATCTTATAAAATTGAGTTTTGATATATATTGCAAAAAAAATAAATTCTATATATTATCGCCTAATTTACGAATATGCACTTTTGATAAATCCGAAACATTAATATCTCCAAATCCCCAGGTTTTTTTAAATATATCTTTCTTTTTACCATATTTTTCATCCCATTTTCGTAATTCAATTAAACTACTCATATCGTTACTTATACTACTAGTAATTTCATTTAATGCATTTTCAAAGTGTGATTTTTTTAAAATTCTAGAATAAGATCGATTTGTATTTTCACTTTGCAAATTCTCATTTATTGATGCTAATGCTGCTGCAACACATAGATTTTTTAAATCGGATCCTGAAAAAAGAATTGTTTTTTTAGATAATTCGTCAAAGTTAACATCATCTGCTAATATTTCATCTTTAAGATGTATTTTTAGGATTTCTTTTCTATCCTCTTCTGTTGGAAGATCGACTAAAATCCTCTTAGGCATTCTTCTTATTATAGCTTCATCTAGATCAAAAGGTCTATTGGTAGCTCCCATTATCATAACTCCCATATTCTGACTAATCAATCCATCCCATTCTGACATAAACTGATTTATTACTTCTCGATGTGATGGATTATTGTAATCAGATCTTCTGGAAGCAAATATAGCATCTACTTCATCAATAAAAACAACACAAGGACTTAATTTTCGAGCTAAAGAAAAAATAGCCTATTAAAAAATTAATATAAATTAAAAATCATGAACAATAAATTGTACTTTAACATTTTTTTCACCTTCTCCTACATACATATTAAAAATTTCGCTTCCTTTAACTTCTAAAACTCTTGCACCACAATCTTTTGCAACTGCTTTTGCTAAAAGTGTTTTACCACTACCTGGAGGGCCAAAAAGAAGAACTCCTGATATTCTATTCCGAGATAAAACGCCAAAATTAAACGCTTCTGGTTCTTTAAGAGGTAATGAAATAAGTGTTTGAAGAATATTCTTAGTAGAAGGTGGAGTTCTTACAGAATCGAATCCAACAGAGATCATTTCTAGAAAAATTTAAAATATAAATAATGAAAAAATAACTGTACCTGGGTTAACAACACCAGAAAGTAACTTTTTTTCATATTTATTGCAGTCTAAACTATTATAATCAATAAATCCTTTTTTCTTTCTCTCTTCTTCTAGTTGTTGTTTGCATTTTTCCTGTTGGTATTTTGATGCAGCTTCCCATGTCTTTTTTATTTCATTATTTTCTTTAATTAATTCAATTGCATTTGATATATCCAATGTATTAAGAGATATTACCTCTTGGTTGTTTTTAGAACCTTTATATAACCCTATAGCAACAGAAATAATTCTATGTATAAAATCAAATGTCCATATTTCATTTTGTATATTAGGGAAAAGTTTTAAGTCACTGTGAAGAAATTTAGAAATATCCAGTTCAAACTTAACACCACATCGTCGTTTTAAAAGAGAATTTAAGTGCCTTATGTTTATCTCTTTAATATGCATAGTTTGATGTTTATTAAACGTTTTGTCTATATATAAGCTATCTTGATCTTTTGATGTTACTGGGACTATAAATATATTTCTATAAAATTGCTCAATAGGCAAAAACATATTGTCTCGTATTACGCTTCCACGATCAATAATATCTTTGTGAGACCCTGCTACAATAATAATATTCTCTCCTTTTTTACGTTTAAGATGAACAACTTCCCATAAGACTTTTAAAACATAATTCCCTGAAATACTATTAATTAATGAAGAATATTCTTGAATATAAATTATTGTTTTATTTTGAGAATATAAAGGTGCTTTTTCTGTAGATAGAGTTAATGATTGAAGCTTTTTTTGTTTTTTTAAATTTGAGACTAACAACTTCGATAAAATTAAGGAAAGTTTTTCATGTAATCCAACATTATTTTGAATATGTTTTAACGACTGAAGCACATCATGGAATTCTCTATTATTTGAATTTTTTGATAAAGAAGCAGTAAGAACTTGAAGAACTGGACCTAAAACTATTTTCTTTCCAGTGTTATGATTTAAATTTATTTCAGAAATAGTATCATCTTCTTCGATATCTTCATGTTCTTCTGTTTCATTATTTTCCTGAATTGATAACTTCTTATTATAAGTCGTAAAAGAAAGATTTGGAAAAACTCCAGTATTTAACAGTTCAGTGCAATCTATAACTATAGCTATAGCTTTAGTATATCATATATTACTATAATTCACCTTCTTCGAAAATATCTCCAACAAGATCTTCTAAATCTTGCGGACTAATTTTTATAAGATCTGCCTCAAGCAAATTAGAGATTTCATGAACTATTGAATCTAAAAAATAAACAGAGCCTTCAACTGGGCATGTCAACATAAGATTTGTTTTTCTGGATGAATTGTTTTCTTTTTTTTTGGTAGGATTAAAAATAAATGATGCATTTAAATGTGCCATCAGCTCCTTAATTAAACTTTTAGTGACAAAAAAGTGATCATCAAACACATGTATGTCATATAAATCAGAATTGGAAATATCCTGTTTTGTTTTAGAGTCCGGCTCTTCTGATTTGATAGAATTATATAAAAAAACATTATTTTCTAAAAACCATTCTGGAATGATTGGATTATAGATAGATTTAGCTGAATTCCCGTATTGATCTCCCTTACGTTTTTTTTTTTTATTATTACTAGAAAGTGTTTTTAAAAAGGATGAACTTTTAAAAGAGATATTATCATTTGACTTTTGTAATTTTTCATGTGTTTCTAATTCTGATTTTAGTGAATCAGCAGGATCAGACTTTCTTGGGTTTGATTTTAAGACATGAGAATATGTAGAAAACCTAGATAAACTTGTTTTATATATATATTTTATTTTATAAAATTTGCAAATTCTTTGTTTTTGAACTTTTGAGAAAGGAAAAAAATATAGCTGAAATTTGGTTATAACGAAAATTGTCATTTAAAGGTGCTTCTATTGTTAAAATAGAATAATGTGTTTTTATTTGAATAATTTATGATATTTGAACAAAAATTAAATGTTAAAATACGAGTACGATGCTTAAAGAATGAAAAATTCAAAGTAGGTGAAAAAATGAAATATTTTATGAAAATCATATATTTTTTCGTTTAAAATACTAATATAAAATCTATATATTTTATTTTTTTAAATGAAAAAATTTAACATAAAGAATAATTTTGATATAAATTAAACTTAATCTTAAATCATTAAATTGGTAAAACACAGTATTTATATAATCGTCTTAATATAATCATATAAAATATTTACAATTTAAAAAGTAAAATTGATTTAATATTTGATCCGATAATAATGAATATATAATATAGACACAAATATTGATCATTTTGTATACCTAATGACATTTTGGAAGAGTAGAATTTTTTTGAATAAACCAGGACAGATTAGTGTTAAACTGAACTATACATTAAAAGCTGTATATTTGAAAACAGTTTAAAAATAAGTGAAAATCTTGAAAAATTATTTGCAGAAAGATGTATATAAATAATATTTTTAGTATTTTTGTGATATTTTTCATATGTATTTCATTGAATCAAAAAGAAAATATAAATATAAAATGATTATGTTGAATAATTATGTATATTCTTCTAAATGATTCATTGAGCATTTACCTTATATATAACTGAAATCAAGCATACTAAAAGAATACTTTATTTCTTTATAGATAATTATGTCATCTTTTTAGTGGTTTGTGATATTTTTGTTAATGATACATTTTTTTCAGAATTATCTGAAAAGTAAATTGCTTATTTTGTAAAGTATTATATTACATTATTTTTTCAGCTGCTTATATGTAAGAAACTTTGGAAAATAGAAAGAAATATTCTTTCTAATTGTTACTTATATTGATGTTTGCGATTCTTGCGCAATTTCTGTAATATTCGGTGTTTGCAGTGTAGGATCGGGAGGATTTTCAGCTTCAAATGAAATAACACTATCTGTCTTTATGATTTCATCAATCATATTTTTTGCGATTTGGATTGATTCCGATGTACCAAAAATATATGCTGGACGCATTCCATGAATTGTTTCATTTTCGTGTGCAATATTAATATACGTTTTTGACCGTTCCTGAAGATCTCGAATTGACTCACCTCCTCTCCCAATTATCATCCCCACTGCTTTGTTTGGAATATAAATCTGAATTGAACTGTATCCGTTTTCTTGTGCAGATTTATTTATATCTTCTATATTATTCTTCATACTAGACGCTAAACCTTTTAAAATTTTGTTTTCTTCGATTACTGAAAATATCCGCTTTTTTGCAGTATCTACCTGCGCTTGTGTTCCTGAAATTGTTGCCATACGTTGATTCATTATGCTTGTTCGCTCTGGATAAAATTGTACACGAGCACCTGTCTCTTGTTCAATATGTTTAAGTGATTCTCCTCCACGACCAATAATCAACCCAACAAAATTCGTTTCAATCTTAACTGTTTCTACTACTTTTGGTTTTTTGGACGACTTTTTCCGTATAGGACTAATAGACCGATCTTTTGCACATTTGGTTCTACGGCGTTGCGTTTTTGAAAACATTCCTTTCTCTCTCCAGTCACGGTCATAGAAATCGTCTCTTCTAGACCGTGTATCATCATATCCCAGCTCCTTGGACGCTCTATGCGTCTCTAAAGGCCTGAGTTAGAAATTTACTAGATTATTTCCAAAAATTAAATATACTTTGTAGTTTGCTTGATGAATACATGTCAGATACACTCAAATGGGATGCTGGGTTAACGTTTGACATAATATTTGCTAATGAAAGTGTTCCTGATGATGATGGACGTATATGTTCTAGATTTAACGATGTTGTATTAAATGACCCATTAAGCATGCCATTTAACGTTTCTCCTAAAAATGTGTTTACTGGAACATTTGAAGCTTCTGTCTTATGCATATGAGCTCTTATTGGGGCTGTTTCTGGCTGTTGTTGTGCTGTAATTAAGTGTCAGTTTTTGATAAAAACGCACATAAAAAAATACCCAATGCTGAGAGAAGTTGAGCAATAGTATTAGGATCTGACATTTATATAATACAATATGATTTTGAATCTTTTTTAGAGAAAAAAAAGAAAGACGGAATAAAAAAATGATAAATAATTGGGTTGGATTTTTCCGCCGTTGTCACCGTTGTCGTTACTCTGGTGAGTTTCCACAGTGACCTTATTTTAAAATTCAGGATAATATATGATATTTTGAAAGATATTTAGAAGTTAAAAAGGAAAAAAGAGGTTTAGATTTGTATTATAAGAGTGAATGTAATTTTCATGTATAAAGTTGAAAATTATACTCAATTACTTTTGAAAAGACATGTATAGTTTTTGGCTAAATTATGTCAGCATAAAAAAAATATATAAATTTGTATTTGAATTTATGTATGGCCTTTTGTTGAATATTACAGTAGTATTTGTATGTTTAAAATTTTAAAAATAGATGTTTTTAGGATCTTGGAGATATAAAGGTAGTATGTTATTACTTTGCATAAAATATAATAATAATTGTTAAAATTTTCTATTTTGAGTATAAACAAGTGTTTTAAGTGTTATTTTTGTTGTTATTTTTGTATATGTTTATCTAAAATCTAAGGCAAATAAAAAATATTGACGAGAATCAATTTGAATAGTATTAGCGTGTATTTGGATAATTTAGTTATTTTTGAATGTAATATGAAAGGTATATTTTTGTATTTTGAATTATCTATAAATATTTATACAGATTGAGAAATTATCAAAAAAAGTTAATAAATTTATAATTATATAAAATTAGTTTAAATAACTGTAATTAGGTTTTTAAATGTATTTTGTTCATGTGTTTGTTTTGAATATTTTGTGTATTTTGTTAAACAAGCATATATCAAAAGACTAACTTGCTGTTTTAGTGATACAGATTTAATTATAAAATATAAAGAATTTGCAAAATAAAATATTTATTACTCTTTAAATTATTATCAAAATGCATGAATTCGTCTTACTAGATATTTAAAGATATGGATATTTGTTTTTTGTATAACTAGGACTTTTTTAATGTGATTTTAGAAAACTAGAATAAATTTAATAGAAATATTATATTACTAAATATATGATTTAGTAGAATATACATTCTCTTTAAAAGTAAAAATTGAAAAAAAGCAATACATATTTCTAATAGAAAAACGAATTGTGGAGAAATTTAAAGAAATTAGGTATCGATCAAGTTTTGCTCTTGAGATAATGGAGATTCAGACATTATATCATCATAGTTATTTTTTGTATCTTCGACTATTGTGTTTCTGTTTTTAGTAGATGTCCGTGGATAAAACTCCTTAATAATGTCTTCTGAAATTCGTGTAAGCTGCTCTCTTGGAAATATTCTTAAAAGTGACCATGCAATGTCAAGAGATTCCTTAATAAATATCAGTTTGCTTTAAAAACATATAAAACAATACTTCTATGGTCCGGGATTCATAAAGACCTAGAAAGGTAAGCCATTGGCCATTAAAATTAGAATATAAACCTTGTGAAATAAAATGTTTTTCGAATTTTTCTAGAAATTCTAATAATAATTTATCTTCGTCAGATATAGCATCTTCTCCAACGACTGCTTTCATAGCAGCAACATCCTTTCCCATAGCATAGTTTGCATAAAGTTGATTTGAAACTTCTGGATGATCTCGACGAGTAAAACCTTCTCCTACTGCGGATTTCATAAGACGTGATAAAGATGGAAGAACATTAATTGGTGGATATATTTGACGATTATGAAGCTGACGATCAATAAATATTTGTCCTTCTGTAATGTATCCTGTAAGATCAGGAATAGGATGAGTTATATCTAAAAAAAATGAATTAACATTCTTATATAAAAAATATACCATCGTTTGGCATAGTTAGTATAGGAATTTGAGTAATAGAGCCATTTCTTCCTTCTACACGCCCAGCACGTTCGTAAATTGTTGATAAATCTGTATACATATAACCTGGGTACCCTCTTCGACCAGGAACTTCTTCTCGTGCTGCTGAAACCTGAAAACATAAATATATTTTACATAATCAAGAACAAGTACTTCTCTAAGAGCATCTGCATAAGAAGTCATATCAGTAAGAATTACAAGAACATGTTTTTCAGTTTGATAAGCATAATATTCAGCAGTAGTCAATGCAAGACGTGGAGTAATAATTCGCTCAATCCTATAAAATTAGTTTACTAAATATTTAAGGGTATTTTTACGTAGGATCGCTAGCTAAATTCAAAAAAAGTGTTACTCTTTCCAAAGACCCGTTCTCCTCAAAATCATGTTTAAAAAATCGTGCCGTCTATTCATTATTAATATATAAATAGCATACCCTTGTATATACTTCCATATTGACACCCATTGCTGTACTTTATTAGCCAGTTTTCATTTATTTATTTGCAAATTTACCAGCAAATACAATAGAAAAATTATCCTCATGACCATCATGAACATCTTTCGTAGGTTTTTTAACAAGACTTGCTTGTCGACATATTTGAGCAGCTATTTCATTATGTGGAAGCCCAGCAGCCTACAGATACATTAGCTGCTGCATTGTGTGAATATTTGTTTACCGAAAAAATAGGAAGCTTCTATACAATAAATATTAGTCAATGTTAGAGATTTTATAGAAAATCAGAAAATTACTTGGCCTCTAGCAATACTACTCATAGTGTCTATTGCAGATATGCCTGTCTGAATCATTTCTTGAGGATATATACGTGAATAGGGGTTAATGGGAGAGCCTGCATGTACATCCTCCAAGTCAGTTGTCTGAAGCTCAAATATAAAGCCCATCTATACCGTTGATATCTAAGTAATCTTCTGCAAAGACTGGTGGACCATTATCAATTGGTTTTCCAGAGCCATCAAAAATACGTCCTTGCATATCTTCGGAGACGGGAATTCTTAAACTTTTGCCTGAAAACTCTACTCTTGTCGATTGTACGCCAATTGATGATGTCCCCTCAAACACCTGAACAATTGCAGTTGTTCCACGAGACTCTAAGACTTGTCCCATTCGTACATCTCCATTTTCAAGGTATAAATGAACAATCTCATTATAGCGGGAAAACTTGCAAAAATTGTCAATAAAGTATAAAAGAAGGCAGAAAAAGCCTAAATATCACATGGCAGAACTGCAAACACTTACTTTGACCTTGTCTAAGACTACCAGCGGCCCTGAAATACTTGTCACTGTTTGATAAGAAATTCGTGGATGAAGTGTGTAATCACGCAATGCGGCCTTGCAGTTGATCTTAAACGTAGTCCCCATATATATTTATTATATATTTATTAGTTTCTTCTTTATTGACTTGAAAATACTGCAAAAATCCTGTTAATTATATGTTTTATTATTTTGAGTTTTCTTAGTTAAAATGATGTAGAATATCGTAATCTCAATATAGTGGTTAGCAGAGTTTCCACGGTAACATGTTCTAAAAACTCGAATTAACCAATGTATATAAATGTATATGAATCCAGTGTATTGAGGAAAATAGAAAAAATATGTTCTATTTAAAGGGAAAATATGTGTTTTTGTAAAAATTTAGTATTTTATTTTAACTTTATTTTTCATCACACAAAAGCTGAATTTTTAGTTTTTTGAAGCGCATCCTAAAATACAGAAATACATGAATTTCTTTCTATTGTGCTCTTTATATTGTTTTTTTTTTTTGAAAATTTAATCATTTGTTTATTTTATATCGTTCAAACCTCATATTATCCTCTATAAATAATAAATTCTGTATTCTGTTGGCTATCGTGTGTTCTATAGATTCGACTAAAGCTGAGACAAGATATTAATAAAAGAAAAAAATACTGAAAAATACTGGTCTTATAAAGATTATAGTGTATATAAAGAGCACATAACATACCTATATTTTCTGTTTTTTTCGTAGAAAAGAACAGATCTTTTTTAATACTTTAATACAGTGTTTTACTGTAAAGTTATATACTACTGATTTTCAGTGTAACTGAATTGAACGTGCAAACAGCGGGTTTATTTTTTGAAGGAAAGGTATATTTCTTGTTTTTATATTGTTTTTTCTGTCTCATGTTAGTTTAGCTTGTTTTTGTTTCATTATTTTTGGGTGAAGTGTTATTCTGTGTATAATCTTGGAAATTAGCTTTTTTGTGGGTTAAGAGGGGCTCTGTTTGAGCAGAAATACTATTATTTTGTTTCTATTTGGTGTTTATGCTTTATTTTCTCTAAATAAAAACGGATGGTAGTGTCATCTGAGATAGATGGCTCTACTGCCGAGTCTATGAGTGTAGAGGATACAAATGCGCTTCGACGTTCTTTGTGAGCATATTTTTATGTTTTTTTTGCAATTATATGTATTTACTTTTTATAGAGGTCTTGCTCCGCTTTCTGAGACACCTGCACCTGCAGAAGATGTAGCTGTTACCAATTTTAAGACATATATGGCTTCTAAAGCTAAAGAAGAGGAGACACGTTTAATCCAGGAAAGAATAAAGATGTTTTTATTCTGTTTTTTATAATTATTTATTTATTTTTGTCTAGGGCACGAGAAACCCGTGAAACACAAAGACGTTTTACAGGCAAAGGGCTTGGTGAAGCAGATGATGATGATGGTGATTTAGATCTGCGTTCTTGGGTGATAAAACACCGGAAGCGTGATTTCTCTGGTGCAAATACTAAGTCAGGCAGTTCTGAGGTTGGTGTGCTTAAAAAACAAAAAAAGACTCACGAAGTGGAATATACACCTGGTTTTTTGCTTGGATTTGTGGGTTTTTTCAACTGATATTTTTTAGATCAGCTTGAAGGGATTAAGGTGTCCCATGATATTGTTGATATAAATGAAGGAGAAGAGATGATTTTGACATTAAAAGATAGCAAGATTCTGGAAAATGATGGTATGCTTTTTATTTTGTTATGTATCTTGGATTTTGATATTTTTTAAGAATCCGGTGATGATGAACTAGAAAATATTGGTTTAGTTGAAAAAGAAAAACTTGAAAAAAATCTGGAGAATAAGAAAAAGCCCTCATATTCTGCATATGATGATGAAGAATTTGGCCAAGAACAAAATAAGACTATCCTTTCTCACTATGATGAGAAAGTGAAAAAGGTAATTTATGTTAATATATATTTAAAATCTAATTTGGAAAGGGTTTTGTGATTGGAGATACATCTCATGTTCTTCAGGATGAAACGTGGAAGAAAAGTTTACAGGAAACGTTTTCTTTAAATCATGCTCCGTCAGAAAATGTACTCTCTGATTATCAAGATGCATCTGAAATCGTTATTAAAAAGAAAAAAAAGAAGAAAACTAGAGTATCAAAAGTTGATCATGATCTTATTACGAGTTCTGTTGATGTAAAAAGTTCTACGCAAGAGAGTAATGGCTTTATACAAAATAAAGATTTTAATTTTGACAATGTATCTTTTGTGGATGATGATGATTTACAAGCATGCCTTGCTAGACAAAGAAATGCATCGAGGCGTAAAAATGTTTTGCAACCTGAGAATGTTGCTAGAATTATAAAACAGCGGATAATGGAAGAGTCAAATGAGAATGCTGATAAAGATGATGAGAAAGGGCTTATAATAGATGAAACAACGGAATTTGTTCGAGGTATTCAAGTTACGTCATTGAAAACAAAATCAAAACCATCTGAGGACATTAAATACATACAAAGTATCGAAACTAATGTTGAGAATGCAGAAGAAACCTATTTAGGTGAAACTAAAGATCCAAATGCAAATTCGACTGAATACTTGCAAAATATTTCAACAACAGGAATTGAGGATGAAGCAGATATTACTTCTGGTGTTGGTGTTATTTTTAATTTGCTTAAGCAAAAAGGTAGTCTAAGTATACCTTATATTCTTTTCATGTATTGATTATATTAGGTATTGTTGACAAACAAACTAATGAGAAACTATCTATTCAACAAGCTCAACATGAGCATGCGCTCTTTTTGGCAGAACAAAGAAAATTAAGGAAAAGACTTGAAGAAGAAGCCCGACATAGAAAAGAAATGGATCGTTGTAATGGAAAATTAGATAGAATGACACCTCGTGAGAAAGAGTTGTACTTGCAGGCTGAAAATCAACGTCATGCAATGATAGAAGCGCGTGAGTTACAAAAGCTTTTTGCAAATTGGACTCCGGTAGTTCAGTTAAAATACAATGATGAGTTTGGAAGAGAAATAAAAGAAAAAGAGGCATATAAGTTTTTATCACATCAATTCCATGGGAAAGGCTCGGGTAAGGCTAAAGTAGATGAACGACTTAGAAGACTAGCTGAAGAGAAAAGAAGAGAGCAACAGTCTATTTTTTCATACAATAAATAAGATACCATGTTTTATATATGTTAATGTATTTTACTAGCTATGCATGGATTTAGATTAATATTTTTTTATTTTTTTCTCTTCTAGTAACAATAATATTGTATTATATAGGATTATAGATACTTAGTACAATTTCAAATGTCCCGTAATTTGATCAATAATTGATCTTGGTCCTGGCCCAATACCAACCACTGTTGCTGAGTTCGGGCTTATTTGCGTTCTACCTGCATCATGGATAATGCATGATGATATTCCTAATGATTTTGCATGGGTACGTAGATCTTCCAGTTCAGCTTCTGTTTCCACTTGTAGTACAACTTTAGGCTGTCCAAAAGTTTCCCATAAATCAATTATCTATAAATTAATTTGTTTCTAATAAATCTATAGAATACTTCTGGATTTTGTTGCATAAGTTTTTTATAACATGCAACTGCAGCATGTGAGCATTGTGATGCCACCTTGTATCAGTTATATTTAGTTATTTTAAAAGCTGTTAATATACTTTTCCTTTACCCATTTTCAGGTCAGTTCTAACAACTAAGACAAGCTTATATTCTTCATTGAATCCTAGAAAATATGTCTTTATGATTAATTTTTATGTATCTTTGTTTTAAATAAAATTTATACTTGTGGTTTTTTCAAAGAATGAGGAAAAAATGTTTTTGTGTAATAACCAAATATAAAGAAAAAGATGCAAGGTACAATTGATGGTATAATTGTGTTTTTAACCATCAAATTTAAAAATTTTAATTGATTTTAAGAAAAACCCTTTTTTTCTTTAAAAAAGAATATTTATGTATTGCTTATACCTCTTAAGTATATATATATATATTTATTTATTTTAAATCTCTAATTTTCTGATTATTTTATGTTATTCTGAATTTTAACTAAGTATTTTAATCGATCTTAAAAAATAATTTCTAATTTATTAGAAAAAAATTATCAGAATATAATAAAGATTTCATTTATTTCACTTAGTTTTTTATATCTTTTATGAGTCTTTTTAAAAGATATGCTATTGGTGCTTTTTTTCCTAAGTTTAGAATAGTTGCTTTAAATTCAACTTGGGCAAATGTTAAGCAAGGTAAAATAGATGATTAATGTTATTTTATCTGTGTTTTAATGGCACAAACAGGTCCTCTTGATCCCATTTTAGGTATATTTGTGTTCTTTTTGGTCTTATATTTTAATTGGTTTTTGAAGGAATTAATGAAGTCTTTAATCTTGATAAAAGTAGTTTAAAAGTTAATTTGGGTGTTGGTTCATACCGTGATGATAATGGAAAGCCATATGTTCTTCCTTCAGTTAAACAAGCAGAGAAGAATATTTTTGCTGCAGATTTGGATAAAGAATATACGTTGATTTCTGGTATTCCATCTTTTACGAAATATGCAGCAGAATTAGCGTATGGTGAAAACTCTGCACCTTTGAAAGAAAACCGTATTTCAGTTGTTCAGTGTATTTCAGGGACAGGTGCATTACGTGTAGGTGGGGAATTTTTGAATAGATTTTATTCGAGTAAAAAAATATATCTTCCTACACCGACTTGGGTTTATATCTTTTCTTGCTTTTTTAATGGCTAAAATTACATCCTAGGGGAACCATACACCTATATTTAAAGATTCAGGGTTAGAGGTGCATAGATATCGATATTATAATAAAGATACTATTGGCCTTGATCTTGAAGGTGCACTTGAAGATATTCAATCTGCACCTCAAGGGTCTATTATTTTGTTTCATACTTCTGCACACAACCCTACAGGTGTAGATCCTACGCAAGACCAATGGCATCTTTTTTCAGATGTTATTAAGTCAAGAAATCACTTTGTATTTTTTGATATGGCTTATCAAGGATTTGCATCTGGCGATGTTGTAAAAGATGCTTATGCATTGAGGTATTTTGTAAAGCAAGGACATAATTTGTGTGTTAGTCAATCTTTTTCTAAAAATATGGGTCTTTATGGTGAACGCGTTGGTACATTCTCTATTGTTTGTGAATCTTTGGATGAAAAGAAACGAGTAGAAAGTCAGTTGAAGATTTTAATACGTCCTCTCATTTCGAATCCACCTATTCATGGTGCTCGAATTGCAGTAGAGATTTTAAGTAATGAAAAGCTTTATAAACAATGGCTTTCTGAATTAAAAAAAATGGCAGATAGGATTATTTTATCAAGTATTTTTTACAGATAAAATTCTAAAACTAACTTATGGTAATAGGGAAATTACTTCGTAAGTATCTTGAAGAGGATTTTCAATCTAAGGTATTATATATATATATATATATATATAGTATAGTTAATTTTTTATAGCATGATTGGTCACATATTACCTCTCAAATAGGTTTATTTTTTTATATAAAATTAAAAAACTCATAAAAGATAGGCATGTTTTGTTATACGGGTCTTAATCCACTTCAAGTTAAGCGTCTTGCTGATGAATATCATATTTATTTAACAAATGACGGAAGAATTTCTATGGCTGGTGTCTGTAGCAGTAATGTTCGGTATTGTCATGTTTATATATAGATTCTAAAGTCTTATTTTTTTATAGATATGTTTCTGAATCTATACATAATGTTACAAAATAACCTTATATTTTCAGTTTTTGTTAAAAATAATATTTCGAATACCATTTTAAACCTATTATTAATAAATATAGAAATTTTTTTTTGTTTAAACAATACGATACATTTTAATTTATTCTGGTATTTATGTTCGTTTTGATACTTTTTCTATAATTTATATAAATTTTAAAATATTTAAAAAAAATAATTTTAGTTTGAAATTAAAATTATAACAATTAAATATTTTTTTATAATTGATAAAAAATAGTTTGTAAATTTATTAAGGAAGCTGCAGATTGTTGTTTTTTATATTTAAAGGTTAGGACTCAGGGAATATTTTAAGAATTATATTCGAATGTTTTTTTTTTTGAAATATCTTTGGTATTTCTGTTTAAGTTAATTTAAATGTGTTATGTTTATTAAAATCAAAGATAAACTGTTTAATGAATATATAAAACAATTTTATATTAGATGAAGTTATATTTTTAAAATTCATAGTTAAAACTCTGAATTCTATTATAAAAAAAGAAAGTATGAAATTTTAGAAAATATTTTTTAAAAAAATTGATTTTGAAAATCTTGAAAATATTGAATTTTCAATAAAAATATTTAAAAAAGGAAAAAAGTCCATATATGAAAAATAGAATAAAAAATATTAATTATATAAAAAATTATATATTTCTGGGATAATATGTTATTTGTATTATTTTTATAAATTCTTATTTTCCTGATTTTTTTGATACAATAATTCGATTTGTTATGTTAAAATATTTTAAAATTTATAACTGTGACTAATTTATTTGATTGATATAATATTAAAATAATAAAAAATTAAATAAATATTAATTATTAAAACACTAAAAAGATTATTATAAATATTATCTTCTTTTCCATGATTTATTTTTATTTTTATACTTTTTTAATTTATAACTTACATAATTTCTACTAACTTGAGAACGAAGAATAACACCCCCTTTTCCTTTAATATATTTCTTATGTTTGTCTTTTTTATCATTTCCTATTTCTTTTTGTACACTTACATTACTTAAGGTTTTGTTTTCATAAAGAATATGGTTTTCTTTTGAAGCTTTTTTATTTATTAATGTATTTGCATTTTGTTGCTTTTTTGATTGTTTTTTAATAGAAGGTCGCACTATATCAAATTTAACTAAAAACATATTTGTGTATATATTACTTACATATAACTCTTCTTGATCGCTTAATTCCTCTTTTTTTCCACGTTTTATTTTCAGAATCTGATTTTTCTATAAGCTCGACTTCTTTTTCTGACTTTATAGCTGCTTTATAGTTTTCTTCTTCAATCTCTTTTAATACATTTTCGCCTGGATCAACGAAATTATCTTCCATTTGTCTTAACTCTTCTATTAATGAACTAAGACCTTTTTTGGATATTGATGTTCTGAAAGAAAATCGTGGAATAGTCGGAGAGGACATATCCACTACTTTTCTAAGGAATACAGGAGTTGTAAGAAAGTTATTTCTGTCTGGAGTTTTTAGAGTTTTTGACGGTGTTTGAAAAATGTTATTATTGCTCTTTTTGGATATATTTTCTGTATTTTTATCTACAACATTCACTTCATTTTTTTCTTCTGAAATATATAAATAATCATTGAAATGATCGAAAATTCCTATAGGTTTCCCTATTTTCTGTGGTGTTGGACCTATTTCTTCACAATTCCCATTTAAAAGCACTAATTCTTCTTTTTCAAAATCTTTTCCTTCTTCTCCATCTATATCTTTCTTATTTTTAGATTCTTTGTGTATTTTTTCTATATTTTGCTGATTTAAAGATATCTTTCCCGCTCGAATTTGATTGTATAGTTTATAATATTCCTCTATGCATATTCTTCAATATCTTATCTGCTTTTTTGTGCCTTATACTTATTTTCTTGTTTTTTTTTATGTCATCTCTCTTTGGATAACGGCCTTCTTGTTCTTTGAATTTCCACTCCCATTCCTTTAATTTTTCCCGCAGTTTTTGACGGTATTTTAAGAATCGTTCTTCCTCTTTTTTTTTACACTGAATTTCTTTGATTTCTCTGTTTTTTTCTTCTATTATCTCTTTCATTTTTATATAATGGTTTTACTTATTAATTTTGCGATGACAGCCAACCTCACGTTAACTTAAAGAAATCTCTTAACATCAGAAAAGTATTTTAAAACAGAAAAAAACATTTTATTTTTGTTAAATATGATATGAATCTCAATGATGATCAAGAATTTTCAGATCCTAGTGTTATTTTTGCATTTTATCAGAGGATTTTTCCGTTTAAGTGGATTTTCTATGAAGTAATTTTTTGAAGTTTACTGTGTTATTTAGATATATCTTTCAGTGGCTAAATAGGTCTTCAGTGCCTTCAAAAGCCTTTTGCAATCGTGAAATAGCTTTTACTCTGCAAAATGATGCATATTTACGCTATAATTCGTTTCCTACATATGAAGCGTTTCGTAAAGAAGTTTTAAGATTAAATCCTTCTCGGTTTGAGATAGGCCCTGTTTATAATGCAAATCCAAGGGACCGTAAAACTTTGCGGAAAGCAATGTTTAAGCCTCTTGAAAAAGAGCTTGTTTTTGATATTGATTTGACTGATTATGATGATGTACGGACATGCTGTTTTAAGACAGATATCTGCTCAAAATGTTGGTGTTTTATTACAGCAGCGATAAAAGTTATTGATTTGACTTTAAGAGAGGATTTTGGTTTTCAGCATATTCTTTGGGTTTATTCTGGACGACGTGGTGTGCATGCTTGGGTTTGTGATAAAAGAGCCCGTGAATTAAGTGATCAGAAACGCAAAGCTGTATCAGTTTATCTCGAATTAGTGAGAGGCAGTACAACATCAGGAAAAAAAGTTGATTTGAAAAGGCCTCTTCATCCTTCTATAAGGTTTTTTATATTTTTAAAATATCTACCTTATAATAGTTCTTTAGTCGGAGTCTTCGTATTTTAAAAGAAACCTTTCGTTCTGATATCCTTATTTCTCAGAATCCCTGGGAAAGTGACGAAGGGTCTGAAAAATTACTTGAATTTATCACTGATAACGGTATATTCCTTATCAATAAATAACACTTATTTATATAAAAGATCTTAAAGAGTCATTGCGTAAGAAATGGAAATCTTTTCCGAAAAGGTCTAGTTATAATAAATGGCAAGACATTGATAGTGTAGCTGAAGAAGGAGTTTCTAAAGTACTTTCTTTTTATTTGAATCGCATCTTAATATTACTAGAATCTTGATACTAAAGCTCTTTTGGCTGCTAAACAGGATATAATTTTAGAATACATGTATCCACGGCTTGATGTTGAAGTTTCTAAGCATTTAAATCATCTTTTGAAATCACCGTTTTGTGTACACCCTGGAACAGGTTAGAAATAAAGGAATGATATATGTTTATTTATATTGATTTAGGTAGAATATGTGTACCTATTGACCACAATTCACTTGAAAATTTTGATCCTTTTAAAGTACCTACTGTTACTCAATTATTACATGAAATCGACACTTGGGATAAAGAGCGTGAAGAAAATGATGGAATTTCAGAAACTTCAGAAAAACATGAGCATATTTCAGGTAAATGGGTTTATGAATTGCTTTTTTTTCTAATATTTATATCCAAGATTATGAAAAAACGTCGTTGAAGCCTTATATAGAATATTTCAAAAAATTTGTTTCTCTTATTATTAAAGAAGAACTTATTAATAAAAAAAGACAGGAAGAAAGTAATGGGTCTATTACACTTGATTTTTGATGGATTTTTCATAAATATATAATTATTAATTAGATATCCAAGTAATATATATAATATAAAGTTTTAATAAGACTATTCATTGATCTCTTTGATGGCCTCTTCTGATAAGTCTCCTATGTCTTCGTATTCTAAATGATTAATTTCTAAATTTTCAAATGATTGATCTGGTTTATTTGCTTTTTTACTTTGTGGAAGTTTCCTTGGAGGAATAACATTTAAAAAAGCCTTTTCCCAATCCCTGATTTCTATCCATTGATGCATTATTTCCAAAACTTGATTAATTGTAAGTACTTTTCTTGATGCCATTTCTATATAATTTTCAATTGGAAGTTTTGCTGTCCAAATATTTTGACTTTTAGCTTTGTTTAAACATAAATTCTATGAATTGTTACATAGCTCATTTTTCAAAAAAAAATGATTACTTTATATCTATTTTTATCTACAATTCCTCCGATAATATATATTTTATTTTTGTCTAGCTCATTAATTGTATTTTCTGAATCAGCTGTTAAATAAATAAATTCATTTTCTTTAAAGTCACTCCTTTCATGTAATGCAGTATAATTTTCTCCTAAAAACTCTATTCCTTGCCAAGCCATATGTTGGTTTTTTAATATTGTTCTCATACGTTCCTCGAGTCGTCCTCCAAAAGATGTTACATAAAGTTGAACAGGAAAAGAACTTCTTCTGTTATCTGAATAACAACGTGTTAATTGAGAACTTAAAGATACAATTTCCTATTGCAATTAATTATTTATTTATTTTTATGGTTATAATCATACTTTGTCAACCATCTTATCATCAAATTCACAATCAATAATTACTTTTATATTACTAGGTGTTTGATTTTTCTTTAATTTTGTAAACGGTATTTTCATTTCCTCGAGTTTTTTACGCTTTTCTATTTTTTTGATCTTTGCTTTTTCTTTTTTACGTTTACGCCATTCTGCTTTTGTTTCTTCCCATTTCTTTTGTTTTAACTTTTTTTTCATCATTTTTTTACTAAAATTTATGGTTGGTTCTTCTATTTTAGTTTCCTGTGTTGATATTCTATCTGAAAAAGTCTTACAAGACTTTTCATCTTTAACTTCAAAGTCTGACATATTTTTTAGAAATCTAAATCATGATAACAATAATTAAAATGTCTTTTGTATAATGTATAAATTAATTATTTGTAAATAATAAACTGAAAAAGATATTAATAGAATTTTGGTTTTTGCATTTTGTTTTTTGAAGTTTTAAAATTGTCAAAAAATTCGTTTAACGTATAGAAAAATAAAAATATGTTTGGTGTTTGTGTATAATTAATATCTAATGGAAATAAGTTTTGATTTTTATTTATTATGAAATATGATTTTTTTGAAAAAAATAATTTTAAAAATATATCTTTAAAGATTTTAGATAAAAAATTAAGATGTTTAATATTCGTATATAATTATTTTAATTATTGTATTTAATATATACAGTTGAAATTAAATATTTCAAAAAACATAATTTATTAAAATTTCAAAAGACAATGATTTTTGTATTATTAATTTATTGATAAATATTGGATTTATATTATTTTTAAAATAAAAATGACTTTTTAATTATTAATGCTCTATATATTTTTTATATAGAATAATTAATTTATAATGTTTGAATTTTGTTAATTATAACGTTTTTTATAATTTTGATTTTTTTTTAATCTATTATTTCTTGTGTAATTTAATATTGATTTTTTGTAAAATATAACTAAATATGATGAAAAATGGATTTTGGTATAAAAATATCAATGTTTTTGGAAATTTTTCAATGGATATAATTTTATAATTTTTTAAAATATAATAATTTGTAATAATTATTTTCTTTTTATTTTGTTAAAATTTTTATATTTTTAATACTTTAATAGAATATTTAAGTGAATATATATATTATCAAATATATTTTTAATAATTTTGATTTTTTATACTTCGTATGAATAATTTTTAAATAATCACATTTTCAGGATTTTATAAATTTATAAATTTATAATTTTATAGATTTAACACTTGAAAAACATTTATGATAAACCAAAAATAATGTTATGTTTACTTAATTAATAATATGAATGAATCATTAATTATTTGACAAGTATAAAAATTATTTTAATTAAATATAAATTTAAATTGTTAATTCTATAAAAATATTTTTTTGAAATATAATTTTTCAAAAAATAATTTCTATAGATCAATTTATTTTAGATATTTTTTCATATTTAATATAATATTATATACTCAAAGTTTTAAATTTTCAAAAAAGTTTCTAGATTTAGTTATTCACATTGAAAATATTTAAAAAAAATAAATTTAAAAAAAGATTGTTTATCTTTGCTAAAGAATAATTATAGAATATGATAACATATTATTTATATATATGTTATATATTAATGATACGCTTAGTACTATGATTTGATGAAATTGTTTTATAATATTTTTTTGTTATATATAAAATTTAGATATACTACCAGTGTATTAGTATATGTTCTAATTGCATTTAATATGTTTATTTAATATTTATACTAAATGGCTTGTTTTAATTGTTTTTTGTAGGGTGAAATTGTCTTTTATAATTTTTCTATTTATTATGAAGAGTATCTTTATAGAAGAAAAAGTATATGTTTTTAGGAAATTATATCTTTTCTAAATATTTTAAACTTCAAAAGATTTATTAAAATTCTTTTTTTTCCTACTTTTATGTTCTAATATTTTCAGATTTGTTAATCGTATGGCTAAATCTGCTTTAAAAGCTTCTAAAGAATTTATAACTTCAAAGGATTACAAAAATGCTATTTCTCAAGCACAAAAAGTGCTAGATTTTGACCCTTTAAATTATAATGCTTATGTTTTTCTTGGGATTTCTTATTTTAATTTATTAGAGTATGAAGAGAGCGAAAAAGCATATAAAAAGGCCTTAGAAATTGATAATGAAACTTATCTTGCATGGAAAGAACGTATTATCATTATGTTTATAATTATTTGACTTTTCATAGGGAATTGTTGGTTTATATTTTTCTCAAAATCGAATTGATGATTATATACATGCTTCTGTTAAATTGGCTACTATTTTTATGAAAAGGTTATTTTTTTAATCAAGATTTCATGTTATATATATTAAATCTCTTTCTAGAGATGAAAAGGATAAATGTTTTGATACTATAGAAAAACTTTTGAAATATGTTGAAGAACAGGGTTCACATAGTCAGGTTGAACATTTTTATGGTTTTTCATAAGTCAATAATATATATACAGATACTGAATACTCTTGAATTATGCCTTCCTTCTGGGATGTTCTACATTTATCTTGAAGGTCTTATTCCCAATGCAAGTGTGACATATGTAAAAATGATCAATATACTTGAACATTTAGAAAAAGAAAAAATGAATAAAGCAATAGCTAAACAACGTGGAAGGCTTGGTTTTACTCTTGAGGAAATTACTAAAAGTGTTAAAAAGGCTGTATTTATGGATTCAACGGTATTTTTTGTATATATATACATTTAAGTATATATTGATTTTTTGGCAGTTAGAAAAAATTTATGAAGAAACAATTAATTGGGCAGACGATGAAGAATTGCGTCGAGAGACTGAAATAAAATTGCTTAATCATTATTATGAACATCTTAAAGTTATTGATTCAGATGAAAAACCACTTAAAAGAGAAAAGGTTTTAAAGCTTGCACACGATATGGTGATTGTAAAAAATCCTAATGTTTTACCATGGATAATTTTTTTTGAGTGGAAAGATTTTCAAAAGATTGGTAAATTTTTGATATTACTATTTTATATCTAACCTGATTAGATGAATTAGACATTGGTGTTATTCAAGATTTTATTTCTTTATTTTCCGAGCATCCTATGTCATTGTGTCTTCGAGGGGTTTTATATTTGTATTCAAAATATTTAGAATCTTCCAAAAATGACCCAAATAATAAACGAAGCGATAATATAATTAATAATTTATTGGAAAGTATTTCTGATCAATTGCCTGATGATCATTTAGATGCTTTTATTGTAATCATTTCTTTTTCTAGTTTATGAATTAATATTTTAAAGGATGCGGCTGAAAAATTGCCAAATTCACCATTTTGTCATCGTTTTTTGGCTAGTTCTTATCTTTCTATAAAAGAATATGGAAATGTATCTATTGTTTCTAAAGCAGGATTGAATGCGCTTTCTAAACTTTCAGAGGAAACAGGATTATTACTTCCTTTGTATTATTTTGTTTTATTTTAAGATTATTATTAATTTTTTTAGTACACGTCAAGATTTAATATTTTATTTAGCTGTATCATATGTATATTATAAATCGCCAAAATTTCATGATGAAGCATTAAAATTATTTGATGAAGTACTTGAATTATCATTTAATAATGTTATGGCATTACATGGAAAGGCAATCATATTAGAAGAAAAAAAAGACTTTTCTTCTGCTGTGAATTTACTTTTGAAGGCTGCAGATTTAGAACCTGATAATATTTTAATTTTATCTGAAATTGCATGGTGTGAAATAAATATAAAAAAATATGAGGATGGGCTAAATAAACTTAATATTTGTATAGAAAAAATGGGAAATAATACAGTTCTTTCTAATCATGATAAAGCTGAAATTTTTTGGAAAAAAGGTGTAGCTCTTTGGGAACAAGGTTATTTAATTTACTAAAATATTAAAAAAATCTAATAATAACAGATGACGAATCAAGGAAATCCGAATCATATTCTTTTTTCATAACATCTTTGAGATATGATCCCAATTATTCACGATCGTTTGTAAATTTAGGGATATTTTATGCAGATGTTATGAATGATGAAAACAGATCTATGAAATGCTTTCAAAAAGCATTTGAGATAGATGCTGGGGAAATTGATGCAGCGGAAAGGCTTGTAATTGCATATGCAAAAAGAAAAGAATGGAATTTGGTAGAAACCATAGCAAAAATTGTTATTTCTGCAGATAGAATACATAGAAGATATTGTCATGATTTATCATGGCCACAACGTTCACTAGGAATAGCAGAAATGGTTTTTTTTTTTTAAAAAAAGAAATTATATATAATATCTAATTTTAATAGAATCATAAAAGATATGACAAAGCTATTATTCATTTTCAAAGTGCTTTGAAGATATATTCAAATGATCCTCATTCTTGGGCAGGCCTTGGAGAGGCATATGCTAAATCAGGGAAATATATAGCGGCATTAAAAGCTTTAAATAGATCTAAATGTTTAGATGAAAATAATTGGTATGTACAATATTTAATGGGAGATGTTCAGAAATTATTGGGGATGTACAAAGATGCATGTGAATCATATTATTCTATTCTTAAATCTTATCCAGATGAGTTTGTAGTTATTTTAGCATTATCAGAAACCTATATTTCTTGGAGTTCCGTATGGAAAGAAAAAGGATTTTATAAAAGATCAGAAGAGTATGCTATTAAATGTCTTAAAATAATTAAAGAGTCAAATAATAATTGTAGTAATAATAAATATAGTTATTCCTTGTGGACTATACTTGGTAAAGCATGTTTTTTGCTTTCTAGTTTTTTTGTTACTGATTTAGAATCATTAATTTCAATATTAAATACATTATATAATGAATATAATTTTGTTAATGATAAATTGGTCCCAATTATTGATAATTTACCTTTGGATCAAAAGGATTTATTTAATGATAAAAATCTTTCTTTATTGTTATGGACATTTTTATTTATGAAAAGAGCTGTTAGAGTTTCTGTGGAAAATAAAGTTGCACATTCAATGTCTTGGTATAGTTTAGGGCAAATTTTGTTTTCAATACATATTCAGAATGCAAATTTAGATAATTCTTGGATTAAATCTTCAATTTATTGTTTAAAAAGAGCTATTAAAATGTATCCTAAAAATGCCACTTTTTGGAGAGCACTTGGAGTAGTTACTTCAGTTTTGAATCCGAAATTTTCTCAACACGCTTTAATTAAATCTTTAAAATTAGATGAACAGGTAATTTTAATTTTTTGAAAATAAAATTTTATCTCTATTTTTAGAATCCTATTGCTTGGGGGGACCTCGCAACATTATATATGATAAACGGTGATTTTGATCTGGCGTATGAAGCATTTACAAAATCCCAAATAGCTGATCCAGATTATTGGGTTCCTAGAACGGGTCTGGGCTTTATATCAACAATAATGAATGATATTGCAGAAGCTAAGGAACAATTTGAAATTTCGTTTATTAATTCTTCTCAAAATATTGTAAGATTTTCGTCTAATATTATTTAATATTAATAATATATATCAGCCTATTGTAAACTATATGTATGTTACATCTTCTTATGATTATTTTAAAAAAAAATCACTTTCTGAATTAATAGGGAACCTTACAACTTATATTTTTGCAATTGAGAAATACTTTGAGCAACGTCCTACAGATTGTAATGCGTTAATATTGATGTCGTTATTATTGGAAATAAGTCATAACTGGACAAGATCTATTGTATTTTCATCAAAAGCATGTACTATTTTGGAAAAAGAATATGAAGAAAATGAAAATCCAGGAATTGTGATTCAGTTTTTGCATGCAAAATCATGTTTATCAAGAGCTCTTTTGGCAGATAAACAATATGAAATGGCTTTGGAAAATGCACAGGCTGTTCTTGATTTAACAGAAGGATCTGAACGATCTACTAATCGTCTATCATGTCATTTGGTAGCAGGTATTTCTTTATTTTATTTAAACAGGTTAGTTGATGCATTGGAAATGTTTCAAAGTTGTCTTGTAGAAACTAATGAACACCCTGACGTCATTGTTTTACTATGTAAAATCCTATGGGCAATGGGTGGCGAAGAAGAGCGTGATATTGCTCAGCAACAATTGCTTGAATGGTAAAAATTTTATTTCGATTGAAAAACATCAATTGAACTATATTTAGTATTTCTAAATACCCTAATCATCTTCCTTCTCTATTGCTTCTTGGTAGCATTAGTCTTTTAAATCAAGATTTCAAACTGGAGATAGAAGTTTCAAAATATCTTAACACTTTTGATTGGAATGAAAAAAAAAAATATGATTCTGAATATTCTCTTGAAAAGTATTTAGAATTAAAAGCGTATATTAAGGTAATTTCTTAATATCTTTTCATTTTTATACATTTAGTATAGGGTGATGATCCAAAATATGTATATCTTTCTGCACTTAATGTATACCCATCATCACCTATAATCTGGACAAGACTCGCATCAATAGACAATGATCCGGATGTATGTTCAATGGCTTTAAAAATCGCTCTAAGAAATCCTTGTTCACCAGAAACTTTATCACTGGCTTATAGTCAAATGTCGTCCATTTTTGACACTTTAAAAGCACTCCATTTAGCACCATGGATCGCTAAATACTGGAAAACACTTGAAAGGTATATATTATGATAATATATCTTTCCGTTACTGTTATTTATTTACCGCGGTAGTTTGTTGCTTTGTTTTTATTGAATGGAAAAAAAACGAAAAAAGTCTGCTGATAAAAACACTGACTTATTGTCGTCTTATACGTCTGTTCTGTATGTTGTTTTTCACCGTAATTAATTGACATTTGATATAGGAGTGCATCTGAAAATGTATCCTTTTCTATACCGCCTGAACAAGTAACATCTGATAATAAAAAAGATGATTTTTTATATATGAACAATGAAGCTACAGACAATGTCTGTTTATTGCAATGCTTTTTCTTAGTTAATATGTTTAGATCCGTTTAGATACATCGGAAGACTTGTTTGAACAACATTATATGAACACTCTTACTCAAGAATTTGAAAATGAATTGGATGAGCTAAGAAAGGTATGTTTTAAGCTGTATAGCTACTTGCGTCTCTATTAATGTATGAAGAGTCCTTCGTTTGATCCTCAGTCAATGCCTATATTGGTTGCTGCATTGAAAAAAGGTGTTAATATTTTTTCAGCGGAAGAAAAACAAAAAGTATTAGATAATCTTATGCGGGAAAAGGATAAAGGAAACAAAGGAAACATGAAAAATGATGCCTAAAGCACTGCTTTATTGTTGTTATTGTTCCATTATTTCATTTAATATATATATATATCATCCGTTGGATTGATGTTGCACTGGAGTACTGCTCTGCCATAGAAGTCTGGGTGTTCCATCTCGAATAGACCGTTCTTCTTCTTTCAATGCATGCTTGATTTTCTGTATTTCTTTTTCTATGTATTTTGTACTTTTTTTTAACAACTCTACCCGTTTCTATTATATTTTCAGCTAATGTAAAAAACATCTTATATAAACCTCTAACTCGTCAATGTGCTCATATAAACCCTTTAATTCTTCGCTTACTGGGCGAAGTTGCTCAAGCATTGGGAAAAGAGTATCTATCTGTTTTTACTTTATTGCCGTTTCATATATTATATTTATAAATCTATGTACCTGAGTACAAGTATTCATAAGCTGTGATTCTGTCTGAAGAACTGCAGCTTCTAAAGAATCCAATCCAGTCATCTGCTTGTATTAGTTTTATTTTTTGATTGGATTGGATTTTCTGGGTTTCAGAAAACAACCTTATACAACAAAGAATCATCTTTGAAACGAGACAGTTCTTGGGCACATTTTTGAATTTTTTCTAATATGCTTTGTATATCCAGATGCAATATGGGAGAATCCATGTTGATTGAATCTTTTTATGTACAAAATTGATCGTTAGTTTTTTCAAACATTAAGATTTATTTTATATATTGTTATTTTTTGTTATATCTACTTCAATTATACAGCCCATGCAACATCATGATGTCTTGACATGACTTTTTTATGCAAGTTTTACTCTATACAATGCTGTGTTGTAAATAATATTTGCCGGTATATATATATATATAAAGGTATCTAGATTGATGATTCAGCGGCTATATGTAATAGACCGTTGGCCTCGTCCATGGTTGGGTGTCCAAGGACCCAAACTATGGTTTGCATAGAAATCCATTGGATATGGATCTTTCCATTCAATCCCATCGAGTGCAATAAATGCTTCATATGGCGATAATAGTGGTGTAGGAAATGCATAGCCCCAATCAATTGACAATCTTGGACATGCAATTTGCACCCATGCCTCAATATCATAAAGCTGAGACAGCTTTGAGGGAAATATCTCTGAAATTAGCAATCTAATGTATTTTATTCCTTTTTTTTTCAACTGAGTCTCCAAGTTCTGAAAACACTTGTAAGCATGCGAAAACATACATAAAAATACTTGCAACCTCTAATACTTTAAGACTTCCCTGTCTTCCTAATGTGCCCATGATAATCCCCCATTTTTTTGCCTTTATGGCCTTCTCAATCGCCTCTTTTCGAAGCTTTTTCATATCTTTGTGCTCATAATACTCTCTTGTAAATTTCCCCGAATAAGGATCATATTTGTAAGCCGGAATCTGCGGATTTGCAATCATTATCGACTCCAGATGAAACCGTCCATCTCCAACATAAACCATTGCATCTACATCTCCCCCAAGAGTCGGTGCCGTGCATCCCAGGATTTCTCCCGGCGATAGCGGCTTTATCTGAGGAACTGTAACCCTGTATCCCGCTCCTTCTCCCTCCCTCGCCCCCTCCTTCAGTCTTCCCACAACATCATGGATCCTAGGCACAAACTGGATCGTCCCTACCAATGCTATATGTGTATTTGTCGGTATATTCGCCTTAATCGTCTCTACCATATGGTCCTTGTTGATCTCAATATCTACAAACACATATAACGTTCTGATCGACACCGAATCCACCGGAACCAAACAGGAATGTCCATAATGAACAAGCAAATCACATCCAAGCGCCTTTGCTGTATAATCATCCACACAGCATGCCTATACTCATAAACATCTTTCTTCTCACCCCCGTAAATCTACCCCATACGTTACATCCCCCATGATATACACTTCTACTCCACATATACTTCATATTCTGTCAATTTCACCCTCTTTCATGTATTTTTATTTCTTGCCTTTCCAGTATATCTGCTATAGTACATGCAAAAACCAGTAGTCCCTCAGGCATTTGCAGCCCCACTTTTACTATTAGATTTGCACTTGTATATTTCATACTGTATGCCTCGTTTTGCCCTGTTTTTCTGTATATTCCATACTGTTTTGTGTATCTCAAAGTTATAGTTTTCCGGCAGCTGTTCTTATCAGAATCCATATAAACCCTTCTTTGCCCGGGTTTTCCCCCGTTTTACCAGAGAAACCGCTTCTTCGATCACCTTGTCCTCCCGTATCTCTATAGGCACGCTGCTTACTGTTTTTTTCTGTGTATCCGTCGTGCTGCGTCCTAGACTCGTCAGAAAACGCCCAAACTCCGCTCAAAAGCGCGGAAAAAGCGCATACGTATTGCCCATGTGTTCTCCTCAATGTCTGCGTCTGTTTCCCCCTCTTCTACCCCTCTTTTACCCTCTTTTCCGCCCACAAACTGCTTTCTCCCCCCCTTTTCCGCCGTTTTCTCCATCGATCCACGCGATCCCCTCTCTCTACCTCCCTCTCCGCATACACCCCGTCTACCCCCCTCTGCGCCGCGCATACAGCCGCTCGATCCACGCATATACCAAGTGTTCTCTGTGCTGCCGCGTTTCTGCGCGTTTTTCCCGCGTTATATGCGCTTTTCCGCCTCTGCGCGCACTCCCGTTTTCCATGGCGTCTCCACTCCTCCTTTCCAAAGAGCATATTGTCCGTGTTTCTGCACAGACTCCGTTGCTTTCTGTCCGCACCACACTGATGCGTCCCTCTGCTGCGCTGATGGTTACCGTTGCGCCGGTGACCGCGCGCGCGCTTGGCGCGTGGAGCGTCGGCCTGCCGGTGGGTAGCGCGGGATGCGCTGTGCTGACGCATATAGTCGGGGAGCCGCGCGCATACAGTGGCGGCACTGCTCCGTCCAGCCGGTATCGACGACCTATCGTGTGATATGGCGCGTCTGCTTGGTGGGTATAGTGGTTTCTGGCATTGCTAATGCAGCAGCGACCCGCTTTGCGAGGCCGTGCTATGTGGGTGTGTCGCTCGGGCCCGAGTGGAGCGCATACACTGCGGCAGTCACCGACGCATGCATGCGCGTGGTGGGCGAGCATCTAGCACAGACTGCGCCGCACATGCCGTGCAGTGCATAGTACAGCGTGTATTGTGTGTACAGTGTATAATGTATATGTGTGCATAGTGTGTATACAGTATACCGCAGTTGCAGTAAGTATATAGTGTATACGTATATAGTGTATATAGTGTATATAGTGTAGTATGGCATGTATAGCATGTATGGCATACATAGTATATGTATAATATATGTATAATATATGTATAATATATGTATAGCATATATAGTATATGTACACCCGCATATGTATAGGTATGCGTACAGTGCGTACAGTGTATAGCGTGCATTGCATCATGTATGGCAGTGCATGCTGCGGAGGGGGTTGCCATGGCAACCTCTAGGGGAAGGGAGCTAAGGGAGACGAAAGATACAGCAGAAGCGCGGCAAGCCGGCGGGAGATGGCCTTGGAAACACGCGGACGCTCTGCCCTGCATGCACGGATGCAGGGGGTGGCTCTATCTGCAGCGGCCTGCGGGCGCATAAAGTTATGCGTGGGTTCGACGATCGCGATAGAAATATAAAGCGGGCACTGCAGGCAGTGCCAAGACATATATTTTATACATTATATACATTATAGATATAGTTAGCCGCAGCAAACAAGATTATTTTGATATGATTTCAGATATTCCATGTGGTGCATGTATAACCCGTGTTTGCCCGACTGCAGTGGTGGTCGGGTCAGTCTTTGGGCATTTGACGTCGTATCTCGTGTACGGACCGCTGTTTGGGGAGACATGGCAACGGGCAATGTGTCTTGACAAAAACTCGGAATTTTGGGCTTCCAAAGAGACAGGCTCTCTCAGTGTAATGTATGGATCTTCTGTGCTTAGTTCGGGCGTACAAGTATGTATTTTTTTCTTTTTCTTTTTTTGGCAGCACGTGCTTATACCGTGCACAGGCATACGCGATGGCTGCACTGCTTAAGCTTGCAGGCGGTGCTCGGTACAAAAATGCATTTTATATAGGAACACTTGTTTTTGCAGCGTCATCTTTGCCAGCTGTAGTTGCTGCATATACTGTTGAGCGGCGCCCCAAAGAATATATCTTTGTCAAGGCAGCCATAGGGCTTACACAGACAGTTGGGCTTGGACTCGTTCTTGCGAGCTATGCCTCGCGGTTCTCTCTATAGAACGGGCAGATGGGTGTCCCGTAATATGTGTGGAAACTGAGGCTGAAATGCATAGGAAATCTAAAGAGGTATTGTGCAGTGTATTTTCCTTTGATTTACAATATCTTGACCGGCCCTGCGGCGTCTTGCAGTGCTTTTTTGTATTTTTTGCGCTATCGTCCTTGCCTCGTCTATACAAGCTTTTGCTTGATAAAAAACCTGCATGTGTTGGTAATGCATAAAAATACACAAACAAACCCCTGAAGATGCAGCATCTGCCAGATCGATGCAGAAATAAGCACCGTCAGTTGAATAAGTGCCCATTTCAGCACTCTCGTATTCGTCATCTCGCTTTGCTCTCGAAACTCAATTTCTCGCTCCTGCCACGTTAACTGGTCATATCACGTGATTTCATACCCGCATCATCTTTTGTGCAAGCCGGATCTCGTAGATTTGCTGATTAAGGTCTTTTGCACGATGGGTCATGTTATCCAGTGACTCTGTTGCTTTATTATCATATGTTTTTGCATCTCCCATCACAAGGTCCAGTGTTACCCGGACACGATACTCGTCTCGATACCTCGAGTGGATTTCAAAGCATAATTGATGCTCTGCTGTCTGGTCTGCTGTAAACATAAATTGGCTTGATTTGTATCCAAACTGTCCGATTCCGTGTTCTTCTGACTCCTGTTTTCTGCTTAGTATATATATTTTTTGATCTCCACTGAGCCATGTTTGCTGTTCTCGATGCATGCTTGTTCCTCTGACCCCCTGCGTATATTTTCTGTGCTTCGTATACACGAAACACCTCTTCTATACATTCTATATATATGTGTCTGCTTGTAATTTTCATGTTTTGCTGTATATTTTTCAACTTTTCTTTTTTTCTTGTCTTTATATAATTGCTTTCTTCTGTATATATGTATTCACTCTATACGATTGTACAACAGACGCCTCTTTGCAACCTTCTGCATGCAATTTCTTGCTGAAAAATACAGCAAATTACAGCGAACCATGCTTTTTTGTTTTTTTCCAATCTGTTTCTTACATAGATACTTATTCGTATCCCTGGTTCCGGCCTCCCCGGAACTCCCACATATAGTGAGACGTCTTCAATCTGATATCTCCCTGTCTGTGCTTAGCATTGCTTGAAAATGCCTCTTTCTTACCGACAAGCAGAGTCCCCTGAGACAATTCCTGTAGAAAACAGGTTTTCTGTGAACCTATATGTGTCAATAGACGGCAGTTATGTATACTGAAGCACCTCTAAGGTAGAAATGAAATGCATAAATTGTTTTAAAGAATACAACTAAGAAAACCCATTTTAACCACATTTTCGGTGCTCACGGATGGCGCCGTCCGTGTGCAATCCTGTGTGCAGACGTATACTCAGAGTATATAGAGTCTTTTACGGCGTACAATGCATACACTGCATATACACTGCATATAACATGCATAGCATATACAACGTATACAGCATATATAATGTGTATAGTATATACAGTGTGCACAGTATACATATAATGCGTGTATAATGTGTACACTGTATATACTGTGCACACAGTGTATATAATATATAATAGTATATACAGTATATGTGCTATACATACTTTGCACATATACTATTACACTGTATATACTGTATACCCCGCACTCTACAGCATATGTAGTGTATACAGCGGGGATTACAGGGGGATGCATGCATCCAGAAAGGAGCTGTATCTGTAAATAGCAGGGCATATATGCGTGCAAAATACGCATATATGCAGCCGCTGTCTCTGATGCCCATTGTTCCACCACAGCCTATGCCTGAGTCTGACTTGGAAACATGGCTTCGATGTATAAAGCAACGGGTGCGTGCAGTACTAATGGAAAATACTGTATACCGTTCAACCCGTTTGCAGCCGCATAGACCGACTGCATTGAATGTTGTGTCTGCATATACGTCTATTAATATGCCTATTTGTGCATCAGAAGTATATGCAGATGCATATATACCGGTGGGTGAAGCGGGTGTATGCGTAAGCGGGAAAAACAGTGGTATATTAGAACCAGTGAAATTGGCCGTCGATAATTGGATGCGTCGAAAGACCAAGTCGAAGCGCACAAAAGTGCCTACAGCAGGTGTACGCAAGAGCCAGCGTGTTGCAAAGCGTAAAATGGCGGGTATTCAGTGATATATAGATGTCTTAAACAGATTTGCTGTGTATGCGGAGTATATGCGTGTTGTATGCGCCATGTATGCACAGTAGAGTGTATACGTTGTATGTCATTTGCAATGTATGTTCTGTTGCAGTGTACATATGTAGTATATATGTATAGTGTATGTATTGGAGATGTGTGTATATGTGTATATATGTCTGTATATGTGTATGTATATATGTATGTGTATGTATATATATATATGTGTATACGTATATATATGTGTATACGTATATATATATGTATGTATATATACATACATATAATGATAGCCGCACTCTGTTAGATGTGCCGTGAATACGGTATGGATGCAACGGTGTGGCTTGTAACATGTGTTTCTGTATGATCGAGTAGGTTGGGTGTTGCCTGTATGTGTTAGACGCGACGCGTAACACGAAAGATACCTCGTAGAGTGCAATGACTGGTTCGCGCCGTAACTGTACTGTATAGCGGGGATATATATAATAAAGAATATATACCTCTGACCAGACTCCTTTAAAGCCAATCAGATATATACGTGTCGGTGTATCGGAATTGGACCAGTTTTGTGGAAAAAATAGAGTGATGTTTGTGCAGCTGTGATAGAACTGTGTTTTTACTGGATACTCGATGATCTGTAGTGGTAAGTATGTGTATATCAACACAGATGTATTGTATATATGTATATATTGTATATACATCGTATGTATTATGTATGTATTGTATATATATATGATATGTTATACGCTATGCATACACTATGTATACACAATGTATACACTTTACATACATATATGCAATGTACTGTATATACAATATGTATACTTTTCATATATGATGTTTATGTTGTATATACAATGTATGCAAGTTGGACATACCTGGCCTGCATTCTCTGGTGCAACAAGATTAAGTGTCTGTATAGGTGTAAGTGATTCAACTGTGTCAAAGTCGATATCATCGCGATTCATAAATCTACAGGTATTAATAGTGACATGATGCATGTTTTATTCACATATGGCACGTCTGAGGAGAAGATGTGTCTGGCAAAGCACGTAATACGATGCTTTTGAGCTTTACAGTGCCTGTAAAACTGTATTTATCAGGTGCTAGGTACTAACATGATGTTCATACGGAATATACACAATCAGTTGTGCATCAGCATCGCTTTCAAGAATCTTGACGCGTCAGTATGTATTCCTGTACATGAATAGAGAATATATGTGGATGCACCTTTGTTGTATTGAGCCGCTCGTCCCACGGTTTAATAATACTGCGGCCCATACCTGGGCGCGCTTCGTTTAGAGTGTAAACTGCATCTGTTGTATATAAACATGTGTATTTATGTGAGTTTTGTGCAAAATACCGTGATAAATACGTGGAAAAAGCCATAATGCATCGTCTTCATATGCTTCGTTACTACATCCTAAATGTTTCATGGGTAATAGTAAAGTGCGTATATGATCGGTGATCCATTATAAAGACAGAGAAAAACACTGGAGAAAATAAAAATAATTAAGTGTTGCAGATGATGAGAAAATAATGCGTATAATTGAGAATATACATAATGCATGTTTTGTGTATATAGCCTGATCAATATATGAGTTGGTGTTTCGGTTTTATTGGGTATATGGTGTGTAATACCGAATATGTAGATGATGAATGATTATGTAACTATAAATATGCATCGTTTTGATAGAAATGTGTTTTTTTGAATGTGCCTAAACAAAATTTTTTATATAGTTGATGGTCCATGTATTTTCTTAAATATATATGTTTTACAGTAGGACAGGGAAAGACAAATGAATAATATGAGCGACTAATCCTTAAAAGTTTAAAGGTTAATTTATAGATGTAGCAGTATGCTCTTGTCTAGCATATGAATGTTTCAAAAGTCTAGAGATTAAAACAATTTGTGTTTGATCGCAATAGGCAGTGTTTTGTCAAATTGAATCATTTAATTCAAATCAGATTAAATCAATATAATTCATTGTTTTTATGGCTGTGATGATGAGGGGCTTTTGCTCTTTTTGTCTGTTTTTTTCTTTTTTTTTAAAACAATTGTTTCATTTTGTTTTGCTTTATCTTGTGTATTGCTTTCGAGCTGTTTAGGCACTAAACTATCATGATGTTGTAAATGAATATGATGTCGTTCGCGCATTGCATCTACAAGTGCTTTGAGCATTTGCTGGTTTGACTTGTCGTGTATAGACGTATCTTCTTTTGAGCCTGCTGATGTTCGTGTTGGTGTATATGAGTATCCCAAGTCTGAAGAAAATTGATGCAGTTCATGAACTAATGATCGTGCAAGTCGAAGAGATAGAATGATATTAAGCTAAGTTAAAATAAGTTTCGATATAATACTTTTCGATTTAAATTATACCATGCGAGATGCAATAACTGCATGAATACTAGGTGCCATATAAATGCTTTCATTTGCAATAAAATATGCAGCAAGGATTGTAGCTACAGATATAAATAGTTTGTTTAATTAGGCATTTTTATTTATTTTAACATACCATCATGCTCACTTGTACGGTGTTGCTTGTAAATTACCCATGCATCAGGATCATAGTTAGCCGATATAACAAATTCAATTCCACGCATTTTTTTCAAATGGCCTTGTAGGTCTCCTAGAGTACTGAATTGTGTCTGCATTTTTAGTAGCTGATTATTTGAATGCCGGTCATAGAATGGAGACTGTGCAAAATATTCTAAGACTAATTGATTTTATTAGCCACTGAAAACATGATTTTATAAAAAAGTATTTAAACAAAGTATTTAAAAGCTTCAAATGAAATTTGAACAAAATATGTAAATAACTATGTAATTCTTGTAATTGTTGTTTTTATAAAATTTGATAAGAATTTTTTAAGTGTTTTGTTACTGTTTCATGGTATTTTGATAACAGTATCATTGTAAGTCTACCGTACCATTATCTGTCCGTAGTCCACCATATGCCTATAAAAATGTGTTAATTTTTTTCCTTATATAAATTTGATTATTTACTGAAATCCACTCTGGCATTCGCCATGCAATTACTGACAGGTCAATCATGTTTCAAAAAGAATCTCGTCAACAAGAAATTCTTGTGTAAAAGGTTATTTTGATCTTGTTTAAGTAAGTCTTAAACTTTGATCGCAAATATCAGTTCTCAGATTAATATTCAATCAACTGTCAAAATAAGTTTTAAGTTTCAAGATAATTGTTAAGTATTAACATAAGTAATAATAAATTTTAAGATCAAATTTGAGTTCGATTTGTAACTTTAAACGTTAATTTTATCTTGAAGACTTAAATTAAATATCGGTATTTTAAATATTAAAAGTCAAGATAGGTGTCAAGAGAGACGTTTAGATGTCTAAATATTGAAATAAAATCGAGATAAGTCTCGAAATAAAAATTCGATAAAAATTTGAGATTTTTTAATATGAAATTTTGATCATCTTAATGATATCTAATAAAATTCTTTACCCCTTAATAAAGTATAATAAACCTCAAATATAAAATCCTGGTAAAATTCTAATTCTTGTAAAAAAATAAATTTCTTTTTAGACACCTGATTTAATTATTGTTTTTTCAGCTGTTTTATTTTTAATTATTGCTTTTCCAAGACCTTTTTCCTTAAAACATGGCATCTCAAGAAGAAATGTTCCAATAAGTCGTTCAACTACCCATTGCTGTGCATCAAGTGGAATCCTTTTTCGTCCAATACTGTCTCTCTAGCTTCATTACTCGCTTTTTTTTACATATATTTCCTTACCCATGCAAATATTGCTGCTGAACTTGTCTGTTCCACTAATTGTTTAAATTCTTCATGTTGCGGCATAATTCCGCGCAAGCGTAGTGCTGCTACAGTTAATTGACGCAATGACTACCTTTCATCAGTTAAAGTTCGTTCTTTTTTCCTTATAAACCTCTTTATTTGCTTTCTTGATCTGCGCCTTACGTGTGTCACGTGCATGGTCTATATTGGTTCCAATATTATACATGATTCCTGAGTCAAAAACGCTGCACTGTACCTTCAGTGCACCCCCTTCACAAGCATATCCATATAGTAGCGTCTGTAGCCCAGATGGCCACCGCAATACCCATGCTGTCTCTGTATCTCCACTAGGCCTCAATGTACGTCTCCAACGTGCAAATCGTAAACGCAAATGTTCGTCTGCTGCTTTAACCTGCCATTTTATTCCACGGCACTGCCAGAAAGGAACACTTGCACTCCTTACTGTCCCTACAAGGACAACTGATGTTTCTGATTCTTTTGGTATCGTTTCTGGCGTTATTTTAGACGCGTTTTGACGCGTTAAAAACGCTTCTTTGTTGGCACATTTTATTTTCTGCTCCTCCAATGTATTATATTTTCTATTTTGTGCTTCTGATTGTGTATTTAACTCTTTAATCACCCTAATATCGTGCAATCTTTGCTCAAATTTTATATCTGTTGATGTTTCTTCTTGATCTACACGTAAAATCCACATCTGAGCGCGCCAATTTGGCGCTTCTAGCCAAATCTTCTCTAATGCGTCAAATGCTGCATGTTTGACGCGTTTATTACACATTTTTCCTTAGATTTGCGCGTACGGGTGCGTAACGCGTTTTAGGGATACATGGTTGTTCCGTTTTATCTGTGCACACATATTCTATTGCTCGGAAGACGGCAAGGTGGTGCCGTGGTTTTAGAAGCATATAAGTGCATATATAAGTGCAGAAATGGTTAAAAAAGGTAAGAAAAGCTTTTATATGCTCTCTTAGGCTCTGTTTGTCGCTGCTGTGTGTTATTTGGTGCTTTTTGCAGAAGCATAGTGGAAATAGCCAATTCTGAAACGAATGGAAACGGACAGAATATTGAAAAAAATGATGGAAAAATAGTACGATAATCGGGGTAACAGAGGCAGGAAGGAGAGGAAATAGGAGTTTTGGGTTCTTTTGAAGGGATTTGGGGCATTAAAGGGTCTAAAAAGATAGATCAGAGAGCATATAATCAAGAATCCGTCATTTTCTGGGGGGAAAAACTAACAGTTATCGCAAATAGGGAAAACAGGCAAAGGAGGGGAAGTGTTATCGGGGCCAAAGAGACCCGCTGGTGAAGCAAAACAGGACATAAAGGCGGAAGAACAGGCTAATAAGGCGGCAAAAGCAGCATTGCATGGAAGGTTTTGCATGCTGAAGAGACGTGTGCGTACGTCTGCAACGTTCCGACGCCCAAAAACACTGCGTTTGGCACGGAAACCGCTTTATATGCGGAAAAGCATACCGCATACACCCCGGCTGGACGAGTATAAGGTGTTGGTGTGTCCGCTTAATACCGAAAGTTCAATGAAAAAAATCGAAGAAAATAATACGCTTGTTTTTCGGGTACACCTTCGAGCGAATAAGTATCAAATTCAGTTGGCACTTAAAAAGCTTTACAATGTGGATGTACAAAAGGTACATTTTTTTAGTTTAGATAGAATAGAATGAGCTTATGGATGGAGATTAATACATTAATATGCCCAAACGGCACGAAAAAGGCATATGTCAAGTTGTCCAGTGATATGGATGCGTTGGATGTAGCAAACAAGGTAGGCATGGATACCAGGGTTGGTGTAGTATTTATAGTGGGATTTAGATTGGGTTTGTATAATTGTTTGCATGGTCTATAGAGTGCTGTATAAATATTGGTTTCATGTATATGTTCTCGTAAGCCACAGTTGAGTGCTCGGTTTTGGTGTAGTCTACGATATTTTTTATTGTATATTATGTATTTCGTGGTATCTGATGTAGATTATGCATAGAATACGCATGTATTGCGTATATATCACGTATATATTATATATCACGTATATATTACATATACTGCATACATATCATATAGCGTCTACATATTACGTATATAACATATGCATACATTGATCATGCAATGTACAATTGATGTGTATTTATTGCATGGTTAATGCGTGTATTTTGTATATAGTTTTTTCTGCTTAAATATATTGTTTGGTGCGTGTTTGTATGCTCGTGTAGACGAAAAGCGTTCTTGCGCAGCCTCAGTTGCTTACATGTATAATAAACATTACAGATTTCATATGGTTTGTACAAATATTATTAGAATATGATTTTTTCAATATTTAGGGTTTTTTGTGTGTTAGGCGTGTTTTTTTGTGTATTTATCCTGTATCTTGTGATACGCCGTCATTGTTCTTACTAAACGTCTATATCGAGAGCAGTCGATTAAGCCTAAGTAAAGGTGATGTGTTGATAAAAGACAAATAAAGGCCTATGGATGCTATTTTAAGCTTATAAAGCGTGAATAAGGCGTGAATATTTCATAATATTGTATATTTTTTTCCTATTTTTGTGGATTATTTCTAGTTTTGCATTATTATTGTTTCCTGAGCATTATTTGGGCGTAATAATGGATATTGATGTATATAAGCAGTTGACGTTAAGTGAGACGGGCCATGAATCGTCTGTGACAGTGAATCAGGCAAGTTTTTCTGTTTTCATGCGTTATAATGGTTTTAACACGCATATAGCGTGCATTAATAGGTAGGCAGTCTGTGTTTTTCATCAGTGTTAATTTTGTGCGAATTAGACAAGATTTTGTCACGTTATGCTTCTGAACGTGCGTTTTTCCTTGTATATGCGTTGGGATAATTTGTGTAGACACTCTTTTTCGTGAACTTTTGCAGAATTCAGATGATGCTTGCTCACAACAAGCGGAAATACATTATCAGACACTTGGAGAACCGCTAGGACGTGATGATATTACACAGATTAGCCGTATACCGTGCAAGCGTTTAATTTTTAAGAATGATGGAGCATTGTTTGGAGAAGCGGATTGGCAGCGTATTTCGCGGATTGCAGAAGGGAATCCTGATGAAGAGAAAATTGGGGCATTTGGTGTTGGGTTTTATTCAGTTTTTTCTATTTGTGAAGGTTTCTTCATAGTTTAATTGCCCATTGGTTTACACGATCAGATCCGTTTATTGTTTCGGGAAATCAGACGATGGCATTTTATTGGAAGAAAGATCAGCTTTATGTTAAGCGTGCGGTAGTGGATGTAGCAGTAGGAACGACTTTTTTGCTTCAGCTAAGGGAACCTATGGAAATTCCACAAATGGTTGATTTATGTCGATTTTTGACGACTAGTTTTGCGTTTACACGAAGTCTAAGGAAGATTGAGCTATTTTTTGACGACTACAGGTTATTATCTTTGTGTAAGTCGAAGGAATGTTCTTTCTCAGTTCCTATTCCTAAGGAATTGGTGCTCGTTTCGCCTCAAAAAATTATGCGTGTTGAATCAGCTACGATAGAGTCTCTAAATATTCGTGCTACGTATTTGAATGTTGTTTATTGGCGTTCAAGACAACTGGATAATCCTCTATTTCGGCAGAAATGGATTGGGAGAATATTTTCTATGCACGACGCATATGAGGATTTGGATCCTAGTCTTGAAGTTACATCTGAAATTACTTTGAGGTTTTCATAGCAATTTAATCAAGGAGTATTTAACATTTTTAGTGTAGCAAATGCTGGGATTCAAATACTAATTGGCCTTTCTTATAGGAAAGAGCTTGAAAGAGTTACAAAAAAAAGGCCTCCTAAGAATACTAAGGTTCAGCTTCTTTTTTCAAATTTCTCTCAGGGAGACACAAAAAAACATAATAAGAGTTTTTTCTCAGATCTTTTGACATATAATAAGCAGGGTAAAGTTTATATTGGGTTTTCGACTCATCGTATGTTGTTTTTATTTTTTAGAAATGGGTTTGATGGAAATAGAAACGACTGGATTTAGTGCTCACTTAGGTGCTCCTGGACTTATTCCTACTGTTTTTTCCTTATGTTTTTTATAAAAAGGTCTCATTTATTTAGGTAGAAAGAGAGAATATTGATTTAGTTGACAAGTTTGTCAAGTATTGGAATAAAGAGATACTATATTGTTCCGGAATATTGGCAAGGTTTTCATATATTGCTTATTTTCCTTTTGATAATTTAATTAGAATTATTTACCATTATGAAATTCAAAGAATTGTTAGCCATTTTAAAGATGATATAAAAGCACCTTTTGTATATACGATGAATATGTTTACTATAGAAGCTTCTAGTCCATTGCTTATTAGTAATATTATTGAGGAGGCTTTTTTTTTCTGTTCTAAAGTTCGTTCTATTCCTTTAATAGGGGATGACATTGTTCCATCGGATAAGATATATTTACCTGATTCAAATATTGATTTTTTACCAGGGATACCTTTTATTAGACATGATATATTGTTGGAGTCTGCTAAATTTTTTGATAAGCTAAAACATATGGATATGATTAGACAGTTAAATGCTGATGATATTTGTAATGAGTTATCTAGAAGAACACTTACAATTCAAAATACAGTTTCCTTTATAAAATGGTTAAACAGGAGATCGAGTAATATTGATTATATAATGCGACTTAAACTTATAGGGGCTCTAATTATTTATGATCAGAATGTTGAAACAATTAATTTTTCTTATTTGAAGTGTTTTTTAAACACTAAATTGATACCATTTGACATGCCATTGCCTCCAGTATGTGCTCCATATCTTTTAACAAAGCATTTTTCTTTTAGTGAGCTCGAAATTCTGTGAGTTTTTTTTTGTTTTTTTTTTTTAATATTTATTTATAAAAGTGAATGGAAAGAATTAAGTGTATTTGAATGGCTACAGTATATATGTACATCATCTGTATCTTTGGTAAAAAAAGATATTAGTTGTTCGCCTGAATTTGCTCGACAAGTTCTTGAGATTGTGTCAAACAGTTGGGAAAAAATGAATTATACGGATCGTAATGCTATAATTTTGCTTTTGAATTCTAAAACATGTATGCCAACTAGGAATCATGGTATGCGAGTGCCTTCTGAAACATATTTTCATACAGTAATAATATTGTGAATATTTATATGTTTTTATTTCTAATAGAGGGAATAGGTGACATTGTTTTCTGATCTTCCTGTTATTGAAATTATGAAGGTATTTTTTTTGTTAAAATTCTTTCATTGATTGTTAATGTTAAAAAGAATATAAAAGAAAATTTTTTGTCTGATTTAGGTGTACGCAAGGTAGTTTGTAGTTATACTTGGAATATTATTAAAATATTATAGACTGTTGAGTATCAAGTTATTTTTGATAGGTTAATAGGGGGTGGAGAGTGGTCGCATATAGACCTTATTTGTTATTTAGCAAGCTTTAAAGAGTATTTAAATTTTTATTTAGTATAGCATCTAATCAATTATAGTAATATTCCTAATTCTGATTTTGAGAAAATTAAAAAGACCTTAATATGTAAAATAGAGGGTAATTCTTTACGAACATATCTTGTTTCTGAATTATATGAGCCGAATGATATTTTAAGGGAATTAACATTGCCTATTATTGAATGGCCTAAAAATGTATTTTTTTTTTAAAAGTTGGTCAATTTGTTTATGTCTTTCTAGAAATGGAATCCGTCGTCTAATGAAGCGCTTTTGCTTTTTTCTCTTGGGCTTAAACGATTTCCATCTGTTGACGTATTGATTAATCTTGCCGTTTCAGGGCCTTCTGAACTTCGTGAGAAGGCTTTAAAATTTTTTACTGTTAACTACTATACTTATAATTATGGATCGGCTTATTCTTTTTCAAAATCTGGGTTAGAATTTTTACCTGTTGAAAGTGATGGTAAACAAAATAATTTGGCAAGTCCAACAACATGTTTTGCTAATAAGTTTTGTCGCGTTTTTGGGTTTAAGATCTTGAGACATGATTTAATTCCTGAGGCTAAGAAGTTTGGTGTAGAAAATGATCCTAATATCGAAAGTGTTGTTTCTATATTAATAAAATCACCTCCTAATTCAATCGGACTTGCTCAGGTTCAATTTGAATATTTTGCTTGTAGACTTGGAGAATTAAAAAAATATATTTTAGAGAAATTAAATAAAACAAAATTTATTCCTATTCAGGATCCTCAAACAAAAAAAATAAAGCACTTGACTCCTGATTCATGTTTTATTGAAGGAGATGATTCTGCTTTTTATGAACAAATATTTGATTTTGTTGACTTTGGTCATAAAGCGAATGTTTTTTTGAAAGCATGTGGTACTATGTCTCAGCCAACATTTCCTCAGTTAGCTGAGCTTCTTCTTAAAGATCCTAAACATGTTTTTAATTTGGTCAAAACACCTCAGAAATATCAGGATATATTAAGGAAGCTTGTTATTAGTAGTTATTTTCATAAGAAAACTAAAGATATATTTCGTGATATGATGAGTAAACCATTTCTTCTTGCATCTAAGAAACGAAAAAGCAAATCGGTTGGGGGGAAACTTTTTTCAGGTGATCAAGAGTCTTTGGAGTATTGTCTTTCTGATGCTTCTTCTATTTTCATTATCGATGATGTATGAATAATGTTTTTATGGTTTAGGCTTACCGTTTAGGTTATTTCTTATAATTTATTTGGAGAGTTTATATTAGCTGCACCACAGGAAGATATTTTGGAAGAGTTTTATGAAGTAAGGTTTATTAGGTTTTTATAAGTTAATTTTTTTTAGTCTTTAGGATCTAGACGTTTTTCTTCTGTTGTTAAAGAGGAGTATAAATTTAAGGGGCCAAAGAAAGAAAATTTTGAAACAAATGCACTTAGAAAGCTGTTTATTGATCGATCTAGTTTATTTTTGCATGAGACATCGAGTGCTCTTCTTCATGATAGAGATTGGTTGGCTTCAAATTTAAATGTAACTTATCTCGAAAGTATAAAATTGGAGAGAATTTTGAAGTTTAAAAACATGGACTATTCTCATGAACATTTAGTAACATGTGCATTAAATCCTGCATATCAATGTTCTCTTTATGTTACAAAGAATTGGGATTCGTATGATGTTGCTCAGATATTATGTAAAATAATGCTTCAGAAACCAGCTGTTCATGATCCTCTTCTTCTTTCTTCGCTTATAGTTACTGACTTGAACATATTACAACAAAGAGGATATAATGTGCAAAGAATTTTGCATTCTCAAGACTTAAAGAAAAAGGAAGAAGAAGAGTTTCATAAAATAAATTCAAAACAGCATGATATCCAAGTAGAAATGGAAAGGTATAATATTGGGTCTGAGTCACAGGATGATTCTTGTATAAAATATCCTGGGTCTTATCCTTTTGAAGATGATCTAAAGGATGTTAATAGGGATTATGATTTATCAAATACTAGTAAAAGTGGAACATCCACATCTTTGGTAAAAAAGCCTGAATTTTCAGAGAAAAATATTCAGAAAAATTTTGAGATTTCTTCAAAGTTTCAGGAACAGCATAGTTATCGGAATAATGAAAATAAACATAAAGATGTTTTTTATGAAAATATTTCTTTGCTAAAGAATTATTTTTTTAAGAAATCTAAATTAAAGAATACATTAAATGTGAAGTTTCCTATGAATTACGAACAAAATGTTGCTTCCAATCTTTCACGAGCAATTAAAGCATGTAGAAGTAATAATGAGATGTCTATATTTTCTCCTGTAGAAGTTATTGAAGTCAAAGAAGCTCAAGAAGGATATTGTAATATTTCTTATTCTCACAACTTGAAACACGTGTCTCGGACTGTTGATAATATAAATGTTTATGTTTCAAAAGACATGCATTCTGGTGAACTATATATAAACAACAATATGAATGATATAGAGCTTTTTAGTTCTAAAGTATTGAAAAAAATATCATGTGTTTTTGGTTTTTGTGTTTCTGTTCTTAATATTTTTTATGATGAAAATGGGTTAACAATTGCTTTTAATAAAAATGGTTCTATATTTTGTAATTTAAGGTAGATATTCTTATTTATATCATTGGATGTTAAATGAATTCAGATACTATATATTATTGCATTCTAAGAAGCTAGTATCTGGTGATTTTAGAGATGTTCTTGTAAGGATTTATATATTTATGTTGTTTCTAATATTTTAGGCATTTTGGTTCGTTACTATTGCTCATGAGGTATGCTTGGTTAGCTTTTTTTAGTTTTAATATGATGTAGTTATCACATAACATTGTTTCTGAACATGGTCAAGTTCATAGTTTTTATACGTATGTTTTTAAATAACAAGTATATTAAGACTAATAAATAATGTTAGGGAATCATTTATTTCGCATTACATGTCAAGTTTGGCTAAGTTATTTTAGTTTCTGGTTCATTTGTAAATATTGGAAGAACGCTTTGTAATTTTAATATCATTTCATCCCACTCATCTTCTGAATTCGAAAGAGTCGTAATTGCTCCGCCTGCACCGATACTCCAGTGGTTTTCGTTATGATAACGAAACGCACTTCGTATGATTACACTCCAATCTCCTTCCCCTGACACACTGAAATACCCAAATACTCCGGAATATATATTTCGTTTATTTTTCTCTAGTTTATTTAATAATTCAACGCTTCTTTTTTTAGGAGCGCCTGTCATACTTCCTGGGGGAAGTGCATGTGCCAACATATCAATGCCTGTATACGGTGGACGCACTGTCCCTTGGACAACTGATACAAGCTGATAGAGTGTTTGGTATTCTTCTACTTGCATAGGCATAGGTACATGAATATCATTTGCTATCTGATACAAATCATTACGTATAAGATCTAAAATCATGAGGTTTTCTGCATAAAGTTTTGGGGTTTTTAATAAGACTTTTGCTTTTTCTAAATCAATTGAAGAGTCTTTACGTATAGTACCCTTAATAGGTCGCAATTCACATAACCCATCTCTAGACCAGCTCAGAAATCGTTCTGGACTGGATGATAGTAATGTAACGTTGTTCAGTCGAAGATATCCTGCATATGGTGCTGGATTTAAAGTTCTCAGACGTTTGTAAAGACCCCAATCATTTGCTGGTGTGCATGACTTAGACGAGATGATGCGTGCAGTTGATGTTAGACAGAGTTCATATGACTCTCCGTTAGAGATGTAATCTTGAGCTGCTTTGATTTTTTCAAAATATTCTTTTTTATTTGGGAAAATAATTTGTGTGATGTGTGTAGAATTTTGAGATAAATCTTGAATTGAATTTGAACATGAGTTCTGAGCTAAGTCTTGAATGGATGATGTTTGAATATTTGATGTTTCATTATGAGAATTGTTTTTGGAAGATGATAGTTTTGTAGATATCGTAGTATTGTGTATACTGTTATGAACATTGTTTTTGGCAATTTTTTTCAAAAAGGCAGCAGTTTCTACTACCCAGGGGTCGTTATATATTAGGCTTTGTACAATGACTTTTTTAGTGACTGTATCAATAACAATACTTCGTTCATAAAATAGTAAATTAACGTCTGGTTGCTTGTTTTGAATTTTATTACATGTAATATAGTCTGTATTGACTGGTTCTGTTTTCTCAGTAGTATCATTAGCTTTTCTAGTTTTATTTCTTATATTTGCTGTATAAACACAATATTCATAACTGAAATAGCCAATAAATCCACCACAAAAAGGCACAGTTTGTTTATAATCTGCCTTCCACTTGTACAATTCATTTGAAATCCAGTTCCATGCATTTATTGTTTCAAGAGTAATTTTTTCTTCTCGATCTGAATAAGTTTTGACGAGATATCTGTCAGGATATGTATATGTTAATGCATAATGACCATCTGATGGCACGCCTAAAATAGAAAATTTTCCAGGTTTTGCTGTGGACTCCATAATAGCATTATAAGGGAGTTTATTAAGCTGAAGATATTCTGCAATTTCTACCGCTGATATATCAAGTTGGAGTACTTGAAAGTGTTTTTCTTCTACTTGTTCTGTCATTTTGGTCTTGTTATGCATTTTGTCTGAGGCCAGTAGAGGCACTGGTTTCTGATCAAGATAGTACCAATCATTAGAAAGAGGTGTGCGATGCGGACGATGTTTTCGGTTAAAAGCAATTGCAATTCGCCAAAAGTTAAGAATAAGAGACTTGCCTTGCATGGAAAAAAGTGATTCCGGGTGATATTGCATACCGTAAAACGGCTTTTGACGATGCCGAGCTGCCATAAGTACTGGCCCATCTGTATCATTTGCCCAGGCTAATGCTTTTAGCTCATGTATTCCGTCGATATTTACGGAAAATGAATGGTATCGCACCACAGTTAGTTTTTTTAATTCATTTTGACTTTTAGTATTATTTGGAATTTCTTGTTCTTGAGTATTATTGGATATGTCACCTATATCTTCTAAATCACTACATAAATCATCAGGATCACTATATAAATCATCCAAAACATTTCTTTGTTGTTGATCTTTATTTAGACAATGTGAATTGCTTTTGTATTGCTTTTTTTTGTGCTTTCCAAAAAGTGGGTCAGGAATAAGATCAATTGCTGTAATAATGCCATGTGCTGGATGTATAAGACGTTGTAAACGGCCTCCAAAATGCAAACACATCGTTTGCATGCCAAGACAAATACCAAGCGTTGGAAGTAACTGAGTATCAGGGAGTGCCCATATTGCTGGAAGAATACCTATATCTGCTGAACAGATCGGGCTCCCTGGGCCCGGTCCAAGAACACACCAGTCAAAAGCCGAAAGCTGAGGTATAAGTGTTTCCATATCAAGCTGATTATTCCGTATTACAAAGATTTTTGCTTTTGGCAGTGCTTTTTCAATTAAACAACAGATATTGAAAATATATGAATCGTATGAATCAACCACAAGAACCCTTCCTTCCCATGACATTGCATCTATGTTTTTCATATTTTCAGGTGTTCTGGGTACTTCTGATGACAAAAAAATATTTGATACGCTTGATTCTTCGTCTATTTTTAAATGCATATAGTTTTTCTTAGTCCTTAGCTTAAAAGTTTTGTATGTTCAGGTAATATAGAGGAAAATATAGAGTATATGTGTATTATATGCGCTATATATGCGTATTGTATGCTTATTGTATCTGTATTATATCTGCACTATGTGCTGTGCTGTCTTTTATATCTATGATTTGTGATATATCCGTCTTGTATATATTATTTACTGTATAAACTTTATCTGCTGTATATGTGCTTTGTATCTACCGTATATATGTTATATGCAGTGTATATGCGTAGTATATGCGTAGTATATAAGCTGTATGCTTTTATATGCCTTCTATATGCCTCTTGTGCCCACTATATGCGTCTTTTTATCCACTGTATCAACTGTATTCGTATCTCGTGTTGTATTCACTTTTATCCGGCAATATCTTTATTCTATCTGTTTAAAACACTGTAGATCTTATTCTGTACTGTGTAGTTTTGAAAAAAAAACTTGATTCTGTTAAAAATTACGTATTAACTTGTAAACTCGTATATATATATGGACTATTTCTTGTTGTTTGGATGTTTTGATGTTTAGTGAAGCGGTGCTCGGTAATGCTTGAACTTTCTTACGCTCGGCTGTCACGAGGTCTTTTTTGCGGGCACGCTGTGTGGGTGTGCGATAAGCACAGTATGGATGGAGTTGACCCATTTTCATATGTGGCTGCATCCAGAATACGTGTGCTTGTACGTGGTGGAAATGCAAATATTTATGAATTACTGAAGCGTTTGAATCCAATTCGGTTGTCAGAATTTGCTGATGTGGAGGGGGTCGATGGTGGGTATTGATGAGCGCATATAATGCGCATACAATGCAGATAAAAGGAGATAATGAGTGATATATAGAAATGTTTTCGCCCCAAGCGTTTCCAGAAGGGCAGATTGTCTATAATTTTGTGAGAAAACAGGATATTCGGCATGAGGCTTTGCATACATATGAGATTTACCGGAGGACATGGGTAGTTGTTGAGATTCTTGATGGGACAGTGCCAGATTTTGATAAATGCATAGAGGAAAGACTTCACAGTCTTAAAAGGAGTTATCCTGAAGCGTTAATTGTGCGTTTTTTTGTTTTGAATGCACCGGATATGTCCGTTGCTTTTATACCAGAAATTGTTGCATTGGAAGTAGGAGCAGATACAGATGAGGCAGTCTGGCGGTCAGTTATTTGTGATATGACGCTTGATTTACTGGAGGGATTTTCTATTTTTGTGGGGAGCAGAAGGATACTTTTTTGCAGGCAGTTAACGCATGATAGGCTCAAGAAATAGATCTGCGTGTCTGGATTGACTCTCCATGTGTTGCTGTTCATCAAGAAAGTCTTATTGATGGGATGCATGGGGAGTTTATGGGTTTTGGGATTCATGAACAGGTGCCGTTGCCTGTTATGTCTTCGATTCAGCAGAGTAAAATGCAGTTGAAAGGAAGAAAAGCAAAGATTATTGCCGATATTTATTTGCTTTCTGGCCGTGTTTTAGATGCATTGAAGGGGTACGTTTTTTATGTATTTTTGTGGTATTGTGTTAATGGGTAAAGGTATACGGATGCAGCAACAATGGCAAAATCATCAAATGATTATTTGTGGCATGGTTCTGCATTAGAGGGTATAGGTGTTTGTCTTGTTATTCTTTCATTCCTCCAAATTGAGTATCAGGTACAATAGTAAGATAAAATGGGAAAAAACTTATATGGAGAAGATTCCTATGACTGTATTGCCTTCTTCGCCTCCTCAACTTGAAAAGATCCCTTTATTAAAGAGTGTATTTGCTAAGGAAAATGAGCATGATTTTTCGAAGCAACATATTTTTGATTTTCTTCCAGATTTACACTTGAATATTATAGATCTTTATCAAAAGTCATATAGTTGTCCAAATGACAAGGTTCCGTCAATATGTTTTTCTGAGAGTATCCTTCGTTTATGTAAGCTTTTTTGTGTTGTGCATTTGTCTGGTGGTTGGAATGACATTTCGTTACGATCCATTATTTATGATCAATCTTATTCTATTCCAGAATCTCATTCACCTGGTTATCCACCAAGAGCAGAGATTGCTTCTTGGGCAATGCGTGCTCATACTCCTTATCTTAAAGAGTTAGATGTTGTTGACAAATGTAGAATCTATGGTGGTCTTGCGAGTATTTTAGGTATGGTGGGATTTCGAAGATCAAGAGCTATGTTTTTGCGAGAAATTGTTTCTACTCTTACGTCTGCATTGGTAAACGCCAAAGTTGATGGAGTTACGGATGATACTGTATCTTCGATTGTTCAAATAGCTTTAACGAATTATCCTTTCTTTCAGGAACAAACTAATCTGAAAAATTCTACTTTTTTAGCACATAATCTTCTTGATGATCTTTGCAATTGTTATGGGATTCCAGGGATTTATGAAAAAAGTAATACTAGGTTTGAAATAGAATTATTAGAAAAATATGGTTGGCCATCTTTGAAGATTACTATATTAAAAGAGTGCATTTTGTTTTGTGAAGCATTGCCTGATTTTTCAGGGGTATTGAGTTTTACCACTAAGATGCTTAGTATTGCGTCTACTTATTTGTCGCGAGATAATCAGATTCGTTTTGCATCGAATATTCCCCGTATTATTTTGGCTGTTAGACGTCTTGGATTGGAAGAACTTGAGGCAGATTATTGGGATCCTAATATTGTACAATCCATTGAATATGTACCGTATGTTATTACTTAGTATGATTTTATATTTATTTTCTTCTAGAGGTTCTTCTAAATTTCTCCCAATTCTTCATTCTGGTTCGGAATTAAATAATGTTAATAATGATAATATGTTTTTACGAACTGATCCATTTATATATAATCCCTTCATTAAGAAAAATAATGTTCCAATTAAAGTAAATATAAAAAAATGCTATGTTTTATTATTAATATTGGTGTTTAGCATGTATTAGTACAAGGAGATGTCGTCGAGTTTAAAGTAGTTTTGCATAATCCTCTTGCATTTGAATTGGAATGTATTAATATTTCATTATTGTAAGATTTTTTTGAGATTTTTTGTTAGTATTGATTTATAATAATTAGTACCGAGGGTGTTAAATTTGAATCACAATCAACATCTGTAGTTATTGGTCCTCAAAGAATACATATGGTTCGGCTATTTGGCTGTCCTAAAGAACCTGGTAATTTTGTCGTTAAGGGATGTAGGATTCATCTTTCAGGATGTAAAGATGATATTTTTTTGTTAAATCGAGATATTTCTTTTTTGGATTACGAGCATTTATTTTCAAATGTTTTTTTTCAAGGGAAAACTAAGTTTATGGGTTTTGATGTTTATTCTGTTATAAAAGCGTCTGTTGCATCGAATCGTGTTGAAGGTTATATTAAGAATTCTTTAGCTCTACCTATGACTGTAGAGCAAAGTTTTGAAGTTTTACCTGCTCAACCTGTTTTAATAGTTACAAAAACATCTCTTGTAAATGGATCTATTATGTTATTAGAAGGAGAAATGTAAGTTTAATTATTTTTAATAATATAGTTAAAATTATAGGCGTACATTTACTATAACTATAAAAAATGTTTCAGATATTACTATAAATTTTCTCCTTCTTTCTTTTATGGACTCAACAATTGGTCCTTTGAAAGATGCATTGGTTTGCAAAGATATTTCTTCTGAAGAAATATATGAGTTAGAATTATTTCTTTATGAAAGAGAGGCTTTTGTATGGAAAAAAAGTTTTGATCAATTTTCTTTAAGCCCTGGTTGCGAGGAAACTTTGGAAATTCGTGTTTTAGGAAAAAGAGGGCTTACTGATGGTAAAATCCAGATAGATTATGGAAATATTGAAGGAGATGCTTCTTCTCTTGAGAAATTTTATACTCGACGGGTTGTTATACCTGTTATTGTCACTGTAAATGGTTCTGTAGAACTTGTAAATTGTGATATTATTAATTATGTCAATGATAATAAAGAGAAGGAAAATTCACTTGATAGATCTGAAGAAATGTGTAGTTTATTTCAATACGTTGAAGCGCATGAATGTGAAGGAGTAGAATATTGTTTAGCTCTTTTGGATTTTCGGAATATTTGGCCAAAGCCATTATCCGTATGTTTTAATGTTCAAAATAAAGGTAATTGTTCTGTTTATGGTATTTTTCGTTAATTTTTAGATGATGAACCTTTTAAAATTGAAAAGATTATTTGCCCGGGAGAAACAAATAGGTAAGTATATGGGATTTATTTTGTGTTTTAATGTATTTAAGATTTGTTCTTCCTTTGAAAAGAATATACATTTCTCGAGAGGATTTTTTAAAGCCTATTTCTACTTTTTCTTCCCGACAATTTGTTGTTCCTAATATAAAGATGGACTCTGATATGCAAGATTGCCAGCAAAGGAAAATATATTGGCTACGTGAAGCATTGTTTAAGATTATTTCTGGGACATGGACATATCCAGGAACTGATAGAAAAGGTTTTATTGAATTGCGTGGTTTACGCATGACATCAAAAATGGTTTACTGTTTGAAAGTTGAGGATATTAGTGTTGTTCTTGAAGTATCGGGAAATGTAAGAAAGGTTCAAAGATTTATGTGGCTTGTTAACTTATATGAATTTGTAACTTTTACGTTAAAAGTTGTCAATAGAAAAGGTATATGATAGGTTATTTTTATGTTTGATTTAATCATTGTAAAGGACATCCTATAAGAGTATTTGCTCGAATTCAGCCCTTTTTGCGTTATCAGAATCAGACATTTATAGACATATCGCATTGTGTTGTTTTTAATGGTGTAATGCAGACAGCTCTTCCACGGATTGACCCTTATCACTCTCATGAAGAAAAATATACCGCAGTTTTTATGAGTCGAGGTGAATATGAAATTGTTGCGTCTATACAAGAATTACATGGTCCTGATGAAGGGCATGTATATGCCTCTAGAAGTTATTCCATTGTTAAATGTGTTGATGACATAGAAGGATGTGATTGATTTAGTGTTGATGATGTATGCTTTTGATGTATTGAAATGTTTTGTCGGTGTTTTGTTAAAACTCATCCTTATCTTCTAAAAATATATTTGAATAAACTAGAATTGTAATGTATATTAAAAGGCCGCCTGATATACTTAAGATAGTTGCGTATCTGGTGATGATTCCAGTATGTTCTAGCATAATGGGTAACGCTTTTATGTTTTATTTAATGCTATTTTATAAATCAAAGACATACCAATGCCTGAAACCACTAACATCCCTGTTATAAATCGGCCGACATCTTGAACACCACTTCTATCACATTGTTACTAATAAACAGTTTTTGGACAATTATTACCCAAATGTATCGTTTGTAAAATCATTTGTATCCAATATCCTGTTACATACAATATTGGGCAGAGGTGCAAACGTATAAATCACAACTATTTTTTTTAGCTAAGTTTTTGCAAGAGGTTTTTGCTCAGATAATTGACAAAAACAAAGACTTCTTACTAACAAAAAACGGATACCAGTTAGAAAACAATGCACATGAAAGAATAGATGCTAAAAATCCAGCCGAAAGAAGAAAACTTAGTATAATCTAATAAAAATGTTTCAATTGATATTAATCAAAGGAAATATTTACAATACTGTGCATGTTAAAATATGAAATATCTAATAGTACTTACATTTGTATGTGATTCATGGCTTTCTGCTGGTTAAGCAGCTAAGACACTGCTGATAAGATTTGCCTTTTAGTGTTCTTATAATTACTGGCCAATTATCTCTCGGAAACAGTCGTCCTGAACGGTCGTCCTGACAACCTTTCTGAAGAACGTCATCCGACTGACCTCAATATTAACATATAAAATTTTAATCATATAGATAGAGTTAGTGGGCTTAATATTTGCAATAAAGCCTTAGAATAAAGTTATTTAAGGGGTTATGTTTCGTAATCAGTATGGTTTGTTTTTTTTTCTGTTTTTTTTTTCAATAAAAAATGACTTATTTATAGATAATGATGCAACAACATGGTCGCCACAAGGGAGACTTTATCAGGTAGAATATGCAATGGAAGCGGTTAAACAGGGCTCTGTTGCCGTTGGAATTGTTAGTAAAACTCATGCTGTTTTGTGTGCGTTGAAGGTACGGCAAAGTTTTTATTTTTTTGCAAAAGGACGACATTTTGATACTGGTTTTTAGAGGAATCCGGAGGATTTGGGAAGTTATCAGAAGAAAATTGTTATGGTTGATGAACACATGGGGTTTGCACTTGCAGGACTTACTTCAGATGCTCGAGTACTTAGGTATGAACCTATTTGTCTGGTTCATATTAATTATGCAAGTAATTTTATGAGGCAACAAGCTATTGCATCTAGAGTTGTTTGTAACAGAAAAATACCTATATGTCGTGCAGTATCGTCAATTGCAAAAAAAGCACAGATCAATACTCAACAATATGGAAGACGTCCTTATGGAGTAGGTTTTTTAGTAATTGGTTATGATGTAATTGGATTTTTTATGTGTGTTACTGTGTTGATCTATGTAGGATACGGGCCCACATTTGTATGAGTTTTTGCCGTCTGGTTCTATTTTGGAGTATATAGGTGCAAGTATTGGTGCACGTTCTCAGTCAGCAAGAACGTATTTAGAGCGCTGTGTTGATTTTTTTCCTGATGGTAAATGTATTTGGTTCCATGGAACTTGTTAATGTTTTTAGCAACCATGGAAAATCTTATTCTTCATGGTCTTAGGGCATTGCGAGATTCCTTGGCTCAAGATAAAGAATTGACATCATTGAATACATCTATTGCTGTTGTTGGTAAAGATATGCCGTTTAGACTTATAGAAAATGATGATGTTTCTGAATGGCTTGTTAAATTAGGTGAAACATCGTTATCGGCTTATAGACAGTCTGAAAGGGCAGCTGCTACTGCTGTTGCTACTACTGCAGCTGCTCCTACTTCTACTGGTAGTGGTGCAACTGGATCAGCAGGTGATGTTATGGAGACTGATTAATATAAAAAGTATTTTTTGTATCTGAAACTTATGTTGATGTTAGAGTGTTTGTGTGGTAATGGCTGTTTTTCATCGGGAAATATTTTGAAAAAATGAGTTTCCTGTGTTATTTTTGCTATTTAGAATATGAATAGTAGGTGTTTCAGGATAATATAAGTATATCGGATCTAGATCACTAGTTATTGTTTTACATTTTATTTTATTAGACTTGAGACTAAAGAATATTTATAAAAAGTTTTTTATTTTTTAAAAATGTGATTTTATATTGAATATGCTACTTAGATATTTTTTTGCTGGAAAATACATGTATATTCAGTTCCTTGTCTTGTTTTATTATGAATGCACTGGTTTGATTATATTTCTGTTTATTTTTGAATACATTATTTAATTTGTTTTATTATGATCTCTTGTTTATAGTTGGTTTTTGAAATATTTACTTTATTAAACATTGTTATATTTTGTTATTTAGAGAATAATAATGTATATAATTAATAATAAGATATTAAAGATATTTTTATCATTTGCATAGTTATGTTATCTAAAATGGTAAATAAATGTCCTTGTGTTTTTATTTAGAATATGTTTTATTAAATATATGTATTCTGTCTTATATCTAAAATAATCTTATTTTATTTATTTTTTGGTTATAGTAGTTAAAAGATTTTATTATTTTTAGTGATTTTGTTAAGTTTAATTATTTTGATTTATAGATTTGGTTAAAAAATATATATATGCTTTTCAAAATAATAAATAATGTTTTTTGATTGTATTTTATTAGATTTTTTTCAGAAAATATCTTTGTTTTTGAAAAAAATATATTTATTATACTATTTTATTTGTTCTTTATTGACTGTATTTATTATCTTCAGATTTGTAAATTTAAACTTTATAATATTATATATAGGATTTTAAAGAAAATAAACTAAAATAATGAATATACATATTAAAACACTATATCTATTGATATACTGAAGTATATATGTTAAAATATTGAGTATGTCTTTAATTAGATTGTATAGATATCAATGGTATTTCATATATACGTTTTGTATTTAAATTATATATGTTTTTTTCTGTGTTGTTTATGTTTTTAAAGAGCAAATTTTCTTTTTTCTTTAGTTTGTGTTTCGTTGACGCTACAGGTTTTTAACGTACATTGTTTTGTGTAGGTTTTTTTTTATATTTTTTAGTATTTTGCTAAATATTTGCATACAGATTTCTATATTTACTTATCTTGTTCTTTTTGTTAGTTTTATTTTTTCTGTTTATTTTAATTGTTTTTTCATGGTTTCTTCTTCACAATCATTATTAGATACAGTTGATATTGGGCCTCTGCAGAAACCGTTTAAAAATCCACAATTTAAGCGTAATCCACGAAGAAATAAGACACTTCGTCAAATATTAACCCATGAAACACAGCTTCGTCATTCACAGCCATTGCTTTTAGATGTACCAACATACAATAGTATTGAGGCTTCTCCAAGCCTTTTTCCACATGCAAAATGGTGTGATATTACCGGTTTACATGGGCTGTATACAGATCCAAAGACTGGGCTTCGATTTCATAACAAAGAAGTATTTGCTGTTATTAAAAATATGACACAGGGTATGTGAAGATACACGTTTTGCATGTTATCTTAATATGATGATATTTAGGTGTAGAGCAACAGTATTTACAGATGCGTGGCTCACAGGTTATGCTTCGCTAGAAGAATGAATTTTGTTAAAATATTATTTTATTTTTAGAAATTTTTAGAACTTCTGATCATTTTAATACTATTTTAGTTTTAATTTTGTTTTAATATAACTTTGAGGCTTTATAATGTTTTTAATAGAATTATGGTATTGCTTTTATGTTGTTTTGGTAGAATTTTGTAATTGTTTTTGTAACTGTTGTTTAATGTTGTTATAGTAGCTTTTTTGTGGTTTTTTTATTGTTACAATTTTGTTGCAATTCAGCGGTAATTTAAAGTTACTTTGTAATAAAGCTTCGACGCTAACTATTTTTTTGATAAGTAATTTTTTTATTTGATATTTCGTCGCAACTGTGTTATTGAGATTGAATGATTATTTCGCTATTCATATATAAGATTTGTTGTTCATAGAGCTGTATCTCTAGGATCATAATGATCTCTAATCATTCGTGATAGATATGATGGAGGGTGACCGCCCCTATAGGTTTTATTAGTATGTTTTCGCAAATGAAAAAGTTACTACAAGTTTGTAATGTATAAATCAATCATAGATGGTGGAATATAATCGTCACATGCATTAATAATGTCAACATTGTCTATCAAATCTGAGAAATATTAAACAATGACTGGTTAAATATTTCAAAAAGTTACCTTGTTCAAATGGTACAACATTATTCGGTGAAGACAATGTAATAAGTGAATCTGGGTTATGAGGATACACTGGACTGAGTTTGTAAATTCCAGCACATATTATTACAGGTGTAGCATGATGTTTGGCTGCCGCTGCTAAGTTTTTTGCACCAGCTGAAACTAATACACCACCATTTGCAAAGACTAGATATGTTAGTTATAAATGGTAAGGTACATGAAGAAAAATGAGGTTTTTAATGTAAAGTTTGAGATGAGAGAAGAATATAAAGGGATGTACGAACCTACATGCGCACCAAGAATGACTTTGTTAACACGACTCATCAGTGCAAAGACCGCTGCATCAGGTATAAGAATTGCATCAATTCCAGCATTTGCTAGTGAAATGATTGATGCATGAGAAGATGCGTGATCATTGGGAAATGACTCTGCCAAGATAACCGTAAACTTCCTTTTTTTTGTTGCTGCGCGTAAGAAGGCTTCAATTGTCTTTGATACTCCATGGGTCATAATAATTTCACTTTTAGTAATTTAATATTGTATATTTGAAAGTTAGCCTCGCTTACTTGGAATGAATATGGTCCAAAGCTTGTGCTGAAATATCTGTATGTGTTTTTTCGAGTTCGTCAACAATATCTTGGATCCCTTGGATAATAATAGGTCTTATATCAACATTTACTTTAGCTGTTTGTTTTTGTGAACTATTTGGTTCATAATCACTAGGCTTTCCCAGAAGATTTAACATGGATGAATAGATAGGACTAGAGGTGATTCTTTCGAGATTCCCTACAAAAAAAAAGTAAGAGAAAAATATACCGTCTATATAAATATACCTTCAATACTAGTATACATTGTATGATTGTTGTAAGTTTGTTTTTCCTCCTGAGAATCGTTTGATGCATTGTTAATTTCTTCTCGGATAAGAAATAATACTCTGCGGACAATATTGCCACTAATAAACTCTAATAACGTTAAAATAGAGTCAATTGTACTTTATATATAACCTCTTGGTTGAGCTTCAATTAGTTTAGATCCCCATTTTTGAATTTGAGTAATAAGTTGGTTAATATCAGACCATCGGGCAGCAGAAACCATTTGCCGAAGTAGAAGTGCTGTTTCTAAAGCTATTTGGAATCCACTTGGTATTTGGTTGCGTTTAAGGCGAAAAACAAGTGATTCAAGTGTAATATTGACGTCTGGCGGCGGCATAGTAGAGATATTTGTTTTTATGTGGTTAACATCGATTTTTTTAAAATTACAAAAGTTTATAAGGATTTAAGGCACCAATATAACGAAATAATTGTGAATTAATTGCTATTTTTGTAGGTTATTTATTGTGTGTTTTTAGTTTTTTGTTTTTAATACTTATGAAGGTGATTAACGTTTGATCATTTTGAGGATTAACGATCTATTTTTGCTTCGTAGATTTTTGTATCTTTTTTACAGATATTTACAGATAAATAAGTTTATTGACGATTCTTCTATCTATTTGTGTCTTTTTCAGTGAAAACTGTCCATTAGGCCGTCTTATAGAAGTTTATTAGAAGTGTTTGTAAGGTAGTATTAAAGATCTTGCATTGAAGATGTTACATTCAAGAAAATGGTTTATATGGATCAATTATATATATATATATTGTGCCTGTTTAATAGTTTTACAATGATCTGTGATTTTTCTGTTGTAAAAACTATTGAAGAATTAAATGTTTTAATGTTTTTAGCAATGCGATTGATTGTCATATTTAGTGCTGAAAAGTATTAGGATTTCTGAGGGTTACTAGTTAGATACTTTATATTAGAGATTTAGGCTATTTTTGGATTGTATTATGGAAAAGAAATGTCATATTGTTATTGTAGGAGGTAAAAAAATATGTAAGCTGCCTATGTTTTAAGAAATATAGGTGGAATTATTGGGTCAACCACAGCTTACTATCTCACACGTCATCCTAAATATGATTCTACCAATATATCAATTACACTTATTGAAGGGACGGGTATGTTGTAAGTGTTTTGTTTAGTGACGTTGAGTTTGATTTATAGGTATTGCATCTGCTGCATCAGGGAAAGCGGGGGGATTATTGTCTTTGGACATGGTATTTATATATAGACAGACAAATTTTTTATTAAAAATATCTATAGCATGGGCCCGAGACAGCCTTACTGGGTAAGCTTTCTTATGAATTACATGAGAAGTTAGCCGAAGAGCATGATGGAAAGAATAGATGGGGATATAGGTATTTGTTTTATAAGTATAACATTGTATTAATTATTACAGAAAGTTAGATACATTGGAAATTACGTCTTCTTGTTCTTCCAAACAGGTAGATGCGCTTCCAAAGACTCTAGGATGGATTGATTCAAATAAAGTTGACCACGTTTCTGTTGTAGGGACAACATTTACAACAGCACAAGTTCATCCGTATCATTTTACCAAGACTATTTTTTCTTTAGCAGAAGAAAAAGGTGTTAAGTTGATTCTTGGAACAGTGCTACCTTTTGGTCATACGAATACTGTTTCTTATTTGCCTAAAGGCGGGTCTTCTGTAAAGACAATTTATGCGGATTATGTTGTTATTACGGCTGGACCTTGGACTGGCCAACTTTATCCTAAGATTCCTATTACTGGATACCGTTCACATAGCATTCTTGTAAATGTTGATGTTCCTCTATCTCCGCATGCACTGTTTACAAATATCAAGTTGAAAAATGGGCGGCCTGTAAGTCCTGAGATTTATGCAAGGAAAGACGAAGTAGGGTACATGTTTATAAAATAAATAAGCACTAAAGTATTTTAGTTATATATTTGTGGAAATTCTGACTCGTTTGCCTTGCCCTCTAGTGCAGAAGATGTAGAAGTGAATTATGCTTCATGTGAAACCTTAAAGACATGGGTAGATGAATTAAGCACTCCAATTAAGAATGGAGTTGTTAAAAAGATGCAAGCATGTTATTTGCCTGTTTGCACTTCAAATACTAGTGGTCCGCTTATTACTAAAATAAGAGAAGGTCTTTATTTAGGTGCTGGTCATGGTTGTTGGGGTATTTCCAATGGCCCAGGGACAGGAAAAGTATTTTTTGTTTTTTTAGATTTACTCATTAATCTTTGTAGATTTTATCAGAAATGATTCTCGATGGTGCAGTACTCAGTATAGACTTATCAAGCCCAGATCTTTTCTCAGAAGGCTAAACAACATATATTATTTGAATACTACTAAGAGTACCGGATATATACAATGGATCTTGAAAGGCTATTGTCTTTCTAAGGAAGTTGATATGATGATTTGATTAGAATTTTGAGTAAACATGAAGTATATATAGTAATACATTTGGTTATATATAATATACCTATTTTATTGTTTGATTATATTTTTATACATATAAAATGTGTGCAATGTAGGTCCAGTGATTCTTTACTGAGCACTTTTATTAGACTTTTGTATTTATTATATTTTGCCAATCTCGATATGTTGAGTGTTCGTGTTTTATTCTAGGATAACGGTGCATGTCTGCTTATGAACACTCGACACAAGCAACTGTTTGGACATTCACTGTAGAAGCACTTCAAGCACAACGTACAGCTGTAACAAATGAAGCATGTGAACGTATTCAACGTAATTTCGAACAGGAACAGAATAATTTGACGGTTTCGTTTTTGAGTGCACATGAAGAATGGATATTAGTTGGTTATTATGCAATGCAGATGGAAGGGTTAAGTGTATATTTTGAGTTTTCATCGCAGATCAAGGTTCAAAGCAATTCACTGTAGTAATTCTTAGGGTTTTCTGATTTATTTTTTCAGGCAACTGCTGTAGCGTATCTTAAACGGTTTTATCTTATGCATTCAGTGATGGATTATCATCCTAAACCGATTATGTAGGGAGTTGTTGTTTTGAAAGATTTAAATTGAAGCTGATGGAATGCTAAGGTTGACATGTCTTTTTTTGGCTACAAAAGCCTGTGATCATTATATTTCGTTAGATCAGTTTGTACGTTCAATACCTAAGGTGACTTCTTCATTGATTTTGGAGCATGAATTTCTTGTATGTCGTGCTCTGTCCTGGGATTTTTATGTATGGCATGCGTATCGACCTCTACATGGGTTTATATTAGATATGCAGACAGTATTACCAGAACAGTCTGTACAGCTACTAGGGCGGCTTCATGATGAGGCAAAGGCATTAGTTTCAAAAACTTTATGGGCAGACTTGCTGTTTTTATATTCTCCAAGTTATATTGCACTTGGTTGTTTAATGGTTGTGGATGAAGAGATGGTTCGGATTTATATTCAGAGAAAAGAAATGTATCAATTTTTTGAAAAGATTGAGGCTGTGGCAAAAGATGTTATGTCATATAGTAAAATTGTTTTTGATGTTGAGGAGGTCAAGGGAATTGATAAACGATTGTTTTATTGTTCTGATCCGGCGAAAAAAAAAGATAGTCTTTTGTATGTATGTAGTGGAGTGTTAGAAGAACTAATAGTATGCAGATATGCTAAACGAAAAGCTGAAGAAGAGGCTCAACAACGAGCTAAGAAACTGGCTACTGTAGTCGTAGATAAAACAGAAGATTTTATGTGTTTGCCATAAACAATATGTGGATGTGAATATTAATAAAAAAGGAGGTGTTTTAAAGATGAGGGATTAACTAAAGGGATAATTATTGTGCTTTGGGGGCTGGATTTTTTAACATATTTTGTTATGTGATTTATTTTTTTTAAATATTTCAAAGCAATACTTGTTCTAAGTTGTTTTTTAGGTTAATGTTTTGTTTTAGGGTTAGGGTATTATGTATACTGTTTTCTGGACATGATGGTTATGTTTTGAATGTATTGGTTACATTGTTTTTATATTGAATATTTGAATTGTCTGTTGGCATTGCGTGTTTGTTCTGAGCTTTTCTGTGTTGTTAGTGTAACTTTGATATAGTTTATTGTTTTTCTAACTTTTGGTAACTTTTTTCTTTTAAAACACGTTAATTTTTGTTATTTGTTTTTGCTGTTCTTTTCATTAAATGCGTTTTAAGACGGGTATTTCGAATATTTCAATGTTTATACGTGTGTCTGAATGTTTGAATGATGGGTCTTGATATGCTGTAGGTCTTGTTCAGTCCCTTGAACGAGTTGGACGGATTTGCTGGTTAAAGTTGACTCCAGAGACAGTGCATTTTGTTATTGTTCCAGATCATACTGGCACACAAGTCTGGGCGTAGGTCTTTGCTATAGTTTATTATTTATCCATTATTTTAGTATTTTGGAAGTTAAGTCAATATTTCAAGATTATCTTGTGCAGTCAAATACAAATAATATAATTAATCTTGAGGTTCCTATTGATCATTTGCATAAAGCTCTTAAGTCTTCTGTTAACGCTTCAGAGATTGTTTTGAGATTGACAAAACATGATCATTTTCCTATGCTCTCATGTTCCATTTCACTTTTGGTATGTAAAGGATAAAGGTTTTTTTATTAATGATGATTTCAGGGAAAGTCTGGTGGCATGAGTGCTGTTACTCATAATATTCATGTTAGGGTTTTATCGCCTTTGATGCAATTGTTTGAGCCTGTTGTTCCAGAACCAGATTGTCATATTATTTTACCATCCCTATCTCAATTGCGCTATATATCAGAAAGATTTAGAGCGATTAGCAATAAGATCTTTTTGAAGGCAAATATGTCTGGTGAATTTCAAATTGGTGTTGTTTCTGATTCATGTAAAATTGAGACAAAGTTTAAAGATTTGATTAATCCTGAACTGGATCCCTGTGCTGTTAAAGATATTTCTAAGCATCCGAGTCAAATTAGGGATAAAAAGGCGTTTGTTACGGTGAAGGTATCTGTGAAGGATTGGCTTAATCTTCTACAAGTACATATTGTTGCAAAAAGAGTTATTGCTTGTTTCTGTGAGGGGCATGCTTTGGTAAATTAATAAATATTTTAGTTACCTTTATAATAGTAAAAGGTTCTTTATGTCTATATTATGGAGCCAGAAGAGGAAAGTTCTGCTGTTTTGGTGAGTTTTTTGTAGTTATGTTATTTTTATTAATTAATTAAGACGTATTATATTAGTACTTATATTGAATGAATTTAAAATTGTACTAGAGTTTTTATTTTTATCTAATAATGTTGTAAATTGGTTGACATATTGCTTTTATTTATTGTATTATTATAGAAAACTACTTAAAATGTTTAATATTATTGATTATTTACTGATAATTAATCTCGATAGATTTGTTAGTATTATTTGTACGTTTTTTTTGTATAGAGATGTTATGTCTATATTGTTTGATGTGCTGAATGTAATATTTAATTTATCTTGATAATGTATTGTTATTTGTTTAATATTTAGTAAAAAAATTGTTCTAGTATTTATTTTTTTAAACAAAATTGTTCAAAAATTGACGTTAAATTATAAATAGACATATTAAGTATCTTTTAGTGATATTAAATGTTTTTTATTAGGTTTGTAATTATATATGTCTAATCTGACTAGAATTCTAAGTTCCTTTTTTTTTTAAAATTTGGTAATTTTGATATATTAAATCTTTTTTTTGTTATATGATTTTTAAAGTACTTCAGAATTTTCTGATTTACTATCTTTATTAATTAATAAATAGTTTATATGGTTTACGAATTAGTTAATTATATGTATAGTAATTATATGTATAGTATAGGTATTATTAATAAATAAAAATGAATTCTAATTTCTTTTTTTGTGCAAGATTTTTATTGAATTTTAAGAGTTGATTTTTTGTAAAGATTTTTTTAGAAAGGAAAAATATGTTTCTGTGTATGTAAATAAGTATTTTGTTATTTGAATGTAAATATATATATTAATAGAAAAAAGTTTATATAGTTTTGAAAAAAATATCAATTCTCATTTTAAACAATAAACTTTTTTATGCGAAAAGATAGAACTTGAATTCGGAATTTTTCTTTTTGTATTTAATCAATTGTAGATTTGTATGATTTTATAGATTCTTTTTCTGCGTATCTTAGAAGTCTTATCAACGATATTTGTTAAATTACGTTTAATTTTACTTGTAGATTTAATAAATATATTTATTTATATTTCAAGATATTTTAACGTGAAAAAATAGTACTTTTAAATGGTTTTCCTATTTTTATTAAAATGTATAATGTTTCTAGAACTGTTTCCTTGTTTTGGAAAAGAATTAGGTTTACGTCAATATGTTTGTCTGTTTTTGGAGTTGGATCTTTATATTATTATGTTTCAAGTCAAGAGAAAGATTATTTGAACCAAGATTCTTATTCTTCTTGTATAATTCGTAAGGTTCGCCGTTTATCTGCTTCAACATGTTTATATGAACTTGAATTTAATCGTCCGTCTAAGCATTTTGAAGATTTGCCGATTCAGAGTGTTTTATTGAAGAATTCTGATATGCAGATACAACGTCACTATACTCCCATTTTTCTTGATCCTTCTAGTGTTGTTTTGCTTGTTAAATGTTATGAAGATGGAGAAGTGAGTCGTTGGATTCATAAAAAATGTATAGGTGATCGTATTGAACTTCGAGGGCCATTTTTAGAATGGGCATGGGATAAGTATCGCTGGAAAAGGGTTCTTTTTGTAAGCATTTTTCTTTGACTGTATGATATTTAATATAGAAAGATTGCGGGTGGTACGGGAATTGCGCCAGCTTATCAGCTTTTATCTTATGTTTTTAAAAATAGAGATGAACATACTCCTGAATTCCATTTGATGTATGCAAATAGAACTCCAAATGAGATATTGTTAAAGGAAGAATTAGATTGCTTACAAAGAAAATATCCAAAAAATCTTAAAATTACATACTTTGTAGACATGTCTTTAGATAATAAGGTTTCTGATAAATATTTTGTCAGAACAATCAATTTGCAAGATATAAAACATGCGTTTCCTTCTTCAATTCATGCTGATCCACATACTATTGTTTTAGTATGTGGAACGGATGGATTTGTAAGTTATATTGCAGGCCCTAATGGCATATTGCATCGAGAACAAGGAAGTCGTGGAGGGTTATTAGAAAAAACGAATTATTTAAACGTTTGGAAATTATAAAAATATATAAGGAGTAAAAATAATGATAAATTAATATTAATGGTTATTTTAAGAATAAAAATTTGATATTAAATAGTGGGTTCAGTATTTAAAAGTTCTCTTAAACAATTACTTATAAATGGTAATTTATTACTTTGGATGGGTAAAGCATTGATGTCATTTTCAGCATTTTTGTTTTTTTTAGGACAATCAATAAATGAAACTGCTTCTGTTGAAGAATTGGTATCAATTGTTTTAAGTATTTGTTGAAATTTATAAAATAAAATCTCTGCTCTTTGAAGTGTAGATTCAAGATCTATCGTCATAGAAAGATCATTTACTATTATTATTAGCTAAGATAGATATGTAGAGTTGAATACTATATTTTAAAATTTCATCAAAATCTTTAAGATGATCTATAATATATTAAATATATTTCTTTAAATAAAAATACACTTTCCCATGATAATGTTCTTGTGTTTATCAAGGATAGCTAATGCAACGAATAAATGGAATTGGGATGTTATATGATTTGTCCAAAGTCTCTAAAGTTTATTAAGATATAAACATAATAAAATAGCATTAAAAATACCTCCCATAGCCGTAAAACATCATCCCATTCGAATTCCCGTTTAAACCAGACTAATAACATTCGGAAAAAAAAGAAAAAATTCGTACTAGATGTATCTTCTAATATATATTTAAGAAAGTTTATCTTTATTTTTAAAAATACCTAAATATGTATAAAGTTTTGGATCCATAAGATGTATTAATTGATCAAGGATTATTAATTGTTTTCTCATTCCAGATTGATCTTCAAAAAAATTATATTGCTATATTTTATTTAAAATAAAAAAAAGATATAAATAATATATACCATTCGTTTCATAAACCCTACAAAAGCCCAAAAGCTTAGTATTTCATTTTCCATAATAACATATAATGGTGATAATAAATCACACATTCCTGTTTTGTTAGATTAGTGATTAAATATTAATAAAATACCTTGAACGTATCCAAGGGTTTTGTTATATTCATTGTATGTTAAAAGAATATCCCTCATCGTTTTCAAATGAGGGTTTTCTTCTAAAAGGTATGAATCTAAAGTATTGTGAGGTACGGTATCGCTCATAAAATATTTGGTTTGTTTATCAGTCCTGCAAACATCTTTTTCTATAATTTTTTATAGTATATACATACATGTTTGAATTTTTTACCTATTTGATGTTTTTGATCTTCAAATGTATCATCTACATTTTGTTTTTTGTTATTCAACCATTTTTCCTTTAATTGCATATACTTATTGCTTTTTTTTGAAAATATTGCTTTTCTTTCTTTTGATGATGAGTCCCATGGATAAATTTCAAGTAAAAAACACCAAACTTCTCTTCTTATATTAGGATGTATACTCTAGAAATTAGAATATTTTGATATCAATAAAATCTTACTCTATAAAAAATGGCTTCTTTTACTTTTTCTTTTGCTATTAATAGTTTCCCTTCATGATTGAACCATGATTTCCATTGCTTTTTTGAGATTGGTTCCTGATGTTGTATTTCAATATTATTTTCGAACGCGTTTAACTATTTAAAATGAATATTTAGATTGTAATTTGAAATTATTTTTACATTTAGCATTTCAAAATCTTCAAATGATGCTTCTTTAGTCCAAATATGTGTATTTCTATTATTCCATATAATTTTGTTACGTTTATCTCTTTCACTATCTTCAGCAATTCTTGCTGCCCATCGAGCAAGATAAAGACGAGCTATATCATATTCTTCAAATATGTTTACAGCGTTTTCAGAATTTAAGAATTTTTGTAATTTTGGATGAAGGTTAGATGAAAGAGATTTTTTTGTAAATGATATATTGAGAATATTTTTGGTTTTTTCACGAGAGAAATTAGTAATTCGACTAAAGCGTTCTAAAATATTCCACCTAACTTGTTTATATGATTCTTTAAATGTTTCCATTTTTGCATCTTTATTTTTTTCTATATTTCGTATTCTTTCTTGATTATAATATATCGATTTGTTAGACACTGTATTAAAAGAATCTACTAAATACATATTTTCATCTGTTTGTGAACTAAAGAATGTCATTTTTATACAAAATATGTATATAATTAACTGTTTTATATTTATTATAGATTTTAGTTGTGCAAGGAGACAGTTGCCGCCCCATATTATTTCTTCTTTTTCAGAAAATATGTTTAAATTTTCTTTTGATTCAAATGTGTTGCATAGACTCGCATTTATATAATTTTCATCTATAATGAAAAAACAATTTAGTATAAATATGATATATTTAAATTCTAACCATCAAAAAAAAGAGTTAAATAGTTACTCTTCCCATATGCATTAATAGTAATAGAACCTTTTTTTTCGCTCTTGGATGGAGGTTTTACTAATATACTCTGTATTTTTAAAAGAGAGATAAAACGTATATGTTTATGAAAATCTAATGGATTAAATCTAATATAAATATCTTCTTTAATTTTGTTATTATAATTGTTGGAATCCATTATTTTATATTTTTCGTAATCATCACTAAATGTTATAATTGAATCAGGAATCCAGAGAAGTGAAATATTTTCTGCATGAATGGATGTGGTTAATTGTTGTTTTTGTATTTTTTCAACAAGAATAACATGACCGATACTATTGTTTCTAGTGGAGGATTCTTCATAAATATAGGTCTTATAATGTGTTATTCTATGTATGAATTTTTATATTTTTTACTTTAGATTTACTAAAAATTAATTTTGTTTTTTCTTGAAGATTAAAATATTGATAGATATCATTCCATTCATCTGTATATGTATATTTGTCCTTTTCCTTATCCAAAATGCTTTCTGTGCATGAACCCATTTGCATTTTTATATTTACTTATTTATATTTTTATTTGAAATTTTGATAAGAAAATGTTAAAAGGAAAAATCATAATAGAAATTAAGATGAAAAAAAATAAAAGTTTATAAATGCGATTTTTTAATATTTATAAGTATAAAAAAGTTTGAAATTTACATTTTAAAAATGAAATATAAAGTATTAAAAACATTTATAGTATTATATAATAATAAATAGTATAAAGAGAAAAAATAAGGATAAAGACTATAAAGAATTTACTGTTTATGTACTTTTTTTGTTTTTAAGTTTTACTTTTTTCATAGATGCTTGACGTTCTCGAAGTGCTTTGTAGCGTTTATCTGTACCCATAAAATGATCCCACCATCTAAAACTAGTAGAATAGCAGTTTACAAATATCTTAAAAATATCTTTAGTTTATAAACTATAAGATGAATCTATAATACCTCGTGATGTGCATCATGATGCTCTGCTCCACTCCAAAATGGAATAAATTTATTTAAACTCCATGGAAAATCATAGCCTGAATGCGCGTCTATAGCTTGAAAGAGCCTTAAAGTAATCCATATATAGACTGTAAAAAGATGAAGGTCTCCTGTAAAAAAACACCAAAGAATGGGACTTCCAATAGTTCCAAGTCCAAGAATTAGAACTTCTGCAGGATGCGCATACTCTGCTGCAAGACCAAATGGTGCAGAGTATTTGTGATGAAGCTTGTGGATATGTTTGTATAATGGTCCCCAGTGCAATGCTCTATGAGCCCAATAATGAAAAGTATCTTCCATGATAAAAAAAATAAGAATATGAAGAAACATTTTTGAAAGATTAGGAAATGGTGTAGCAATAGACATTCCAAAATACTGAGTAAGTGGATGAAAAAGCCAAATTTGCGGAAGTTCAACAGTGAAATGTGAAATAAGAACCAACTTTGTACAACTCCACTGTTCTCTAAATGTTGGTACTTTTCCCTAGAAAAAATGTAAGATTGTATATTTTTCCAAAGCTTAAATTTACAGCTTGTAACTTCCATCGTCTGAAATAGGGAATAGCATCAATAATAACCCATGGAAGACATCGTCCAAAATATACGATTTCGTGAATCATAAATGACATAATACCTATTATAATAAGTATTTTTCTGCTATTTATATCACAAAATAGTCACTATTTACCTGTGGCAAGTGTATCATTTTGTATATAGGTATACCACGTTGACCATAGACGTTCTATCAAAGAAAGTTGAGGATATATGTTTCCAATATTATTCCAAGCATTAGAAAAAGATTCGAATAATGTTTTATTTTCAAAACTAGGCAGTTATATATTTGTATGTATAAATAGTATCCCTAAAACTTACACAATAGATGACATAGTATTAAGATGGTTTTTTACAATAAGCTAAGTTTTATTTTTTCTTTTCAGAAAAATTATTTTTATGTTTCCTTACGTTTCTTTTTTATTTTTTGTGAATTATTAATATTTTGTTTTAAATAAATTGACTTTTTTAATTTTTTTAATTGACATTGGATGTAGAGTTATTTGTACGATTTTCGGTTTTTATGGATTTTTTGGGTTGATAATATTTTTTGAAAAAAAAAAAAACTATAAATATCTTTTTCTTCTGTAATTTTTTAGTAATAGAACATAAAAATATTTAGAATAAATAAAAAAAATGAACTTATATATTTTTTTAGTTGATAGACATTATAAATGATTATAAGTAAAAGCTTTATTTAAAAAGATATTTATATTACACATTATATTGTTTTATGATTCTTCATTTACGTCATTAAATTAATAATTTTTTATTTATTTTATTTTATGATTTTTATATATTATACTTAGTCGAAGTTTTTTAGTTATCGACAAATCTATTTTTTACGGGTTTGGATAAGTTAACAAAAGTTTTAGCCTTAATGCTTGCTTTTCTATTTGGTAAAGCATATATTTGTTTCTAGAGGATGTAAGTACTACTGATTAGATATATTTAATTGATTTTATTAATTTGAAATTTTTTTAGTTGTATGATAATAGTGAGATAAAACTTACTGTTATTGAATACGGATAGATAATATGAACTCATTAGAGAGTCGCCAGGTGTTTAGTAAAGGTTTTTCTGAGTGTTTTTAGATTATATAGTTGATAGAAGTAGAGGAAAATCATGGGCAGAGAATGTGGGATCGTATAGTAAGTGCTACAGGTGCTATTTCTAAGGCAGTAGCGGATAAATATGTTGCAATTGTAAAAGAGGATGAGGACCACAATATAGATAATGAAGACCAGTCAAAAGTTTCTAGAGTATTAAGGGAATATTATATTCGTAAGACTGGATGTCTTCCTGATTGGTTGATGGACTCCAAGACACCTAAAGTTTCAAGTGTAAAAAGTTTTGAAAGCGCTTCAGGTCATCATTCTTCTTCAAATTTTAATGCTATAGAAAGTACAAAGTCTATGCCTGTGTCATTTCGTGACATTTATGATTCAACTCCAAAACATTTTGAATCTATAGTAAAATCAACTACTTTTAGTGTTGATGAAAGTCGACATCGAAATTTATCTGCTAGTGAACGTTTGCGTGAAAAATTATCAACAAGACGGAATACGGATTATAATTAAGGTTATAATAATGATGGTATAATGTTTAGTTTGAATTAGTTATTTGAGTTGTCATTTTTAAATATCATTCTATGACATATATTTATTTGAAATGACAAAAAAATTTAGCAATAATGGAAATATGTTTCTGTATTATATAACTTCTATATTAATTATAATTTTAAATGATACTAAATATGTATTTAATGTATGCAATATTGGCAATTAGGTAAATATGAATTGATTTTTTAAATAAATATAAATATTTAGTTTTATAATATTTTTATATAATTTTCCGATAGATACAAATTATGTTTTTTCATCTACTAATTGGTTTTCTTGCTCATATTCCAATTCAATATATGATTTGCCTACTATTAGTTTAATGATTTTTCATTTTATTATATTAAGCTTACTTTTTTTGGATTCTAATTTTTTATTTCCGTGTTTTCTTTTTTTTTGGAAAATATTTTCTATCTCTTGTTCGTTGATATCCCTTCTATCGATATCGCTTTCACTTTCGTGATTACTTGATACATCAGATTTGTTAATAATACTATTTTTTTTAAATTTATATTTTTCAGACCATTCTTCTAAGTCACTTTCTTCGCTGGTATCACTAAGAAATTCTATTTGTTCTTCACTATTTTCATATTCGGATTGACTTTCATTTTTTTTTTGGTTTTTATGTGATTCTGAGACTTTTTTCCAGACTTCGGGTTCAACATTGAGTGGCTTTTTTCCATATATCCCGTTTTTAAGTCTTTCTAATAGCTCTTTTTGTATAGATTTTTCTAGTTTTGCTATTTGTAATGCTTTTTTTTCACGGGTTGCTTCACGTTGGGTCTGTTTTGGTTTGATTCCAACAAGTTTTGTTTGTTTCTTAAGAGAAAGTCTTTTGCTTTTGATTAGATATTGCGTAAGTTTTGTTAATCGTGCTTTGTTTTTGTATATAAGAAAATTTGACCAGTATAAAAGTTTTTCGTCAATCTAAATTATTAATTAAAAAATATAGATAAATACTATGTGTTTATGCTTGTTTTAATGCTTTTATATAGTTTTTTGACAATTTCACTTTTTCCCATGTTTTTGATGGCATATGTGATCTTTCTATTGTCTTTATATATAAATAAAGAATGCCATTCTTTTCTTTAATAGTGGCATATTGTGAATTTGCAAGAGGACAGGATTGGCGATTACACATTCCAGTTACATTGTACTTTTGGATATTAGTCAAGTATTTTAAAAAAAAATAATTTTACTTCATTTCTACAAAAGTTTTGTGTGTTTGTTCTATTGATGGATTAGTTATTTGTTTTTATAAGAAAAAAATTTGAGAACTTTATTTTATAAGAGCAAAAATTTTGGTTAATTACTTGCCAAACAACATCATCCATTTTTTGTTTTTTTTTTTTTTTGAGTAGCTAGATTTAGTGTGCTATCGAGTTTTCGTCTAAAAATGTTATCTTTAAAGAATAATGTTTAAATTTGTTTAGATAGAATATAGAATATAATCTTATAAAGAGGTTTTTTGTTTTCTATGCATAGACAAGTACTTTATTGGTCTCTGAAAAATACTTTGTTTTATCGTGCTTTATACACATCTAAAACGATTTACGCTTTATCAACTCCTTTAGGTAAATCAGCTATTGCTGTAATAAGAATCTCAGGACCTGAATCATTTCGTGTAATTATATTTTGACTGTTGGATCTTGAATGTTTAAAATGTTTTTAGGTAGTTGAGGCCCTTTGTCCTTCAAGAAAGCTTCCAAAGTCAAGATATTTGAGTCTCCGAGAGATTAAACATCCAAAAACTGGTGAACTTTTAGATAGGGCATGTTTGCTTTTATTTGATGGTCCTTGTTCTTTTACAGGTGAAGATATGGCTGAGCTTCATGTTCATGGAGGAGCAGCGATCATTCGATCTATTTTAGATGCTATTGCTAATAGTCATTGTGATGTTGAATATGCAGAACCTGGGGAGTTTTCTAGAAGGTCTTTTGAGAATGGGAAATTAGATCTTACTCAAGCTGAAGGAATATATGATATGATTAATGCGGAAACTGAAGAACAAAGAAAGTTGGCCATTCGGCAAATTGACGTATGATTATTATGGTTAATTTGTAAAGCTGATTATTTGAGGGATCTTTAAAGCGTATTTATGAGAGATGGAAAGAAGAATTAGTTGACTATAGATGTCATCTTGAAGCTATTATAGATTTTGGCGAAGATGATGATATCAATGATGATATTTATTTTCAAAGTTTGTGAAAAAATCTAACTATATAATTATTTAGAAGTTTAGTATATAAAAAGGTTGAGGGCTTTGTAGTTAGACTTCAGGATCATTTAAAAATGTCTGTTTGTGGTGAATTATTAAGACATGGTATAAAAGTGTCCATTTTTGGGTTACCAAATGCTGGAAAATCTTCTCTTTTAAATGTAATTACTAGAAGATCTGCAAGTATTGTATCTTCAGAACCAGGGACAACACGTGATGTTATTGATGTTATTGTTGATATAGGAGGATTTCCTGTAATATTTAGTGATACTGCTGGTTTAAGGCAAGGAAACAATATTGATTTTATTGAAAAAGAAGGGATAAGAAGGGCTTATGAAAATATTGAAAAGGCATCTATACGTATATGTGTTTTAGATATCACTGATATTGAAGCTAATATATCTGCTCTTCGATATTTATTTATGCGTCAAAATATGATTAATTATCAGTTAACTATTTTGGTTTTAAATAAAATTGATTTAGTAAAGCCAGAAAAATATAAAGATTTAAAAAAAATTGAATTGTTGACAGGAGTTGCTTCTAATTTGATTTTTCCCGTTTCCTGTCAAACTAATATAGGTATTTATGATTTAATGCTTTCTCTTAATAATCAATTAAAAAAAATTGTTTGGTCTGAAAGTAATCAGGAAATTGTTGGAATAAATTCTAGGCATAAGGGACACATTGAAAAGTGTTTAGATTATCTGAATGTCTTTTTAGGTGGGTTTTTGAATGAGAAATATATAAGATTAATATTTAAAGAATGCGGTGACAAAGATATAGTTATTAGTGCTGAAAATTTAAGATATGCAAGTGATGAATTGGGTAAAATTTATGGGCACATTAATGCAGAAGAAGTCCTTGATGCTATTTTCTCAAAATTTTGTATTGGGAAATAAAATACATTATATTTTTGTTATAATTTTTAATATATATATATATATATTAGTATTGTTTGTATAAAATTTCTAATATTATTTTTTATATTTTTATTGAGCTGTTTCAGCTGTTTAAAGTTATTAAGAATACTCTGAAATGTTTATAATTATTAATATTTGTAAGAATTTTATGGTTGAGTTTTTGTTTTTTTATAAATGAGTGTTGAATTTTCGTCATTATCGCTATCATTAAATGCATAGTTAATGACATCTTCATCATTTAATCTTATTCTTTCATTGTGAGAAAATAGTCGAAGCGGTATTTTCATGCTATTGAAATTAGAAATAAAATTAAAAATAAAAGTTGGTCCATTCCCGTTTGGAATGAGTTTAATGGCCCGTTTATAACTAAGTATAAGTATAATAGCAGCAATAATTGTTAGAAAAATTGTAAAGAGAAATGAATAAAAAAATGGTACTTTTTCACTATATGTAGTTCCTGTTGACGTATTAATTTTTATGGATTGTTTATTATTTATTATATACTTTTATACAATAATAGATTTATCATTACATAAATATTAATAAAAAAGTTTTTCATTAAATTTGAATTTTTGATGACGTTAAATACTTTGAATTTTTAAAAAAATAAATTCAATATTAAATTAAATGTATATATAAAGGATATTTTTGATCTTTTTAAATTGTTTAAATATTAGTTGTAAATAATTGGTTTTTAGTTTTAAATGTGTGATATTTGAAAAAAATTTTATTAATTTTAGTTTTTTGACGTTTTAAGGCCTTGCTTTTGTTTATTCTCGAGTTTTTATGTACTTATATATGTAGAAAATTGTTTGAAATCTTATATAGGTATAAATACTAAAATAATGTTGTATTAGAATTATGTTTTATTTTTGATGAATACCTAGTTATATATTATTTTAACGGTTTATAAAAATTGAAGTATTTGCTTTAAAAAGTAAAATCATTAAATAATTTTAATATGTATAATTTTTTTTATAAATATAGAAATTATAAATTGTTACAAAAGTCTAAAATTATAAATTATAAAATAAAAAATAAATTTTTATGATATAGAATTTAAATCGATATGTTAGTTGGATATAAATATATTTTAAAATTAAATACATAGGTTTGTTTTTTTATTAAATTGCTTATAATTATAGTGGTAATTAAAATTATTAATTTTAAAATTATTTATATTTAATTTTTATATAATTATAATATGTTTTAAATATTTTTTTATTTTTTATTATTTGAAATGATTTACAGAATTGTACATTTTATTATAAAGATTTTATAAATTAAGGGGTCATGATGTTTAACATAAATTATAATATATTTAAGTTTTAAAAAATATAAAAATAAAATATAAAAATATTAAAAATTGTTTATGAAATATTCTTGCTGTAATTTTTATATTTATGATGTATTTTTATATTTAACGCGCTTATATAATAAATATTTAATAAAGTAATTGATTTTTAAATGTTAAATCTTTTTAAATAATAAATTTATTAAATAATAAATTTATTGATTTTGTAACAAAAATTATTATAAATTATATATTTCAAGAAATTTAGTTTATTTTTAAAAATCTATATTTTTAAAATATATTTATTTAAAACATTAATATATTTTTTTAATTTTAATTTAAAAATTAAAATATTGCTTACGATAAAATATTTAATGGACGAAAGTACAATGAAAAATATAATTATAGTTATATTTTTAGAAGTTTTTTAAAAGTAAAAAATAGAACTTTGAATTTGATAACAATTATTGATAATAAATATTTTTTTTAAATGACTAATAGTTTTTTAAATTTTTCGTATATTTATTTAAAATATTGTTTTTAGTTTTTTTTGAAAAATCAAAATAAATAAATTAATAAAATATAATAATTTTTTTGTTTTTTTTTTTGATGTAATTTTTTTTAATAGTATAAACTTGAAAACTTTTAGTTTATTGCTTATTTTTTTACGTTTCGAAAATCTTTACAATGCTGATTTAAAATTATAGTTATTAAGTTTAGTAAATTATTTTTAAATATTAAATATTATAAAAGAAAGAATCAATATTAGTAATATAAGATAGATGGTTGATATGAAATAGCAAAAATATATAAAGAATTGGATAAATGAGATATGCAAGAAAAGATACCAAGAAAGAAAACATCTGTAGAATCATCTCAACAACAGTGTTTTGGAAAACGCATTAGAGGGATTTTGAACAAGGATAGGAAGTGTGATGATAATCTATCTTCTGTTCCTTATGGTGAAACTATGGTATCTGGAATGCGTCCTATAATACTTGGACATACATCTTCGAAGAGTGCATTAGAAATTACTGATGGATGTAGCTTTGTTTCTTCCGAAAATTCTGGTGTTCTTCTCTTTTTGTTACTTGGAATATTGCTGATGTTATTTAAGTAGGCTCAATTAAAAGTTGTGGTTATCCTAGTATATCTGCTTCTAGTGGTTCGAAAACAGCTGTATTCCATCAAAATGCTCCATATAGAAAATCAAATGTCTCTATTGGTTCATCCAATGGGTTTGGAAGACGCAATTTTAGCGATGATCAACGTAGTGCTTCAAGTTCTCGTAGTTCATATTCTGAGGATATTCAGCGATTGGGGTTTTTTTCCTACAATGCGATAGGAACAAATGGTGAATTTTCTTTTGAAAAACCAAAAGACGATTCTGTTATTGAGCATATGTTTGTTGAGCTTCTTGTATGTTTTTTTAATTATGTAATAATAATTTATTTATTTATTTAGAATATGAAGAATGTTCCCCTTGATGCTCGTGGAAAAATGATGGGTTGGTCAGCTTTTAAGAAATGGCAGATGATATATCAAGATGCTCTTCAAGAATATCAAAACAAAGTGTGCTTTATATGGTCTTTATATTTTATTAATTTCTTTATAGAAAAAATGGATTACTTCTCATGGTTATGAGGGAGATAAAGGTTCTCCTCAATGGTTTGTTAGGAAAATTGTTGACAATTCTATTAAAATTAAACAATTATCAACGTTAAGTCTTTCTTTACGGACTCAACCTATTAGGTATAAACTATTTTTTATTTAATATGTTAATGGTATGATTAGTTGGGTAAAATCATTTATTAAGTGTCAAGGGCAAGTCGCTTTAACTAATGTTTTAAGTCATATAACTCAGCGTGTTAATAAGTATTATATTTTTATTTTTTTGTCTTGTTAATAATTCATTAGGCGTGATGATGATATACTTAAAGAGTTGGAGATTTTGAAATGTCTTAAGTCGCTTTTAAACAATACTGTTTGTTTTTATTTGCATATATATATATATATATTAATTAATTAATTAGTATGGAGCTGATGATGCTATTGAGCATCAGTCTTGCGTAAATTCAGTAGCGAGTTCTTTACTTTCACCGCATCTTCCCTCTCGGAAACTTGCTGCTGAGGTTTTAACTTTTATATGTCATTGGGATAAACCAAATGGGCATTCTGTTGTATTACTTGCTATGGAGCATTTGCGGTCTTATTTGGGCGAGCTTGGTCGTTTTGATGCATGGATGAGAGTTCTTGAGCTTACTGTGGATGGAAGAGGAAAAATGGGAAGTCTTGTTGGTGCCAGTGATGAAATACGTCGTGGTGGAATAGGTGTTGAAAATATTCTTATGGAATATGCTCTTGCAAATCTTTTTTTGATTAATTCTTTATGTAATGGTGCTGACGATGTTCGAGAGAGATTACATATTCGCAGTCAGTTTAAAACATGTGGTTATCAAAGAATGGCTTTAAAAATGCAGCAGTTTCATCATGATGTAATAGATCGTCAACTTGAAAAATTTGAAAATGATGAAGCACTTGATTATGAAGATTTGTTTGAAAAGGATGCTCGGGATGAGATTAGGAATTTAGATAATCCATTGGAGTTGATGGGTATAATATGGAAGCGAATTGAGGGTACTAGGGCTCAAGATTTTTTTCTTTCTACATTACAACATCTTTTATTGATACGTGATGACGGAGAGGATCGTTCTAAAGTTTTTCAGCTTATTGATGCTATTCTTACTTACGTTGTTATGGATCATCGTATGACTGGAATGGATCCTACTCATGCTCTGAATTTTTCTATACAAGGTGTTGTTAGTAAACTTCTTACTGATGAGGAAGCTCGAAAGGCCGTAGAGGAAGCTAAGGAAGCTCGTATGATTGCAGAAAGGGTTACTATAGAAAGAGATACTATGGCTGCTGAGATTGCTGCTGGTGCTGATGGTTTGGTTGGGAGATTAAAAAAAGAGTTAATGGAGCAAGCTGAAGCGCTTGAAACTCAAAGAAGACAAAATGCTGTTTTGAGAAGTGAAGTAGAGGAATTACAGAGAGTTCATATGTTGCAACTTCAGAAAAGTGAGATTGAAACAAGAGAACTTTATATGATAATACGTGACGCAAGTCCTGAAATTTGGAAAAATAGGAAAGGTGTTCTTGATAGGAAAGCATTAATGGATAAATTGGAGAAACAGCTTGAACGTAAAAAAACAGAATTTAAATTAGAAGGGAAGGCTTGGCAAAATGCTTCTTCAAGTAAGCGTTTAAAAGTATTATATTATTTTATTTAAAAAAATATATTTATAGTGTATAGGAACTTCATGATCATATGGAGAAGCTTCAATTAGATACAAATGATATTAATTCTCAGATTATTAATGATACAAATCAAGTATTACAAACTCAAGATGCACAAGAAAATTTGTCGTTTTTTGGTTCAACTAGAATTAAATCTAATAAATACTCACCACATACCATTACACATCATTCAAGATCAACTGTACGGTCTATTTCTGCGAATTATATTCATGATACAAAAAGTGTATGTGGTATTCAACAAATAGTACAATATAAAAAGGAACATGTGGAAGAAAATACTAACTACGTTTTTATGGATGAACTTTCTTCTAAAATAAGACATTTTAATGATAACGACAATATGGATGATATTATTGGGCATGTTATATTTTCTGAAAGTCAGACCGAAAGTACTGATTTTGATCATTTTGGATGGAATGATGAAAATTTATCAAGTCATCCTCAAACTCAAGGCTCCCAAGTTTCTTTTTCTGATGAAAATACTATTCATAGAGCTTATTCTGAAGCTAGTACTGAAGATATTTCTATTCCTTCTTCACTGCCTCCTCCTCCTCCCCCTCCCCCTCCTCCTCCTCCTCCTCCTCCTCCTCCTCCCCTCCTCCTCCTCCTCCTCCTCCTCCTCCCCTCCTCCTCCCCTCCTCCTCCTCCCCCTCCTCCTCCTCCTCCCCCTCCTCCTTCTTTTAATATGGTTGTTACCGAACTTGTAGTTCCTGAGGATCCATCGGATGCATCTTCTCTTTTTTCACCTCCACTTACTCATTTGACGAATAAAACATCAATAATTACATGCAGTGATGCTGGTGCTCCTACATCTAATACTATTTCTTTACAATCTCAGGTTTTTGTAGAAAAATCTGGTACAGCTGTTAAAGAAATTCCTTTACATAGTGGAGAGGTTGGCAGAACAGGGCTTCCATTTATTAACCCGGAAATTAAAACACATATTATGATGATGAGACCAAAGAAGAAACTTAAGCCAATGCATTGGGATAAACTCGATACTGATGTAGAATATACTCTTTGGTCTCAAATGAAATTAGATCCTAATGCTCTCGCTGGAGTTCTTTCTAAAAAAGGTATATTGGATGAAATTGAAAAAGCGTTTGCTATGAAAGAGACGAAAATTATCAATACTAGGACTTCAAAGAAAAAAGAGTTTTTATCACCTGATCTTCAGCAACGTTTTGGTATAAATTTTCATAAATTTTCGAATTTATCTGTGACTGAAATTATGACTAAAATTCTTCATTGTGATTCTGACACTATGGATCTTGTTGATTTTCTTAGTGATGATAAATTATTGAGTATTGAACATTTAAAAGCAGGTTTGGAGCCTTATAGAACAGATTGGGTTGCTGGTGGAACAAGAATAAATCCTGAGAAGAATATAGAAGAACTTAGTCGGTGGGATCAAGTATATTTACATTTATTTATTGATTTGGGGCATTATTGGCAAAGAAGGATGATGGCATTAAAAATGAAAATTAATTTGGAACGTTCTTATACAGATCTAATTAGAGATATTAAGTGTATAGAGACAGCTGCGTTAGCTATAAAAGGTTCTCAGAATTTTAGGGAATTATTGGATGTAATTTTGCATGTTGGAAATTATATGAATGATTCTGGGAAACAGGCTCATGGGTTTAAAATGACAACACTTCAGAGACTTCCTATGACAAAAGATGATAGAAATTGTTTAACATTCTTACATTTAGTAGAAAAAGTAATTCGTACTAATTTTCCACGGCTGGAGGAATTTTTGGATGATTTTAAAGAGGTTAGTGCTGCTGCAAAGATTAATCTTGATCATATTACTTCAGAATGTAAAACATTGGTTGATACTGTTTTTAGCATTGAAAGAGCGCTTAATACAGGAAGTCTTAGTGATGCTTCTGTATTTCATCCTGAAGATAAAATACTGAATATTGTACTTCCGTTTTTACCTGAAGCAAAAAAAAAAGTTGGGTATATACAAGATCATCTTAGTAGTATGGAAACAACATTTGAGAATGTTTTAAGGTATTTTGGTGAAGAACCTTCAGATTTGCAAGCTAAATCAACATTTTTTCGTAAATTTGAGATGTTTTCTAAAGATTATAAGGTATTGATGTTTAATTATGTAATTTATAGTTAATAGATTTTTAGAAAGCACAAAAAGAAAATTTAGAGTATGAAGAAGAATCCCATCGTCAACTTCTTAGAAGAAGGGCGTTAAATGCTGCATCAAAAAGTAATATTTTGGATGCAGCAATGGATGAAAATGCTAAATCTGATACTTTCATTATGGATAATTTACTTGAAAAGCTTAGGGTAGCGCCTGCTGAAAACAGAAAAGCAAGGAGAAGACTAGTTGCTAAAAATCTACAACTTAACGGTTCTCATTCAGAAATTTCTAATACTCCAAAGAATAGTTCTATATGTTCTTCATCTCCTGTAGATGAATTGTCTATTAAAATGAGGGAGGTAGAAACAGAATATAATTCGTCCATTTCAAAATTATCTGTAGTAGAATCATCTACTTCTGTGATTCCAGCTGTTTCTGTATCATCAAGAACAATGTCAAACAAAGATGTTGCTGCAAAAGCACAAAGTATGCTTGAAGGTTTAAGATGTGGAAAAATATCAAAAGCCTCTGTATTAAAACTAAGTGATAATTCGCCAATGAATGACTCAGATTGTTTAGGGAATAATGCTCAGGATAAAATAAACAATATAGATTAAAATTCTTATTAGAAATTAGGAAATACTTTTGAAATTTAGAAGTTATAAAAATTAATAAGGGAATATTGTTAAAACTATGCGATTTTCAAAAAGTGGAATAATATTAGGATTTTTAAAAAAATTATAGTATGTTTTTTATGAAATATATTTTTTAATGCACTTTATCGAATGAGTTGATAAAAATTTATGTCTAAAATGTAACTTTATTGTCGATATATGATGGGTACTATATATGCATTTGTTTTAAGGAAATTGGTGTTATTGTTATTTAACGATACTATTTTATTAAATAATTTATGTATATTTTAGCATTTTTTGTTTTATGAAATTGTGTTTTTTGTTTTTAATTTTATAAATTTTTTTGTTCAGTTCTAGTATTTTTTTAATATTTAGATTCTTTTCTATAATTGATATTAATTTTTTTATATTTAAAAATATTTATTTTATTTTTGAAATTAAATAAAAATATTATAGATGTTTTAGATTTTTTTTATAATATCAATGTAATATAGTTCTTTAATACATATATTAATATATATACATTTAAAATACATTATTTGAAATTAATATAATATTAAATAAATTTGTATTTAAAAATATATTTTTAATTTTATAAGGTATATTGAAAAAATATTATTAATATTTGAGTTTGATCTTATGAGTACATTATTATTTATATTTGAAAATAGTAATATTTGTATTATGTATTATTAAGTATATTTATTAATATAAAAATCTAATTGATATTTTGATAAAAATTATTTTAATTGTTTTAATAAAAGATTATAAGATTTTATTTTTAGTTTAAATAGTTAAATATTATAGAATTTTTATGTTAGTTTTTAAGATATTATAATGAAGAATTCTGTTTAATATTTATTCTTTCTGTTTAAAAAATATTGTAAATTAGAAAAAAATTATGAAAATAAAAAATTATCAAGTTTAAAAGTAAATTTTTAGAGTTTTTTCACTTAAGAAATAAGTTTTAAAATCGCAATTTTGAGTAATAATATAGATCTTATTATAAATTTATAAAACTTAGAGAATTTTGTTTTAAAGTGGGTATGTTGCTTATGGTAGAAGTTTGTAGTTGTATGAAGATAGAATGGATTTAGAAATTGTTTTGTTTTTCATTTTTTAATTTGTTGACCAAATTTAAGAAATATGTTAATTTTTTTGGGCAATTTTTTATATAATCTAAAATTATGATTTTTATACTTGAAAACATAGAATAGCGGAAAAATATATTGGTTAAATCTAAAAAATATTTTTTAGGGAAAATTTAAAGAAAAAATAAAAAAGAATACTGATAATATATAAAAAATAATGATATTTTAGGAATAGAAATGTTTTTTTGCTTCACTATATATACATTATTTATACTTGTAATTTAGCATAGTTTGGAGGTTTGATTTTTCTTCTTAAAGTTTTTACTATCCATGGTGGTATCAGTGAAACTGATATAATTACTATTGTTTTCCAGATGAAATCAGTAGTTTTTATATAATTTAGATCTATTTATGAAATAAGATGAAATAAATGAATTAGGATGTTTTTACCAAAATAATCACTAAGAAATGGTATAGATACAATATAGGCTGCTAAAGTAACTATTTCTGCTATAATCATGATTTTATGCCTAAACGTTATTAGTTAGGATTTAATATAAAGATTTTAAAAAACCATGTACACATTTCTATAATGACCATGATTAATTCGTTTAAAATTAATGCTGTAAATATTACTGTTACTATTGTTTTTATTTTATTTAATCCGATAAAAATACTAGATAATAACATAATAGAAATTCCTATTAAATTTAAATTTTGGAAAAAAAATATAATTTTAACCTTGGTATAAAGAAACAAAAACCCATATAAAAAAAGTTTTGTAATTGAGTGTTTTTCCTTTAGTAAGTTCTTTATATAGCTCTGGATATAGGAATGTTAGACATTCGTTAACGTCTCGATCAAGAACAAGGCTAAATACTGGAGCCATCGTATAAAGAGTTGCATATCCAACCATTAACCATCCCTATTAATAATTTAATTTTTTGGTATATATAAATATGTAATACTTTAAAAAGAACAATAGGAGTAAACCCTGATAGAATTGAATAATAAGCTTGACAGACACTAATTAGAAGACCACGGTGAATTACAAAACGAGTCAGTTTTGCTGAGCGTTTATAACTATTACGTCCATGCCAAACTAAGAAAAATATTAATATTTATAATAAAAATATTATATTGTAACCTAATAATTTAGTTAAATGATAGAATTGAGTAATTGAAAAATCTGCTGCTAAACTGGCTTGATGACCTTCTTTTCCTACAATTCCTATTCCTACATTTGCAGCTTGAATCATACTAACATCGTTTCCCCCATCACCTATACAACATACTCTACGATGTGTATAACTTTGAATAAGTTTAGCAATATCTGCTTTCTGTGTAGGTGTACATCGACAAGCTATTACTGATGGTAATTTTGTTGCTATAGATATAAACTCTATTTTATAAAAATCCATATATAGCTAAATTATATTAAATATGTAAAAAAAAATAAAAATGGTACTTGAAGAGATTCTCCATCTATAAGAAGGCATAAATCTTGTTTGTTTTTTAGGAACTCTAGTTGTTCTATAATATATTCTTTTGATTTAGCTAATACCTAATGAGTATTGATATACACTAATATTGGAATTACCTTTTATTATTGTGTGGATATATTGTCCTCTAGCTACAAATTTAGAATTGACTGCTACACATTTCGCGGTTTCTGCTTTATCTCCTGTAAGCATCCAAATTTTGATTCCTGCATTTCTTAAGAATTCTAATGAAGGTTTAACATCTTTCTGTAATCTATCTTCCACACCCGTTAAGCCCAAAAGCTCAAGATCACATTCCAAAGATTTTGAAATTACATCTGCAATAGCTTTGTCTCTATTATATAAGTCTAATATTGCTTGATTGTAGCTAAGTCTTTTAGAACTATGAAATTATAAAAATTAAGCAATTACTTTCTTACAAAAGCATCATATGATTCTTTGGTTAATTTTTTTCTTCCAATAACAAGTGTTCTTAGTCCTTCTCTAGCCATATTATTACACTCCTCATCCAACCAATCATTAGATGTAACAATTTTCTGCATAACTGTATCTGCACCTTTTTGAAAAAACCAAATATCTCCATTTTTATCTGAATTTTTTATTATTTGTACTATAATTCCCATTCTTTTAGATTTTGAAGTAAATGGAAAAATATGAAGAATTTTCATTTTTATAAGTTCATCAGTATGTTGATGACATAATTGAATAGTATGTCTGTCTCGTTGATGGAGAGTTAAACCCATACTGCTAGTCCACTCTACAATTGCTATTTCATCAGGAGACGATGACTGATATGAGACAGTATTCGTACTTAAGTCTGTAGTTGGTGTAACCTAAATGAATTTATATTTGCTAATTTTGTTTTTTTATATTTATTACATTATGGCATACAGATAATGCAAAAACTATGTCTCTAATTTTATTTCCTATTTCTTTTTTAACTTTTTGAGTTATATATTGCGTATTTGAATAGCTATTTTTATATTCTCCTCGAACATATGCTGCTACTTCTGACATTGCTTCGCTTGTATATCCTAATGTGCCAATATGAAGTTTTTTCATTTTCATGTCTAAGATTATTTAACTTTTCAGAAAATAGTTATTTAATGTAATAGCACCATTTTGGGTAAGAGTTCCTGTTTTGTCTGTTAAAAGATATTCTATTCGACCCAAGTCTTCAGGAATTGTACTAGTTCTTACAATAGTTCCTTTTAACTCGGAATCATGTTCTATTTGATAAGCATAAACTGATTTTCCCAAATCTAAGTTAACTCTTAAACTGATAAGATTTAATTACTTGTAGAAGTAAATTGTATTTATTTACCTAATTGGTATGATACTGGAAAAAAGAATAAGAAATTTAAATAACGATATATACCATTCTTCTTCAGAGTCATTAAGTAAAACTAAGATGAAACTTAGCATAAATGTTAAAGTACAAAGAATCTTTTGTGAATTAATTAGAATAAAAAAAGAAATAATATACTTTTGTAAGACTATTAATTTCTGATTCTAGTAAGCCTGTTTTAGTTCCTGCTCTTGATGTATTCATAGCTTGCCTCGTTTCTGGACCTGTATAAACTACTAAACCTATTATAGGACCATCCGATGCTAAGACTGTATTTGCCCATAACATGTTATCTACAGTTAATGGATAATTGTGTATATTTTTTGATAATTCTATTGATAATGTTCCAAAAAACATATGAATAGATTTTATAGGAGGGCCAGCATAAACAGTAGCATTCAAAGAAAATAAAGATTCGCTTGATGAAAAGGGTTGTGTAGCTGCTGGTGCAATTCTAATGCTTGTTAAATATGTTAAATATAAAAGGATTTTTTAGTAGGACCTTAATTTCCAATCCGTTTCACCATCTAATTGATCTGTTTTAATAAAACATTCACCATTTGGATTATTTGTGTGAAGTAATAAAATGTCTGAAGGAATACGTTTATTTTTTTGTATTATAATTAAATTTCCTACTTTTAAATCACGACTTTTCTTAGGAGAATCATTATCTAGAACTGTGTATGATTCTGAATTTGCTTCATTATCCCTTTTTCTCCTAGCTAAATCATCAAATAGTTCTTTCCCCATGGTTATAGAAATAACAAAAATTAATGGAGCAATATATGTAGATAAGTATCCTATACGTAATGGTATAATAAATTGAGAAAGTGCTACAAGAAGAAAATATAAATTTAAAAAATGTTTAAACTTGAAAATTAATAGGATATTGGTTATAAATTAGGGTACCTGTTCATATAAAAATACCGGAATAAATGTGAAAATATTGTATTTTGCATTAGAAATAACATTAGATGGGTAATTATGTGATGTTTTAGATGCATTTAAATCTGATTACAATTTAGTTTTTTTGAAAAAAAAAATAATAATAATTTATACTAGAAATAATGGGTATTCTTCTGCAAGGCTCATTAGTAAAATTTTGTTGTCCAGATTTTGTAAGATCAATAGAAAATGGTGTATGAGTTAAAACATCAAAAGACTGAATGTCCTAAAAAACATGAAATTAATAGAGAAACTAAATTAAAAATTATACTTTGTTTTCTATAAGAGGTATTTCATCATTGTTGTCTTCTGTTATTTCAAGCTGAGAATATATACTATAAGATTCACTATCTACTGAAGTTTGATTTTGTTCTGTTGTATTAATTTTCATTGATTGTAATGGGATAGAAAAGTTGTTTTTGGGTATATGTGTATGCATATATATTAAAATATTTTATTTTTATTATTTTTTTTTTTGATAATTTCATTAGAATTTTATAATTTTATAAAGTTTGTAAAAATTTTAAAATGAGTTTTGTAGATGAGAGAAAAATTAATGCGGAATAATAGAAAATTCTGCATAGATATTATTAAAGAAAATGCTTAGTATTTTGAAATTTTTTTTATTGTTTTTTCTTTTTTAAAGGGATAGTAAAAATTTTAGATTATAAAATTAGAGAAATATTATTTAATAAATTTCCAAAATATAGAATTTAATTTATTTTGATCCCTATTTACTGTGTTTATGTTAATATCGTGTGTATAAAAATTAAATATAATGACTTTGTTTTTTGACTGTTAACAAAGATGACAAGACATTTGATATACATGTATATTCACGGTAAGACTTTCAATGTTTGTTAATGTTAGACATAAATGCTTGAATTTGTATTTAACATGTATACAGCATTTATGGTGTTAGATTCATTATATTAACGTATTTATCTTTAGTATTCTTGGTTTTTGTTTTTCTACTAAATAACTTCCCTTGTGCATTCCCAATAGTCGAAGAATGTTTTGATGCCATTTCAAGTAAATCATCAAGTGTATTTCCATCTAATACTATTGGCTTATTTGTTGATTTAACTGAAAGTTGATTTTTTGTCGAATCGATTTGAGATATAGAAATAGAAGATAATTTATTAGGCATTTCTTCATAGTATTGTGATTCTTTAATCACTGGTTCTTTAGAATGAGATGATTCTGTTTTTTTTGGTGGAGGTGGCAATATATTTTGTTCGAAAGTTGATAGGTTATCCTATATCTTTTATTATCAAAAATATTAAGATTTTTATTTACTTTTTTGTTGATCCATTTTTTAAGTTTTACATCGTAAACAAATGAATTATCTTCTCCTAATTTTGCTTTATATACTTTTTTTTCTTTAGATTGCTCTTTCTTTCCCCACCATTTACTAAACCAACTAGAATTTATATTTTTGTTTTCTGTAATTTTAAATATATTTTTATAAATTAATAGTTTTTGTACCTTCATCTTTTTTTGAAGATTGTGATTCAACTTTAAGGCTATCTAAATTTTGTGGTTTATGATTAGATCTGGAGGAATCTTGTGACTCAAATTTAGTATCAAAAAAGTCTTGAGATACGGATTTAGCATTATAAGATTGATTAGTCAACGTATCCATAGATTCTATGTAATCAGAATTATCACCTTTTTGCTGTTTTAATTCGTTATTTTCTTTAATAATGCTTTGTCTTTCTAGAATAACTTCTGAATCGTTTTCTAGTGTAATGGCTTTTTTATAATATTGATCGCTATCGGAGCTATTGTCTTGAGAAGTTCTATCAAATGCTTGTATTGATTGATGATAAGTCAAATTATTGTAATTTTTATTTTTTAGTATGATATCATGATCTTGAGAATTAGTTGTAAATAAATTAGGAGAAATTTTATAGTTATTTTGGTCTGTTTTTATTAGTTTTTCTTGATGATTTTGTTGATGAATATTTTCATCTTGCATAAGAAAAGGAGTGGCTATATATGTATTTAGTACTTTAAAATTTGCTTGTGAGTGAATTCTAGAAAGTGATGCTTTTTCAGCAAGACGTACAAAAGGTTTTGAATCATTATTTGAATTTTTTTGAGATTCAATAGAACCTGTTTCACCTGCAACAAATTTACTTAATTTATTTTCAATTGATCCCCAAAAACTGTCTAATTTAGGTTTTGTCATTTTTTTTCCAAACCATGATGATAATGAATCAAGAGATTCACATGTTAAAAATCGAGATGAAAATTCTTGAAATTGCTGAATAAAAAATGGATGAAAGAATGCTGAGCTTTTAGAATATTTTTTTATAATATCATTAATTGATTCGCAATATCTATACAAATTAATAAAGCTATAAAAAAATATTATATTAACTTTTGTGCTTCTGATATATATCCGAAATCTGTTAATACAGCTGTATAATAAAATTTGTATGCTTGTAGATGAACATATCCATAAAAAGGTGATTGAGATCTAAGAGCTGTACAAAGTTCTAAAATTTCGTTTAAAATTATATTATCTAAATCACAATAAAAGGATGAATTTTTCATATGGTCTTCTCCAATCAAAATAAGATCTGAATTAGGTATATCTGAGATAAAAAATGCATTATCTTTTCTTGCTAGTAAAAAACTATTTTTATATTAAAAATGAAATATTTAATATATATTCTATACCATATGTGTCCGGCAATTATGTTATTGTTCTTTATAAGTGATTTACCTAGGTTATATATAATAGTAAAATCTTTATCATTTGGGTTAGAAAGAATTATAGCTAATTTTTCTTTCCAATCATTTAAGTGATCTTGACAAGATTTATCTATTTTATTGATTTGAGTATTAATAATTTTATCAAAAAAAATAGAATTTTCTAATTAAGTTTTAACTATTTTTAATTTCAATATAATTGTAAGACTAACCTGTCTCTGAGTCACTTTCATATAATGTTTCGTAAAAGAATTTAAGACTTTGTAAATTTTTATTGTTAATATCAATTTCAGAATATATAAACTTTTTTACTACATATTTCCATGCTTCTCTATTCATAGAGCTAGATATTAAAAGAGCATGAGACCAGAGTTTTTTATCTAAACAAAATTGGAGAGCATTATCCTTAGCACCTTTTAAAAGATAGAGCTTGATTTGCTCTAAAGACTCTTGAGTAACGATATATGATGATATTTCCCGAACATTTTCATTTATATTAGAACTGTGATTTGCAAAGTCTGCTGTAATTGTAAATTCGTGTTCTTTTTTGTTGAGAAGTTGTAATTCTGGATACAATAAGTTTAATATTAAATGAATAGTTTCCCTAAATTTTTTTTAGACGGAAATATGAAAACTTAATGCTTACATTTGATTTGGAGAATTACTATTGTCTAGCAATACATATATTATTTTCCATAAAAGTATTTTTTCATTTAAAAAACTTTGTTCGTAATTTTCAATATGTTCTAACAATTGAATTTTTTCTTTCATCCACTTAATAGCTTCTTTTTTATAGGTCTTATTAGTACTTTTGGAAGTTGAAAACAATGGCCCTGGTGGCATTAGTTGTAATAATTCAGACTTTTCGACATATGATCTAATATTTGAAATTTTTAATGTTCCAAAGGTATTTGATGAATTAAAATGCATATACTCTGTATTGTTAGAAACATTTATTTTGTTTGGAAATATTGTTATAATTTTCCCGCCAAATCCCCATACTAATATAGGATGATTAGTATTTTTGAAGTCATTTTTATGATAAGCAGTTTCAGATTTTTCTTGAAAATTATATATTTTAGAGTTTTCATTTCCATTTGATAAAGAATTGTTAATATAAATATCAGACGCTAGGTGAGATGGTAATCCAAATGATGAATATTCATTTGATATCATTAATGTATCATACTGTTTTTCTGACTGTGAATATGAATTATTTGTATCTGAAGAAAAATCTAAAGTGGGTGATAGATTCTGTTTTATAGATGGAGAATATGGTTCGTATTTAGAAGTAAATGGATAACTTTGCTGATGTTCTAGAGATTTTTTATTATTTGGATCCCATATATCTTCATTGTTGGATATATTTCTTTTTGAATTATATGGTACTGAAGAATATTGAGAATATAAATTAGTTCTGTTTATTACTTTGGTTTCTGGATCAATAATATCATTTGATTTAAGTGTATTTTTTTGAATACGTGATTTTTCATATATGTCCTGTGTTTTTTTACTATTTAATGAAAAATAATTTAAATTTATTTCCTGTATATTGGTTTCTGGATTATTGATACTAGGTGGCATATTTGACAATAAAAAGTTACTTTCTGGGATATTGGGAATGTTTTGATTGTTTTCAGAATAAGTTTGATCAATTTCTTTAAGGTTTTGCTGATTGATTGTGAAAAAATGTGTGTTCGGATATTCTGTTCTTGTATTTGAATTTTGAATATGTGCTATGTGCAAAGTTTTATGAATATTTTGTGCTTGGATTTTTGAATTTCCGGATAACTCTAAGGGAAAGTCTTGAAACATTTTGTTTTTTTCTTCTGTTTTTTCTTCATAAGTTTTAAATGTTTGTTGTATAGAAGGCATATTAATATTAAGAATAGGCGTATTGATTGGTGTATGTTCTTGAAATTTTTTTTGATTAATAGTACTTTTTGAAGCTGTATCATTATGAAACATTATAGGATTATCAGAAATATTTTTATTTATTGATATATTTTGCATAAGATTATAAAGTCTAGCATTTGGCTCCTATATCTGTAAGTCTAAATTTATCAGATATACTTTATAAGTATTTACATTGATATTTGTTTCCGGATGATTTAAAGAGTAATTATGCTTTTGTATTTCACTATATTTGTTAGAAATTGGATTTATTGGATGTTTAAATTTATGTATAATTTGCATAGGAAGGTCATAGGGAGATAAATATCCTCCTTTAGCCGAGATATAGGATTTTAGAGCTGTTTCATTTTGCTCTAGATTTGCTGTTGAAAAATAACTTTCGGTTGGTATCTGAGATGATAAAAATTGACTAGGTGCATCTTTTAATTTATTTATATCTAGAATATTTGTTTGAAGGCCTATATTATATGAACATGTCTAAGTATTGTTAGTATATATATGAAATTGATGGTTATGTGAAACATTATTAGGTTTCTCAAATGAGGTTTCATTTGATTTAGGATTATCTAAATAAAATGATGATGCGTTTGAGATTTGATTAAAACAATCTTCTGTATTATTTTTTAATAAAGAATTTATTTCCTTATTTGATATCGCTGTTTTTAGACCTGATCCATTTTTAATGTTATTTATGTATGAATTGGTATGATTTTTAATATGTGGAATTTCATCTGGTAAAAAATCTGTATCTTCACCAATTGTTTTCCAAATATCATTATAATTAGTTTGATTAGAAATGATATCATTTTCAATGATATTTCTGTGACTCTTCGAATTTTTATCTGGTATGATTGTATCAGAAATATCTTTGAAAAAAGAAGACTCATCGCTATCTGTAGTTTGAAAAAGAGTAGAAGCGTGATCAAATTTTGTATGTAAATCTAATATAATATTGTTTTCTTTTTTGTTCACGGGCATATCTTTTTCTGTATGATTATTTTTAGAGTTAGATAGCTATTCATTAGATTTTTTGTTTTTTTTTTTTAAAGATAATTTACCTCTTCTATAAAAACTGTTTTTGATGATACATAATCCTCTTCAAATATATTTTTAGACAAATTTTCTTCGTTTTTGTTAAAATTTTCAATTGTACTTTTTTTTGAGAAATTTTGGTTTAGATTTATAGAGTTTGATTCTAAGTTAATTATTGACTGACGACTAGGCTCATATGTTTCTGAAACTGATATAGCACTTTCAGGGGTTCCTTGTTTTTCAGCTAAATTCATAGAAATATTCTCATAAATATTTGAGTTGATTTTGTTTATGTTGTTAGAAATAAAATCGTCTGATGCTTGCATTTCTAAATGATTTTGTGTTTCTTTGTTATGTTCATTTGAAAAAAAAATCGGTTTTCTATGAAAGTTATTATTATTATTTATATTTTTGATATAATTGATATCAAATGGGTTTAATTTTTCGAAGTGCTCATTTTCAGTTACTTGTTGATGTGGCATAAACTGTGGTAAGATTTTAGATTTTTCATGAATTTTTTTTTTGCTAGATTGTAAAGATATATTGTCTTTATTAAACTCTTTAGTTGATATATCTGTAACTTCTGAATATTCGCTATTCCATTGTATAAATTTGGTGTCTATCTATTTCTTTTATTATTATAATTAATAATTATTAAATGAAACAACCTTTTGTTTTGTATCAGAATACTGAGACGTATATGGATCTATCTGTTCTAGTTTATTTTTTTCGTCTTTAATATCTTTTTCCATATTATTATTTTTGTTGTTTTTTTATAACTTTGGAGTTTTTAATTTTTTAAAAAAACTTTTATGAAAATATTTATAACTTTGATTTATATAATATAATTAGAATATTTTTGTATGATTCCTTTTGTTTAAAATTTTTGATTAAAATAAATCAAATATGAAAATATTGGGAATTTTTATGTATTTATTAGTTTTTATAAGAAATAAAAAATATATGATAATTTCAGTACTTGTTTTGGAAATTGAGATTTGTATACTTGTTTATATAGTTTTTTGATTTTGAACGTTTTTTTTTAACAAAAATGATATTTAGAAATATTAAAGTTTAAAATTGAAATTAAATACATTTAATTGTAAATTATATAATTCTTGTATTTTATAATATAAAAAATGTATTTAATATATTATTATATATTATGATAGAGTCTATAATTAATATTTTCAAGAGAAATTTAAGTTCTGATATTGATTAAGAATTAGACTATTGTAATATTTAACTTTTTGGATAGATATGAATATCAGTTTTGTTCTATATTTTAAAAATGCTTTTTTGGCTTTTTAAAATAGTTATTATATTTTATTGTAGTTTTTTTTAATTATATTTTTAAATATTTTGATTTATCTGATTATATTTAATAGAATTTTATGAAAAATGTATTATTTTTATATAAATATCAGATATTTTAACTGGGATTGCTATGTAATATGTGAAAATATGATTTTTATAGGAAACTTGAATAATAATATATATTATGAATGAATTTTTTAATATCAAAATAATTTTAAAATATTATAAAAAATATGAATTTCATTATTTTTTATCTGGAAAATATTATATAACAAATTAATTATTTTAATAAAATTTCCACCAATGTTAATTATATGTAATTTATTGCAAATTGATTTCATAATTGAGGATTTTGAAATTATTTTTCTGAATGCAATAAATAAAAAATAATTTAATTTTTCAATATATATATAATGTAAAACATGAATTCTTATATGTTATTCTTTATGTTATAAACTATATAGTTTACTTATGTTGAAAAAAATATTCATATTTAATTTTTTAGATTACCATTTACGTTTAATCTGTAATATATTAGTATTAAATAAAATTATTCTGATTAAACTATTTTTTCTAAGCAGTTTTTGAATTTTTGGAATTCTGATACACATATATCTTTTTCTATATTATTTACATTTTTTATAATACATTTTCCATACATAATACCCTATAAATATTTAGATTTTTAGATTACATGACTTTGTTTACCAGAAAATTGCAAAATTTAGATGTTCTCATGAAATCTTGAATTCTTTGATTATTTTTTTTCATGAAAATTTTGATATAAAACTTTATAATACTTTTTGCATGAGATTAATTCAAAATGCGGTAAAAAAATAACGTTAAATTAAATGCATTAAAATTTGAAGAAATATATTTGAAAAATTTGCAACATAAAATTTACTAGTAATAACAATTCTAAAGTTACGACAAAATATATTATACATGTTAACGTTTTGTGCATTATAATATTAGGACAAGATGTATTTTTTGTTTTATGATTTTAAATAATTTGATAAATATTCTCTGTGTAATAATAAAGAAAACGTTATACACCATATAAATCAAACGCTTTCATTCTAACTTCAAATAAGGTACCCATATCTTGACCACGACGCTGTACTCGAATACTTTTCCATGCATTACCATTAGGTCTTTCTGAATGTGCTGTACGTCCGTCTATATCGAGAATCTGCGTTTCTAGCATTGTTGGTGTAGTAATATTACTAATAGAAATTCCTGGATCTCCTTCCATAAAATATATATTGGTAGAACTTGGACATAAAAATGTTAATGAATGAGTAGATTCATCAATACCCGTTAGCTGTAAAAACATTATACAAAAATATAAAAATTTGAGATTTAGATACTACCTGTAAATCTTTTCTAATTTCGATCTTGTCTCGACCTTTTCCTCTTTGTTTAAAACCAAGAGTTCTACTATATTTCCACATGTCGCCTAACTCAAATAGACCCATTTCTGCCATTTGCGGTAGTTTCAATGTTGTTGCTTCTCCAGCTCTTAATTCTGCTGAAACCTTTTGTTGTCTTTGGTTAGAATGCTGTTCATATTGACTATCCTAATTATAGGTTATTTGTTATAAATAATGTTATTAAACAATACTCTATAACCATCTACTTTATTATCTGAACGATATTTTCGAAATTCAAATGCATTTTTTCCTATACGTTCATCATAACGTCCATTGAAATTGTTCTATTAGATATTAACTAGGTTAAAATAGGAAAGAAAAAAAGAAAAACCTGAAATTCTCTAATAAAATCTTGAAGAAAAAGATTGTTTTCAAAAAAACCATTAGTCATTGCATGTTCTATTTCTTCTTCTGTTTTCATTATTTTGTCAATAGTTGGTAATATTGAAAGATATTCGGTTTGTTTTGGTTTGTCTAATATGTTTAAATTTTCTGATAAAATAATAGTTTATGTATTTTCTACTTACAATTTGTATCATATGAGTCAAAAATATCTAAATTTGCTGGTATTGTTTTGTTTTTAGGATATTCTAATAGTTGTTCTGTATCCCATAGATCTATTTTTCTACGTTTTAGAGTATCAGTAGATGACCTAATTATTTCTACTGTAGAGTCATTTTCTGTTTCATTCGTGATATTTAATTTTCTTTTTTGCTCGATTACGTTGTTTTTAGTTTTCTCTACTTCTTTATCTTTTTGTAAATCTGTACTATTATTGACTGTTTTAGTGCTAATATTTATATGACTTGGTTCTTTGAGCTTTTCTAATGAATTATTCTCCAATTTTATCATATTTTCGTTTTTAGCTGATGATTTTTGAATTATATTATGTTTTATTTAGGTGTAAATAAAATTTTCTTTTTATAAAATTTTTATTATAATCAAGTTATAATATACTAGTTATTTTTTTTGTACCAAGATGCTAAAATTTTTTATGAATAACTCGTTTACTTTCTTTTTTTTTGTATTTAATTTATATCCGTTACGTTTTTTTTGTAATTTTTATCGCATCCAAAATTTAATGATTGAAAAACTTCAATGCAAAAAGTTATTAAAAATAATAAAATATAAGTAAATAAATAGCTCAAATAGTAGGATTTTATTCTGTGAATTATATGGTGAAATCTACAATAATTGCAAGAATTGCTGATGGACTACCATTATGTGCATCCGTTGATGATAAACATTCCGAAATAGAGTTACAACAACAAAAGCAGCAAAGTAAAATTATATTTCGAAAATTAACTGTGAATTCTGAAATAAGAGCATCAATTGAGTCAGGGCAATATTTTTTGCAGTAAGATATTAACTTGGGATATTCATTTTTTTTAATTAAATAGTTATTTTATTGATAATAACATTTGTTATCTTTGCATATGTGATAAGTCGTATCCAAGGAAGCTTGCTTTTTCTTATTTAGATGAAATATCAAAAGAATTTTGGAAGACTTATGGTAATGACGTTATGAAATTATCTTTACGGCCCTATGCTTTTGTACAATTTGGTTTATATTAATATTTATAGTAGTAATAGTTTTTTGACATTAAAGTAGATATATCAATACAAAGAATTATGCGTTTATATCTTGCACCACGTGCTTCCTCTAATCTTGATAAACTTAATAATGAGCTTCAAGATGTGACACGTGCTATGACAAAAAATATTGAGGATTTAATATATAGAGGTACATTTCTAAATTTATAGCCATGTAGTAAATATAGTTTCTTCTTAGGGCATAGTTTAGATAGAATGTCGAATTTATCTTCTGATCTCCGTTCTGAGTCGATCAAATATAAAAAAGCTGCTAAGCGTATAAATTTTGATGCACTTATACGTCAGTATGGGGTTATATGCATCATTGTTTTTGTTGTTATATTAGTTATTTGGTGGAAATTATTTTGATGATTAATAAATATAAAAAATGCATGTAGTGTTTTATTACTTTAAATATTATATTATATTTATAATAGTAAATCACTATCCGGATCTTCTTCGTCTATGTCATCTTCCGGGTCTGGACTATAATATATTGAACTTTTTTGATTAATAGCTATTAGAAATAAGTGTTATGTTATGTAAATACTTTCTAATATACTTTGTGATTTAAAATATGGAAGTATTAATTTTTCTTTTTGTTTTTTTTGTTTATCTGTGAGTGTTAATGTGAAATTAGCATTTAAATTTTCATTTATTTCATCTCTAATAATGTAGTTTGTTTTTTTGAATTCTTCGACATCTGTAATAGATAGTAAAGTGCCTGATCTTATAATTAAAACTGATTTTTCATGTATACCTCTCCCACTTTTACGGCGATGCTCAATACTAATAACTATCTTTGACTCATCGTTTGAGTCTAAAGGAACAATTGTGCCTTCAATAAAAGAGTCATCTTCAATTGGTGTTGTTAATGCTTTATCTTTTGCATTTCTAGTAGCTAATTCATGAGATAATGAATGAACTGAAATAATTGTTGTTGAAATATATGATAATAATTCTAGTGGTGATGGAATATATGTAGGGTATGATTTTGGAAGATTTATTGATGAGTGATATATTTGAATTAGAGTTTTTGAAACTATATATGTATTAAAAATGCTGAGAAATTCTGAAAAGTAGTACTATGCAGTGAGAGAATTGATGTTATTATTTCTGAAATATTTAGTGATATATTATATACATTAATAGAATCTATAAGTATGACAAATTTTTGACATGATTCTAATAGAATTTAGATGTTGGTGAATTAATATAATAATTTACCGTATTTTGAACATATTTCTTGAATATTGTCTATTATTGTTATAATGTCTTTTTTTTTAATTTTTTTATTTTCTATATAAAATAATGATATGCTATGGTCACTAATTGTTTGATCTACGATGCTAATTTCTGTTTTTATGTGTATTGATATAATATTTCTGAATTTTTTAGTAAATATATAATTTTTTTTACTTACTTGTATTTTGCTTTTTTTAAAAATTGAAAAATAAGTGGCCATGATGATTGTAAAATTGTATCGGAAATAGTTATAAGAGGTGAAAATTCTTTAAACGCTAATAAACGTTCAATAATTAATGATGTTTTTTTCTCTATCATTTTTAAAAATAATTTTTTAATTGCCTAAATTTCGTATATTTTATAGATATCTTATATAATTTGCAATTATATAATAATATATATTAAATAATCTAAATTAGTGTAATTGTGTTTCTATTTTTTTTATTATTAAGAACGTACACTTTGAATTATTATATATTATATTATAATTTTTATTTATAAATATATTTTAAATATATTGTACTATTCTATCATACATTGTTAATTGAAATGTATTAGTAAAAATATTTAAAATATTATGTTATATCTAAAAAGTAATATTCAAGAATAATTATTGAATCGATTAAACAATTTTTATAGTATCAATGAAATATGATTAAGTTAATAATTACCTTTTTATATGTATAATAATAAAAAATATTATGGTTTTAATAATATTTAATATTAAAATATATTAAAAATTTCAGACGAAAAATAGTTAAATTATTTTAAAATAATTATATATGGAAACAATTATAGATTGTATATTTTTTATATTAAGTTTATATTGTTTATATCATAATTAAATAAGTATATATATACATGACACATTTAGATTTATATAAATTTATATATATAATACACAAAAATAATATAGTTTATATATAGTTTATATTAAAATCATATTTTAACAATAGTTTGATATAAATTTACAAATAACACTTATTTAATAATGGTCTTTATATTAATTTTATATTATGCATATTTATCTACGTTATTATAAATTTAGTTTAAATAATAATAGATAATTAAAAAAATATACATTTTTTAAAATTAATTAGAATAATATTAATACAAATTATTATATACATAAAAATTATTATAATTAATTATTCACATGAAATAAAATATTTAATATAATTTAACAGTTAATGTTAGATAATATATATTTTATGTTCTATAGATATAAAATTTATGCTTAAATATTACGTATATATTTATTAAAAGAATAAATATAATTTTATAATTAAATGTAAATTAATATCACAGTTTTTAAATATATTATTTAATACATTTTCACATTATTTCATTTCATTATTTTATAATATTTATAATATTGCTTTTATCGATTTTATATTATGTACATTTTTATAATTTTATAAAGTAAAAAAAAATCGCTATCGATAAGTACTGTTTCATTTTAGTTTCATTTTAATATAAGATTATTTCAATTTTTAATTATTATATAACTATTTTATTCAAATAACTAACTTTAAACAAACTAATGCAAAAAACACCATTTTCATCAAATTATAAAGTTAATGCATTTTGCCAGGTATTATATTATATTTATATATTTCTATATAAAACTCATAAAATAGAAATGCCTTAAACATGGACATTGGACTTATGAATGCAAAAATTCTATTATCTATAAATCTCGTCCAACTAGAACACAAGAACTTAAAAATGCTATGTTACAAAAAAATTTAAAAAAATAAATTAAATCTAATTAAACTCTATAAAATTATATACTCTTAATATATTAATCAAAATAAAAAAATACTAACACATCTATTTCAACTATTCTAATACAATTTATATCATTAAACATTTTTTTTAAAATAAAAAATGAAATAATCTATGATATTTGCATAACTATTATTTGTATAATTACCTATATAACTAGATCTATTAATTAAAAAACTAAGATATATAATAAATATATGTTTTTAAATATTATAAAATCAATTAAAACACTACTAACATAAAAATAACATAAAAATGACATTAATTATATTCTAAAATCGATTATATTTTGTTTTATACTAAAATATTTAACAATATAAAAAATTCTAATATTTATTTACAATCATGTTCAGTTACGTTACTTTTCATTAAAAGTCGCTCACGAATCAACTTAGAAATTGCAATTTCAGTTCTTCCCTTTAGATTATCTATTTTCATTTGCATCAATCTTTTTAAATCACTGTTCACTTCTTTAGGCGTTAGTCCAGAAATATCGAGTTCATTATAACCAAATTCAATATTTTTTAAATCATAATCAACATTTTCTTCTAATTTTTGAGCTTCATGTTCAACTGTTTCATTTCTTTCTAGAATAGAATTCTCAAAACCTATACGAGGTCTACGTAGTTCAGGATCATAATTACGAAACGAAAGAGGTAATCTATTTAATAGAATCATCAATTCTATTAATCTAAATTATTAAGTAAATTACTTAGACAAACATGATTTTCTATCATCAAAATCAGGATACTCATTATTATTCGATACGTCTTTTACACCATTAGTCTTTAAATCAGATGATATCTTTATTTTTTTTAATTCATTTAATCGTTCTTTTCTTTTAATAGAAATTTCATCTAAAGACATTTTTTTACGATTAAAAAAAATAAAAATTATATAAAATATAATATCATTAATAATTGAATAATTCAAATAGTAACAAAAAAATACATTTTGCATCCAATCAAACACTATACATGTGAGTATTTAAATATAATTATTTACATGAAAACATTGATTATTGTAATTACGTTATATTTCATTAACTTATCTACAAAAAAAAAAAACATAAACTAAATTATGGCAGATACATATACTTTTCAGTAACCATTATACAAATAATCCAATTTATTAGATAAAACATGACGGTAAATACTATGTATTTCATTTAATAATTATTCTTATAATAAGTAATGTATACTTAAAATATCACCATTAAAACAAAATACGTATAATATATATTTATGTTATATTGCAACTATCTGTTAAAATTTACAGAATCTTAATAACACAATTTTTCTAATAAAAATCAGTCTTTTATATCCGAAACACATAAACAATAATTTAATAGAATCATAAATGAAATTATAATATGAATATTCATAAAATAATTTACATTTAACAAGAAATCAGAATATATAATAGCAATTCTAAAAATATTTTTTAATTAGTAAAATAAAAAATAACAAAACAGAAAAACAGTTATGCAAAGATAAATGTTACAAAATTTTTATTTTTTTAAAAAAAAAATATATTTAAAATTAAACATATAAAATTTATTATAATTTTATTAATAAGAAGTGTTTCAGATTCTAGAATAGAGGCCCGGCTAGCTCAATCGGCAGAGCGTGAGACTCTTATCGTTGAAATCTCAAGGCTGTGGGTTCGACCCCCACGTTGGGCGTTTTCAAGAATTATGTTTATTTAAAATTCTAAAATTTAGAATCAAAAATTGTTTAATCTCTTATTAAATAATTATTTATGGTGATCTTGTTAATTTTACTTTTAAAAAGTAATTACATCTTTAGAGTAATCAATTATCTTGAAAAAAATAAAGTATAAAGCATCATTTATTAATGAATACCGAGTTTTTCATATGTCCAGAGTCAGATTTTAAGAAATAAATATATTTGCAACAACTAAATTCTATATAAACATATACACTATTTAATATGGACATAAATTTTACTAAAACTGAATTAACCTATAATCAAATTTAAATTATAACATTTTAAATTCTATTCATAAAAACAAAACATATGAAAAAAATACCAATATTTTTATTTATTTGAACAAATTTAATACATTAATTTAAACATTAACAACATCAATAATATATTCATAACTATAAAATCAACCAAAATAATAACATTAAAACTTTTTTAAACACCATATACAAAACACCATATACAATAAAAACATTATAAAGAATTATTTAAACGAATAAAAAAAAACAAAACCAATGAAAAATAAACTCAAAAACACAATATTAATACAAGTAACGATAATAACAAGACTTTTACTACAAATATTATAGAAAAAATCTATAATTCAATATTAGATACCTTGAGACTCAACCATACATTAATTGTTTGAAAACGCAACCTTTTTACCATTTTTCCTAAAAAAAGATTCGTAGATAACATCATTTTCAGAGGAATATAAATTATTATTTAACTCGTAATACATATTATGCTTTTGAGTTGCCTTTTTGCGACGTAACTTTGTAACATCAATAGAATCAGTAACACGAAAAGCAGGAAAGCATGACCTTTTAGTTGTAAATATCATAAATGTAGGTCCATGACGAAACATATTAATACGACGCCAAAAAGATGTTGTACTGCCATGTTTACATTTTTTTTTCTTCTTTAAAGATATAACCCTATCAAAAAAATTAGTTATTGATGAAAACCGAGCTCTAGATCTGAAATGATATGATTCACTCATTATCATTGCCTACTATGCTTTAACAGTATAAAAATCTTTATCATACAGCACAATAATTATAAATCTCACTGTTATGTAATTATTTAAAATTTAAAAAAAAAAAAAAAATAGAACTTTTATCATCTTTTTAAGCAAACTTTTTTAATATTATTTTTTAAATCAAAAAATCAAGCTTAAATATCGAAATCAAAATAAGATACATTTAAATAACTAAATATATAAATTACTAATTATTAAAATACACTTTATTGTCTAAAAACTAAACATTAAAGAACAATAAGATTATTTCTAATCTAAAATCATATCTAAATCTTAAATTATACCATCGAATACTATTTTTTTTACATTATATCCCAATTTTAAATTAATAAATACACTAATTTTTTTTAATACTATTTCAATTAAAAACGAATTTTAAAACCAAAACTTCTATAAATATATAAATAAAATTTAATTTTATAAGATATAAGAAATACATATTAATACATATCAACTAATTTAAAAATATATACTTTTATATATTTATATTCACAATCAAACACTTCCCAATTTATATCAAAATACTAATATATTTTATTTTTCATATATAAAATTAATTATAATTCTTATAATTCATTAAACCTACTATTTCTATATTAAAACATAAAAATATTATAAAAACAAATTTCAAACGTTATACGTTGTTTTTTTTACATAACAAATATATTTTATATTTTTTAATAACAAAAACAATACAAATATAATCATATTATAATAACTTTATAGATTTTAGGTAATTTTGTTTTTTTTATAAAAAAAAATAGTCTAAAAATATCAATAATTATTTTTTCAATATTACTATTTATTTAATTATTTCAACTCAAAAACAATATTCAATGACAATAACCCTATAAACAAATAATAATTTCTTTCAATATATAAAAAAATTAGATAACAAAATCAATTTTTTACAATAAACTTATCTATATATTTTTTAAAAAAATAATAGTGTTACAACTATATATCATTTTTATTTATTTTAAAAATAATACAATCAAAATTATAAATAACTGGTTTATTTTTTTTTGTTAAATATAAACCTCTCAATAATAAAACCAAACCCAATTTTACTGACAAAATTAGAACTTATGTTGTCATAGCAATACCTGTTTATTAACATCATCGAATTTTAAAATAAATTGTTCTTAAAAAAGACTAAATAGAAAATTTCCTTAATAAAAGATCTAAAATTTTTAAAAATGATTTTTTAAAATCTATGGATTTTAGTTTTTTACATAACTCTAATTATATTCCGACATGTCTTAAAGATTATTGCTTATTACAACAACTTGGACGTGGTGCTTTTGGGGATGTTTTCAGAGCAGTTCCATTAAAGGGAGAACTAAAAAATACAAATTTAGCTTTAAAAATAGTAATTCCATAGAAACAATTTTCAATATAAACTTTTAAAAATTAATCTATTATAGATAAACAAAACAAAACTAACATCACAAACTCGGCGTCAGCGAATTATAAATGAAATTTCTATACATTCTTCATTAAAAAGACATAAAAATATTTTAAATTTTTATGCTTCTTTTGAAGATCACCAAAATGTATATATTGTTACACAACTTTGCTCTCAAGGGTCTCTTTATTCATTTATACAGACACAATCGTCTCTTCCATTACAAGAAGATATTGTCAAAGGAATAATGAAGGAAATAGTATCAGGCTTAGTATTTTTACATTCTCATAAAATTGTTCATCGTGACCTAAAATTATCAAATATTCTTCTTGATGAAAATAATGTAGCAAAAATAGCAGATTTTGGTCTTTCTATAGTTCTTCAAAACTTTTCAGACGAAGAAACGATGACATTATGTGGAACTCCAAATTATATTTCACCGTAAAACTATAATTTTTACTTAAATCATAATAATTATTTTGTAGAGAAATTATCGCACATAAGCCCAGTGGATTAGCTTCTGATATTTGGTCTCTTGGATGTATTTTTTTTTGTCTTCTTGATAAATCACCTCCATTTCAGGTATAAAAATTCAACTATATTCAAAATTAACATCTTTAGTTAGAAAATACTTCAAAGACATTAGTTCAAGTCATAAACGAGAACTTAAGACAATTACCTCCTTGTGTAAGTTACGAAGCTAGGAACTTAATAGATAAAATGCTTCAAAAGGTCTAATTTATACAGTATTTTTTTTTTAATTGACAACTTCAGAATCCATCAGATCGCATCAAAACACATCAAATTTTAAAACATCCATTTTTTACATCGTCAGATCCAAAAAAAAAATGCGATTTAAATCAAAATTACGAATCAACAGGAAATTATACATTTTCATCAAACTTTGAAAAATTAAGAACTACTAAGGATATATCAAAATACATTAAACATGTATCTGATTTAACTATATCCGAAGCTAATAAAGATTTCAAAGAGATTAAAAAAAAAAATGCAAAAATGTCACTAACAGAAAGATTATCAGATATTATGGATACTCCAATAATTACAACTCCTGAAAAGAAAATTCTTCAAAGAATTGAAAATATTCTAAATGAAAATAAAAATATTATTTATGATAAAAAAAAAAAAATATATTCTCCTATAAAAAATTATTTATCAAAATATAGCTTATCATCGAATTTCAACAATTTTAACAATAATAATATAGGTTATAAAGAGAAACCTTCTACAACCTACTATACACAAAATAATATGAATATCTACAAAAATGATGAAAAATTTAATAGTGTGTTGAATACAATAAACAATAATTCAAACAATATATTAAAAGATTGGAATATCAATAAAGAAAAAAATGAAAAAAAATGTATATTTCATACCAATTTTTATAAAGAATATATTAACCCAAAAAATGAATATTTTAAAACTCAATCGATTTCATATACCACTGATTCTCAAAAGCTTACAAACTATTATGCTAAAGATAATGGCAAATCTCAATCAAAAGCACATTTTTTATCAAATACTAATCATAAAAAAATCCCTATAAAACTCAATTCAAATGATTTTAAAAACATTTTTTCAGAAAAAGAAACCACAATGGAACATAATTTGTATAAAATAAATCAAAATTTCAACATAATTCATAAAAATCATTTCGTTGAACCTATATCAGATTTCGCAAAAAAATATCACTTTAATACAATAGGATTAAATGTAATTAAGCAAAAAACAAAACACGCAGACCTAGAAATTACTAAAAAAGGTTATTTACGTCTCTTTTTTCACAATATGGACTGGCAATGCTTAATAAACTCAGACGGTATTAAGGTATTATATGATTTTATCATTTTATTTATTTTTAAAAAAATTAAGATAAAAATAATTCATAACAACAAACTACCACAAATATATGAACTTGATGATTTACCTGCAAAATATCTCAAAGCGTATCAATATGCTTCCAAATTTATTTCTATTTTAAAATCAAAAATGCCAAAAATTATTCTTGATACTCCATATACAAAATGTCGTCTATACCTTAATTCAGTATTTGAAATTCGTTACATTAATAATCAGTCAATGGTTGTCCAACTTGATTCTAAAAAACAAATAATTAAAATAGTTACCCAAAATAATCAAACAAATGAAGATATATTGTTATATGAAGGAAATATCGAATCAGCATGTAAAAAATTCCCAAAAATAATCTCAGACGTAATAAATCGTTATAAAAAGTGTCTAAGTTTAGAAAAAAATACAGAAGATGATATTATTGGTACTTATGCTAAATTTATATCTGGAAAAGGGTGGTGGCAAATTAATAAGGAAATAGGAATAATGATGTTTTTAGATGGATCGCAATTACAAATATATTTTAAGCCTGATAACAGCTTAGGCACACAATCAATCTCTTATATTAAATTTATCAATAATAATACTCATGAAATTTATGAACTTAATAGTAATAAAACAATTCCTGAAATTGTGAAAAAAAAATTACTTATCTTAAAAAACTATGGATTATTATAAACCTTTAACTAAAATAACAAAATTTATGATTTTATATTATAAATTTAGTTTTCTAACATTTAATGTATTCTATAAAAATTGTAAAATATTACATTAAATTATAAAAACAAAGCAAATATAACAACCTGTTAAAAATCAATTCATTTTGATTTCATTTTTTTAGATTTTGGCCCGTCCTCCTCACCCGAATCTTTACTCGACTCAACATTTTCATCATATTCTTCAGCAACATCACTATCACTCTCCGCTTCAAAATCATCATCTGGACTTTCACCATCATCACTTATTGGTATACTATGATCGTCATCTGACAATTCATCATCCAAAGCAGTAAGTATAGCTTGAGACTAAAATAATATTAATCTTTTTTTTTTTTTTTTTTTTAAATGATAAATTTACATCATCATTAAGATCATTTTTTATTTTAATATTCTTTGACTTTATAAAATCTTCAAGAAGTTTTTGCTCTTCTCTAAATAAATTAAGTTAAAATCATTTTTTTTTAAAAAAATACCTATTTATATTAGAAAATTGATAATAAACACCCCCTTTAAGCGAAAAAGTAAGGTCAAAAGTACGAGATGCAGATAGAGAAGTGTTAATACTATAAATATATATCAATATTTACAAATATTAAAGACTATATACCGAGAAAGTGTAACGTGAGAAATCTCAGACATAGGAATCCATATTGAGGGCTTAGGAATAAACAAAAAACTCCTATCAAGACAAAAAAGATTCCCTTCGCTTGCTTTCATAGAACATTTAACAGCTGCATGGTCACGATAACTAATTTTATATTAATTATATACTTTAAATCAAAATATTACCTTCTAAAAGTAGAAGGAGTTATAATTTTTCTACTAGTTAATCCATAAAATATCTGACTTACAACTTCATATGCAAGCTGATCATATTTCTTCTTTAATTTTTCAGAATATTTTTCCTGAAATTCAGAACTAAAAGCGATAAATTACCAACTTCAAATCAGCTTTGATATTTACTCTTCAAGATTTAATTCTACTTCCATTTCTTCTTCACGCATAAATTGAATAACCAAAAATGGATATTCAGTTTGACCTTGGCGAAGAGGTGGATCTAATCCCATAACAAAAACTACATGCATGTCATCGGGTTTTGGAAGAAGAAATAATTTAACAAATGAAGAATAGTATATTTTATAGTCATAAGTCTTACCACGTAGTCGAAGAAATAACGAATACATATCAACATCATATCTACCACTAAGTAGATAAGCAAATCTTTAAAAAATAAAATATTTTACCGAGGTGTAAGAAATAAAACATCAGAAAAAGAAACAATACTTTCCCCAGAAACTTGGCCTATGTCGGCCTTATCCTTTAGAGTCTCATAAAATACCTAAAATTAATCAAATTTTAAACAAAAATTATATATTATTACAGATGCACTATTAACACTTTCACTATTTTCTTCACTTCCTGTAGTTGTCATACCAGGGATATAAAATCTCATTTCAACAAGCTGATCTTGTATTGTTGCATCTTTTACTACTTGATTTTCTAATTTTCCCATATCACTCTCATTTCCAAACAACGAAAATTCAAGACTAACTTCATTCTTTCCGGAAAGATTAGTATTAGATATACTTGATAAAGGTATTTCGAATGCAGGTTTGTTTGATACATTAAACAAAAGTTCAGAGCCAGAAAACTCTGTTTTTCCCCAATTCCATCCTTTTAAAGAATGTTCTCGTTGCTCCAAAATAACATCAAAATACTTTTTAATAGTTTTACGCAAAGTATCAAGATCATCATCTTCAAATCCATCCAATTGGACAAACCCACCATTACGGAGAGTTAACTTTAATTCAAAACCTCGTGCTGCTCGAGACCATTGAGCTTTACGTATATCACTTGCAGATACTATATATGGCTCCTCTGAATTTGATTCTTTCCATCCAAGTCCACTAGACGCTAATCTAAGTCGTCCAGCAATCTCACCCTGATTCAAATGAATATCATCGTACTGAATAACCTCAGACATTTTAATAAATTTTACTAAAAAAAATTATTGAAATTAAAAATATTAAATATTAAATTCTAAAAATAATATATCTTAATTATTGATTTAAAATTTTAAGTAACTTAATTTACCAAAGCACTAAAAAAACCGTCAAAAACGTAGTATTATGATACTAGTTTAAAAACAATAAAATTATTAATACTATAAAATATAATTTTAAACGTAAAAATATACATTTTAAATCATTATGTAAAACAAATTTTAATTATATCAAATATTACTATTTTTAAATACACTAAATAAAATATTTATATACTCTTAAGAAAATAGCTCAAAACATTTTTTTAATTAAAAATCATCAATCTATTTTTTAAAATAATTCATACATATTCAAATAATTACTATACTCATATTTAATAATTTAAAAGAAAAATTAAACTAAATATTCAACAAAATATTTAACTTAGTATAACTAAATTAACTTCGAATATATAACATTACCATAAATAGGATTTCTAAATGTTTATATAAAAAACCATTGAATATAATAAATATATTATAAATTTTAAATTACTAATCGGAATTTCTAAATTTTAAATATTAAAATAATTAATCTAAATATAATTAAAATATACAATTAATTCAAATAAATAACACATTTTTAATTGAAGTTTTAATATAAAATAACCTAAACTTTTAAACATAAAACAACAAAAAAATAAAACAATGATATTATTTTGCTTATTTTTAATTTTCAATTATTAAATCATAATCAAATATATATATTTTATATAATGATATATTACCTAAAAATACTAAAAATAAATTCAAACTAAGCTAAATAAATTACAAAATAATAAAATATTTTTTCAAATTATATTTGAAACTAAACGATAATATTATATAATTTATACTATCGAATTAAAAATTTGAATATAATTTATCTTTAAACTTTAGGATATATTTTAAAATTACTTTAACTTAAACAAATTATTTCAGAAGATTATTTTATTATTCTAATGGCTACTCTTTATTCATTTCAAACAAGAGACAAATTAAAAATTGCACTTTATCAATATATAAAAAAAACATATGATGAAAGTATCATGAAACATAACAAATTTTATATAGCTATTAGTGGTGGATCATTACCGAAAATTCTGGGTGAAAATATTACAAATCTAATTGATATTAATTGGGAAAAATGGTACATATATATAGTGTTTTAATTAAAATACTATTATCTATTAGGGAAATATTTTTTGCAGACGAACGAGTTGTGCCATTGTCCCATCAAGATTCAAATTACAAGCTTTGCTATGACGAAATTTTTGTCAAATTGCCTATTCCAAAAGAAAATATTCATTGTATTGATACATCTTTATTAAGTAATCCACAGAAACTATCTGAAGCATATGAGTCAACACTAATAAAAAATTTTCATATTAAAAATACAAATAAATTACCAGAATTTGACCTTTTATTATTAGGTTGCGGTCAAGATGGACATACTTGTTCATTGTTTCCTAATCATAAAAGTTTACAAGAAAACACTCCTTGGGTACTTCCTATTATCGATTCACCAAAACTTCCTTCTACACGGATTACTCTTTCTCTTCCTGTCATAACCAACGCACGAAAAATTGCATTTGTTGTTTTAGGAACAGAAAAACAAGAAATTATGAAAGAAATCTGGAATAATACTAAAGAGTTACCATGTTCATTAATTAATATGAAAGCAGGCCCAAAAGTATCATGGTTTTCTGATGTTATTACTACAAAATTAGTAGATAAAAAGCTAATAAAGCAATTTAAATTATAAATTAAATTCTACAAATTACAACAATCCTATATCTAATTTTAATATTTCATAGTACAAAATTTATATAAATCCCAAAATGCTAAAGATAAAAAATTACTTACATGTCTACTATTTATAAAGAATTATTATATTTCTATTTGTACGTTCTAATTTTAACACTTTAAAATCTTAATTTCAAAAATCAAAACAATTTATAAAAGCTTTTTTAAATAGCTTTTTCTCTCAAATTTCACCAAACCTTTCTATTCTTTTTTTTATCTTTTCATTTTCTATTGGATCATCCAAAATCCTTAATTTTACAGTTTTTGAGCCCTTTTCTGGAAATCGATTCAAAGATAAATGTTTATAATTACTAAACCCTATACTATTTATTATTCCAAAACGAGCGCATCTCTCAAGCTTTTTATTATTTTCATTTTCAGGAATCCCAAACCGTAATGCTCTAGCTTTACGTTTAATAATTTCATTTTTAATTAGTATATTATTGTCTTCAAAAATTGAATCATTGTTTCTTTTTTTACTAGAAGAAATATTTTTCAACGTTATTTTTTTTTCAGTAGAAACTTTATTTATAGAATCAAATGATATAGAAAACGCAGATGCAACAGAAGAAAATTTAAAACTAGAGTCTCCTTTTTGTATTTTTTGAAAATTATTTTGGTCAAAATTCTTTTTTGAATTAGCAAGCTTATCAGAAATAGATGTAGTCACTACTTTTTCAAACAAAGTAGTTTTTATTGCTGTATCAGTAGTATCATCACCCCAATCAATTTCATCTTCTGGAGGAGCAAGGTCACCAAGATCATCTTTAGAAGCTCTAGGTAATTGAATGGTACTAAACTTAATATTATCGACTTTGTCAGCTTCTAGTAGACGCATAATCATATCTTCCTTTTTGCCAGATACTACTAAAGATCTTTTCTGTAAAAGCTCCTTAAGTGCAGGAATTTTAAGAGACCTATAATACGATTCAAAAGTCATTCCTATTTAAAGGAAAATATTATAAAAAATTCTCAAAAGTAAATTTCGAGTCGAAATTAATTTACAAATATAAAATTAAAAAAATACAAATTTACATTTATAATTTTAATAAATAAAATTTCTTTAATCAATCTATATAACTTTTTTTATATGAAATTAAAATGTATTTTTACTAAGAATTAAATATTAAATATATAATATTATATCTAAGTAATTATCTAATATCTCGTAAAAAATATTTAATCATTTTAAATTATTCAAATTATTACTTTTTTTGACATTAAGATAATTCTATAAAATTTAACATTTATATAATTATAGAAGTAAAATATAATAAATAATAATCTTTAAAATTTTTAAAGAAATGATCGAAAACAACTTTTAGAAATAATTCAAATTTTTATTAATAAAATTAAAAATATTATCTTTAATTATAAACTTTAATTATAAAAAACATTATCTACAAGTCTTAATTGCTAAACCATGGCATCAAACTACCAGCAATTAGAAAAACTCGGAGAAGGGACATATGCTACAGTCCATAAAGGTAATTGAAAATAAATTATAAATAACTTAAAATTTATACTCTAGGGCGAAATCGTACAACAGGAGAAATTGTTGCTTTAAAAGAAATATTTGTAGATGCAGATGAAGGTACACCATCAACGGTACAAATATACATGAAACGTTATAAATATATATTAATGATATGAATTTAGGCTATCCGTGAAATATCACTTATGAAGGAACTTAAACATGAGAATATTGTTGGCTTATGGGATGTTATTCATACAGAAAACAAACTCATGCTAGTATTTGAATATATGGATAAAGATTTGAAAAAATATATGGATTCACATGGGAATGGAGGAGCTTTAGACCCTAATATTACCAAAAGTTTTATGTATCAATTACTTAAAGGAATTGCATTTTGTCATGATAATCGTGTTCTTCATCGAGACCTCAAACCACAAAATCTTCTTATTAATAAACAAGGCCAACTAAAGCTTGCCGATTTTGGACTTGCAAGAGCATTTGGCATACCTGTAAATACATTTTCAAATGAAGTTGTAACACTGTGGTACAGAGCACCTGACGTTCTTCTTGGATCTCGCACGTACTCAACTAGCATTGATATATGGTCTGCTGGATGTATTATGGCTGAAATGTATACAGGCAGACCTTTATTCCCAGGAAGTAATAACGATGATCAATTATTAAAAATATTTCGTCTTATGGGTACACCTAATGAACATACATGGCCTGGGATTAGTCAATACCCAGAATACCGGGCCAATTATCCAATATATGATGTACAAGATCTTAGTCAGATTCTTCCACAAATGGATCCTCTTGGAATAGATTTATTAAATAAGATGCTACAATTACAACCTAATATGTAGGTAATATATGAATCTATTTATAATTATTTATAATTTCAGGCGAATTTCCGCATCAAATGCACTCAAACATGCATGGTTTACAAATGTACCGTATCCATCATATAATATTTAAATATTATGTTTAAAAATAATTTTATATAGAAGAAATATTTTTATAAAATTTAATATTCATATATTTTATTAATATTTATTATATAAAATAATTGAATATATATATGTATATATACATTTAAAAATACATTAATTTATTATACAAATATTAAGAGTAAATATTTATAATAATATTATATTCAAAAAAGTTTACTTTGCAGGTATAGTATTATACAATATACAACAAAACAATATAAAACTATTAAATCTTAAAAAAAATTTAATAAAAACAAACATATACGTAATGTTATTTTTCAAAATAAGCATTGAAATATGTACGTATTCAATACTATTTTTACGTAATTACATAATTAACTTTTTTTATATATACTAAAATAATAATTTATCAATTTTCTATTATAAATAATTTTTTTCTTCTAATTTAATATATTTAATATAACTTACAAAAGTATCGGATCTATATTTAACATAAAAATATAATAAAAATATAATAAATACAAATATTAAGTTTATAAGTTTATATCTAAAATTTATAATAATTTCATCTATAGATTCATTTATTTAAAACTTAACTTTTAGAAAAATAAAAAATAATTAACAAAAAATTTATAAAAACTAAAAATATTTAAAATATTTTAAAATAAAAACAATTTCTTTAATCTAAAAATTAAAATATTTTTTAAAGGATTACCTTAATATTAAAATATAAAAACTTTATATTTAAACAAAATAAAACTACTGAAATTCATAAATAATTATAATAATAATATACATATAACTATCATATAGTTTTCAATTTTAAAACAATATCTTTAAATATTATAAATTAATATTACAACTATCTTAAAAATTATTTAAAAATCACTTATAATTTCAAACAAAATACGTTCTTAAATAATTAATTATAAATACTCTAAAACAAAATAAAAGAATTAAAATTCATAAACATTTTTTTAAAAATCTTAAAAACCTAAAAAACATTAGAAACCCTAAATCTATTAAAAATTCAAAAAACAGTATCGAGCTTTCAAATATTAAAAATTATCAATAAAAAATATAGCAAATAACTTGAAAGAAAATGCCAACAAGGCTTCATAATACACGTAAGCATAGGGGACATGTATCAGCAGGTTACGGAAGAGTTGGTAAACATCGAAAACATCCTGGTGGTCGAGGTCTTGCAGGTGGCATGCATCATCATCGTATCAATTTAGATAAATACCATCCAGGATATTTTGGCAAAGTAAGTTCAGGAATTAAATAATGCTTTCTAAAATTTTCTATTTTTCTAAATAATACTGATTATTGTAGGTAGGAATGAGGTATTTTCATAAGTATGTTACTCCAATTTAAAATAAGAATATAACTAATTGGGTTTCTTAATAAATAGAACAAATAATCAAGTAAGAGTTAAGTTGTATAATTTATTTTTTTATTTACTTTGGAAGTTTTGGAGACCAGCGGTAAATATTGAAAAATTATGGACCCTTGTTTCAGAAGAAGAAAGAGAAAAATTTTTAAATAAAAAAACAGATACATCTCTTGTTATTGATACTCTTTCTTATGTAATATTGTTTTATAAATTATTCTTCAATTACTAATACTTTATTTAGGGATATGGAAAAGTTCTTGGAAAAGGTCGTCTACCTAACACACCAATTGTTGTTCGTACTCGATGCATTTCAAAAACTGCTGAAAAAAAGATCAAAGAAGTTGGTGGTGTTGTTGAGCTAATTGCATAAGTATTCAATAAATATTATATTTTTCTTTATACTTTGCCACTACCATTACAAATTTTTGTAATTACATTTTTCTACTTAATTATATATACTTATAATTTATACTTTTAACTATAAAATATTTTATAACTTATATAAATAAAAAAGACTTGATATAACTTATTAATTAACAATATTTACATTAAAAATTATTACAAATATATTATCAAATTAAATTAATTTTTTTAAAACTATAAAATAGAAATTGCCAATAAAATTCAATACATTATTATATTTTTTATTAATATAATTTAAAATTAAAAAAAATAACTTAAACTATATTCAAATTATCAGGAAATAATTTATAATCAACTAAAAAAATTTTTCGATATTTTAACAGTTTTTTATATTAAGCATTTTATAAAAATAAACAAATTAAAATAAGCAGGCTTTCATAGAATTAAAATTAGCATAAAATTTAAAATTTCAAATGAAAATTAAATATCCTTAGATAAAATTTACTTTTTAATATAACTATTAACAAAAACATTATTTAATAATTTTACTTTAAATTTTAAAAATGAAACAATAATATATTTAAACTAAATTAGATTTATATAATAAATAGAAAACTAGATTAAAATTCAGAAAAAAAAATTCATAAATTTTAAATATATTAATATTTCAATATAAAATTACTAAAAATAAATAATAAATCCATAATTTTTATAATTTTTTATACTCTAAAAATTTAACTTTCCTATAAAAAATAAATAAAAAGTAACTTCAAATAAAAATTAATAGACATTTAAAATATAATTATAAAAATTAACTAAAATTTAATAATTCTATTATTTTTATTATATTTTTAATAAAAAATTATCAAAAATATAAAAAATATAAGATTTAATATAATTTAATTACTTTATATTATTTTATCTATAAATATTTTAACTTAATTTATATTCTAAAAGTTATATTATATTTCCATAAACAATTATTTTTTTCATAAACATTCAATTTACTATTTTTTATATTTTTTAAAACTAAAAAATAATTTATAAATTATTTTTACCATACTATTTAAAATTTAATATTATAATAAATTATAATACCTTGCATTTTTTTTAAAACCTTCACTCATTTTTACAATCTTTATGAAAATAAAAAATTTATAGTAATTACATAATAAAAATAATTAATAAGATTATTATTATGCTAACAAAACTACTAATTTAATCAAAAATAACAATAAAAAATAAAAATATTAAAAAAAATAATAAACACACAAATCTATAAAAAGATTTTTTCATATATAAATCCATATAAACTTTCAGGAAATCATTTAAAATTAAAATCAATATTTTATTAAATAACTATAAAAACCAGCTTTATAAACATTTATATTAACATAATATTCAATTTATCTCTAAATTCCAATATCCAATAATAATTTAATAAATATTATACAAATAACCCTTTAACTTTTATATTAATTATATATATATATAATTCCAAAAATATCACAAAACAAACAGGATAAGCATATCCTCTCACTCAAAAACAATAAAGAGTATTAATTTATATGACATTAAATGACATTCAACTAAAGTTCATGATAAAACCCATATAAATATGCACTTATTTATGAACCAAAATCAATATTATTCTTTTCTATTGTTGCATATTTTTCAAATGGACAATTTTTTTCTAAATCAGAAACAAAGTTATATACTTTTTTCTCATGATACCTAAAGTAAATTCTTTTTGTCCATTTCCACAATTCTGAACCTATAATAAAAAGTAATAAACCAGAAAACGCAAGAAACCATTCCCAGGTGATTGGGGAATGCTTAAAAACATCCTTATTAACCACTGGAATATAAATAACAGGAAAAACACTCACAAAACCCAAAACTACAGACCATAACAAAAATTTATTTCCTTTAAGATGATAATATAATTGGGTATACTTGTGAGGTGATTCTGGATTAAAAAAAAACATAGAACGTCGAAAATCAATCATCTCCCATGCAAGAATTAATATCATCCAAGTAAGTTCTACAAATGTAGTAGATCTACCTCTATACACTTGTTCACACGATGGATTATAATAATCATTACAAAAAACACCAAGATTACCATTTCCATATCCCCAGACAACAATAACATACTAAAACAATTAAATTAAATATATAAGAATTACTATAATCCTACAGATGCTAAACAAATTATTGCCTGAATAAAACCATATACAAAAGTATCAATAACAACTTCCCATGTAAACACACCAACTTTAACCTATTTCCCTATCATTACAGATTAATAAAAATAGAAAATACATACATTATGGGGAGGCCGCTTCATAATATCTGAACTTGCAACTTCCATACCAAGCCCCATAGCGGGAAAAGCACTCGTTACCATAATAATCCAAAGAATCTCAACAGGAGTCAATGCGAATACAGAAAAACCACTTTGATCTTGAAATACAAGACCAATTAACAAATAAAGAGCCTGAGCAACATTTGCTGCTAAAAGATGAAGAACAAACTATAATTAATAAATACTGAAACTTCTAGCAAAATATTCGAAAACAAACCTTTTTAATATTATCAAACATCCTACGACCTTCTTCTATCGCATTTATAATGGATGCAAAATTATCATCAGTAAGAACAATATCACTAGCATTTTTCGTTACATCTGATCCAGACATTCCCATAGCAATGCCTACATCAGCACGCTTTAAACTTGGTGAATCATTAACTCCATCACCTGTCATAGCACAAAATGCCTTTCGTCGATGCAATGCTTCTATCATTCGAACTTTAGTTTGTGGTGCACATCTAGCAATAACCAAGGGCAAATGAGGAAGAGAATCAATCTCAGAATTACTCATTCTATCAAACTGAGAAGCAGTCATAATCATATAAGATTCACAGTTCAAAAATTTGCTCATATTTCGAGGAAGGATACCAATTTCCATTGCTATAGCTTTAGCAGTACTCAAATGATCTCCTGTAAGCATGTGTACATTTATACCAGCTTGATGACATTCTATAGAACAATTAATATAGCTTAAAAAAAATCCAGCAATACCTTTAACAGAAGCAGCAGATTCTGGTCTAGGAGGATCATTTATACCGACAAAACCAATTAAACTTAAATCTGATTCAACATCATCTCGAGAAACTTTTTCCCAATTATCAACATCTTTAATCCATTGTTTTTGAGCTAATGCCAAAACTCGTAAACCCTGATTAGAAAAGACATCAGCATTTCTAAGTACTTCTTCTTTATCTTCTTGGTTTAACTTTTCTCTATTTATTCCTATAGTAGTGCATACAGAAAGAACCCTTTCAATAGCGCCCTTCATAAATACCATAACTAGTCTTTCTTCCATATTTCTCTGGAAAACAACAGACATTCTTTTAATATCACTATCAAAAGGAAACTCAGCTAATTGAGTCCATAAAGAATCATCTTTTAATAATTTATTCCTTCCTCGATTAAAGCGACATGCAAATACTTGCAATGCAATATCAGTAGGTTCCCCAGTTGCTTTCCACTGCTTTTCATTATCTTGATGAACAACTGCCAAATTTGCTAATGATGCGATATTCAGAAATACATCTAATTCCTGACTTATATTATATTTTTCTGTATCAATTTTCTCAACATCATCAAAATCACCATTACTATAATCCAAAGGACTAGCTTTAGTAAAAACTAAAGTCCCCATTGTAGGATTTAATGGTTCATTACTCTCTGATACCAAAAACATACCAAGCCCATAAACCCAAATCTGACGAACAGTCATCTTACCTAAAATACATTTTAGAAACTAGCAAAAAAATGCTTCATACCAACCTTGTGTTAACGTTCCGGTTTTATCAGAACATATATCAGTGATAGCACCAAGAGCTTCTAAAGAATCAAGTTTACGAACAATCACATGACGCTTAACCATCCTTTTTGTACCAACAGCCATAGTAATAGTAAGAACAACAACCAAGCTTGATGGAATCATCTAAAACACTAAGCCAAAATACCCTTGAAGAAATAAAAACATACAGAAAGACCAGTAGCAATTGCATAAAGAATAACTTCATCTTTAGCTACAAAACGATTTGCCGCAAATACAATCAACGCAAAAAGTAAAGCAATACCAAAAAGACCAATAGCAAGCGCAGACAACTTTTTCTGCAACGGTGTCCCAATATTAACACCTAAAAAGCGACCAATACTATCCAAAACAGTCATACCACATACAATAATATATGCATGAGGTGCAACTTTCCCTTCATTCTTCTTCAAAACTCTTTTTTTATTCTTACTTTTATTAAAAGACTTAGCAATAGCTCCCACTTCAGTAGCCATTCCCGTAAATACAACAATTCCTTTTGCACGACCCTTAGTAACAGTAGTGACACTCCATACCATAGTAACACGGTCACCAATTGGAATATCCTCATTGTCAAAATTCGCGTTAACAGATTTACTCACAGGTAAAGATTCTCCAGTAAACAAAGACTCATCAGTTTCAAAATTCATAGCTTCAAAAAGTCGTATATCGGCAGGAACAGTATCTCCTGTTTTTAATTCCACAATATCACCAGGAACAATTTGTGAAGAAGGAATTGCAAAATTAGAACCCTCACGAATAACGTGAGCTGTTGGAGAAGACAAAGAACGCAAAGAATCTACCGTCTTTTCGGCATTATATTCTTGAAAGAAACCCACAACAATATTAACTTCCAATAGTCAAAAATGCATCTCAAGCAAGCTGCATATATATACTTAATATAACAGCGGTTATTACACCTCCTTCGATCCAATCTTTAATTCCCAAAGATACAATCATTGCAGCAACAAGGACCTATAACAAATATATAACTAGAAAACACAATAATCCATATCCTTACAAGTGTCATAGCATTAGCAGCTTGACGCACAAGAACAGCAATTATAGATACACCATCATTATTATCTATAGAATTATTTCCGTATTTCAAAAGCCGCTCCTCTACATCCTTCATTTGAAGCCCATTCTCCATACTTGTGGAAAGCTCTTTCTCAAGTTGCTCAGGGGAAAGCAAAAATGGAGGTTTTGAATACTCAAACACCTCAACGCATTTATTTAATTTCTTATAACCCATAACTTTTTGATAAAAATAACCTTAGAAATAAAGAAAATCAAACCTTATAAAGAAATCTTAAATAATGCTTTTACACTATACAAAACTAAACTGTTTGGAATTATTATTCAAGTTAAAAATTCTTTTTAATACTTAAATATTCTAACATCATGATTCTTAATTCGACGATAGTTCCTAAGATCATATTTACTAAAAAAAGGGTAGGGTTATATCAACACGGAAGATTTTTTTGCAAATAAGGTTTAGGGTTAAAAACTAATCTATTGCCATATTAAATCTAAATTCACCGGTTTAAAACAAAAATTAAAATTAAAAACTATAAGACTAATAAGCAAATTAATATAAAAAATAAGAAATAAAAGCATTTAGAAAACTTATACTATCTAAAAGTGACATTGTTTTAAAAATACACTTTTTATATAAAAATCTACATAGTTTTACAAAAAAGAATTTAAAGATATTAAAAATAACAAATTAATAATAGTATTAAACAAAGTCTGTTTTATTATCTACTATATATTCCTCAGTTTTAAAATAATTGCCAATTCTTAAAATTTAGTAACAAAATACTTTATTTTAAGAATATTTCTGTTCACTTTTATTATTAGACTTTTATTATTAGCTATTTTTTCCTCTTAAAAAATAAATATATTCAACTATTTATAACTCTTTAAAATCTTAAAAGTCAAAATTGTTAAAAACTAAAAAAAATTAAAAATCATTAACAATCAAAAAATAACACAAAATAAAAATAAAAGAAAATAAAAAATTTTAAAAATCTAATAATAAATGAAATCATATCCAAAAACAAAAAAAATAAGAAAAACAACTAAAAATAACATAAAAACGTACAAAACTACAAAAAAAACTATAAAACAATACACTTAAATATACTAAAATTAACATTTTAATCATATAAAAATAATAGTTACAATAAACGACATTTTAAAAACATTTATGAAACGATATTTTTGTAGAATTTTTTTAAAATACTAAATAAAAATATTATTTACTGTTATTTAAATTACAATATCAGTGAAAAAACAATAATTAGAAATAAAAATTACACCTTAATAAAAAAATATCAATTTATATAGTAAAGACACAAATAATACATATATCAATCATAATATTAACTAACAATGAAAAAATTTAAACCATCATAAATTTATAACAGAAAATATAAAAACCAAGTAAATTTTACGAAATTAAAAGAAAAAAGATAAAAATATATAACATAAACTCTTAAGGATATAATTATTTTATACTAATCTCAAGAAAGTGAAAAAAAAGATAACTAAGATAAAAACAAGTAAATAAAAAATAAATGAAAAATAAAGATATATTAAATAGTATCTAAGAAAAAAGAAACAAAATAGAAAAAATAAAAAAAAATAAAAAAATTAATATGAATTTATTATCAATTAGTTCATCTTTATTTACAATTCTATCATAAATTAATTCCATATTTACTCTTGATCATCCCTGAATTATTTTTTATTTATTTTAAATGTCTTTAATTCGCTTTAATTTACTTTCAATTCACTTTAAATTTACTTCATATTACTCCATAATCAACAAGAACAAAACAAAATTGGAAGGAAAAGATACATAAGCTAATTATTAACTTTTTATTAATACAATTATTATTATAACTAATACATATATTTTTATTTGAACAATACGCTCAATCTTTTTATATAATATTCTACATTTTATTTGACATTGAAAAACATTTTAAGTATTTTAAAAATATTTTTTAAAATAAATTTAAATATATTTCATTAAAAAAAATTAAAACATAATTACTAACATTGTTTAAATAATTATATCTAAAAAAATATTCAATAAAAATATACAAAAAAATACCAATTAATTTTAAAAATATTACCAACATTTTATTCACAAAAATTAATATACCTTCAACTAATTCTAAATAAAAAAACTATATTTCTAAAAAATAATTTATACAAAAATTAGAATATTCAAAATAAAAATCCTAAAAAATTAAAAAAGAGATTTTAATTAAGAAAAATTCAAAATAATAATAATGATAATATCATATACAAAACTTCTATTTTAATCTCAAAAAATTCAAAAAAACACTAGAAACAATCATTAAAAAAAAAATTTAAATAACATCAATTCTAAAAAACTAAAAATAACACAATAACTAAATTAAAAATCTTTAATTTACCTTTATATATATTTAACTAAATACTACTTAAACGATTACTAATAATATTAATTCTGAATTTAATAGAGTAATAATACAAATAAAGACCAAAAATACAATTAATAAAGCAAAGCAATAAACTGTTATCTAATTTTTAAGGATTATATTTTAAAATTTATATTAAATTATAGAAATCCTTTAAAAATAACAAAAAAAACAAGAGAAAAGTATACTAAATTGAAAAATAAGATCTATTAAAAATATATTAATTTTAAAATAAGACTAAAAATGCATTAATAAACTAATTTTATGATTTCAAAAAAAGATAACAATAGCTATTTTTAAAAGACACATTTCCAGAACAACCTTATATTAACAACTAATAAATGTTATCAGATCATGATAATATCATAAAAACTTTTTTGAAAACGCTTAAAAAAATTTTTAAAAAAAAATATAAAAAGCTTTAAAAAGTTTGCATATAATTTAATAAAAAAGCAACGAATTAATATAAAAATGCCTTAATCAAAAAAACATCTGCCAATCACTACAAAAAGTAGCAAAAAGTAAATGCATTTCATTGAAAACAATTACAAAATTAATATTAATATATAAAAACATTGTTAATAAAACATCTAACTATTTAAAAAATGTTTCGTAAGAATTATAGAAATTAAGCTGCCATAAGTTTGAAAATAAATGTTAAAAGACATCGATATATACTATCAGATTCACTATTCTTTACAAGAGACACAACAAAAAATTCTTTTTTAAAAACTATTTCCACTAGAGGCAACTACTCACTAACATTATTAATTCAAAATTTAATATAGTATTAAAGAAAAATGTAATAATTTTATCAAAAATAAATACAAAGATTTAAAAAAGAATACAATATTTTAAAAAATTTATGCGAAATAAGTAAAAATAAAAAATCTCAAAAACTAAAAAAAATATTGAAAACATTTGCAGAATTTTCACATCAAAAATCTTCAATAATTATCTCTTTAACCTAATACAAAGTACCCAAATTATTATGTAAGAAGAATTCCAACATTTTAAAGACAAAAATTGTGTAAATCCAAAATTATAGTCTTTTTTAAAAATAATTCAAATAATAAAAAAGTATACAAAAATATTAAAACAGCATGTTTCAAAAGAAAAATTAATCAGCAAACTATTATAAAAAAGAATACAGAAAAAGTTGTCTGAATTAAATAAAACATTAAAATATTTCAGCAAAAACTAAAAATATAAAAATTTAAAACACTAAAGAAATTATTTCTGTTTACATATGCAACAAAAACAACTCTAGTTTTTCATAATCTTCAAACGAAAGTAATCTTTACAGAAAAACTTCAACAGCAAATGGAATTTTCCGACAAAAGATAGCTGCAAAAAGCTACAAGAATTATACAATATTAAAAAATTTAAAAAAAAAAACTAAATATTTATTTCATGCTCCAAACATACATTATAAGTACTTAAAAAGTGCAGAACACTTAAAAATTGTTTAGAGAAAAGATCAAAAGTTTAGATAGTTTTAATTCATGTATGAAAGAGTAAATAAATTGTATGATCATTAAGTTAGAAAAAGTAACATACTTTTTATTCTTATATATACAATGGGAAACACTAACGAAATTATCACAAAAAACATTAAATCTAAATCTAACATATCAAAAGAGCAAATGAAAATTGATACTATTATCAATAAAATAAAAATACAAACTGGAATAGAATCAACCTACATATTTTAGAAACCGTATTGTAACGTATTCATATCTAACTATTAAAAATCTAACAAATACCAAAAGGAATAATGGATGCAAGAAATGTAAAAAGATACAAACAATACTATGAAACATATAGCCTAAAAATAAAAGTTATCCACGAGTTTAAAAGCAATCTTAGGGCAAGAATGACTATAAATTAGCTCTTAACCAATACTATATGCAATAAACTAAAACAAAAACAGAACATTAGTTAATCTATAATAAAAATACTGTTACTAAAAATAACATTATTAAAAATAAATTACATCAAAAACTAGTAAAATAAATAAAAAAATATACAAAATTATGTACAAAATTAGACACACTAGTAAAAAATAGAAACAAAAATAAAATAAATCGAAAACTTAAATAAAACAATAAAACAAATATCAAAAAAATAAAACTCATCAACTTTAAAAAAAAATAAAATACTAAAAATCATTCTAATAATACACTAGTGAGCTCAAAGAAGAATATAAATATCGAAACCAATAAGATAACAACTGAAACAACAACCAAACAACATATATATATGTTGCATATATATCAGGATATACATAAGTACATCTATACAAATCTTCTCAATTATATCTATAATGATGCTAACATCGACAAATATTCTAAACCAATATATTGCATAACAAATAAAGAAGAAACAAGGGATATGGTGCTAACTATAAAGGCTTGAAAATGAATAAAATATTATAAAAGCTTTAATAATAACAACGGTTATTTACTTATGATTTAAAAAACGAATAAACATGATTTGAAACAAAAAAAAAAAACATATTTAATAAATTAATAAAAAGGCGGAAAAGCAAAATAGAACATGAAAAAATAAAAAATAGACTAAAATAAGTATTCTTTTTTACATCAACTTAAAAAATATTTTAAAAAAATCGTCCCATTTATCATTTATCACATATTCTTTATATGACCTGATTCGCTACCCATACTTTTTATTACTAATTTATCAATTTACTTTTATGTTTACCTCTCATTTACTTCTACTACACTATAGGCATATTTAAAGATCTACCAATCAAAATAAAAATAATAAAGTACTCTTTCAAAATTTCAATATTATGCAATCATTATTACATATTTTATCTCTTTTTTTATATTAAAATTATATACGTTTTAATTATAAAAGATACTTTAAAACATTTATCAACATCTAAATAATCACTCATTTTTAAAAAAAAAAAATTAAAAAAGATATTTAAAACAGTGATTTCTAAAATAAGATACTCCATACTATAGCGATACCCTAAATTTTAACTATATAAAAAACCAAAGATATCAAATATAAAATAATTTATAAAAAAATCCAAAAAAATTCAAATTAAAATTTGTTAATCATTAAAATAAATGTTATCTGATAAATATTTATAAATATATAAAATTATAAGTAATATTTTTCAAACAAAATCAACAAAATATAAAAATAAAACTTATCATTAGATATGAAAAAACTATACAAAAAACTAGATAAATAAAAGACAAAATAACTTGAAAATAAATTAATTTAAAAGCAAAAAAAAAAAGAAATAATAAAACTTTCGAATAAAAGATATCTAAGAAATAAAAATAACTATTTTCTAAAAAATATGTTTAATATATTATGAAAGACAAATAAGTTAACCAAGTATTATGAAAAAATACAAAATTCTTTAAAAATATTCAAAAAAATCGTGAAAGAGAAGAAAATCTAAAAAATTAAAATAAGAATGTTTTTATATATAAAAATATAATGAAAAAATAATAAAAAACATTAAAATACACAATAGAATAAAAATATATCTAATAAAAACAATATTTATTTATCTACTTATTTATTGTTTATTATATATTCATTATAATTTATTATCGTTTATCAATTCTTTTATCAATTACAAATTTATTTAAAAATTGTTTTCTCGATATTTTTATATTAAATATGAAACATTTTTTATAATTATTTATTCAATATTCTCATTATAAATGAATTTTCATTATAAATGAAAGTGTTTATTTTAACATTTTTTCTTGGAATAGTACATGCATCATCAAAAAACATTGGTATTTTGTCTTTTCTATTTCTTATTTTAATTTTTTAGAATTTATTCATAAAAAATCTACATTAGATCAGTTATTAGATAGGTCATTATATTCAATAACGTATAAAAACCTTTAAATAATCTCAAAATATATAAAATTAACGAATTTTTTATACAGTAAAGAAAGGATTTTTGCTTTAATTCTAAAAGAAAATGCAATTAATAATCATTGTCATGAAAAGCTAAAAGAATATTGTGAAGATTTGGAAAAAATAGGTCTAAATTTAAACAATTATCATTTTAAATTGAACGAGTTATGTGAAAAATCGAAGATGAGTGAAAAATGTATTAATTTAGGAGAAAATATTAAGAAAAGTTGTGATATACTTAAACATGCTTTAACAGATGCTATAAAAAAACCATCAGCAACAAATGAAGATTGTGAAATGGAAACTGAATGTATGTTTTGGGAGGGAGTATCTCCAGAAGAACTTACAGAAAAATGCAATAATTTAAGAATAATTTGTAGAAAAAGAAAAAGACATAATTTAACAAAAAAATTTCTTTTAAGAGTATTTAATGAAAATATAAAAACAGTAGAAACGTGTAAACAAGTTATTAATGAGAAATGTCATGTATTCATGAAAGAAAGCGATGAATTAATGCAGTTTTGCTTAAGTCCTTTAAATAGATGCAGGGACCTTATACATTTTATGAAAGATGAATACACCGAATTAAAAATAAATATAGAACAGTTTTTTAAAAATCCTAAAATATCAGAAGAAAAATGTAATTTTTTGCTTGATGAGTGTTACTTTTATGGATCAAATTATAATAATAATCTTCAAGATATATGCAAAGAACTAGAAAAAAAATGTAAAAAAAAAGTGAAATACATACCACCAAGTTCAACCTTTAATCCAATAGGAAAAGATTTTACATTGATGGAAAAAGTAAAAAAAAAGAAATTATTTAGAGATGAAATTGGAAAGCCGAGAATGAAAGATATGATCGACCTTTTAGTATTAATGGTAAACAATGATCTAGAAGACTGCAAAACTTATGTTGAAAGATGTTATGAATTTTGTAGCTCTCTACCTCAACTAAAAAATTTATATGACAACACTAAAAAAAAAATAAGTGAAAATAAGGAAGAAATATGTACTAACCTAAAAGACACTCTAAAACCTAGATGCAAAGCTTTAAAATTAGAATTGTACAGCTTATCATTATCAGACACAACCGACGATAATAAAGAAACCACACTACTGAAATGGACTGAACAATTTACAGAATTTGATGAAGAGCTTTGTACAGAGTTAGAATCAAAATGTTTTTATTATAGGAGACCTTGTAATTTAGAAAATATTAAGCTTAACAATGCATGTGGTAATGTGAATTCAGCATGCTTAAAAACACGACTTCTTAAAAGAGAATATCAACTACTTCAAAATAAATTAACAGGGAAACTTCATAATTTAATGATAAATGATGCTCTCAAAACATGTGTAAATGAACTGTTAAATCTATGTAAGGAAAATGTTGACATTAAAGAACCACTTTTAGCAGATTTATGCTTGCATCCAAAAAATACATGCCAGATGCTTGCAAAAGATATTGAAAAACAAAGTCAAGAATTAAATAAAAATCTAAATAAGAAAAAAGATTCTATAAATGAAGAAGATTGCATGGAACTGGAAGAAAAATGCAAGATACTAGGACAAGATTCAAGAATAAATGAATTTTTATGTCTTGAACTAAACAAGAAGTGTGATCATTTAAAAAATACAAAAGAATTAGAGGAAATTTTGATAAAAGAAAAAACAGAGAAATTGTATGATTTACATACATGCATAAAAAAAATGACAGAAAGATGTAATAACTGGCCTAAAAAAACGAAAACATTATTTACTATTTCGTGTATACAAGTGAACATTACTTGCAGAATAATTATTGAAGACGTTAAATTTAAATGCAATACATTAAGAAAAAATATGAATATTATGAAAATTTCAGAAAAAATAAAAACCAAAGATATAAATATAAAAAAACAAATATGCGACTTTTGGGAACCATATTGTGATAAGTTTATGTTAAGTTGTAAAGGACTTATACAAAATGATAGCAAAGATGGAAAATGTGAAGAACTAAAAGAGAATTGTAAATCATATCAGGAACCAAGTGAAGGTTTAAGAATGAATGGCTGGAGTATTATAAAAGAAACTATACTAGGAGTAATAATTTCACTTGTAATATAAAAAAGAGACTAGTAAATTCTAAAATAAAGTATATATCTTTAAAAAAGATATACAAACAGGATAAAATTAATGAAAAATGATCTTTTGGATAGTTTTGTCGTGTATTTTAAACATATGTGCATATATTCTTCATTTAGTTGTTCTTTATTCTTAACTTAATCATTCTGGTTATTATTTATACTTTTTTATAACCTATATATCATCTATTCATTTTTACATTTATCTTTTATTCCATTAAATATCAGATATTCACAAGTCAAAACGATAACAAACTATCCCCAAAAATTCAATGTTAAAAATCATTGTTACATATTTTATCTTTTATTTTTCTTACATTAAGATAAATTCACTTTAATTACAAAAAACGTCTTGAAACATACTTATTAATATCTATATAATCAACATTTTTAAAAAAATATTTAAAAAATATTCAAAATAAGTTTATAAAATACGTTACACTACAATAATATTCTAAATTTTAAGTGTATAGAAACTCAAAAATATAAAATAATTTATGAAAAATAGAAAAAAATTCTAAAAATTATTGATCATTAAACGTTACCTAAAAATATTTACAAATCTACAAACTTGTAAATAACAATTTTAAATAAAATTAAAAATATATACATTTTTGAGAAAAATCCATTGTTATATAATAAAAGGCTAAGAAAAATTAACAATTCTGCAAAAAAAAAAATATGAACCTAAAACTTTTTCAAGAGCTCAAAAAAATTCTAAAAGACAGAAATATAAAACAAAAATTAAAGAATTTCTTAAAGCTAATCAAAATAATGTAAAGTTTATCGATATTTAAAACATACAAAAAACTTTATGAACCTAAAAAATCTTAAAATTAAAAGTTAACAAAACATTTAAAAACATTAATAAATTTTGAAAGAAATACAGAAAATTGTGGTATATATAACTTAAAATTTACATTTTGAGCGGATAAAATCGAATACAAAAAAATAAATAAAAATAGATGAATTCAAGAAATAGTTTTAAATAAAAATCAACATTAAAAATTTAATTAAACCATATTTTCAAGTGAAGCTTTATAAACAATACTTTAACTTAAATTTAAGAAATGAGATTAAAAAAATCTAAATAATAATAAATATAAAAATACAATAAAAGATAGAAAAAAATGATAAAAAAGACAAGAAAACAAACTTTATAAAGAATATTACTAATACAATTATATTATTTAAAACTTTTACTACATTTTAAGAATAGTTTTTTATAAAAATTTACACATGTAAAAATATAAAACTAATAAAAATTAAAACATTTAAGTTCAATACAAAATAATATTTATTTATCTATTTATTAAATATTAATTTTATCATTTATCAATTTTTCATAAAAATCATTCTGTCTTGTATCATGTAAAACATTTTTTATAAAAAGTATTGCTTACTATAATTACAAATAAAAACACCAGCACTAACAAGCTTCCTTTTAATAACATGTTTTCTCAAAAAATATCAATATTTTTTTTTATTTTTAATTTTTTTAAAATTTATTTATGAAAAACTTAATTAAATCCATCATTAAATTTACCACTCCAATAAATAAAAAATTTAGGTAACGTTGAAAAATATTAAATTAACAACTTTTTTGTACATAAAAAATTGCTTTAATTCTAAAAGAAAATATAATAAATTAATATCAAATAAAACCAAAAAGATACTACAAAAATTTAAAAAACATAGATTAAATACTAAAGATTTTTTCACAAAATTCAAGTTCTATAAAAAAACTAATTTGAATTAAAAACGTAATACATTAGAAGAAAATAATATAAAATAATCTATTATAATCAAACATAATTCACGTGATATCAAAAATAGACCATCAGCAAGTAAGAGACTATCAAATACAAAGTGAATATATGTTTCAAGAAAAAACATATCTAAGTAGACTTAAAGAGAAATACAATGATTTAAAAACATTAGAAGAAAAAAAATAAAATGATCTGAAAACGGATTTTCTTTTAAAAATCTTAACAATTTAGAAATTAAAAAAAATATTTGAATAAGTAATTAATAAAAAATATCTTATATTCATAAAAGAAAACAATGAATTAATAAAATTTTATTTAACACTTTTTAATAAATATAACAACCTTGTAAAATTAATGAAAATTAACTGTTTTTGTTTAGAAAATAATATGAAAAAATCCATTAAAAATACCAAAATGTCAAAAAAAAAAGTAATTTGTTACAAAGAGAATATTGCTTTCATAAATCAAATTACAATGATACTCTTCAAAATTTAAAAAGCTAAAAAATATGAAAAAAATAGAATACTTTTTGATCTAACATTTAATCTAATAAGAAAAGATTATACTAATGGAAAAAAATAAAAAAAATTGAAAATAAGATTAGAAAACCTAGAATAAAGAATACGATTTATCTTTTACTATTATTAAAAAATAATTATCCAGATAATTGCAAAATTTATCTTGAGAAATCATCTAAGTTTTATAATTCTATCTCAATTAGAAAATTTGTATAATAGCACTAAGAAGAAAAAATGAAAATAAAAAAGAATATGTAATAAGCTAAAAGATAAAGTAAAACCTAAGTGGAAGCCTTTAAAATTAAATGAGTGTTACTATCAAATGCTATTAAAGATAAAAATACCATACTTCCAAAATGAGGCAAACAATTTATGGTACTTGATGAAAAACTTTTATAGATTTTAAATCGAAACAATTTTATTTGCAGAAACCTTGTAATAACACATACTAAGATAACCAATGCATGCATTAATGAAAAATCAGCATGTTTAAAAACACAACTTTATAGAACAGATTATCAACTATTTCAATAAATATTCAGGAAAAACTAGATAATTTAACAAGCAATTTGCTTAAAACATACATAAATGAATTATTGAATTTATGTAAAAAAAAGATTAATAACAGTAATACCATATCAATAAATTTCTACCTACAACCACTGAATACTCATCAGGCACTTACAAAAAGATATAATAAATAGTCTAAAAAAAGAACAAGGCTTACTCTTTATATAATTAAAGACTACATGCCAAATAATTGTTAAAAATATTAAATTTAAATATACTGTATTAGAAAAAAACATAAGTATCAAAAACATTTCGGATCAAAGAATAATGTAAATACAAAAGTACATGCATGTAATTTGTAAAAGTCACATTGCAATAAACTTATACTACTTTAAAAAACTTATAGAAAATAATAAAAAGAATGGAAAATACAAAAAAACTAAAAAAAGCAGCAAATCATATCACAAGCTATAAGATTAAGAAAGGAAGCTTTTATATGAATTAAAAGGAAGCTTTGAAGACAAAAATAAATATAAATCAGCTTTTGATAAATATCGCTTATCTTGAAATAGAATAAAAATGATACATTCAAGAATTTCTATAATAATAACATTAACACTAAAAATGATATAGCTAGAAATAAACAGTCTGAAAAATTACTAAAACATTAAAAAAAATCTACAAAATTATTTACAAAATTAGATTATATAGCAATAAAAATAAAAAAATGTAAAAATTGTTAAAGAATTAAACAAAGCTATAGAAAACATTAGAAAATACAAAGGTTATTTTAATTTCAAATAAATAAAAAGATCTTAACATAAATAACATAGCATTAATTTTAGCTTATAACGCAAATACTAGCATGAAAACAAATCTAAAAACATATATAATTTAGAAGAGTCAATCAAAACATTTGCAACAAAAGGGAACCGAAGTAAACATTATAGAAAAAAAAACTAAAGCATTTAATACTGTAATTGAAGCATTAAAAATATATACAAAAATAAAAATAGAGTGCAAAAATCTACTGTTAAAATGTAGATTTAAAAAATATTGTTCTGAATACAAAGACATGTAAAAAAATTAAAGAAACATATAAAAAATTGAAATCACTGGAAATCAAGTCATTAGAAACGATTAATCATACTAGTACAGAAACAGCAATTATTCCAAAAACAAATTCAGATTTAATACAAAAAGTACTAGAAGTAGAAAAAAAACAGGTAATGTAAAACCAAGTAAAAAATTAAAAATAAATGGGTCGAATGTAATAGAATCTAATACTAGCAATGATTATTTCATCTGTAATTTAAAATAAATAAATAAATAAGCTTTAATATATATATATATATTTGAAATGAATAGCGTTTAAAAAACATATATTTTTGGAATGAATTGTGTTCAAAAAAAGACATATTTTTTAGGCCAATAAGATTTAGAAAATATATATTTCTAAAATAAGGTTTGAAATAAGGAATGCATATTCAATAAAAATGGTTAAAAAAATAAAATTAATAAAGACAATAACAATTTCATCTACATTAATTTACAGTATATTTTTGAAAGTTTAATCCTTATTTTTCATTTAATTATTTCATTTACGTAATACGTTTTTATTATTCATGTTTCTTATTGTATTTTCTACACTTATATTTATATTATTCTATAAATATTCAAACACCTACGAATAAAAATGAGATCTACAAAACTTTAATGTTGAGTAATTATTATTATTTACTTCTAATCTTGCTTACACTAAAGTGTATGCATTTTAATTTTATAAGACATTTTGAAATATATTTATTAATACAATCATACTCACTTTCAAAAAAAACGTTTAACAAAGATATTTAAAATAAAAATTTATAAAATAAAATAATTCATCTTATAATAATATTCTAATTTCAACAATATAAAAAACCAAACTTAAAAATTGCTAATAATTAAAATAAACACTATCTAAAAATATTTATAAATCCACAAAATCACTAATATTTCTAAACAAAACTAATAAAATAAATGAAGCCAATGTAATTTTTCATGATCATTAGTATTTGTTTTTTACATATTCAAAACATTAAATAATAAAAATAGGGTTATTTATTAGTCACCTTAAATATTTAAAAATCAAAACTAAAAATTTAATGCGGTTAAAAAAAAAAACCCCAAAAAAAGACTTTAAAAAATATATTCAAAAATTAAATAATATATAAAAATTTTAGAAAAAAAAAACATGCAAATCTAATAACTAACTAGTAACTACCTAATAATTAAATAATTAAAAATTTACAAATTCAAGAAAATATTATATAGTTAGTAAACTTATCGTACTTGAAGATCCTTGGAAGATCAAACGGGTTTTAAACTTAATATATAAAAAAAATTTAGGTAAAGAGATATTGAAAAAAAGTAAAATATTTTTATTATGTATATTACTTTAAATAAAATAAATCTTAAAAATTTTGCAACTAATCTTTAAAAATAAACTTAAAATCAACATTTTATAGCAAATTCACAAAAATAAATACATTAAAAGTTATTAAAATAAATGAATAAATTACAAAAATGCCATTATTTGTTACATGTACTATCTGTCTATTTCTGAGAACCTTCTCGATATTATTTTTATCTATTTTTAAATCGACAATATAATTGAAACAAAGCTTTTCTATCCTTTTTGTTTATGTTACTATTTGCAAAAGCATGCATTCTTCTAAATTTAATTGGCATAAAAACAGTTTTTTCAAAAAATGAAGAATTTTTAGGTAATATTTGTTTTTTTTTTTTTTTTAATTTCAGCTTTAATCTTTCAGATCTTATTGATTATTCTCCGCTACATGAAGATGATTCATTATTTCCCCTTACACATAGAAGTTCACTTTATCATGTTCGTTTAACATATCAATTGCAGAAACTAGAACTTGAAAATCTATGGTACAATTACAAACATGATTATTATTATATTGCAGCTATGTTGGCTCCAGGTCAATTACCTTATTGTCAAAATGACATAAATAAAATATGTACTAATATTAACAATATGAATGAAAGAGTTCAAAGAATTTGTACATCTAAAACAATATGTAATCATGCATACAATGAAATAATGACAGGGATAAAAAAAACAGCTCAAGAACTTTCAGACAAAAAAATAAGTGAGCATGATAAGTGTAACAAACTACAAATGAGGTGTTTTCTTTTCGAACACCATGGTATGTGGTATCTTAATGAAAAATGTAAAGAACTTAAAGAACATTGTTATAATAGAGTCCGTATGGAAACAGCAAGAACACTTCTCTATGATATTTTAAGAGGAACTTCAAATGATTCAAAGTCTTGCCTAGCAAGATTAAAAAATATATGCCAATTACTTAATCAACAGAGCCCTGAATTATTTACTTTATGTATAGATTGTACCAGCGTTTGCAATGAATTTATTTCATATTCTCAAGAAGAGTGTAAAAAATTTGGGATTCAATTTTTATCAAAACATAAAACAATAACACAAGAAAATTGTGTAAAATGGTTAGGAATATGTTATTATGCTATTCCAGATTGCCAAAGTCTCCACAGTCTATGTCGTTTATTCCGAATGGAGTGTTCTGAAAAAGGCTTTTTCTATAATCTAAACAACCATAATTCTGATCTTTTTAAAAATCCATCTACCGATCTAGATGAAACTGGTGTTCAGCATATCTATGAAAAGTTGCGTGATTTAGGTATCCATGTTACTGGATTAGAAAAATATTCGGAATTGCATGTGACTAACTTTTTGGTTCAAGAATATTTAACTCAAGAATACTATCCAGGGTATCCGCAATGTAAAAAAATATTTGATCAAAAATGTTCATCGATACAATATTTAAAATTAATCAAAGACATATGCACTAAGAATTCACGAAATACATATAGTGCTTGTTATAATATATACCCTGGAACCAAAGACTATTGCTACTCTCTCAAAATTGAATTTAAGAGTAATATCTGGTTTTGGTCATATCCGGATCGCCCTCTTTCAAAAGAAAAATGCAAAGAGTATTTATTAGTATGTTATTTTATGCATAAAGCTATCACTTATTGGCTAAGTTATGACTTTTGCAAAGATATACGACTTGTTTGTTACCAGGCAGGTTTGGAAAGTGCAGCTAATATGGCTCTAATAAAAAAATTAAATGGAAAATTGGCATTAGAAAATGATGCAGAATCTTCAAGCAATCAAAATAAATGCGAAAAAGCTCTTTTAAAGGAATGCAATCAATTTATGTACCATAGTTACCATGTACTATATAGATGTTTACACCCGAAAGAGACATGCAAAAATTTGACAGTTTTTGTTGATAAAGAGAACAAAAATTTGAATATGGCTCTAATAGATGCTGTTGCAGTTCCTGACTATGATAAGTGTAAAAAATATAAAAAAGAATGTCATAAATTGGGGTTTTATTTTCAATCTACTAAAAATTTATGCGAAAAACTTAATACTACTTGTAAAAATATAGATAAAATGATACTATTAGGAATAGAAATACTTAAAAAAGGTTTAAATTTTTATAATCAATCTATTTGTTTTAAACATCTTACTGATCATTGCACACAAAATAGTTCATATTCACATACAATCTGTCATGATAAAACGAAAACGTGCAATCACATACTCAAGCATGTTTCAGCATATTGTACACAGCTCTCGCGATATTTGTCACATTATAAGGTTTTCAATAACCATATAACTCATATCAGTCATAGTCGTTGTGTTAGTTTCAAATATCACTGTAAATTGCTTAAAGGCAGTTGTCCTGGATCTTTAAACAACATATGTACTGAAATTGAGGAAAAGTGTAATAGTACTTCAACTCAAACTAACGAACTTAATAATTTAATTAAGGATTTTGGCGAAGAAATATCTAGTTATGACAAATGTTATAAAAAATTAACTCAAAAATGTAAAAATTTTACTATGGAAAAAACAATGAATATATCATGTGCTAACGTCAATAATACATGCAATCATTTAGTGAATCATTTAAGGGAAATCTGCGATCATCTTGCATTAAAATTTTTTAAACTTTTATCTATTAATTTTAATTCTACTACAGAATGTCAAAAAATAATATCTTCATGTTCATCTATAGGATCTTCTTGTAATGGAATTAACGACAAAATTGCTCATATATGTGATAACATTGTGACTAAATGTAATTTACCACCACAACCACCAATCCCACCAGTACCGCCACCACCAATACCTCCACCACCAGTACCACAACCACAGCCACCAAAACCACCACAACCACCGCCACCAAGACCACCACAACCACATCCACAGCCACCATCGCCACCACCACCACATCCACAGCCACCATCGCCACCACCACCACATCCACAGCCACCACCACCACCAAAGCCATCAAAACCAAAACCAAAACCGACAAATTCAACTACAAGCTTAACTACAAGTTTACCGACTACAGATTCATCACCTGCAGCTCCGCCAACTACATCAAGCTCACCGACTACACATATACCAACTACAGACACATCGGATATATACACGTCAATTACAGGCACATTGGAGACAAGTACATTAGATACAGACACATTAATTACAGATACATCTACAGACACATCTACAGACACATTTACAGAGACATCTACAGACACATCTATAGACACATCTACACATGCATCTACACGTACATCTACAGACACATCTACACGTACATCTGCACGCACATCTACACGCACATCTAAAGATACATCGATTACACGTTCATCAACATCCACACATTCAAGACATAAACCAACAATATCACCAAGTGACCATGGAGAAGGCTATGGACTCAAAGCACAGGGATTACAAATGATAAAATTGATTTTGGAAATTGTAGGAATAATATTGGGACTATGGATAATTATTTAAAATTAAAACAATATATATTTACTAATATTTTTGTGGGGCATTTTTGACGATAATTATGTAAAACTAATGATTATTCATAAGATTTATTTAAATATTTTTGGAAAATAAATATAAAAATTACTATTTTGTAGATATCAGGCTACTTAATGAATCGTAATTTTTGGGAAATTGATATTTAATGGTTAATCATAGTTTAAAAGACGATTTTTTTATTTTGCAATTCATCTCTGGTAAAGCTATGGGAAATATAAATACAACTAAGTATATTGGATATATTTATTTATTTATTCTCTAAAAGTATTATCTCTTTTAAAAAACATCCTTTTTGTAAATTAACCTAACTTTTTGATAATCAAAATTTAGATTTTAAGGATCAACATTTTCTTATACTAAAAAACTATTTTGTATAATAGAACAAAATACCTTTAACAGTCTTAAAAACATAATATCAATATAGAAAGAAAAATTAAAAAATACCATAAATTTAATAATATAAAATTCAAAGTATATAAAAAATTAAAAAGTTTAATAAATATCTAAATTTCCAAAATAAAACAATTTAAGAATACACAAATTTAGAAATAAAACTATAAGCCGTAAATTTAAATTGAAAATGAATTTCTTAAAACTAGTCAAATTGTATAAAATTTGTTAGTGTAAAAAATATGCAAAAAACATGTATAAATAATTAAAAAAACAGTCTTAAAATTAAAAACTAATAAAATACTTGAAAACATCAATATTTTTTTAAAAAATAATTATCATTAATTGAAAAGTATTTTTATAATTTAAATTCTAAAAACAAAAAGTATGAAAAAATATAAGAACTGTATAGTTTTGAATTTAGATTTTGACATGATAAAACTAAGTACAAAAAATAAGTAAAAAATAAAGATATGTAAAATAGTTTTAGACAAAAAATAAAATTGGAATAAAAAAATCTAAAATAACGATATTTTTTATACATAAAAATATTTACATAAAAATATTGAATCAAGAAAAACGAAAAATACGATAATCTTAAAAATGAGATTATAGCTAGCTTTAATAGAACTAAAAAATCTATTAATAATATTAACACATGTATATTGAATGAAGAATTTTATTTAAAAAAAAAACCATTATAACTGTCATGTTCGATATATACTCTACAGAAAATTTTCTGATTTTTCTAATATTTATGATGATATAAACAAACAATGTTATAAAGAATTCCTACATAGTTTTCTCATATTTTTTTAATTGCCTTGATTTCTCGTTTATATCCTTTTATATTCTACTTTTTATCTATTCAGGTTTTACGATTACCTCACATTTACCCCGCATTTACCCCACACAAATTTAAATACGTGTAGTAAAGCATGTATCACAATAATTATATGGACACACTAAAGATATACTTCAGCACACACTATACCTGTTTCATCACAGAATTTACTTGAAAACTCTATAATTAATTAGAAATAATTTAATATTCAAATTTGAAGACATGGCTTTAACACCTAACATGCAACCGAAACACGTTAATGGAAACTCAAACTCAGCCACACACCACAGCGCAGCCCACCCCCGTCAGGCACGGCTTGGCGCGGGCGGTGGCGCGGGCGGTTAAGCGGCAGGCAGCAGGGGCACAGAATAGTTTTGATGAGGAGCATGTTTTAGCTTTAATTCTGAATAAAGACTTGGAAAAAACAAAATGTATAGAAAAATTGAAAAAATATTGCCAAGAATTAAATGAAGTAAATCTAAAAATAGAACAAGTACACGAAAAATTAAAAGATTTTTGTGATAATGGAAAAGCAGATACAAAATGTCAAAGTCTACAAACCAAAGTTATGGGAAAATGTACAGATTTTAAAACAAAAAAGTTAGAACCAGCATTAAAGGATCCATCAGATGATAATTGCAAAGAGAATGAACGACAATGCCTATTTTTGGAAGGAGCGTGTCCAAATGAACTTAAAGAGAAATGTAGCGAACTAAGAAATAAATGTTACCAGAGAAAACGTGACGGAGTAGCAGAAGAAGTCCTTTTGAGGGCACTTCATGGGGATTTAGAAAACACAACTGAATGCGAAAAGAAAATCAAAAATGTTTGCCCAAAAATAGGCCAAGAAAGTGATGAGTTGACAATGTTATGTCTTGATCAACAAGCAACATGCGTAAGTCTTGTAGCAAAAGGAAAAAGTAAGTGTAGTGTTTTGAAACAAAAAGTCGAAGAAGCACTTAAGGAGAAAAATGAACTACGAGGAAAATGTCTACCATTACTTGAGCAATGTTACTTTCACAGAGGGAACTGCAAAAAAGATGCATCACAATGCAAACCTCAAAATAAAGACTGCGAGGACTATCTACCAAAATGTGATGAATTAGCAAAAGAATGTGGAAAAAAGGGCGTCATTTATATACATCCAGGGCCCGATTTCGATCCAACTAAGCCAGAGCCTACAGTAGCAGAGGACATAGGGCTAGAAGAGCTTTATAAGAGGGCAGAGGAGGATGGAGTTTTTATTGGAAGACAACAAGTAAGAGATGCGACAGCTTTGTTGGCGTTGTTGGTTAAAAAAGATAATACCGGAAATAATGATATCGGAAAAAAATGTAATGAGATTCTCGAAAATAAATGCAAAAACTCTCATGAACATGAGGCCTTGGAAAAACTATGTGCAAAAAATGCTGCAAATAACATTGGAAAGGAAAAGTGCAAAGAATTGGAGGAAGATATTAAAAAAACATGTAATATTTTCGCGTCAAAGCTTATAAATAATCATCTTTTTGATCCAAAAAAAGGAAATAATGGAATTATTGGATGGGGAGGATTGCCAACATTCCTTAGCAACGAAGATTGTACAAAATTAGAGTCCTATTGTTTCTATTTTGAAAAAAAATGTCAAGATGGCGAAAAATCATGTGCGAATGTAAGGGCAGCGTGTTATAAGAGAGGGCTTGATGCACGGGCAAATAAAGTGCTGCAAGAAAATATGCGAGGAATGTTACATGGTTCAAACAAAAGCTGGCTTGAAAAGTTTCAACAAGAATTAGTAAAAGTATGCAAGGAACTAAAAGAAAATAAAGAAAATTTCCCAAACGATGAACTATTTGCTCTGTGTGTACAGCCAGCAAAAGCAGCCCGGTTGCTTACACATGATCTTCGAATGAAAACTATCTTTTTACGACAACAGTTGGATAAAAGGCGAGATTTTCCGACAGACAAGGACTGCAAAGAATTAGGGAGAAAATGTCAAGATTTAGGAGAGGATTCAAAAGAAATTACGTGGCCATGTCATACATTGGAGCAGCAATGTAATCGTTTAGGAACTACAGAAATTTTAAAACAGGTTTTACTAGATGAACACAAGGATACTTTGAAAGATCAAGAAAGTTGTGTAAAATATCTAAAAGAAAAGTGTAATAAATGGTCTAGAAGAGGCGATGACCGTTTCTCTTTTATATGTGTCTTCCAAAACGCTACATGTAAATCGATGGTAGATGATGTACAAGATAGGTGCAAAGTA